GGTCTCGACGGCGTTTCGTTTCCTAATAAGAACAGAAGCGTAGGGAATCTTTGGTGCGCTTCCACCGACCTCTTTGAGCACCTGCTTGATAGGTCCTTGAAGCCCGGAATGGGGGCCGAGTTCGACGAGCATGTTGACTCCGTGCTTGTGCTCGCCGACCGGCGCAAGCATGCTCTGCAACGCCTCACTGAAGCGTACAGGACAAGTCAAGTTGTCAACCCAGTAGTTAGGCTGCAAATCGGTACCGTCAACAAGATGGCCATACAGAGAAGAGTGAAACTGCACGTCAGTTCGAGCTGGCAGTTGAAGGCTGGCGATGGAAGCACGGTAATCCTTGGCGACCAAGTTCATGTGGTGGGAATGGTAAGCGACGTCGACGACCAAACGCCTGTTGAAAAGCTGCCTCTTCTCGCAGATCCTCTCCAGTTCGGCCAAGGCAGGTTCATCGCCGGAAATGGTTAGACTGGAAGGACTGTTGTAACAAGCAATCCTGACTTCCTTCGCTTGTAGTCCTTCGATAAGGGGTATGAATTCCTTCTTGCTTCCTCCAACAGCCATCATGCGACCCTGAAGCTCAGGGTACTTTTGTTTGAGAATAGGAATCAGTCTGCCTCGATGGTAGGCAATTGCCATGGCAGACTCGAAGTCAACGATGCCCGCAGCATATGCAGCAGCGATTTCACCACTCGAGTGGCCCGCCACAGCAGTTGGCCGCAGACCCCAGCCTCGTAGCAAGTTAACGAGTGCTAATTGTACCGCAGTACATGATGGTTGGCTGATATGTGCCTCACTGATCCTGCTGGTTTTGGCATCTTTTCCGAGTTCCTCTGCCAGAGTAGTAATTGAGTTAGTGACATCCTTCCAAAGATCTGTAAGGGACTTTATGTTGGCGACCCATGCTTACCAATAAGTGACCATTCCGCACCGAGAGCAGTTAAACAGGCGTCGGCCAGCAAAATACTCGCGGTGAATGTTGGATATTGCTCGTACAATTCACGACCCATGGCATACCATTGAGCACCTTGACCGGTAAAGATAAAACCAAGTCTGAGAGGCTCGGTTTCTTTACCGGTTATAACCTTTTCTCCGTTGATAGCTTCGATTAACTCAAAGGAGTTGATGGCGGGGATGGCAGCTCTCCATTGCAGGAGGGATCGCCGCTGTCCAAGCGTGTAAGCAAGGTTGCTGGTCAGATCTACCTGGAAGATCTCGGGCCTCTGCTCAAGGTAGACCACGATGTTCTTCATCTGTTGCGAAAGAGCCGCCTTGTCATTGGCCGTGACGACGTAAAGCTTGCGGCCTGGCCCTGACTTATCCGACGCCATGATGGTGCCGTCATGGGAGGACCCCGAAGTTCTGGAACCCAGGAATGGTGCTGCCGTCAGTACAATATGGCCGTTTGTGCCACCAAAACCGAAATTGTTGACACTGATGTACTTTTTGCCGCGCGGCCACGGCCGTTGTGTCACCGGGACCTTTAGGTTCCATTCTTTCCAGGGGATCTTTGGGTTTGGCTGCTTGAAATCATGGTTTGGAAGGATGAAGCCACGCTCAAGCATGAGGGCAGCTTTGATGACACCGGCAATACCTGAAGACGGAGAAGCAGGACACATTAGTCTTGAATAGGGCGGCCAATGTTTGAGAGTAGCGGAGTAAAAATGACATACCGGAAGCCCCTTCCAGATGGCCAATGTTAGATTTTACAGAGCCGATCCATAGAGGGTTGCGTGGGCTTCTGTCTTGGCCCAAAACATTGTGAATGGCAGTAGCTTCGATGGGGTCACCGACCCTAGTGCCGGTTCCATGGGCCTCGACAAAACCGCACAAATTCGGGTCGAGGCCAGCATTGCCATATACTTGGCGCATGAGGTCCTCTTCAGGTCGATATTGGGGGTCAGTTTCTCATTTGAGTCAGATCAGTTATCGTGATTATGGGTGCTGACTAACCTTGCGCTGACCCATTTGGCATAGTGATGCCGGGCGTCTTGCCATCCTGGTTGAGGCCAGTTGCGGCAATGACTGCCCTGATGGGATCATTGTCCTTTATGGCCTGGTCCAGTGGCTTCAGGACAATCATGCCACAGCCCTCTCCACGGCCAAACCCCGTGCCTCGATTGTCAAAGGAAAATGAACGGCCGGTATCCGAGAGCAGTCTGCGACCGTGATGGTTAGAACATTGGGAACGATCAGATGCAACCGATAAGGCGACGCTATGGTAGCAGGGGAAGCCTTGCTGGTTGTATTAGACTCACCTGCAAGTCGAATGGGAGACCCAGAACTCAGGAAGCATGTTGAGGTGACAGCCGCCGACCAAAGCGGAGCTAGATTCACCGGTTCGCAAGCTCTGACAAGCCAGGTGTATGGCTACCATGCTAGAGGAACATGCTGTATCGGCCGTGAAACTGGGGCCTCGCAGGTCGAAGAAGTGCGATATGCGGTTGGACTGCATGGCATATGCACAACCTGTTCAAGCCAATGTACAAAGCAAAGTGTCAGACTCGCAAGATCTTTGATGTCTCTCTACCAGGTGTAGTTTCGATGGAGGGAACTAAAGATGCTTACCGGTTGCCTGGTGCATAGGTATGGTATCTGGGTCTCTGAAGAGATGAGATTCGTACTCGGGAAAGGAACCGCCGACGAAAACGCCAACGTCCTTTCCGACAATGGTGTGCTTTGGAATGCCGGAATTTTCGAGTGCTTCAAAGGTGCATTCGAGAAGAAGACGCTGCTGGGGATCCATGGAAATGGCCTCCTTTTCAGTCAGACCAAAAAACGGGGCATCGAAGGCAGCCAGGTCGACATTCAAGAAGTTGCCGCCGACGGAATTCAGGGTGCCGCCTTTGCCCTGGTTGGGATGGTGGAAGCGGGCACTGTTGAATCTCTGCTTGGGGATTTCGGACCAGCCGGACCGGGCCCTAGTGCAGAGTTCCCAAAACTCGGCCGGAGTAGAGACATTGCCGGGCATCCGACAGGCCATTCCAACAATGGCTATAGGCATATCTTGAAGATGGCGGGGGGGAGGGAGAGGGGAACCCGAGCCGGGCCCAGAGTCGGCAGTCCAGCTGCCATGGCCATTGGTGTCGATACGGAGGCCGTCAGGAGGGGCACCATTGCCATTGCAATGACCATTCCCTACGGCGGCCGAGTGGGCGTGTTCGCCATGGTCATGGCCGTTGTTGCTGATGCTGTTATGGCCGTCACCATTACGCACGTGAAAGTAGCCGTTTGAGCTGTCGCCAGAAGGACTGGCGGTTGAGCTATCCGGCGTCACAGCAATGGGCGCCATTGAAGGCCAAGGAGGTCGGGTTGACTTGTCTCTTTGTCAGGGCTTTTGGCTGTTTCAGGAAGGCAGCAGCTTGTCTGTTGTGATGGGCATATATTCTTGGTCAGAAGTGGGCAAGGCAACAGAGCGGAGGAGTTGGACTCTTATCTGACGGCAGCTGGAGAGACGGCAATATACGGGAGCAACATTGGTGCAAGATTGGATCGGGATCACAGGCCCGATCTGGCAGGAAGACAATATGCGAGACCACTGCAGTGACTCTCCTGGGTTGAAGAGCGGAGGCTGTCGACCGAGTCCCAAACCTGAAGTCTCGGGAGAAGCGGGCTGCTGCGAGGGAGCTGCGAGAGGACGGCCATGGGCGAAGGGAGCTTTGAACAGGCCAGGCTGGGTGCCAATGGCCAGGGGAACGAGGGCCGATCCAACTTGCTGTTCGCTTATTCACAATCAAAGTGAATCTGCATCTCCATCCCACACCATCCACGCCATGTACACCTTCAAGGAGGTAGTCCAGACTCCAGCGCCGGCAAGGTAACATCCCCGGGCCCGTGTGCGGCGGCTAATCTCGCAGAGTGTCGTCCATGTGGGAGTGGGTGGAATAACAGATCACCTTGACTGTGTCCGGCGAGAGGTTGGATTGACGAGGCCGGGAGGGTGGGAGTATCATGGCATCTTGGAGGGCGACTGTGGTTGTTGGCATGTCACAGCGATGATCAATGCAACTTTTTTCCAATTCTGCGCCCCGACGGCATCATGCAAACCTGACTGCACGTTGCTTACTTGACATTGCGCGGCTTAAAGCGGGGACGAATGGAAGTGGAAGGTGAGGTAATTACAACCTCTATGATGGGAAGGAACAAGCTGCACATGGTCGATGTCCTGGTGCTGGATATTGACAGATACGGAAGTGACGAGTGAGTGGACATCGAGGTTGTCTTTGTCCAAGTTGGAAGTGGAAGCGGAAGGCATGTCGTTGATGAAGCTTCTTATCGATAACATTTAACCGCTCCCTGTGATTGGTGGCTTGATCGGTCGGTACTTGTCACGGCATTGGATGGGACGGTACCTGAAACGAAAAAGCACACGTAGACACGGCACTTGCCGCACATAAGTGCTAAGAGTCAAGGTATCAGTACCTCTAATCAATCCCTCTTTCTGTACTGACCCGCAGAGCATGCCAACCAACATCTCCTCTCTCTGCTTTCTCTCCAACCAAGTCATCACCTCCTGTGAACAATCATCTACCTGCAGCTCTCGCCAAACCTGGAACACATCAAGCTTTTCCTGCGTCCACCTCAATGAAGCTCAATCAAGCTCAATCAGCCCCCCCAGGCAACCCGCAACCCAAGGGCAATCTCTCACTCAATGCCCGGTAGTATCATCCTAATTAACCACATATCACAACATCCTTCTAACTTTCCGTCCCCCCGCAATCTACCAACATCGCGGCGACGCGGCTTCCATGTCCCCGACGCTCTAGAATCTGTAATCGGTCAAGGTCAAGGTCAAGGCCATCGGGACTTGCTGCCGGATATCCCCCGGGCGCTCAGCTGCAATGGCCATCTATCATACTCCCTCTGCTCCGGCGCCTAGCTGGGGGTGCCCATGAGGTCATACATGAGGACGGGACATACTTAGACCGCATAGGTATATGTAATATGCCCTGGTTGCTATGTACAGGTCCAGGTCCAGACCCAGGCAGTGTGGTGTATCTGATGCCCCCTCAGCTTGACGCCTCCCCTTGACGCCTCCCCTCTCTCCATCCCACAGCCTTTTATAGTCTGTTGATCTGCGTGATTGCTTTCTATGCTCATTGCGAGGAGAAGAAAGCCATATATTTATCGCAATGCGGTTTCTCTGTCTTCCGGGAGCCTATGGCAGCTCCGATGTAAGTACATGGCACACTTTCTTTGATGGACCGCCTTGCTGACCAGACATAACTCATGTCAGAAGTTCCAGGTTCAGCTAGGTATGAAGGGCGCCAAACAGAGAGAAGCCTTCCATACAAGGATATCCAGTCTAACAACACCTCAAACTAGCACCCATCGTCAAGGAATTGACTGAGGATGGAACGGCTACCTTCCACTTCATCCACGGCCCCTGCAAAGCCGTGCCGCCCGAGGGCTTCGAGGAGTACTTTGGAAAGCCGCCCTATTACCGCTTTGTCGAGCCCGACCAGGATGTGGAAAAGACCGAAGACGGTGACGTCCTGGCCAGAATCAGGGACTTTCCCGACTGTGAGAGCCCCGAGGACACCATGCGAGAGCTGATGAGCGAGGGCGTCGCCACCTCACATCGCAGTACCGACAACGCACTCAAATACCTGATCAAAATCATGGACGAGCGCGGCCCGTTTGATGCCATCATTGGCTATTCGGAAGGCGCCACCGTTGCTGCCACGCTTCTGCTTCACGAGCAGAGGCGCTTCAAGAAAAAGGGCATCAAGCCCATGTTCAAGTATGCCATCTTTTTCGCTGGCTGGCCCCCCGTCGACCCAGACACCCACCACATGATTCTGAGCGACGAGTCCGATGTCATGATTGAAATCCCTACATGTCACATCAGTGAGTAAAAGTGCCTACCAGAATGCTATCCATGGATACTTGGCTGACAGCGTCTGCACTCTAGTCGGCTCCTTGGACCCTTATGTCCACGGATCTCTGGCCCTTTACAATATCTGCGATCCCGATACTGCCTATCTCTTTGATCACGCCAAAGGCCACACGTTGCCGCGGGACAAGGAAACTGTAAAGGAGCTGGCTGATGTGGTACGGGATGCTGCCTGCCTCTATGAAATCCACGCCTGAGTGGCGTGTATGTCAAAGGACAGCAGTTCGCTCAGAAACAGTAAACGGAAACCAGCCATAAATGACGAGTTTGTAACACAAAGACTCCCTAACCGAAGCATCAAGCGAACCAAGTGAATGGCCAACATGGGTCAATATCGGGTGCCGTCAAGGACCGGGCAACCGGCTTGAAGCCTAGCGAAGCGAGGCATCATGTAGCAGCATACTGGGACTGAGTGGCTTTCAGTCGCGGCACAGTCTCGGAAGCTACCGGTGTTCTCCAAGGCACTCTGAATGCAAGTGACCCGACTGTGAGCAGCTTACGGCGACGGTGACACGCACACTTTGCAGTTACATAGTAAAGGGGCATGCAGATTGATCGATTACCGCAAAGACTCGGGGCGTTCGTTTTTAGGTTCCAGGGCCTAACTGACAGAATCTATGTATTAGGTGCCTTAGGGTTTGGGTTTTGGAAGAGATTCGAGCAGTCTGCAATGCTAGAGGTGCCTCAAGTGTAATGATTATGCCTGATTTCCCTGGAACCTAAAAACGAACGCCCCGAGTCTTTGCGGTATTTGGATCCTCTCGACACTACATGGTCACAGCTTTGGCTGCGCAAGAAATCAAACGGCTGGATCGATGTTGGCGACCAACCAGTAGGCGGTATGCGTTCAAAGACCAATGACTGCACCAAGCAGTGAAATCACATGGAGAAAAAGCGAGATAAGAACCTCAACAGCATCGGAGTGGGAACGGAAACTGAAAGTTCCCTATGGAGATAACATTCCTGTGCCTGTATACAACCGTACAGAAGGGCCCAGGGCCCCTACTACCTTGGCCACCCCATTCACCTCATCTACCGATAAACAAGGGCATGAAACCGCAATGCTATAGGCCAATTGAGGCTAAATTGTCCCACGAAGAACAGTAGCGGCACATGCTCGCTTGATATCGGGCGGGATGCTGAGAGACGGGAGGGTGATACGGCAAGGCCGAGGTACCCGTCACCGTGGATGCGACTGTTCCATCGAATTTTGAACCAGTCACTGCCTTACTCTATATGTCGCGACATTACCACAGCTCGACTGTAGCGTTGTCGCTCCATCATCCGAGACCGATACAACTCTCCAGGGACCAGGGTATCCAGATGTGTTGCAAGCTGGGTATCAAAGTATCTCTATTTCCCAACCCGCTTCTTTTCGCCTATCCCGCGCAGAAGACCTGATAGATACGCTTTTGATAGCCGCCAATCACAGAGGATCGGGATCTGGATCCCTTTCAAGTGAAACGTGTTTCTGGATCCTCATGGGGCTCTGGGTGTGCCCATTTCCTTTCTTCATTCCACAACTTGGCTGGGGCACCCAACACGTACCTCGGCCAAGTTGACTCTCCTTTCTCGGTTGCCGTCGAGAAGAAGAGAACTTGGCTACAGATCACATTATGCCACTTGAAGATAAGCTACACCATCCAAGTTTTGGTTCACTTCCCTACCGTAGAAACTCGGTTAGTTGGCAAAAAGCTATCCCTCTTTGAGCGCCCGACAGTAAGCACAGGAAGCAGCATACTTCTGTATATATGTCCGCTCAGTTAGTGAAAGCTCTACCGCAAAGACTCGGGCCATCCGTTTTTAGGTTCCAGGGAAATCAGGCATAATCAGTACACTTGAGGCACCTCTAGCATTGTAGACTGTTCGAATCTCTTCCAAAACCCAAACCCTAAGGCACCTAATACATAGATTCTGTCAGTTAGGCCCTGGAACCTAAAAACGGATACCGTAGAAACTCGCGAAAGTCGCCAAAAGCTATCCCTCTTTGAGCGCCGGACACAGGGCAGATCTGTGCAGGCAGCTAGCAGGACAAGGCCGAGTCCTATGCACTTGAATGTATGTAAGTTAACGTGGTGGGCAATGTCGTCGAGTTTTCACCAACTGGACAGACACATATGCTGGCATATGCGTGCTTACGGGGCATGTCCATGGCAGATTACTGCCCTATGCCCGGCGCTTAAAGAGGGATAGCTTTTGGCGACTTTCGCGGGTTTCTACGGTAGCCCGAGTCTTTGCGGTACAACACTGCCCAACACTATCTTGCCTGCGTTTCAAAGTACAGGCTCGGACTTGAGCGTTACAGATCTGCCAGCACCCTGTCTGATATCCAGGTTTTTCAGGAATTAGCTTTTTGCCAACTAACCGAGTTTCTACGGTATTCGAGTACCAGGCACACGATATATTACCCATATATTGTCATGCGAGATTCCATATTAACGTCGCAGCAGGTTGTTGAAGCACGGACACTGGCGTTTTGCTTTCCCCACGCTATGTTCGATGTATGTTGTTCACCGCACCTGTTGAGGGTTTCCTGCGACCCATCCTTCCTCGTTGCAATCTCCCCTTGAGCACATTTCTTTGCACATTTCGTTGCACGATAGTTGGATTGCGATCGCGATCAACGGTAGATGCGGCTTGAGAGAGGCTCTATCCCCTCGCTCTTTGCCTCACATTCAACTCTCTCTCCATTTTTTGAAGATCTCTGCGCGCATGTATTGAGTGAGGAGATATCCGCGTCAATACACCCTTTTTCTTTTGTTAGCCACTGCTACGAGAGCGCCTACACAGACTGCATAAATCCCAATAAGACCTCAGTAATTTGAGAGTTAAAGAGATGACCGAGGAAAAGTTTGCGTCTGGCGGCGAGCATCCCATCCCCGAGTCGCCAGTTTCGCCCCCGAATCCACCATCTCCAGCGAGCAAAGCGGGAAAGAACCCTCTTCTGCTGAAGCCCGAATACAAAACAGCTGTGAAAGACTTTGTTGTGAGTATCTTGATACGCAGCTGCTCGAAGACCCAATCTCTCATACTTCAGGCAGCGCATATTCTCCTTTTCGACATGGCTCGACAGAGTACTCATCAGTGCAGCTGTTGTGACCTCTATAGGTGCTGGCATTACTATGCCCGTCATGAACATGATCTTTGGTATGTATCACTCAATTTTCATTTCACTGTCCATAAGCAAGTTGTGATACCTGCGAATTAACTCATAGATAGGCAAAATGGTGGGATCATTCACGGGATATTACCGTGCCGATGCTTCAACAACATATGAGCTCTTCAAAAAGACCATAAGTACCTGCGCGTAAGTCTCGTTCCAACTCTCTGGCAGCAGCGAGTCAACATGATGCTCACTAATTCTTCGCAGTCTATACCTTGTTGGCCTTTTCTTCATTAGGCTTGTACTTGATTATGTGGCCTACGTAAGTCCCTCACCGTTTGTTCTCCGTTCTCTCGCGCATCACATGCATTGTTTACAGGTTATGTCGATTGTTTAGGTAGGCTTTCGCATGTCGAGCTTGAGAATTTCAGCTGCTATCCGACTGGAATACTTGAAGTGTTTGTTCGGGCAGCCAGTCTCTACGCTAGACGTCCTTCCCCCCGGCCAAACAGCCGCCATCATCACTATAACAGCTAGTGTACTTCAAACGGGCATCTCCGAGAAACTTTCAGCCTTTCTCCAATCCATATCCACCGTAACAGCTGCATTTGTGATTGCCATCACATACAGTTGGAGCTTGACCTTAGTCACGAGCAGTGGTCTTGTGTTGATCATGGTGGTCTATGCTGCAACTACCCCTTTTCTCGTCAAGCACTTGAATGACGTACAATATGCCGATATCCAGGCATCTACAGTCGCAAACGAGATATTAAGCTCTATGAGAATGATTGCAGCCTGTGGTGCCCAGGGGAAGATGGCTAAAAGGTATGTCAAATGGGTGGACGAATCTCGCCATCGGGGTTTGAAGATGTCTCCCATCATCGCACTGCAGCAAGCGCCAGGTAAGTGTTTTCATTTTCTTTTGCGACTGGCCCTCCACACATGTACCGTCGAGCGGCCCTTCCCGAATCATCTGACGTCTCTCCAACAGTACAGTTTTCAATATACGCGTGAGTTACATGCCGTCCCTGTTGTCATGACAATAAGAGTCAATGCTTACACTTTCCAGGACTTTCGCCCTATCATTCTGGTACTCACTCAAAATGTACTACGAGCTTCGCTTTAATAGCGCAGAGACCTTGATTGTGTGCGTACCTGCGATACTTCCTTTTCACTGCCAAATATCGGACTGGATGACTGATTGATCTTGTGTCAAGCGTCCTGATGTCTATCATGCTCATGACCACCTCTATAGGTGGAATCACCTCGCCCTTATCCGCAGCTGCTCGGGCAGCTGGCGCGGCCACCGTTTTCTATACCATCATTGACGCAGCAAGACCGGACAAAACAGGTCTTAAGGAACCAGACGTCTCTGCATCCGAAGATCTTGTACTTCAAGACGTTAACTTCGCATATCCTACCAGACCAGACCTTGTGATCCTGAATAAACTCAGTATCCGATTCCCTGTGGGGAAAACCACCGCAATTGTTGGAGCATCCGGGTCTGGAAAAACAACTATTGTTGGGCTTCTGCTGCGATGGTATGAAATCGAGTCTCTCGAGAGCAATGATATGGTGGGTGACATCCGAATTGATTGCTCTCAACTTGAGAATGGAAACCGAAATACTTTGCTAACAAGCGAGCGAAAACGAAGAGTCTGTTGTGGCGTAACGGCCTTGTCGAAGTTGGGGGTCGGCCCCTGAGAGAGATCGACCTTAAGTGGTGGCGGACTCAAATCGGCCTCGTGCAGCAAGAACCGTTTCTGTTCAACAGTAGCATCTATCGGAATGTTGAGTTTGGTCTTATAGGCACTGAATGGGAAAATGCCGATCTGGAGACCAAGAAAGAGCTTGTAAAACAGGCTTGCAAGGAGGCCTTTGCCGACGAGTTCATCAGCCGGTTACCCGAGGTAACGTTCCAAGCTTGGAGTCATCCAGAGATCATAACTCCTGGTGTGTGTGTGTTGATTGCTGACAGCTGGATTCAGGGTTACTCGACCATTGTCGGCGATGCGGGCATCAAGCTGAGTGGCGGCCAACGTCAACGAATAGCCATCGCTCGAAGCATTGTAAAGCGTCCGAAAATTCTTATTCTGGACGAGGCGACTTCTTCTATTGATGTTCGCGGGGAAAAGGTGGTACAGGCAGCCTTGGAAAAGCTGTCGAAAGATCGCACGACTATAGTGATTGCACACCGGCTCGGTACCGTCAAGAAGGCTGACAACATCATAGTTCTACGGAAAGGTCAGGCTGTTCAGCAAGGCACGCACTCGGACCTTTTGGCCGAGGAGGGAGGCGCCTATTGGACACTTGCTACTGCTCAGAAGCTTGTGATGGATTCAACCGACCTTAATGAGCTACCGTGCGACCTTGGTGGCAAGCTGGAGGTTACGGAATATGACACACCCACAGCTGATTCAGGGAGTACGATGATAACAACAAGCGCCAGTGTTGATGAGGAGCTCAAAACGACAGGCGGCCTGAGAAACTACATGCTCCTCCTTTGCGAGCAGAAAAAGCACTGGAAGTGGTATATTGTCTTGATTGTGAGTGCAATCGGCGGCGGAGGTACGTATCCGTATTTGGACTTGACATTTCCGTCCACCCCCGGTCGTAAAGAAGTCATGAGAGAGTAGCTGACAATCTTGTTCGGGCCGCACAGCAAGTCAGCCGATTTCCGCCTACCTCTTTGCAACAGAGCTCATACTGTTCCAATCTTGGGGTCCATGGCTCCCAGGCCTCGCCAGCTTCTGGAGTCTGATGTTTGTTATGCTTGCTATCTTGGTCGCGATCTCTTACTTTGCATTAGGATGGTCGTCTTCGACAATTGCATTTGTACGCTTCTTGAACCTACTTCCTTTCTTGATATCAAATGAGGACGGAATCGCGCTAACGAGAGGAACAAGCACATCACACACCGATATCGTTGCGAGTACTTTGACAACATCATATCCCAGCCTATTGGCTTCTTTGACGCTGACGATCACTCGGTTGGTGCACTTACAGCTCGTCTGGCGACTGATCCAAGCCAACTTCAAGAAATACTGGGCACCAACATGGCTTTCGTGCTCATTTCCATTCTTAACGTCGTTGGCTGCCTGATTATATCCTTCTACTTTGGATGGAAACTGACCATCGTCACGCTATGCTCCTCGATGCCGCTCATCGTGGCAGCTTCTTTTCTTCGCATTCGATACGAAGCGCGGTTTGAGAAAATGAACAATGAGGTTTTTGCAGAGAGTGCCAAGTTCGCAACTGAGTCCATCACTGCTTTTAGGACGGTTTCGGCTCTGACTCTAGAAGATATCATCATAGAGCGATATGAAACGCTCCTTCGAGAACATGTCAAGCATTCGTTTGGAAAGTCCAGTTGGGTTACCTTGATATTTGCCGTGGCCGACAGCATCGCTCTTTTGTGCATGGCTTTTGTTCTCTGGTAGGTATATCCACAAGTACCAAGGCCGATCGCTGACGACGGTTCCACGAATATCAACAAAGCTAATTTGGGACCTGATGCCTCACAGGTATGGTGGATCTCTGATGCTCAAGGGCGAATACTGGCCATTTCAGTACATGATCGTTTACATTGCTGTCCTTCAGGTATGCTTACATTGCGTTTACCCCACTGTTCCAATGGAGTCTCTCATATTCGGCCAGTATTCTGATAATGACTGCGGCACAGGGTGGATTGGGAGCAGGCCAATGGTTGAGCTACGGACCCAGTAAGTTAGCAGTACGAGTTAGGATATTTGACATATACTGAACGCATCGCCAGATATTGCAAAAGCGAGTGTTGCGGCAGATAGGATCCTTGAGATGAGGGCCAAGGGCCAGGAAACCGAAACGCGCACTCCACTTGACCGAGGTAGCATGGGCGACAATGACAGCGGTGTTAAAGTCGAGTTCCGCAATGTACGGTTCAGGTATCCAACACGGGATGTACCGGTGCTTAATGGCCTTGACATAACGGTTAGTCTTTCTACTTTACCTCTACAGTTGAGTTAATGGAATATGGCTGACACCAACTGGAATAGGTTGAGAAAAACCAGTTTGCTGCCATAGTCGGGCCTTCTGGTACGTGGAAAGATGAGAACGGGTAGTTATAGGCCGACAACTGACATCAACCCAGGTTGCGGAAAAACAACAGTGGTCTCACTTCTCGAAAGGTCAGTGGCTAGTGAGGAGCACAATCAGCGCACAGTATCCAGACGGCTGACAAACGTTCAGGTTTTATTCCGCAGATTCAGGCCAGATCCTGTACAATGGGACCGACATCTCGGCCGTCTGCCTTGAAGACTACCGCAGAGATATATCTCTTGTCTCACAAGAACCGAATCTTTTCGATGGGACAATTAGAGAGAACATACTCCTGGGAGTAGACCCTGATACTACCACAGAAGAGCAGATTCAACAGGCCTGTCGTGACGCCGAGATCCACGAGTTTATCATATCTCTCCCAGACGGATACAATACCGAGATCGGATCCAGGGGAGTGACATTGTCTGGTGGGCAGAAACAACGCTTTGCCATTGCAAGGGCCTTGATACGGAATCCTCGCTTGCTTCTCTTGGACGAAGCCACATCAAATCTGGATGGCGATACCGAAAGGGCGGTACAGGCTGTTTTCGAAAGGACCAGGAAGAACAGAACAATGATCATGGTGGCTCACCGTCTTGCCACTATCCAGAACGCTGATATCATTTTTGTTCTTGGAGATGGCCGCGTGTTGGAAAAAGGAAACCATGCGACACTGTTGAAGATGCGTGGAATCTATTACCAGATGGTAAGTGTCCTTCCATCCCTGCTCTTGACAGCCATGCGACTCTTGTGGGATATGTGATGCTGATATCATACAGTGTCAAGCTCAAGCTCTGGACAGGTAGAGTTAGCCGAGAGGGTGTTGCGGGCATGGTAAGGTGTTGAAGTGTGCCTGAAGCGATATAGTGTTTGTGGCGCATTGATTTGACCAACACATTCAGACTGCAACAGTAATCGCCCTGCCGAGGGTGTTTCGGTCGGTCAAACCTTCGGAGAAAGGCGAATTGGTCGTTACTACGTGCATTTTTAGTTTCTGTACTACGTTTTTTTCGACGAGCAGGCTGCCCAAATGGCACGAGTTAATTCGGTGCCGGCAACACTCCCGATCTGTATGTCAAGCTGCAGGCCATCTCAGTCGCTTTTAGACATGAGGAGGTTGAAGCCTAGATTAAGCCTCAATATGAAAGTCCTGAATTTGTTAGCAACAGTTTTGTGAAACTGGGAAAGTTATTTTGTGAAGGAAGAAAGTTTTAGGTACTGCCAACTGGCGGCGTATATAGAGGAGGTGCCAGAATGCAACTTTGGGTAAAATGGTATTGCGAGCAAGCGCCGGAACCACATGGGGCTGAGTAAGGTAGATTAAATATTGGTTAATGGCGTGGTGCAGTGAGGAGAAGAATGTATAACATGAAATGGAAGGTACGTAGGACATCAGATATAACGTGGCAGATACCCAAAAACCGAACCCCGTCTGCCCAGATCTAGTCGGCTCGAGACCTGCAAAGAAGTCTTCATCAGTGTGTGAGTTAATGATAGCCTCATACCTATGTACAGTTCTAGGTAGACCGAACCGACTATTGATGTCGTGCATGGAAGGGGTAGCATTGTATGCGGCTGACTACGAGCCAGTTGCATGTATCTTACGCATAGCTGCCAGGGGAATGGGTTGGCAGGGGCAACTTCCATTCAAATCTGCTGGGTATTCCCGTGCACTGCACGACATTGAGGACGGCTATGCTCTCAGTGGTTGTTCTTGCTGAAAATACTCCTAGGGTACCTTGTTTGCGAATGCCTTTGTGAGTTGGGGGCTTTCTTTTGCTTGGTGTAACGGCCCGCCCCAGACGGTTCCTGCAGCCTCTTTGATCCGCCTGTCTTTGTGACTACCATTGAACAAAGATTATCCAATGTTCCAAGGGTGCGGTTGAAATGAAAAGTGTAAGGCGCGTACAGTTGTTTGTACAATTTCTGAGCTGGACACCGTTACTAACATATCTTGCACTCGTTGCACAACAAATCCCTTTCATCCAGATCAACCGTTCTTTGAGCTACTCTCCAAAGAGAGCCGGTGGGCCGGCAATTCATGAAAGGGGTGTTTTGGAAAACAAGCAAAGAATAATGCTCAGGGACGCATGGTCTTATTCGATCGAGGTTGAGTTGCTCACTCGATAGGTCCTTACCCCAAAAACCCAGCCATGCTTTGTAGGCAGAGGACAAGCATGGAAGCGTTCGTAGTGAGTCAACTTTTCCAAATTCCCTTTCTCTCCGAGTTTTTCTTAGTGAGCTGAGCAAGCTTCTTTGAGAGTAACCCTCCGCACACCCACCCCAAAACCTACACGCACCCAAAATTTTCCCAAATTTCCCAAACACTTTTCAATATCTTTACGAAACTCTTTGCTACTGTTTTGAAACTTGGTAAGCGTATTGATCTATAGCTAATTGATGTTGTAATGTGAATTCGAGATGTATCTTGGCCGTTAGAATTTTGCTAAGTAGGCGTTTGCATTCGCAGTGCACGACATTTGCAAAGTACTCAAAATATGACTAATAATTAGCTTAAGGTATTCGGGAAAGGGTTGGAAAGATTAAGAATAGTCTATGAGCCTTACAATAAGTCTTTTTTTGGCTGTTCAAGTGGCCGGTCTTTGAGAAATGCTGGGAGGTTGTCAAAATTTGGGTGCGTCTAGGTTTTGGGGTGGGTGTGCGGAGGGTTACTCTTCTTTGAACGTGGTTGTAGACGGATTGTGATGTTCTTGGGCAGAACCAGGTTCGGAGGCGGCACCTTGCCCACTAAAACAAACAACCCAGATGGTCCCTTTACAAACCCATATCTCCGACTACTGGAGATGAATTGTAGCGAGGATTCCGAAGCTCCCCATGTGCCACTTGTTGTTTAGAAGCGGCGGCTCCTGAGATATAGGGGGCCATGCCGAAGTTGAATCGCACATGAGGGTGAGGCACAGCTGCAACACATCTTGCCCCTGTATAATATCCTCCAGATTGGCAAAGATCCCGAATCGTCCGCACTCACCTCTAGGCATCCGAGGACCCACGGCCAATATTAAACTGCACCTCGGTCAATAGGTGACCTCGAGTTGCAGCCACTTGCAGAACACTTGCAGAACATCCTCCGTGGGCACACATCGCGAGTCCAAACAGAGAGGACAGGGATTCAGAACATCAGTAAGCAATCACTCCGAGGTTGTGATAGACAGAACGCCATTCAGTCAGCTTGGAGACTTGGATGTTATCAGGTTCCGGACGAGCTTCAACTCAAACATGGTACGGAAGCTTGAGGAAAACCTGAGTATAAAGACCCAGTTCTCAAGGCCACTGACAAGTCCTTTGTTCAACATTCCTTTCATTGCTCCACAAGCTTCACCATCAGGTAGAGCTATATCTACCACCATTTCCAGAAGCCATTGTCTTCACTCGCCCTTGTTCTATCTACGGGAGCTCCTTTCTCCAACGTTCTACGGCAAGACACTCAAGTTTACCGGAACGTAAGCAGCCATCACTGTCCAGGTTCCCAAGACATAGCCATGGCGGTCAAAACGTTCTCCAGTTTCCTTTTCGGGATTTTTGCCATCTGCCTCTGGGCTGGCCACATGCTCGGAGCACAAGCTGCTCCCGCACCTATTACGGATTCCCTCAATCGGAGGCAATCAGCCACTGACAAGCTAGTATTTGCGCATTTCATGGTAAGAATCACTAGCTAGAGTGTCTTCTTCTTCCATGTACTTGAACATGGCAACGAGCTAACGAGTGTTCCAACAGATTGGTATTGTGGGCAACCGGGGATCCTCGGCTGACTTCGATTATGATATGCAAAAGGCCAAGGCCATAGGTAAGCTCTCATCCCTTTCGTATATGCCATACTTTATGCTGCTGGGGTGCCAGAGACTGATGGTTCCATGATAGGCATCGATGCATTTGCGCTCAACATTGGAGTTGATGACTACATCGACACCCAGCTGGGATTCGCCTACGAGTCAGCGGCTCGCAATGGCATGAAAGTTTTCATCTCGTTTGATTTCAACTGGTGGCATCCGAGCACCCAAGCTGCCGACGTAGGACACAAGATTACTCAGTATGCCTCCCTTCCCGCACAGCTGAAAATCAACGGAAGAGTCTTTGCCTCGAGCTTCATTGGGGATGGCCTTGATGTAGCCCAAATGAGGGCAGCAGCGGGAGTTGACGTCTTCTGGGCGCCCAACTTCAACCCTTCCCAGACTCCAAACAACGGGGCCCTCGACTCGGCATTCAACTGGATGGCATGGCCAAACAACGGGGCCAACAAAGCCCCCCAACCTGGACAGAGTTTTTCCGTGGCTGACGGGGACAACGCCTACAAAGCGTGGTTGGGTTCCAAGCCATATATGGCCCCAATCTCCCCGTGGTTCTCTACCCACTTTGGCCCCGAGGTTAGCTACAGCAAGAACTGGGTGTTCCCAGGAGATCTTCTCTGGTATAACCGGTGGAATGAGATTCTGACGTTGGCTCCCCGCTACGTCGAGATCATCACCTGGAATGACTACGGGGAGTCCCACTACATTGGCCCCCTTGACTCGAAGCATACCGACGATGGAAACTCCAAGTGGGTCAATGACATGCCGCACGAAGGATGGATGGACCTAGCAAAGCCGTTCATTGCAGCCTACAAGGCAGGTGCCAGCAAGCCTGATGCCTACATCAGCGAAGATCAAATCATTTACTGGTACCGACCGACCCTCAAATCCTTGAACTGCGATGCCACCGATACTACCCTGCAGGATGCCAACAACAGCAGCGGGAACTACTTCAAGGGAAGACCAAATGGATACGAGACCATGGAGGATGCCGTGTTTGTCGTCTCTCTCTTGAAGACCGCCGGGCAGATCAAGGTGACGTCTGGCGGTAATTCCGCTGTCACCTACCAAGTCCCCGCAGGTGCTTTTGCACAGAAGATTCCGATGGGCGTTGGGAAGCAAAGGTTCGAGCTCGTCCGTAACGGACAGTCTGTGTGCTAAGCGGCACCTCCCCGAGAGATATCAGCAACACATGCCCTTGTGGTATCTACAACTTCAACGCATTTGTCGGCCAGCTGCCTTTCAAGACATTTGGGTCACTGGATTCGCAAGGTCTGACTTCTCTGACTGTTGGACTCCATGTGAGCACTTGTCAGCCGACTCCTACCTTGATCGGTACTGCGCCCCCATCAAATGATCCCCAGCCTACGAACAATCCGCCTACTTCAAGCACGATCCCGACTCAAACCGTCACCACAGCACCTCCTGCCTCTACCCCAACCAACTGCAACGGCGGCACGGTTGCTGACGGGGAGTCGCCAAACCTTCCGGTCTTTGCGACTTTTCGTGCTCTCAGGGCTACTGCCCACCTGGACCCTGCAAGTGTACTTCGTTCGGTACGCCGGGATGGAGTGTGACACCGACGAAGCCCCCAGGCTGCCCAGCTCCAGGTCTCGATGACGGTTACAAGGGACTTTGCGCCTTTACTTGCGCCAGAGATTATTGCCCTTCAGATGCCTGCTCGCCGAACTGCGGCTAGAGGAAAAGTTTGCTGTTGCAATTTGTTCGAAGTAGCGGACATCCTTTCCTTTTTGTTTTTCTTCGTCAAGATTCAAGTTGAATATTTTCCTGTAACTAACTTTTTGCACAACACGCTCGCTTGGGAGAATAGTTGTACATAGAGGTACCTCGAGCTATAGAAAGGGCGCCCTGCATTTATTATTTTCCAGCTCTTCCTTTCGTTGTCCATTTGTTCAGCCAGTTACCTACTTGTTCGTGATGTCCTTATAGTCGATACCAAGTTTCTCACATATGTCAACACCCAAGTTGAAGAGCCTATTCCGGTATCTCAAAGAGACGTCCACCATCGGTCAATATATTGCCATTTTATCGAGACCATGGCCCAACAAAGCTCACACGTGGAAACGCGTATGCTTGACTCAGGCTGGCACCTGAGACAGTATGTCAAGCATCACCAAGACGAACATCCATGGCTTCCAGTCGAAAAGATCCCAAGCGAAGTCCATTTGGAGCTCATGCGACACGGCAAGATCCCGGACCCCTTTGTTGTTGAGGGGTCCTTGGGGAGCGATGAGCTCGAGCCATTTGTCATTCACGCTGTCTTGTTCGTGTGTAACAAGCAGGTCTCGTACGACATATCTTGGCCTGAACCGATCAAGTACCTTGACTTCACTGATCGTGGTGTTGAGGTCAGAGATGTTGGCGGTTCTATGGTAGAGATCTCAGCACAGAAGCCGGTCAAGGGCTTTGTGTTTGCGGAGAGACAGGGTATGAAGCTCAGCGACAACGGGTTGGATTTGGTCCCCGGGAAAGAGCCTAGACGAGTGCATATCGAAGTCAGTGACGAGAACCTGAAAGTAGACGAGTTGGCCTGGACATTTGTTGGCCGATAGGATGTTTCATATGAGAATGGCTGGCTTACAATCATCATATGCTGTGCTATAACAAGGATCACGAACACGATTACTTCTGTACGGCGCTACTGATATAGCCATGGCTTTGAAGAGTATTTTGATGATTCTTATACGTCCCTTCCTCATGCCGAGATGAGTAGTCTGGGTTGAGATTCAGACTAAGAGTGTCCGTGGATAGCCTTGGGCTTATACAGCTCCTCCAAATACTTCTCTTCCTCCTCCGTCAAAACCTTGCCTCTAGCGGAAATTGCTTCTTCCAGACGTTCAACGCTGCTAAAACCAATGATTGGACTGGTGACGCGCTTAGCAATCCAGGCCAAGGCTACGTGGGAGATCTATAAGTACGATTAGCAACCTCTTCAGATAGGGATGTCGATGGGTTCTCTTGTCTGTAAAACTTACCGGCCACTCATGCTTATCCGCAATCTCAACCACGCGGTTGATAATTATTAGATCGGGCTCAACAGTGCCATGCGATCCAGACTGGGCCTCCTTCTCTCCTTGACTCCTCTTGGTGCTGCCAAACTGGTCGGGCCTGCGGGCCAAGTGGCCACGGCACAAAGGAGCCCATGGGATCAAGCCAACACCAGTGTCGTTGCAGAATCGGATCATCTCGCGCTCCTCCTCACGGTAGAGCAAGTTGTATTGATTCTGCATGCTGATAAACTTGGTCCAGCCGTTCTTCTCGGCGCAGAACTGCATCTGGGCAAATTGGGTGGCCCACATGCTGCTTGCACCAATGTAACGCACCCTACCGGACTGCACAAGGTCGTACAAAGCTTTCATGGTCTCTTCGATGGGAGTGTTTGGATCGAAGCGATGGATCTGCAGCAAGTCGATGTAGGGTGTCCCCAGGCGCCGGAGAGAGGCCTCCACGGCGTTGAAAATGGCGGCCCGCGACAGGCCGTGTTGGTTCACGTAGTCCTTGGAGGCGGCAATCTGGGAAGGGAAGAAGACGGAACGGAGATCGGGAGTCTCTCCGACAGCACCCCAACACTTGGTCAGGATGACCACCTTTTCGCGCGGAATGTCGTATTTCTAGAGGGCCTTTCTGACAATGATCTCGGATGCGCCATTGGAGTATACATTGGCCGTATCCCATGTGTTCAGGCCACGGTCATAGGCGGCTTTGAGTAGGGGGAGTGCCTCATCCTCCTCGATGGCCCAGTCCAGCGTCCGCCGATCACCGAAGCTCATGCAGCCAAAGATGGGCACAGAAACGCGGAGACCGCTCTTGCCCAGCCGGCGGTATTCACATTTGGAGTTCTCGACAGACTCCTTGAGGCTGGCTGGAAGTTCAGGCATCTTGTGAGTTGTGACTTGTGGGTGTGTGTTGTAGGCTGTTAGACGTCAAGGGACACTCGGAGGCGATGGGTGGAACAGTAAAGTGAGGTGGTGTCAAGGAATGGGATGAGGATGAAGATGAAGCTGGAGATCATGGTGGCATTATAAAGAAGGCATCATTGACTACAGATGGGACTTACACGAGCCCCAAGTAGTCAAGACCACCGGAGAAAGTGCAAGGCAGGTTACATCCACCATGGGGGACAGCGTCACTACCTACCGTATAATCTCGGGAAATCCGGATTTGGAGATTGGAGAAAATTCCCTTTTATGGCCACATACAGCGCCCAGTACTGCAGTGTGCAAGTCCGAGCCTATACATTAAGACGCACGCAAGATAGTAGTAGGCAATATTATAGAGGTTTTTACTAACTGGGCGGGCATAAATGCAGGTGTATGCCGCACACGGCACTCTGTTGCTAGGCATATATATGTCTGGCCAAATAAGGGAATTTTCTCCAATCTCCAAATCCGGATTTCCCGAGATTATACGGTATTCTGGGTTGGATGGAAGCAGCACCTACCCCGCACCCAAGGCGAGAATGGAGTCGTGATGCCGGTTTGGCGATACAAATTTCCTCGCAAGTTCCATGTTAACTCCATGATCGTACCAGAGTGTGACGGTCGGAGGTACTACGGCGGTGTTGTCAAAGGCTCAGAGCAGTGAAGACGACCGCGTTCCTAAAGTCCGGCTGAGCATGATGAGCTAGAGGCTAGCTGATTTGTGATCGAGGTCGGAATCATGTTAAAGATCAAGGAAGGAGAGGCTCCGGACGACCAAAAAGGGAAAACCAAATCGAACCAAGGAAGAAACCTGACAGTGCAGAGTAAAAAAAGATCAAAATAATGGGCAAATAAAAGCTAAGCCCGACGTGGGAATCGAACCCACAGCCTCAAGATTAGAAGTCTTGCGCGCTACCGATTGCGCCAGCCGGGCAGGCAATTTTACAGTAGATTGTACGTTTGAAGCCTTACATAGAGACAACCAATTACATCCTTGAATTAGATGGAAGCAACCACACACCGCCTTGGAGGGATGAAAGGCAAGCTCGGCAAGCTTTCCCCAATGCCAAGCCCCTTTCTGCCATCCAAAAGGCCCAAGCTCCGTCCCTCCTTTCGAGTTGACATCATCGTCTCCCCACCAGCCTTGGGAACCCGTCGACCATATTCGACATTGCGAACACATTCAACCACTTTTCCACGACTTACGAAAGCTACAAACATCGCAAAGCACGACACCTTAATCAACAAAACACGAATTCCATCCTCGATCGATCGCAACTGCAACACCCATGTCCCGAGACAACAGCGGCGACTGGGCGTCGCAGGCCCAGGTTGAGCCCCATCAGCTCGAGGGCGGCCATGCAGTGCCCTACTGGGACAAGAGCTGGTGGGAAGAGTACCGCCGAGCCAGGAGCATCAGAGAAAGAAACGAGATCATCACCAAGCTCGTCGACCAGATGCCCGTCAAGTGGGACACGCTTCCGCAGCTGCCCTTCTGGGCCCCTTTGTTCAACGTCACCCAAGGCCAGTACAAGGTGGACGTGGGCCAGAGGCTCATGGCCACGTCCTTCCTATTGGGCCACCAGCAGCTGGACCGGGAGGATATCGACCTTGTCGCCTACGCCGCCGCCAAGCGCTCTGTCACCAATGCGTACGCCCGACCCGCCATAGCCCTCGGCGCGGGTGTCTGCTGGGCTGTTGGATACAACAAGTACAACTTCCCTTTCTGGAAGCCAAAACCGGCATCCTTCAACCCCGAAATCTTCCCGAGTAAGAGATTCACCCTCGCCACCGGACCCCGGGCTACTTTGGCCTGGCAAGGCGCCCGCATTGCCGCCTGGTATGTCACCTGGAGAATTTTCGGTGGCTGGATCGCGGATGCGTATGCCGAGACCGTCTTCTCAGCGACATTGATGCGGAACAAGGCATTCAAACAGAAGATGGTCGAGGCGGGACAAGCGATGAAGGCGAAGGGCATTCCTCACGAGAGGCCCGAACTGAGGGACGCTTATTCAGTTGAGCACGCGCCGGACGATGGCCACCAGGAAGATCAACAACAACTACCACAGCAGGCGCAAACACCATACTACCAGCGAATTCAGCAGCACCAACAGGAGCAGAAACAACAACACCAGGTGCAACAGCAGCAGCAGCAGCAGACACAACAATCCACTTATAACCATGACGACGACGATTACCTCTACGATGACGCCTCCCCCGTAGCGCCAACCGCCAGAGGAACGGGTACCATCAGCTCGCCCGTCAGCCAGACCTCCGGCTCCGCATGGGATAGACTTCGACAGCAAGCAAAGGGGGGCCCCGCGCAAGCACCTGGAAGCACGACTGCAACCACACCTGCCACCTACGTCAAGCCTTCCCAGTCCCCTTCGTGGGCGGAGCGCCGTGCGGCTGCCGCAGGCCGCGGCGAGGGACTCTCGTATTCCTACTCGGAGACCGACCAGGAGAGGGCTCTGGCCAAGGAGCAGGCGCAAAGGGAGTTTGATGCCATGTTGGAGAGGGAGAGGAGGGGCGATGGCAGCAGCCGCGGACGTGGGTTCTAGAGAAGTGAGTGAGCGAGTGAGTGAATGGTGAATATGTAAGAGCGGCTAAATGTGTACATATAATATCCTGATTGGTACATGGGGATGTTTGCCTTCTCGCATGCTTTAAGCCTGCTTGCTTACCTGAGCCAGGGGAGTTTTGGTGTTTTGATGGCTTTCGCATCGTCAGGAGCCTGGCTTAACACATTGTCTTATTTAAGCCTGAACACTAAATTTAAACTGCAACGGTTTTCCTTCCGAGACCGACCTCTTTAAACTGTAAAAGATCCTTTTCAAGGTTCCGACTCAACATCCGGCGGAAACGTCCCAAACAGCGCCATAAGGTGCTCTATCTCCTCCTTGCTAAGCATCTTACCCTCCTTTCCAGCCTTGGACAGCATTCGAAAGTCTGTTATCCAAGAAGAGTCTTCGTTAGCGGCCAAGAACACTTGAACAGAAACCACCAAACCAAGAGTAGATAGAGACAAGGGATTGAAAGTCAGAAAAAAAGGCCTACAATCAACGTAGTGGCCCGGCGTGGCAGTCATATACACCTCGCAGGCTTCCGTCTCTGACGCATTCTTGAACGTGTGGATGGCTCCCGGCGGAACCGTCATGAGGTCTCCGGCCGAGGCGTCGACTTCGGCGTCGGGTGTTACGAAGCGGCATGTCCCTTTTGGAAGAAGAAGTTAGTCAGACGGTGTTAGAGATTCTAGGTTTACCAGACAAGTTAGTTTGTTCGAATGAGTCGTTTATACCCTCATGATCTTCCTTCCATCTCTTCCTGTCCCATCCCATCTCATTTCATCTCAACAATACTTTCCTTTCCAACTACTCGCTCAATGCCCCCCTTCCAACCCTTCCCCGTTCCTACACCATTGGGGTAAAACGAGGCAAAGAGTTCAAATTAATCACCCACCCTTAACAACAAAAAACAGCTCATCATGGAACCGATGCCAATGCATGGGCGGGCCCGAAACCCCCGCCGGGAGCTCCAGCAGAATGGCGCCGACGCGGTCGCCGGTGCGGGATCCGTCCTCGTAGACGCGGATGGTCATGGGTCCGACCTTGAGCACCTCGGCGGCCTGTCGGGTGGCCAGGTTGACGGGGACGGGGCCGCGGACTGGCATTTTGTCTGTTCTCTTTGTTTGTCTGTTTCTTTTGGGGATGATAAGAGTTTTGTGTAAATGTGAATTGAGGATAAAGTAGTCAATCGGATTGAAGGTTGAAGGAGAATGTGGCAAGAGCGGGAGTATATGGATATATCATATGTTAGTAAGCGTGGGTAAGCGACTCCATCACTTAGTCTAGTCTCCAATTCCCGCCCGCCTCTACGCTTTATCTCACGGCACGTGTCTAGCATGCAGCCACAAATTGTCTGAGGATATCAAAAGACCCCGTCTGTTCACGGTGTCTATTAATGTAGACCAGATGAGTCGCTGGACGCAATCAGTTTACGCAAATCGACTACTATCAATGTTATCGTGCCTTTAGCTGCCAGCTCTCACCCTGAATGATCCAAAGAACTCCTTTCCTTAACGCCTCGCTTTGGCAGGCCCACTGCCCATCAGTTTTTCTAAATGTTTATACTTTCATCACCAAGTCATTTCTTCATATCCCCATTTCCATGGTTCTTCATGCATCCGTCGCTAATAATAACCGCATTCGGCCTGTCTCGCCATAGCCGTCGGCCGCCCATCCCATCCCCCACGCCAGCCAGCCCATTGCCCATCACACCTTATAACCATTATGCGGCGGGTAGGCCATATCCACCACATCGGTTGGCGAATGTGACGCCTGCTTGGCCACATACAACGAATTTGCCCTCACTCTCCTGACGGTAAACGAACCAGCCGTAGGACTCTTGGTCAAAGTTGGGCTGTTCGACCTTGTCCGCTGTAGCGGTAGCTGTCTGCCATTGGCGGCCACCCCCACCATGGTCGGCGCCCGTGTTGGCGGACGCGACCTGCCTGTCAGCATCTGTTCCTCGCAGTTTTCGCAGCGACCGGGGCTTTCGTAGATATCGTAGAGATGCCGGAACAAGGGGTAGAGGTCCCTGGCGTAGGGACGCATGTGGTAGTCGTGATCCATCATTCTTCTGATGTGTCTGAGGACCTTGATGACGCCGCTTAGGGATGCCTCTTTCTCCCTTTGCCGAGCTTTCTCCCTCTCTTTGAAGGATTGTGATTTTGGCATGGACGGCGGGTAATTTGTTGATGGTGTAGGTTTGTCCGACGATGGAGATGGAAGCGCATCAAGTTGGTCTTCTGCCATCTGTTCGAGATGATTGATATATTCCTGTAAGTTGTCTAACGCATCGGTGTACTTGGACTCGCCAACTTGGTTGGCGTTGCCTGCCATACGCTCAAGCTGCTCCTCTGCATAGGATGGAGGCTTCCCGAGTAGTACGGTCACCATCTCCAGGAAGACACAACCCAGCGAGAAGACATCAGACCTCTCATCGCGCTGCGTCTCCTGCATTGCTTCTGGGTCGGCATACTTGAGCGTCTTGGCGGTAGGTCCTTGAGAGTGCTGGCCTGTTTCAAAGTGCTTGGAAAGGCCAAAGTCAGTGAGCAGAGGAAAGCCAAAATCGTCTATGACAACGTTCTCGGGTTTGATGTCCTTGTGCCGTATCTGCACTGTTGACTTGTGCAGATAGCTGACAGCTTGGGCCAAGCAACCGAAATACGAATGGAGATATTGTACCATCCAGTTCTCCTCTTCAGCAGTTCGTGGTGAGTGGGCAGCAGCGGACGCAATATCGAGCATAAAAGTTCGTAGATTGCATTGGGCCGGAGGGTACATGGCGATACCAAGTATGTGACGCTTGATCTGTTGATCGACCCTCCTGAAGACGGCGCGAGCACCGGTGCCGGCAACACGGCGCTGGCGAACCTGGCGGTTGGAGATGCAATAGTCCTCAAACGAAGCTACGTAGACGACGATGTGAGGATGGCGCACCGCCACCATGTTCTGCACCTCTTGCAAGGCCAGCTTGCGCACATTGCTGTCAGGGCCAGGCGGGCGTGTGTTTTCCTTGCAAACAATAACTTTGAGGGCCAGGGGTCGTCTGTAGGCTTGACCGTCCGGAGGGCTGACCTTGTAGACGATGGTCGAGCCGGAATCGCCCAACTCGGGACTTATCTGGACGAAAGGTTGAGGAGGCTTGAGATACTCTTTGTTGGCGTGGTTAAAGACCTTGTGCTTCCGGGGACTGAGCCCAGCGTCCTGGACCGGACGGAGCCAGGCCTCGGACTCTTCCCTGCCATGGTCATCCCATTCGAAATGATCATGGTCGTGCGTGGATATGTAGTCCAACATGTGGAGCATGGCCTGGGAGGCTTGGCTCCCGGCCGAATCGGTGGACATTTGGGTCCCGGCTTCCCACGTGCTAGGCCGGGCTGCTCAATGCTTGGGGGTAGAAAGATAAAGGTACCCTCCCGTAAGCGGCGGGAAGCGATTGACGGGAAGACAAAAAGGGGGGTGGGTTGGAGGGTGGGTTGCGGGCTTGGGGGTGATGCAAGGGCCAAGCAACCCAGCCAGCAGAGGCTCCAGGTACCTTTGGACCGAGATGAGGCTAGATCGCGATAGTGGTGACAGGCTGGCACTGGCTCCAAACATCCACAGTTTCTCGTGTTTTCTAAGGTCGCCTAAGAAATGGAATTATGTCGCGAAAGTTCCTTGTTTCGCTGGTCGATTGTTGAAGCGGGGAATGCCCCAGCAAGGCGCCCAGAACAGACACCGAATGAGCAGGCGGTGGAAGCCATGTCTCGAAACGGGGCTGTGATAGGATCGCTCCTTTGGTTAGCAGGTATCCGGTTTCAAGCCCAAATGTGTACGGTGAATGCAGCGACTGGCCCGCGGTGAGGAGAACCCCAAAGGCCCAAAGAAACAAGACGACAGGCCAGGCCTCGAAGATTCCTGGCGCCATTCGCCAATCCCAAGACTTTTTTCTACTTCGATGCCAGGTCGGAGCGCCTCATCGCAGCGTTCTTGGCCCAGCATGAAGGTAGTCGTGTAGGCTGTGCAAAAGACAGCGGAACATTGGTCCTTTCTGCGGCGCAACAGAGCGACGGGTCAATCCAACTCTGGGGGCCGACAAAAATTGTCAGAGAAGTGAGCCCTCATGTGTGTGGGAAGTGGTGGTGTTGATATTGACCGTCACTTGTTCAGTGCTTCGAGATATCAAGCTTCACCCCGGTGGCGCCTGTCCATCTTCCCCTGTAGCGCATTTTTTTCACAAGCGATGCGCAGCGTCCACAAACATCAATCATAACGGGATATCTTGGATGGTCAAAACCAAGAAGCCGGCGACGGGAGTACCCCGCGCGCGGGATTGCGGGATTGCGGGATGCATCATGCTCCCCATCACCCACGCCCAAGCGCACCCACGGCGCTGTTTGACAGGGCGCATCACTGGGGCCGTGGCTTCAGTGGGGGCCTGGGCATGAAGCCTCCATGTCTTCGCTATTTTGTCGACGGGACGAAGACGGGAGGGCCTTCTGGGACAATCCGGCGGGAACGGGATTGACGGGAATTGCGGGAGCCCCAAGGGGAAACCCCAAAAGGGCGACTTTGGCGAGGCGAGGGCCGACATGGACGAGGTACGTATCTCTCCCGTACACTAGATTGTTGAGCTTCGTCTTCCGCGACCGGACAGTCTTCCTTTCAACGGTGGTACTTCCGTAGGGCAGCAAGACAAGGGGCAAGGCCCGGCGGACCTGAACAACATGCGCGGGAGCAAAGCACGAAGCGGGCGGGGTCAACGTCAATACTCCAGACTAGCCTGAAGCCGTCTTGGCTCATGAAGATCAATTGACATCACAAGACCAGCAAAGCGTCGCACTCTGTATCTTGGCGTTTCTGCGCTGCTTGTCCATGGAAGTGGAATCTCAACACCAAGGTTTTGCTCGTGCTTTCCTGTTGGGCACTCTGAACTATTTACAACTTGCATCGGGGTACCTAATTCGGTGCAACTGTTACTGCTTGGAACTTTTGGACAAATTTCCCATCTTCTCCATATCGTTGGTGATGTGCGTGCATGAAAGAGTGGGAAGCATGGGGAAGGAACGGAAGGTGGGCATCTGCTAGCATCCCGCAGTCGGAGCCTGACCATGACCATGACTGCAGTCTCACTCCTGCGATGCGGACGGAATTTCTTGGTCAATGTCTCGGTTTCTTTTCATTCCCCTCTTCCCGAGCTGCAGGCACCGAACACGCTGTCTTCTCGAATGCTCACCGAATTCTGTCAAATCCGTCAATTCCCGTGACCAAAACAAAATTTCGTCATTTAAACGGATCGACAAATACGACAAATGCGATCCTTTCGTTATTCTAAACCAAAGTGTTGGGCCGAGGTCGCCAGCTGGTCGCGTAGTCTCTTGAATCGACGATGCCCCTTTCGGCACTTCCCAATTAGGAAGTCCGGCCAACTGGCGATAGTACAATGAATCATGGACTCTCACACATGGACCTTTTGCATTCTTGACCGAAAGTTGGGCGCCCGCACTCCCAACAGGAGCAGCACTGCGCTTTGAACTCGCCCGGCTAGCTCAATCGGTAGAGCGTGAGACTCTTAATCTCAAGGTTGTGGGTTCGACCCCCACGTCGGGCTCAATTCCCGACGGCGAGTGAACAGTCTTCTTTTTGGCGTTTTGCTCCAGTTTTCTAACGTCAGCCGTAGTTTTTGACGTCAAAAAAGAACACCGTGACCGGGCAATCATGGACGTTTTTGACCGTCAGCCTTCTGTATGGCCACACAATGTGTGGCTTGTTTTCGCCTTCATCAAGGTGGTGGTTGAGCATCTTGGCAGTCCACATTTCTTATCTCATAGCTGAGGTGCGATAAGCCAACGAGAGGCCCTTATTCAAGCGATCATCGGCCGACTGTCGTAACCGCCGAGGCATTGAGAGGCAAGGGGCATCATAGCAACGACAAGTGACAACACCAACAAACAACAGCAACAAGTCAGCACAGTGTAGGGGCGGCTTCTCGAATCTTGATACGCTTTCCTGTTCCCGTCGATGCCGTTCCCGTCCCCAGGTCTCCCCTCGGTCTCCTCTGAATCGCATTGGGGAATCATCGCATTGGGAAATCCGGTCGTTGCCCCTGGACGGGACTTGCCAGACTCCAGTTCTCCGTCAAAGTTGTTGGCGGGGGGTCGCATTGTCAGAAGCAGGGGCGGAGACGATGAAAGACAGGACAGGTCACCGGGTCATTCAGGTTTGATGAGCCTAAAATAACGTTATCAGTTCTGCAGCATTTTCGATGTGCTGGGAGGTGCTTGGAGGTGCATGGTCGAGGCTCCTGGCTAGTGCATCGCGGTGGTGCCGGCGCATCGCAATGGAGGCCGGAACAAAAGAGCGTTCTGGACTTTGTGTTCAATGTTCGAGGCTCCTTGTCGGCGCAAATCTTGTCCGCGTTGGTGGTTGTAAAAGGGAAAAAAGTGACATCGACTCCGCATTTTCGGGGCAATTCTCCCCCTGCGACCGCCCATCCGCATTCGCGACCTCCTGGACATGTTCCATGCAGCAGGTACATTCTCCCAGCACAGCGCGGTTGCACTGCAGGATGCGACGTTAGCGAGGCGTGGAGGTGCTGAGGGGAAAAAGGTACATTCTAGCGCGTACCGGAAAGGGGAAAAAGGACTCTTTTGATTGGGCACCAAGTGGATCCCCGCAGAAATGTTCCACCACTGGCCGGCAAACGCAACAATTTACGTGCCGATCATTTTTTTTTCTCCAGAGAAGCAGACGGAAAAAATCAGCTGGGCAAGTTGACAAGATTACTGCCGAGAAAATCGATTGCGCATTGTCCCTGCCACACCAGCTCACCCTGCACGCGCACGCACAACACGAGCCAGGCCTGGGACGGTTCGGAAGTCTGGGACAGGAAAGAGTCCAATTCGTTGCAGATTGCAGCTGGTCACAAGAGTCCAGCCCAGATTGCGCCCAGCCAGGGGAACGAGACTAGCATAGCTTGCATAGCCAGCAGCAGAAGCAGAACGACGAGAATAAATAAGGTAAACATGTCGCCCTCCATGTGGACGATGAGGTGGTCGCACCAGGTCATCAATGTACACCATCAACAGTCTTGTTCGACCATCAGCCGTGTAAACAACACCCTCAAGTCAATCATCCGAAGACCAAGAGGCCCGTGCACCACTCTCAGCATTTCCCACGAGTTATCAGCACCACCGATAACGTCAAGCTAGGGCCAGGCCTTTTATGACGTAGCCGCGGCAGCTCGTCCACAGCGTCCATCACAAGAGCAAGAGCGACCACACCAGCGTCTCCTCCTCCGCACTCGACCATTGGCCCGTCAATCTTGGGGACGTCAATCCAGGGTCCTTCTCCAGCCGACGATCAGTCTTGCCAGATCTCGATCACCCTCTCCAGAACCATCATCCTGTGTCATAGGCATCCAGCCCGTCAGACCTGCCTCATCCGCAACCCGTCTCAATACTACAAGTAGCCGGCCGCATTCGGCCTTTTCAGCCATCCGAAACAGCATTCACAACCATCAGCCTCTTCAGCTTCTTTCTTCATCTCCATCTCCCTTCCTCTATACCAAGAAGGCATACCACACCACCACCAACACCAGCCACCCCAGTTTCAGTCACTCAAGTCACACAAGTCACACAACCACAAAGACAGACACAGACACCCCGCACGAGTCACAACCTGCTACCCCGCCTTATCCCGGCCCTACAAAAAGAACTTCAGACACCATGAAGTTGCTCAACCTCAACGACGGCGTCGAGGCCGGCGTCATTTGCGTAGAACCCACCCTCACAAACGATGGCATGGACGCCCGCAACCTAACAAAGGCCCACAAGGGCCCCATTGTCACCCACCTAGAGCACCTCCCCCGCGGCATCCACGAGACGTCTGAGGAGAGGAAAAACCACTGGTTCGTCGGCTCCATCGACCAAGGCACCACCTCTTCCCGCTTCCTTATCTTCAACGGCGAGGGCGACCCCGTTGCCAGCCACCAGATTGAGTTTGAGAACCTCTACCCCAAGTCAGGATGGCACGAGCACGATCCCATGACCCTGCTCAACTCGGTCGAGGAGTGCATTGAGGGTGCTATGCGTAAGTTCCAACGACTAGGCTTCTCCAAGAACGACATCCGCTCCATCGGCATTACCAACCAGCGCGAGACCACCCTTGTTTGGGACCACGAAACCGGCGAGCCTCTCTATAACGCCGTCGTCTGGGCCGATACTCGCACCAAGTCCATTGTCCGCGACCTCAAGGCCAAGGATGGCGCCGATGCCATCAAGGACCTTAGCGGTCTTCCCCTCTCCACCTACCCCAGCAGCGTCAAGCTTCTTTGGCTCATTGAGAACGTCGAGGCCGTCAAGCAGGCCTACGAAGAAGGCCGCCTCGCCTTCGGCACTGTCGACACTTGGCTCATCTACAAGCTCAATGGCGGCGCCCAGGCTGAGAGCCCCGTCCACGTAACAGACAGCACCAACGCCAGCAGAACCATGTTCATGAACATCCGCACTTTGCAGTATGACGACAAGCTACTAGGATTCTTCGGCATTGACCGAACTAAGGTGCATTTGCCCAAGATCGTCCCTTCGTCGGACCCTGAATGCTTCGGTCGCATTGCCAGTGGTGCGCTGTCGGGTGTGCCGATCGCTGGCTGCTTGGGCGATCAATCCAGCGCCCTGGTAGGCCAGTGCGGCTTCAACCCCGGCCAAGCCAAGAACACTTATGGCACTGGTTGCTTCCTTCTCTACAACGTCGGCACCGAGCCCGTCATCTCCCAGTACGGTCTTCTGTCCACTGTCGCCTACGACTTTGGCCAGGGCCGCCCGCCCGTCTACGCCCTTGAGGGCAGCATTGCCGTCGCCGGTGCCGGCGTCACCTTCCTCCAGAACAACCTCAACTTCATTGAGAACGCCAAGCAAATCAACGACCTCGCCGAGTCGGTGCCCGATAACGGAGGTGTTGTGTTCGTCACCGCCTTCAGCGGCCTGTTCGCCCCTTACTGGATCGATGATGCAAAGGGAACTTTGTGTAAGTGATCGCCATTACCCACTCTTTCCACACAGCTTCTCCCGACCCACCTTGGAGCATCATCCAAGCGTCACATTCATCCTACCTCGTTCCACAACAAGATCAGAAGCTAACCTGTCAATAGTCGGAATTACCCAACACACCCAAAAGGGACACATTGCTCGTGCCACTCTCGAGGCTACCTGCTTCCAGACCAAGGCCATCCTTGATGCCATGGAGAAGGACTCGGGCTGCAAGCTCAAGCTTCTCGCTGTCGATGGCGGTCTCTCCAACTCGGACCTGACCATGCAGACCCAGGCTGACATTAGCGGCATTCCCGTTGATCGCCCGGCCATGTGCGAAACCACCGCTCTCGGCGCTGCCATTGCTGCCGGCCTCGCTACCGGTGTCTGGAGCGATACCGCAGAGCTCCAGGAAGTCAACCGGAACGGCCGGAAGGTCTTCGAGCCCAAGATCTCTCGCAAGTGTGCCGATAAGAGGTTCAAGAAGTGGAACCAGGCTGTCCAGATGAGCCGCGGCTGGCTACAAGACAACGACAACGAAGACGACGAGTGCGACGAGGAGGAGAAGAAGGCCTAAACTGGTCAACTTCTCGCTTCTTTACCCTTTTTACACACCTTTCTTTTTCATGTCTATCATCACATGATGGCCTTGTACAACATCTTCATTTTTGAATACTGCATTGGGATTTTGCGACGGCGCTTGGGATGAGCATTTTGGATATTTTTTTCTTTCTTTCTTCTTGTATAACCTATCATGATTGTGCTTTTTGCGAGGAGTTCTGGGCGAAAAAGGGGCAAATGAGCAAAGCAACACACGCATGAATAAGCGTGAATGGGAATGCCGGCGGGAATATTTGGCTTGATCTAATACTTTACGAGGATACCCTCACTTATTTCTTGAAACATCAGCATTTTGATGATTATCAAGCAATATCATAACATATATTTTGAAAACTATTTGTTCCTTCGCAGCCTGTGATCATGATACTACGCCTCTAATATCTTGCTTCAAGTTCGTGATTTAGTTCCCCGATTACCACAACATCCATGATTAGTGGTATGTTTATGTTGGCTTCAGAACCCCATTGCGGACAAAATCTGTCTCGCTGGTACCGCAATAACACATGGTCAGACCGAGACCTTTAACCCTGCCTATTCCTGGCATTCCAAAATCTCAATTTGGAGAGTTATTGCGGTATTCCGTCAACTCATCACCTGCCGTCCCTTTCCCTCACGTAACAGATACACACAGCCGGGTAACCCCGACTTACAGAACCTTAGTTCCAGTCCCTTCACATGTCCTGTTATTGCTCTGGTTGCTACATCCTCGGGCTCGGAGTGGGTATTTGTTGACTGATGGATGCTCCGGGAACATCGTGCCATTTTCACTTCCCGTCCTTCCCGAGTGAGTCCCGGCAGTTGGAGTAGGTACGTACGTACATATGCAGAGAGAGAAGTACTGCCGTCATGTCTTCTGCGCATACCTACACATGCATACCTAGGCATACATACATGGCTTGGACTGATCAAGTAGGTAACTAAGTACGCAGAAGAGATGTTGGAGACTAACTAACATGCATCACTAGGTAGGTAGAGAGAGGTATGTAGAGGCAGGTGTAGATCATGCCAGATGTGCGTATGCCGTTCACGAATGTCAGTCGGTGCTGAATGCTATGTGCTGCTGAAGTAAGGTTTGGAGATAGATGTATGTACCCCAGTTTCTGTTGTCTCTTGCCTTAAACTTGCATTGCTTTGTTTTTGTTCCGCTTTGTTTTCGTTAAGAGGTGATAGATATATGTATAGTCACACCATGTTTGTTCTTTGACGAAGTGAACCTCCGCAAGACAAGACCATTTCTCCACGTCCCACATTAGTATGGAAGTAAGAGGATGTAGATAGATATACACATACAGTTGACACTCAGTCAGAGAGTATTCAATTCTCTAATAAACAGACCTCTTGACGTTTTCACAGATTATCCTGTCAGTCTACATCTGTAGGTGATTATGGAATTTGTTTCTACCTATCCTCCACCCTGGAAGGTTCGACCGAGTATGTAACAACGTGACAGGAAAGAGAATATCAATCCGGACGATTTGGCAAGAGAAAAGGACATTCATGATGGATGGATGGATGGATGTCTCTTACAAAACATACATGTCAAAACGCCGTGAGGACCACGTTTTGGACGTAGAGTCAGTCAGTCAGGCGGTCATCCATCTCAAGGTGGTAGTCCACACACTCTGTGTTCGGTTTACTTCTCAACGGACGACGTGTACGCATAGAGGTATATACTAGTTGAACCCTTGCTGGGCACCCTTCAGTCTTTACGGATACCTACCCGAATAATCGTGATCTACTATCGATATTTGTTCAGGCTTTGCCTCTTCTTCAGGCCACAGGTCGGATTGACAGGCGCGCAATCCACCATAACTGCGGCACATCAATCAATTCACTCTATCTTCACTTCAAGCCTTCTTCTCGCTCATTCATCATGTCACATGTATATCAAGAACCATCACGACAACTCCCTCACGAACAAGAAAGAGGGTGAAGGGGTTGCAGAAAACAGTTAGATGCTCAGTTGATTGCAGGACGGGAGAGCTAGCTAGCTCCGGTCTGCAGTTGGAGAAGTGTAAGGCGAGGTCATGTACAGTCAGATCGATGTAATGTCAAGGGAGTGCAAGGCAAACGCAGTGTAAGGCAAGGCAAGGCAAGGTAAAGCCGACGGGATGTAGAGAGTCAACGAGATGCAGAGTCAAGGCAATGTAAGGCTGGTCTTGTCAAAGTACATGTACCTGAAGTAATCTAGGCGAGGCGATGCAATGTGAGGCAAGGCAAGGCAAGGCAGATATAGTACGGTACGATACAGAGGCAGGTATACGACCGACTGCAGCTTACATGTGCTTCCATGTGACCGAGGCATCGTTGGAGACGATCATGTTAAGCCCGGAAAGTCGCTGGATGAGAACTCCAGTAAATTTCTGACCGAAGCGAAGGGAAATATGATAACGATGATTCGACAATGCTTCAAGTTCTTTCCCTCTTGACATGCCCTTCTTCCTTCACTCCCTCGTAGCATGTTGGTCTCGCCGGAGAGCCAACTGATCTGGAAGACCTCCTCTTACACATTCCTTCAACTGTCGTCAACATATTACTGCCGGTACATACGACAACATCCCAGCACAACCATACCGAGCATCACCATATTGCCACCATGGCACTTGGAGTCGAGAGAGAGCAGGATTGTTCAATTGCGAGTCAATTGCATGGTAATATCTGACCACCCCCATAACCTTTTTCATGCTGTGGCATAACAAAACCTTCCAACAAGCGTTGCTAAAGTCCAGACTCCTTTTTGCCCTCCCATGCGTTTTTCAAGACCCCCCAAAAATGCATCGTCCTTTCCCTTCCCAAGGACAACAAATGACAGACAGCTTCTTATACTATACAACCGCCCGCCCAAGAAACATCATTACAGTATAGCGTGCATCTGATCCGTCTCTTGAAAACCATCTTCGGGAGTCATCCGCCATGAGAGTCGTTCCGCGCAGGGCGCCGTTTGTTGCGGACGATGAAATGAAACGCGTTAAACCGAGAAGAATATCAAGATCGAGGATGGGAGAAAGCCGGGGGGCTGGACGGCCGTGGTTATTCGTCGTACAGCAACGGCATGGACGATATAGGCCGAATCACAAGAGAGGAGTAAGGTAGGTAAAGAAGTCGTAGAGGTGGAAAAAGTACGGCGGTGTTGAGAAAAGATCTAAAAAGGTGGTATATTTTCGAAGAAATTAAGATGAATGATTATGGTAGCTCGTCTCGTCATCGTTACGGTCGCGGAAAGTCAGGACTAGATGGCTTCGTTTACATGATAATGGCCGGTACGTCGACGTTGGCCTTGATGGTTTTGTGTGGCAGAATGCTGCCGCCGTTAACGTAAATCTCGTCGCCAATGGTGACATCGTCACCGAGGACTGTCACGTTCTCGAGACGGGCCCACTTGCCAACCGTGCTGTTCCAGCCAACAATGGTGCTCTTGACCCAAGCGTGGTCCTTAACCTTGGATCCTTCGAGCAACACACAGCGCTGCAGACGGACACCGTCGCCAACGACAACGTTGGGGCCTATAGTGACGTTGGGTCCGATTCTGCAGTTCTTGCCGATCTTCGCTGAGGGGTCGATAAGAACGTTGCCGCCGTGGACGTAGGGCAGAGTGGTGGGGGCGAGCTCCTTGGAGCCCTTCTTGGTAAGGGAGGAAAGATAGAGGCAGGTACCCGTCAGGAAATCCTTGGGCTGACCGATGTCCATCCAGAAGCCCTCGAGATCGAAAGAGTGTAATTGACCGTCCCTGACCATGGCAGGGAAGGTCTCCTGTTCGATGGAAGTGGGCCGCAGCTCAACGCGGTCAATGACTGCGGGGTTGAAAATGTAGAGGCCGGCGTTGATGCGGTTGCCGACGAACTGCACGGGCTTCTCAACGAAGCGGTCGATGCGGGATGGGTGGTTGGGCTTGTGAACGACGACACCATACTTGGAAGGCTCCTCCACCTTGGTCACCACGATGGTACCCTCGTCTCCGTGGGCCTTGTGGAAGGCGGCGAGCTCCTTGAAGGGATATTCGCAGGTAACGTCGGAGTTGAGGACGAAGAAGGGAGTGTCATCTTTCCTGAGGACGTCCTCGGCCAACTTCAGGGGACCAGCAGTACCCAGGGGCTCGGTTTCGATAGAGATGGTAATGTTGATACCGAACTGCTTCTCGTACTGCATCGGGGGAAGAAGAGAGGGTTAGCAAGGGACCTCTAGTCAGGGGACCTTCGTTTCAGAAGGAGCTTGTCACTAACCTCAGCCAAGTACTTCTCCATAATTTCAGGGCGATAGTTCACGGCGAGAACGATGTCGGTAACACCGGCCGCCGCAAGGGCCTCGATCTGGTGCAGAATCATACGCTTGTTGCCGAACTCGACCAGGGGCTTAGGCATGGTCAAGGTCTATATTGAGAGACGTCGTTAGTCATGACGTCGACTTGCCATGGCGGCTACCAGGCCACAGACAGGCCAGCCACGAGGGCATGGCATGGCCCGGCCCGGGATGGTATGCATGGTATGGTATGGTACGGGGGTCGCTTACGAGAGGGCGAAGGCGAGTGCCAAAGCCGCCGACGAGAATAAGAGCTGTAGCAGGGGGACGCGTCAGTCAGGGTTCCCGCCATTGTAGGGTCCGAGGTGTGGCCAGAGCACCAGCACCGGGAAAGAGGCGGGGAGGGGGAGGGGGGAGAGGAGTCGAGGAGAGCTTACCCTTCATGATTGCTGATGTTGGTGGTGGCTGTGTTGGTAGAAGTGTCGGTCGTAACGGTCGTGATAGACAACGAGCGTATCGAAGAAATGGTTGTTCAACGAGTGTAAGAAGGAAGGAAGAAGCTGGAAAGGTGGCTTGCTACAAGTCGTCGCAAGTTCTTGGGCGTCGTGAAAGGGGGGAAGTGATTACTATGGCCTCTTGTTGGCGGGAATTAACAACAACCTGTCAAGTAAGAACAGGAGGTAGAAGAGAAGATGGAGGTGGAATAGTAATGGTGGTGTGTCCGGAGGACGGAAGTGTGATTTGGAGGTGGGAGAGGTGGGATGATGCGAAGATTAATGTTTGTTGGTTGAGGACACTCTGGATCTTTTTTCGAGTCGAGGGTCCCGGGCGGTCGAGTCTCTTCCACTGGTGCCCGCCCGCTTGTGTGTTGCGTGTGTGCTGGGTGCTGGCTGCTGACTCTGAATGGATGGTCTGAGGCTGCCATCGCACTCAGCTTTCCCCTGGCTGGAACAGGGGGGCAGGTCACACCCGGTCCACTTCAGTTTTGGCTCCCGCACGCAGGCACCTCGCCAAGAAACCCTCTTTAAAGAGTACGTACCTCTGTGCTTCCACGGGCGGTCTCGACGTTTCCGTCACGAATTCCATCCACACTTGGCCATATTCATCCACTGTATCTCACCCATTCCAGACTCAATTCCCCTTCTTGGCCTCTCTCTCTCGTCTCACCACTGCTCTCTGCAACGGCAAGGCTGTCATTGCTGTTTCCATCTCAAGCTGGTTTGGGCATGGCGCAGCAGCTTCCGGTGGATTCCCTGTGATTTCCTGGTCCATGCTAAAACGATCCGCTAGCGGTTCCTGTGGCCCGTGCTCCATCTCCGGTGCTCTCTTCTGCGTCCGCTTTGGTCAAGTTGGGGAAACCTGGAAAGGGGCACGGCCCTGAATGGGGCTCTCCCATTGGCTATCTAGCAGCCAAGAGGGGCAGACCAATCAAGCCATTCAAGCGGGCTCGCCAATCAAACCACATCAATCTCCTTGACGAGATTGGCTTGCGCCGTTGCAGAACACAATCCCCTGAATTTCCATCAATGCTTCTTTTGTTTCGGTGCCCCTTTTTTTAGTGTTTGCCACGGCGCCGCCCGTTCAGGTCAACGTCGACGACATCAGACCTGCCAATTCGATAACCGAATCACGATAATCTGGAGCATGTTTCAGGTTCAGACAATTGGTCTGTGTGATCAACTCGATGCCTTTTTCCATCTCATCGTCGGACATTGACAATTCCTATACTGCCCCTCCGTCTCAAATTGTCATGTGCTCCATCTTCCGCCCGTGGGTCGTGGGTCATGGAGCTTTTTAGCAAGCACACCACGCAACACCACGACCCCACGCAACAAACCTGCTTTTGGGAAACATCGTCAGAGTTGGCCGAGGCAGCATGCGCTGCTCGAGTCAAACAACAAGAAAAAAAACATCGTGAGTCCCGAGCACATGTTTGCGAATGGTGACTCTACGCTCTTCACCGTATTCCCTTCTCCATCGGGTTGTGGGGGAATGTGAGCAGTTTTGAAGAAGCTCCATTTGCAGATCGTCAAAAGGCTTGTCGAGGAAATGAAGGGTGTTTTGTCCACCGCGGTGATCTCGATACCGGGTACACTGAGACCCAGAAATACCCCGAGATGTGGAAATCGGCTTACGTACGCGCAACCTACTGTGTAGTTATACATGGTAGTAGTGTATACCACTCACATTCACTCCTTCAATAGCCTGAACAACTTTCAAGATTACCTTTACCCAGAGCAGAGGTATACACATCCATCCATAGGTAAGCTCGTATGTCATAACGTGAGAAGTGAGACCACAGTCACCACACTGAAGTATCCTCCTTTTATAAATCTCGTATAACAACCGCCACCAGTTACCACACCAAAGCAGGTACGAGAGATCGCATCGACTACCGACCGTACTTAACCCCCACGAACGAACACCCCATTCGGAAGTGGCAGAAGTCATGTGCTCCGTCGCGAGTTGCACTCTACTCTCAAGATATATCATGAAATCGTGCATAGTCCACAACCACAAACCACAACCGCCACAAACAAGGATATCCATCACCCATTGATATCCCTTCTGACCTCTAATGAAACAAGCACCGCCACGTTTTGCGTTTTGCAGTGGTTCTTCCTTTCAAACATCCCGAGCCCAAGCTTGGTCTGAGCAATTCGAATATCGTCTATCAGTGTCTGCTAGGTACGCTGATGTGGGAGCCGCCAATCTCCGGTGACAAGGCAAGGCAGGGTCGGTTTGGTAGACCTGACGAGTATGTATACCACTATGTAATACTAGAACCGCCCGAGTGAATGATAATCACCGGCGCGCCGGCGGCGCCACAAAGCCGCAATAATGATTGCGATCACCAGAACTTCAACCTCTTTTTTCCCCTCTTCTCCATCAGTCAGTCCATAGCACCCTCACTCATTGTTCGTCAATAACCCCGAGACCTCCAGGTGGAAGTTCCATCTCCGACCTGAACCCTTGGATTTAACTGACCCCTGACGTCCCAATCCAATCCCCGAGGTCGAAAACCTACCCTTACCCTGGATGAACGAACCCTGGTTCACCTGGGAGCTGGGCAAGTGCCAACCATATATTGTATCCGTATCTTCCCTCCCATGCGGCATGTCCGCTTGTTAGTTCCTTCCTTTGTCCCTCCCTGCTCTTCTCTTGTTCTTTCGGTCTTCTCCTCCTTAACACACCACCCCGTTTACCTCTTTTGGGGACCTTACCCCTGGGCAGTTCCAATTCAGCCCTCCATCACATCCACGTGGTGGACGACCGGTCGGACGGCAAGGCCGCAGGACGCGGGCTGGATGGGGACTACGGGATCGGGATCGGGATCAGGATATAGGGCTGGGACGACGGGTGGACTAGGCTGGGCTACCTAACCTAGGCGTGCTAGGGTGGGTGGACGTCGGTCGGTACTTATGTACTAACATACAGCTTCGGAAATCCGGGTTAAGTCTGTTAGTGCTCAAGTCTAATTTCTCCCGAACCTATTGGATGTTGACGGTTGAGAGAACATGACACAAAGGAGAGCATATCACAGTAACAGAGTATCTCACAGTAAAACCAGCCACCAAACTTGACCAGGGTCGCGAGAAAACAATTGTATTCTTTTATCAGTCATGTCATCATCATCGTCACCCTCTATCTTATTTACAGGTACGACGGGGGTCATATACGCTGCGTTACTTGATGCTGCCAACACGCCCTCCTCTCACCATCTACCTCCCCGCCAGATCCCCCCACCAGCACTCAAGTTGCCTGGGCTCGTCATCAATGTCTCTTGGAGATGCCGTTTCATTAAGTCGTAAAATCGTGAAGAATGTTCCCAGAAGGGACGAAAAGAGAAAGAGGAAGTAAGCCACGAAACTCCCATGCCATACTCCCCCCATGATACATGAAAGTGAAGAAATAAAATGATCCAACCAGTCCAACTTCAGCCAAGTATGCCCTTCGGTGATCCAATGGGTCTCTGTCTCCCGGCCAAGAAAGAAGACAGACGTCTTGCGGCGAAGCATAGAGGCCTACGCCGAACGGACCGCTCCAAAGTCTCGTGAAGGTGCGAAACCAAACAAGTCCAGGTGCAATGAATGTGTATGAGCTGACTTATAAGACAGTTGCAATAATGATGAGATGCGTCCCAAACCAGGAAGGAATGGCCATATGGAAGCGTCTTGCCTCATCATTTCGGACCCAAGGTTCCATCAAGCCAAGGTGAAGGCGGTCTTGGACACCACTAAGCTTTCCAAAGTCCACACAAAGCAATGGGAAGAACAATCCCTGGTCAGCTGGATCAGGCTTGGGTTCGTATTTCCGCGCTGGGGGCATCCAATCCAAGTACGGCTGTACTTCCACGATACGGACGAAGCTTTCCGGAGGCCCAAGGAGGCTTCTAAAACAACCAAAAACCCGCCAAACTCGGGGAGGGAAAACCGGAGAACCCAAAAGAAAGGAATGAAGCAGAATCGTGACAACGCGTCAGATCAATGTATCTATATGTCGTAGGTCGTCCAGTCATGAATTTTGCCGATGCAGCTTTTGTGCGTGTAGAAACCAGTCGTGATGCTATTCGTTCGTCTTTTGCCGAGTCGTCGATTGATCGTCACCTAGGGGTATAAATCCCGGGTCTTCTCACCATGTTGCTGTGAAGCGTGAAAGAAGTTTAAAAGAAAAAGAGAAAATCCAAATCCGCTGATCGAGAGGGCATCCATGCCCTTTCAATGGGCTGTGTTGCCTTCTGCTAAGGTATGGCGGCTTCATGGCCCTCATTCCGTCGAAGCAATCGAGCTGCTGCTCGATTCATCTCCGGAATGTCGATTGCGGTGTCCATGCGTATATTGGGAAGACGTATGGGGACGGCTGCTCCGTCTGGACTTGTGCTTGGCCTCGTCTGCCGGCAACCCTTGGACGATTCCGTTGCGAGCCAGCATCCCTCCATTGACCGAGAAATTTCGGCAGACCATAAACGCACGCATGGCCGCGTTTTCCTGGGCGAGTCCATGTGATTCATATGGGATATCTGTCTGGTATTCGCGGCCGTTGACGAGAACCAAGCAGGTAAAGCCACTGCCGTCACGGTAGCACTCGTACGAGGGATCGTGCCATCCACGCCGCCGGCAAAGACCTGTAAGAACCCAAATTAGCGGCTTTCCTCATCAGAATGTATGTGGGTAAAGCATGAGACATGTGCAGATGGATTCCCTGACTGCGTGGCAGCCGAACACGGATGCCTCAGCCCTATGACCGGGGTCGGTTTGATCTGTGGGTAACGGGGGGGCAAGATGACACCTGGTGTACGATCTCTGGAAGAAGAAAGAGGCGGGACATCTCCATGTTGTGGAAATCTCATGCAGGGGTAAACCATTCCAAAGGGGGAAATGCCATGCCTCGTGACAACACCCCACAACAAGATTGGCAGTGTAGGATTTTTGTGATTAAATTGGAAAGCGAGGTTTGACAGCAAAGGTTGACGCGTGGGTGACTTACTCTCCAGATACTGCATGTAGAAACCAGCCATGGTGTCGGTTTTTGCCTGTGCAAAATAAAGGATATGCCAGGAGAAGCGAGACAGAAGTGAAACGGCAAAATGTAGAGGTGACGATGGTGAAAAAGAAGGAAGTGAGGAGGCCGCGGGTAGATGTCCGAGATCCGAGGATGTGATGCAATTGAGCCCAACTAAAAAGGCAGAAGGAGATGCGAGGCAGTGCCGGAAGCAGGCAGGTATGGACAACGAAGCTGCATCACCTTGATGAGCAGTCAACGGCGAGATATGTGTGCTTTACATATTGCAGTGAAGGAGCGGCCTTCGTGCGGGGCAAGAGCGGAGGCAAAAATGTCCGAATTCAGACGCCAAAGAGACGACATGAGGGAAAGCCAAACGGACAGGAGGATAAAGTGTTCGTCAGATGCAATGTTCGACCGTCGAGATGCGGCTCAAAGTGTGACCCATCTTGATGCGCTGGCATTGTCGTTGCCAGTTGATAGAGCCGGAGACCGGGCCAACTCCACACCACACATACACCACCCATGGGGTATGCATTGACATGCCTGGGGGGAAAGATCTGCTTTGATAAGTCGAGCCAGTCTGGGATTGGAATGGGCATGGATGGAGCCCGACACCATTTGTGTGATGATTTATTTTCCTTTTCCGGCACCTGGCTCGACGACTGGGCCGGCCTCCACATGTTCTTCGGCCTCTCTCGCCGCCCTGGCACGCCTGGATCGTGTCCCATCGTTGGATAGATGAGATAGGCTCGCGAGGCGTTTTGGGTATGCAGAGTTAGGCATAGCAAGGTGGCGAAATGGGATGCCCGAGAGCCAGTCTGGTGCCCCAAGAGAGAAATCGAAGCAAGATTCGAAAATTCGGCAGCAAGCGGTCTTTTGCCGGCAACCAGTCAGATTGAGATGTGGCATTTTGGTGAAGCCGAGGGGTGCCAGAAGAAAGGATGTGCCTGGCTCGCAACACGAAAAGCAGTTGATGAAGAACAGCAAGCCCGGCAAGATCCATCTGACTGGTGGCTCTTTGAACCACTCATGCAGCCTGGGCTATGGCATATCCAGCATGTATCCTTTTGGAATTGGAGTTTGTGCTATCGACACTATCGACAGACGGACCGCAAGGCCTCGGCGGTACCTTTTTTCAGTAGAGGTGCGTCTCCACTTGCTATGCTACCGTAGAGATCAACGGCAGAAGGTAAAATAGCGTCAAAATTTGGCGGGTCCATATACGCTGCATGAACCAGCCAGGAACGGGGATTGGGGTTGGGGTTGGAGCCGGGGGGCATGAATAGCCAAGCGGGCAAGGAAGGACGGGAGAAGTTGACATGGCATGTTGGTGTTTGGTTGACCTTACTGAGAGGTGAACTGGAGATCATTGGCGCTGTGAATTTGTGGGCCACGACTCGGGCAACATGGGCGATTCGGCGGATTCCATACCTTGGTTCGGCAGGCAGCGTATCAAAACCGCGGGATCGAGGATTCCGGAAAGACGACAACAGCCGGCGGTGTTGCTGGGTGCTTTCCGTCCGGGCCATGGGCCATGGACCATGGATCACCGTCTGCTCGTCGGTGTTTGTTTCTCTCTTTCTCATCTCCAGTTGGTCAGCAAATTGGGTTCGTCAAGAAATTGCTGTCATGGTCATGGAAAGGGCCGGTACACAGGTCTGTGTAGCGGAACAAATCGAGCCATATCAAAATGACTGGCTCTTTGGCCGACCACGAAGTCGGTGAATGAGGGATGAGGTGCATGAACAGTGGCTGGGCCGGCGAACCCTTGCATGTCCTGGGTGCGGATGCGTCTGGCCCCAGGAGAGAGCGAGGACGCTGAATGGCCGAGTTCATGGCGAGGCCGCAAGGCCGCGAGGCAGCTAGGCACAAGAAGGCCTTAAGACGCATGCAATGATGAGTTGGCAATGCTGCTGGATATTAAACCGACGAGCCAGAATGGACTGGTGCAGAAATCATGGAAGACGTGCTGCGGGCACCGCTGGAGTTGCGTGACAAGAGCAACAGGTGAAGAACAGGCAGTGACAGGCCCTTCCATGCTCTCACGGATGTACGGGTACAAGGGTTCCAAGGGAGCCAACCGAGCCGGAAGAGACGGGCGGAACGGTGAACCTCGACGGAGCAGTCAACGGGGCCAGCATTGCCGTGCCATTATTTTGAAAAAGAAGAAGGAAGAGCGCGGGCGGAGGAAAGAGGATGAACGAGGGCAGCCAGTCACGATGGCGATAGTCGCTGTCGTTGGTGAAATTTGGTGTTGACAAGGCCGGGGGAGGAGGACGAGGAGGAGACTGTAGGAGAGTGTCAATCTTCACATCCTGTCTGCCTGCCCATCGCTCTGCCCATGGCTCGTGTGTGAGTATCGTGATTCGGCTGTCATCTTTTAGGCTTCACCGTGTATACCTTGCCGGGACAGAAAGTGACCATGAGGCTGTTGGCATTGAAAAACAAACAATGCCAACTTTGTATCTGGTCTTGAAGATTTGAAGATGAGAGGTTGAAAATGGATGACAGAGAGACCAAGGGACGAAATGTTCAGAATGCGGGGGCTCTCTGCCTGCTCCGTGCATTGAATGCGAACGAAGCAACCTCACGGCAATCTCCAATGAGAATGGAAAGCACATGAAAGTGCAAAATGGTTGGTGGTCAATGCTCCTGGATTTCCAGGTTTTCAATTGATGTCGCTATAAAAGGTGGGTCCTTTCTGATGGAGGGGAAAAGAGGGGCAGAACACCCGGGATGGAATTCTTCTAGAACACGAACCCAACGAACACCCAGGCCCTCAATGGGTCATTGATTTTGCCTCAGACACACTTGACATCTGGAGTGTATCATTCCAGCCTCAATTCAACTTCTTTGCTCTCGATAGGCTTTGAGAGTTTCGACACTGACTCTGACATGGCACCATTGACTCTTGAATTCGTGGCTGCTATACCATACCATCACGACCTGGACAGATCTGGGTAGGCGATGAGTTGACTGACCCAAACGCTTCGATAAAGAAGCAGCCATCGCCCATGAATTCCCCGCCCTCCTCGATCGACACTCTCGGGCTCATTTGCTTGAACCTGATCCCCAAGCTGTGACAAGCATGGAGCTCAACAGGAGGACCAATCAGACCACCTCTAATGCCATCATCTTCGCCTTATCGACCAGCACTTTCCTTGGAGAGTTGGGGGTCAAGGAAGTCGTTCTTCCCTTTTTGCTTTCCTGTTCCCTTTCACCCCGCATGCTCGCTACGTTCCTTCCTTCCCTTTCCAATGGACAGCTGAGCTTGATGAGGTTGCAGCCCCTCATCAGAGCCATCACTCGCATATGATGGAAGCTCAGCCTTTCTGATTCATTCCATTGCAACGTCATGCTTCGACTGAATGGTGTCTATGTACCTCTACCAATTTCAACCTCGCCCTACCAAACCCATCAGCTACGATTTGGCTGAATGCTTTGTTTCCCAACCTATTCTCCGGGCATCGACTGCGCCACCAGGCCGCCGTAATGGGCCTCATCCCGTCGAAACCCTCGATTTGTCCGGAGAAAGACTCCTCGTCCATGGCCAAGACACAAAGGCAGAGCTCGGCAAAGACGGGCAAATCTCACCACTATATTCCATCATGCCGGTTCTCGCTACCATCCACCTGGGTTGGGACATTGCTTGACCCTTACTTACCCTTCCAGATGAGTATGATATCTTGTTGCCATGTACCACATTTCTCACATCCCGGTAATACAGGTGAGATTACACGACAGAGATGAACCACGCATATACAAGTTGTAGTAGCTGTTCTGCAGCCTTCTACGACTTGTTCCCTTTTCTAGCCATTGCCATGCCATTGGCAACCATTGTCTGATGCTACCCAAGACCCATCCGAGGGTTTATCCGAGGACCCGACCAGAAATACGATTGGGATATGGAACCTCACGGAGGCTGCAAAATGATGATCAAAACCTATCAGACAACCTGCCATTGGACCGTCCATGAATGGTTTTTCGATGGGATTGATTTCTTCCTAATCATTACCCCCACTCTGCCATCCTTTCTGTGATGCTGATTCGAGGCCTGCGCCGATCTGAACTACTCACCGGCATTCTGGGCGAGTGATACAGGAATCGGGCACTATTAGGGGGGTTATGGCAAACAACACCAAGCCCACAAGACATCTTGCTCTGAGGAATCGAGGCTTTGGTGGTTGACTTGATCTATAACGTCATTTGGATCCCCGGACGTTCTGTCCGGCAGCATGACCCCAGTCCAAGGGTTAGTGATGGGAGCAAAGCAACAGCATGCCTATTTCTATTGTCTCGACTCACAAACTTCCCCGCAGGGATATCGTCCATGTCCTTGAGGTGTGTTATGGTGCGTGGACTGCCATGTTGCCAAAGTGTTGTACACTCACGGCCTCTCGGTACGCATACCTGCACCCACGTCTAACCAGCCCTTTTCTTCGTTCCATATCTGCACAAGTTGATCGATGGTGGCGTGCTCGGAAGGATGGGAAGGATGGGTAGCGACGGATATCGACAGTCAATTAAGATTGTTGCATGCACTTCAAGGTCAAACCCACTTTAATCAAGTCTCAAGCCAGGGCATTTCATCCAACACGTCGTATCCTGCAGTCACTTCAGTCTCGCTTTGTTCCGGAACGGATGGGTGCCTAACCACGAGGTGGAAGTGCAGCGGAAGGCTTCGCTTTGCCTCAGTGATTGCCTCTGTTCCCATGCAGGTGCCCACGGTCTGATAGGCTGACCTGCACTTTTCCAAGACAAACCCACAGAATCCAGTGATTATGGTGGCGGAAGACTTTCCGAGAGCCGCTCTTTGCTGTGGAATGAGAGTAACCGCATTTGGAGATGGGTAAAGAGTCCAGAGGAAGACGTTGGGTTCCTGGGACTGAAGTTAGTATCTCCAAACTCACAATGACCAGGTGTCGAGCCAGTTATTCCTGCCATCATTGCCCGTGCTGTGCTTCTTGGTAGGTATCTTTCTTTCGACTTCTTATTTCACCCTGCTTCGGCTTACCTACCGCATTGCTTATTTTTTTAATCTGCCAATCGGCAGTGGGAGGGTATTTAGAAATGCTTGGTTCCGATAGCTAATGACACTCATTGATCTCAAACCCCAATCCATGCGATTTGATGAATATAATAAAACCTTATACTTTAAACGTCAACAATGTTTGACGTGCGTAGGCTCGATAGCTTGTAATGTGAGACTGATTGGTGGGTGAAGTGTGAGTGAGTAAGTCAGTCAGTGGTCAGAGGAAACACCATATTTGTTGGTCAAACACCAGAATTTCACACATGATGACTATGGAGGATCTCAACTTGCTTCTTTTACAGATTGGTGCTCAGAAAGCTATTGATTACGCTCGACAGACAATCCGGCATGTCCTCGTCGTCTTGCTTGTTGCACTCACTCATGCTGGATATTCCTGTAGACTGCCTTCATGCCAACCCAACTCGAGGGCTCACATCAAACTAAACATGCCCGCCCGTTATCTTGACAATGCAAACAAACATATGCTAGTATAAGAGCTGCCGTGAGGACTTCCACTCGTTTCTGCTGTTTCATGCGAACATACCTTTCCCATCATTCTTAACAGTATATCCTCATCACCAAGCACTCGCTGCCTCAATACCACATACTACTTGGTCATTCTTCCGCATAACTCATTTCCCTCTTTCCCAAGGACAACCACAGTTACCCCACCTGAACCTTCCTCCCCTTCTACCCAATCTACTCAGTCTACCCAATCTCCTCCGCCCATCGATGTCATTGTCCACCGCCTAAGTGGAAGCAAACCCACTGTGCCCCTGAAAATACCCCCTAATCCCATTCACGTTCTTCTGCGGGATCGCATAAGCCGGGTGGATCGGTCTAACCCGGTCCGAGTCTTCGTAAATCTGGTCTTTTTCGTCGATGTAGGGAAACACGTTCCAGACGGAGTCGGCGCCCAGGACGGCCAAGGTGGGGGTGGTATCTCCGTTGGAAAGGGGAAGGGGATCGGAGTCGAGATCCCATTGGTGTTGGGCGGAGGAGAGGCCGGAGAGGACGTAATTGGTGTGGTAGGGGTCTGACATTCTTGGGGGGTGTTAGTATATTTGGGGAGGTGAGGTAAGAATGGGACCACAAAGCGAGTAGGGGGTAGGGGGTAGAGGGTGAGGTTGGGGGAAGGGTGGAGGTGGGTTAGGTGAGTTAGTAAGAGGAGGTGAACGGAGTTGAAGTGAGGTGAGATAGATGAGATGAGATGAGTGGTTGATGAGACGTGGGTGAGGTGAGAAGGGGATGAACGTAGAGCCAAAATGAAACCCCATCTATCCAAAGCAAAGCAAAGCCAAACAAAACAAAAAGAGAACTTACTTATACGGCTTATCCCTCAACCCACCCCTCTTCGTCTGGTCCTGGCAACAGCAAAGGATATACCGAATAAGACCCTCCCTGCTGTACAGGCTCTCCGGCGCCGCCGCAAGACCGGTGGATGTCTTGTCCTTCTCGGAACCAGAGCCGGAGGGACTGAGACATGCCTCAATAAGGGGGAAACATCCGCCCGCCCAGTGGCTGTAACAGCCGTCAACCAGCTTGTTGGTGCGTCCCGAGAATCCGCCTTCGGGTGCGTACTGTCGGTAAGACAGCCAGGAGACGAGGCGTGGGACGTCTAGGTAGCTGGTGGGTGGGAAGGAGAGTTTTGTTAGCTGCCTGCCTGTCTGTGTGTCTGATGGGAAGGTGCATGAGACCATGCGCATGATGGGTGAAATTGCAGTGATTGTTGTCATTGCTTAAGTGGATGACCTCCCGGGGACGGGAAGGGTGGTAGGGGATATCTTGCTTGCTTGCTTGCTTCATGGCTGCTTACCTTGGGATGATCCGGCGAGGGTTGTCTAGGATGGCGAGACAGGCAAGAGCGCAAAAGGCATACGCGCCATGGGCCTCGTTGTTGGGTTGACTAGATATCCCGCCCTCAAAGGTTTGGCCTAGCGTAATGTCAGTTTTATGATCCCTTCAGGATTTCTTCCGCCTCACTGTGATGTATGAGCCACTATGGCAACACTTACAGCTACGCACATATTCCGCTATGCCAGTCAACAGGTTGGAACGACCGTCATATGCAGGAGAGTCTGGTGTCAAGTCCAGAGGCAGATCGAGCAGAGTGATGATAACAGCCGCGATATATGCCCCCCTTTTCGGTTACCCCTGTGGTGTCAGACAACTTCTTCATGAACACCGTGACCTGGAACCAACGTACCTGATATCCTCCTCACCTCCCACACACACCTGAAAACCACCATCAGGCTGCTTCAAAGAGCATAGCCATTTCCACATAGCCTTCCTATCGATAACATCATAGGCCTCCTCACCTCCAACCAAGGCGATAGCCAAGATAACGGCATAGGTAGTCGCCAGGTGAGAAGTCTGTCCATGGCCTCCACCGAACCCTCCAGACTCATTCTGCATGGTGCGAGCAGTCTCAATAACGCTCTCCCGGTAACTGGACACATCCTCCCCCATCATGGTGAGACCGGATAGGCACCAATACAAGTACCACGGCCTGCTGGCATCCACTGCAACAAAGCGACCTGGTAACGGCCCAAGGGACTGCTTGAGGAACTTGATATGCTTCTCTCTGTTCAGCTTGGGGAGGCCATAGTCGTTGACATCGAGGGGTCCATCCTCGGTAGTCAGGAAGGGTAGACAGTGCTCGACAGTCTGGTCCTGGAGCCGGGAGGTGTCGGTGATGAGGTCATCCTTCACCAGGGGAGGCTGTTTGAACAGGTCGGGAATCATGGGTTCGGGCTGTGCTGGTTGCTGTGGGGGATGACTCAAGACGAACTCCTCGTCGACGTATTCAAAGTCGTCGTCGGTGATGGCGTCTAGATTTTGCTGAGCAGAAGTAGCGACCCCTTCTTGTGGGAAGGAGGAGTTGGGGGCGGCCATGTTTCCCTTTTTGGTCTTTGGAAACTTGCGAATGAAGATGGCGCGATTCCGGACCCGCACTCCCTTTGTGCGCACCACCATCAATCGGATAAGCAGAAATGAGAAGAAAGTGTGTTAGGAGACTGGTTGGGACACAATGGTTGAGAATCTCATCACACTTGGTATTGTTCTTGCTGCTCTAAGGTTGGTATGCTACAATTGGCGATGTGGACTCGATGTTTGCGGCCTTTGCATTCGCTGTTTGGGCGGCGGCATGCAGCCTGGGAACGTCCATTGTTGGGGTCAGTCCACGGTGTGGTGGGATCTGACGGTAAGCTCGACGGCTGATCTGCCAGGTGTCGGTGAGTTCTGCCAGCTGTCATCCAGCTGTGGAGGCACGTACCTTCTGCCTGCCCCGTGCATCGAATGACGAAAGGCTCCCTGGGAAACGACGACGTCCCTTTCCTTCACAACCTGGAACTGAATCTGAGCTTAGTTGATGTAATTTCACTTGCTCAATATTTCTTTCATTTGATTTCATCTCTCCTCAACGTGGATGCGGCTCTTAACTCTCACACAACGCCGCTCGAACTCAAAACGAACCTCTTCAGCAAATGCCAACACATCGGAGATTTCATCGCCAAAACCATGCATGCCACCAGTTCTAGCGGCCATCGACGGCGATGAAATATCTCGAGTTGCTCCCAGGATCCGTGTTCTGGATGAGGATCGGAGATTCCGAACCCGACTCCGGGACTGACGGCTCCGCATTGACGGGGAGCTGGCACTTTGAGAGCTGCGACCTCGGTAGACCTCGCCGTCAGCCCTATGGATCAAGAGACGGCGGAACTCGGACCTTCCATGAAATCGCCTAGCAATCATCGATCCACCGCACGCAGGAACACTTTTCACTGCATCAGCTCACATGGATAGGGGCAAGACAAGAAGGACCAAAAGACACGGCCAATCCTACAAGATGGATTTCGGAGATTGGCTCGTCCGGCATTCGGAACGTTGGTCCGTATGCGCGGCACTTGTACCGGCAACGACGGCGACAACCCCGGCGAACATACGCAGACACTGCCGGAGAGATTCGACCACGTTGCTTCCGAACCATCGAGGTTACACACCCCCTATCAGAGATCACGCCATTGATCACCATCTTTTGCCCATCGTGCCGTTTTCTTCAATGGACATCAACGCACCGAAGACATGGAGCAAGCAACCCACCCCGAGCACAAGAACACATGTCTCGTTTCTTGCTCGCTACGAACAGAGCTTTTCTTTGTTGAGTCTGGCTCGACATTTGACAGTGGCCATAGCCAGGGTTTTCGGTAGCGAGCGCACTAGCGGCCTTTTTTTCTCCTCCTTGACTGCCATTCTGAGGCTCAAAATCCGAACGTATCGTGGACCTTTCGGACGGACGACACGGATTCCACGGCAAAAAAATCCCCGGCCCCTCTAGACCAAGACTTGACTCGTTCGAGTCGGTCCTAGTGTCGCCGATCCCGAGAAGAATAAGGGCCGCATAAGGAGTCCCTGATCCGGCTCCAGCACGCAAGCTTCGGGGATCTCGAAATGGAAAACTTGTCTTGGTTGATCGGTTACACTAACCATTTCACGGTTTCATAATGAGGCTCTGATGTGTCCTTGCCTGATCGTTTCGTTTCGTTTCAACAGAAGGATGCCATCAAAAGCAGGACAGGTTAAGCTTCTTTTCAAAGGTTGCAACAGCTCCTCTTTTTCAGGGGTCCAGGAGCTAGAGGGGTCTCCACAAACCGACTGGATCTGATAACCCTAGCTAGCGTGGGGAAAGCTCTCGCTGACAGGGACCGGCCCCATGCCTAAAAGAGTTTGGAGGGGACACCTGGACCAGTTAAATGGGTGGCAGGTATTGTGCCCACTAGCATCGCATCTCAGCGAGCCGAATGCAACAAGCCACCGACCGGGACCGAGAAGACTGCCAGTTTGCGTCCAGAAAACAGTAGCGGCCACTGTGCGAGTACTTGGCGCCAGAGCATCTCCGGCGACGACATGCCTCTTTTTTCTCATATATCGATTGGCCATTCCATCGACTGCGCCGCAATGACGGAGCTGGTGCACCGTGTCAATTAATGTTGTGCTCCCCTCCTTTTATCACATACTATGTAATTGCCGACTGAGGTTGCCATCTCTCTCTCCGTGGATGTTGTTGGTGAGTTGATCAAGATGATTGATGACGTTTGCTCCGGTTGAATATCAACGTTTGGGGGAGAAAGAGCTGCTGCCAACTTGAGTCAGAGAGTTGAGACTGAGCCCGATTGGGATGACAGATAACAAGCGGACTGGGGATTTCTGGCCAGATCTGGATGTCTGAATCCCTGACCGAGCTGATTTTATCACTCGAGACATGCTGGGTATACCGTACAAGGTATGGCAATGACACCGGCAGTTAGGCATGCCCAGACAAGTCGAGCGACTCTGGAGCGTGTGACAAGGGCGGATAGCAACAGGTTTTGGTGCAGGACAGATTCCAGAGAAGACTGTTGTGAGAGGTGGTGGAAGGGTCAGTCACCATGCGCACCTTGTGTGAAGTGGAAAGCAAACTGTAACGGCGTGGCGACCGAGATACGGATTCGATCATGACCGAGACGCTTTCTATCCTTGCTGGGAGGAGGATGAGGAGTGGTGAGGCAAGCCGGAACGGCCACGTCCCACAGGTCTCAGGAAAGGCCAAGATTCGCTCCCAAATTTGATTCCCCATTTCTGGCGTGTATGACGAACTTGAGGATCGAAAAAAAAGTCATCATGGCATTAGGCGAGGAATCATTCTTGCGGACTCACACGTGCGTTGTCGGGATGATCCCTAGGAGTCGGCGATTTGTTGTTTGATGGCATGTCAGGCATCGCCAGAAGTCGATTCGATCCGCAACTCCGCGAAGCGGTAGGCCAGCATGACCCTACCTCTGAAACCAGCTCGTCGTCGGCTGGAGCCGCGTCCTTCCGTATCAAGCTGGAGTTTTATCCAGGCACTTCCAGGCAGGGCACTCCAGGCTCCGGGCCCTATTCCGGACTCCGTAGCTGCTTTTCCACTTGGGTAGACAGACAGCGGGTTGGGAGGGGATCGGATGCACGGTGGGGTGATTTATGGTTGGATGATGGGTGTCGAGTAAGTCGAAGTCTCCGGCTGGGCTTTTCTGGCTTTTTGCCCTTCGCTTGAAAATAGTCCAACAGACTATACCGTGTCTGTGCCAAAAGCTGAACTCGCTTCTCCCAAGGGCCAACTGGGCTTCGTTTGGCTGTTGTTGTCCTTTTTTGCATATAGATATGGACGATACGAGACTCCTGGTCAAGGCCCAAGTTTGGTTTGTTGGCACTGGGCCTCGTTTTCTGGCCTCGACAACAACGTTGAAGACATGCCGGGGACTGTACCCCTGGAGGTCAGTGTTTTGAAGTCCTCCCACAATGGGTCCGATTATACAGATGGCCATCTATCTACACTATCTGTCTTCCATTTGTCCATTGCTCCATTTCTCCAGGGCATTGTCCAATGTTGGACATCGGGATCCAATGTGTCGTGCAAGGTGAGGCGGGGCTTGAAGAAGAGAAGCTCAAAGTGGTCAAAGTCTTGTTACAGTGTGGAACATGAAGAAGCTCTTGCCCAAAGTGTGGAAGTGGGACGGAAACCGAGAAGAACCTTGAAGGCAGTGGGGAGATGGCGTCTGTGGAGCCGTGCCCGGAGTGCTGGCAGCGAGTGGCAGACCATTCCCGTTCGGTATGGGACGAACTGATTGGCCCTGGGATCTATGCACGCATCCACGGCTTGGATGCTGGCTGGCAGAGAGTCCAATCAACGTTGTCCTGATAGACTGGGGTTGTATATGCACCCTCACCGCCTCTTCAGCGTTGAGAGGGAGGAAGGAACTCTCTCTGTCTCTCTGTCTCTCTGTCGCTCTCTTTGCGTTGCGCCCTCATCGACCTTCTGGTGGGTGAGCGAGGGGTTGACGGTGCACCATTGGCACTCTACGAGAGCACCATCCATCCATCATCCATCACTCGATTGGCCGCTGCCGGGATTCTTGCTCAGACTTTGAAGTGGGCTGGAGCCGTCTTCCCTTCTCCAGTCCCCTTTTTTCCCTAGTCTCTCTCCACCCGGTTAGACTCTGTTCGGCTCTGTCCACCTCCTCGTCGAGCCATTTCTCGACCCAGCAAAGCGTTGTCTCCATCTCCAGACGACCAGACCACACACACACAGCCAAGCCAGCGCCGGCGTCCTTGTTCGCCTTTCCCACGCTACGCTGGAAATTGAACAAAAGTGTGCGAGTGTCGTGGTTGTGTGAATCTCTTTTCACTCTGTCCATTTTTATCCCCTCTTCACACACTTTACGACCCATAATAAAGAAAGCAGAAACGAGACTCTGCGAAACGCCCAATTCGACCATCACGAACAGGAACAAAAGAAGATCAGGTACAGGTAGCCTCGGCCAGGTGCCTTTTTGCTCTTCATGATCCTTTCTTGACCGACTCATCGTTGATCGAGAAAAGAGCGGTGTCACCCCATCCCTCACCCTCGTCGTCCACCACGGCCACGTCCACAATCCACGCTCTTGGGGTCCTCTCCGTTGTCCACGTCCCCCGGACTTGTCACCCGCCCATCCACGGCCCATCCACGCCGTCTACGCCCACTCACGCCCACGCATTCCACGCACACGCACTCGGATCGAAACGAGACCAGACGGAAGGACGATCCATACTAACGGAAAATCTCCAATCCACCTCATCCTCGCCTGAACAAAACCCCATCACCCCTTGGTTCCCGCTCCCGCTCCCGCCATCATGACTTACGACTTCACTGCCGCTGGGGGAGACGCCGTCTTGCTAGAACAACTGGCCTTCGACCAGCAAGACCACCAGCGCTACTATCCCATCATCACCTCGACCCAATCACCCCAGAACATCACCTCGACCGCGCTGACCACCATGTCCCAAAGCGCCCGTCAAAGCCTCAGCCCGGGTGCCACTTGGCTCCCGGCCGATCTGTCCGGAGGCATGAGCGCACCCACCTCCATCCACTCGCCAAGCAGCAGCATGTCGCCGTCGTCGCCCGAGGACCAGAACTGCCAGTCGCCTGGGAATAGCGTCATGTCCAGCCCCCTTCAGCAACAACAGCACTCGCCTCTCCAGCACTCGCCTTTGCAGACCGGCACTCACCTGTTCCCCGACTGGACCGCCTTCCCCATGCAGACCCAGCAGCAGCAGCAACATGTCTCTGATATGCCTCAGTTTATCTCGAACGAGCCTCTGCTTGCTCTCACCAACCACTTCATGCCCAACTTCCACCAGCCCAGCGCCTTCGACTATCTCCCCGCCACCACCCAGGCCGCCATCGAAAACACCCTTCATTTGGAGGCTCCTTTCAACCACGCCATCTCTCCCGTCGAGGAGACCAGCCAGCAACTGCAGTGGAGCACGGGCACGGGCACGCAAATGGCAAACTGGCAGGATTTTGAGATGGCCATGAACTTTAACCAGCATGATGGACTCGCCCGGATGCCCATGGGAAGCCACTCGCCCACCGGCAGCTTCCTGGAAGTTTTGTCTTTGCACTCTGGAAGCGACAATGGCTGGGCTACCGTGGATATGCCTCTGTTCCAAGACTACAACAACTTCACCCAGCCCCAGCCTGCGCAGAATACCGCCATCTTTAACCCCGGCCAGACTTTGCACTTGAGGACCACATCTGACCTCTCACAAGGGTCTGACTTCAACGAGTTCGGAAGCTACGAGGAAGTTAGCTTCCCCTACTCGCCCTTCTCCACCGAGTCCGATGGTTTCATGGATATGACCAACAACCGCCACGGCTGCTGCTCCGGTGACCACCACCACCACTCTCCTCAGCCCACCGAGATCAGCCCCTCTTCCGCCGTTGCTCCCGTACCTATCAAGGCCGGCTCTTCAAGGGCCGTCACTGCCAACGGTTCCGGCTCGGTTTCGCCCCCGCCGAGGAGAATCACTGGCCCGAGAAAGAGCCCTACTGCCAAGCCTTCAAAGACCATCGTTCGTAGGACTAACTCGACTGGCAAGAAGGACGGCACTGGTGAGAAGAAGGTTGGCAGGCGTCGTGGACCCCTCCTTCCTGAGCAGCGTAAGCAGGCCAGCGAGATCAGGAAGCTCCGTGCCTGCCTCCGTTGCAAGTTCCTCAAGAAGACTTGCGACAAGGGTGAGCCTTGCGCTGGTTGCCAGCCTTCTCACGCTCGTTTGTGGCAGGTGCCTTGCACTCGTATCGATATCAAGGACATTGGTTACTTCATGAAGGACTGGAAGGCCGACTACGAGCGTCACCTCGGCCGTGGCATGTCCGTCTTCAACGTCAAGGGTTTCGCCCAGAAGGAGACCCTTATGTGGATCACCCACGGCTATGGCTTCTGCCTCCCTGTCATGGTTCGCGAGGTGTTTGTTGCCGATGAGAGCTGCTTCCAGGTCGACTGGGTCGAGTCTACCCTGACCGACCAGGAGCCTATCGACTTCGAGATCCGCACTGAGCGCCTCGACGTTGGTCATGAGGGTGTCTCGGTGGAGGCTCTCTCCGAGTACCTCGACAAGCATGTCGACGAGGGCTTCGAGCAGTTCATTGACGATCACTTTGAGGGTACTCCCTTCATCACTGAGCTCTTCAAGACCGCTCACAGGTTCTACGTCAAGGAGCGCCTGCCTGTCATTCGCAAGGCTCTCAAGCTTGTTGTGGCTTACAACCTCACTCTTCACATTACCATGGTTGAGCAGCCACCGACAGAGCAGGCCATGGAGGGCCAGATCGATGACGAAGACTCCAAGTACTTTGGCAAGGTCGTCGCCCCTGTTATGATCAACTTCCAGATCAAGTGCGCCATGGCCGACATGTGGCGTGAGCTCCAGAAGGAGGTTCTCGAGGAGCTCTCTGCTCTCTACTCCTCCGTCTACAGTGGAGAGCGTCTCAAGAACTGGCCTACCATCTTCATGCTGGCTGCCATCCTCTTGGCTGTCTGGGAGGAGATCCAGTTCGACTGCCATTACCGTGTGCCTGACCCAATCGCTGTCAACAAGTTCTGTGATGACATGGAGTCTACTCCTGTTGGTGTCATTGTCGGTCTCTTCCACGCCATCTCTCAGAAGCTGCCCGCCTTCACGGAGTGGGATACTCGCAGGCATGGTCAGCTGCTTAATAATAACGTTGCCGTCTGCGAGGCCATGACCGAAGTTAGACAGCATGTCCTCAAGCATGGTGAGTGACAACCCCTCATTTAATGTCAGCATTGTGTAACCCCATTTACTAACCACCCGATAACAGAATCCTACCTCAGGACCCGTCAAGAAACCAGGTTCGACCGTTACGACTTTGACTCACTATCAAACAAGTTCCTGTCGAAGCTGGTTATCCGGGCCAACTAAGGTTGTTTCCTTGCTTGTTGCACTCTGCCTCTTTTGATTGCGATACCCGTTATCAACGTTACGGTTACAGCACTTTACAGCAAAGCTCGCAAGAGCTGGTCTGTTCCGGTTTCTTGTTTTCCTCTCTTATCTTTATCTCCATGGGGCCATTGAGCGACGGCGTTCTTATCGTTTTTTTTTCTGGCTACTATTTCTTATAGTCAACCATTTTCCTCCCTCTCTTTTTTATTTTTTTTTATTTTTTGTGGCATTTTCATGGCTGCACACACTCACTCGGGGGCTGGTCACCACCACGAACAACACGATACGAAATGACTGACGTCCCATCATGACGGATCAATATTTGATGACTACACATTTGACGAAACACCAACGAAGTTACACAAGACATACACACACCATACACTACTGCGCATACAACGCAAAAAGCTAAAACCAGCACGATCTGCATGACTGGCATTTTTAAAGTTTAGTTGGGAGAGAAGAAGTCGCTCACGGGAAAAGGAAGGGCATGGGATGAAGGAGAATAAGTGAATGGAAAGGGTAGTTGGGTTGGACCGAAAAAGAAGAGGAGGATGAAAGAAAGCAAGCGTCACAACAACTCAAAGGGGAGGAAGAGGAGGAAAATGGGTTTGCATTGGGTAATTTGGCGTTTTTTGTCTATCTGATCTGGTCCTTTTTTTGTTTACCTACCTAGCTATGGATTGATAGGGGGCTTTTTTTGCATAAGCGCGCGCGGGCAAACCGCGACCTAGGCGAGAAAACCTCTTTCGAGAAATACTTGTTGGTTATTGTTAATGAGTAACGCGCTGTTTGAACGATTGTTTTGATGTGATCTTGTTGTTTTGAATGTGGGAACATTGAGATGAAGGTAAACGATTATGTACGAGAGACTATTTAGTGGAGGCTTCTCCCTCAATATAAGGAACGCACACGATACCAGATGATTCACGGGTCGTTATCGAGTTTACCACGGGAGCGATAGGAGGGCGGATGATATCTCGAGTTTCCCAACTCCCTCAGGTTGTATACACTTTATCTCAACAACGTGAGTCATTTCTAGATGGAGAGAGGTCGTTGAATCGTTGGCTCGTTGGCTTTAGTTGAGAAGAACCTGGATGCCGTTGATCTAACTTGTCGTCGATGTACTCTTCTGTTGAGAATTATTAAAACTACTCGTCAGGACTCAAATCGCACGTCTTCTGTTTGGCTAAAGCGAGGGAGGCGACTAGATTCTAGACTAGACCAAGTGCTCGATATCAGTACAATATATCAGTAGAATACTATCTATCGATTGCAAACGGCAATCAGGCACTTGCAGTTCAGTTGGGGACTTCAACCACGTTTCGTACGAGTTGGGTGCCGTCGTCGACGCATTTTGGAGTCTTTGTCTGAGCCATCATGTAGATAAATGGTCAACGGTAACACTGACAAGAAGTCTCCCCTGACTATCACGATCAATAACCCACCGAGCCCACCGTAGTGATCCATATCCCTGAACTCTCATCTCTTATGATGCCAGAGCATCGAGCGATGATGCGAATCCGATCAACAACCTCAACAGTGAGACGGTCAACAGGTGAATGAATGCACCAATGCCGCATCTCACTACAATGACTGCACTCATCTCAGAAGCATCATGTATCAATCTGATGACGTCGAACGTTGTCATCCGATCGTGGGATGTCGCAACCCGAATCGAGAGCATCGAGCGGTGCGGACGGAGCATTTCCACACTTGTGGCTGCGCGGGAGTCCCCGGCCCCCGTACAGTGGTCCCGGTCGCGGTCCCGGTCCCACCCGACCCGAGGTGGTTGGCGGGCACGGCGGGACTCTTTACTCGTCGGCTCCAGGAGTTCGTGGAGGCTTCGGGGTCGATAGGACTGGATATGCTATCATGATTCTGCGCTGCATTATCTGAAACTTGATGAATATCTCCAACATCTCGATAGCGAATGAATGAATGATTGATTGTGACTTTGATATGGTTCATGCGTGAACGGAGGTTGGGGAATGTCAATGGCGGAGCGACCCTCCAAAAGTGCGGGGCGGTGGAGCGAAAAGAGGCCACGATAATGCCGGGCGATAACGGGAGGACGGAGTCACGACATCATCGGTCGGGGGCTGGTGGGAACCCTTATGGCCAGGCAGCCAGGAGGTCTCCCGTCGTTTCGGAATCGGCGGTCGGCGGTTACTAAGAGAGCAGTCATTCAGAACTCCGGGTTTGCGTCCGGTTGCGGTGTCCCGCCATGTGTTACGGAAGAAATGATGGGCGCGTGGCGGAGCGAAGAAAGGTCGTCGTACCAGACGGAGTGCTCACCTCAGCAGCCTGGAGAGGTCGGTGGAAGGGCACTGTGGTAGTACCGTGCCAGCTGACTCGCCCCCCACTGTTTGGAGCTGCATGTTCGACGACCAACACCTCGACCATTGGTGATACTTTCTGGTGTTGATTTGAAAGAAGGTCCGGGCCTCTTTGATTTATCATTTCCACGTCTTCCTTCTTCTCGTCTCCAACGGATATTGCTGGAAATTGTGATGGAGCAGTTGCTCTCAGTCTCAAACAGCTCTTCCCTGTTTGCCTCTCGGTTGCCCTTGATCGGACCACGTCATTGACCGCTCACTTGGGGGTTCGCTTATCAAATGCGGGGAACCAGCAAGGTGCACGCAAGCATCGAGCAAGAGGCCAGCAAACACACCTGAAGGAATGAACAATGGTGAATTCAAAGTCATCGAGAGAAGCACCTCAAAATGCCGTGAAGTGACGAGACCACGGATTTGTAAACAAACTCGAAGGTCGTGAAGCCGCATGCTGATCATTCTTTGGCTTATTCATCCGCCAAAGGGCAAACAGGCTGACTGACGGGTTGACGGGCAACAGCTGGGTGCCAGAAGCGTCGACAGTGCGATCAACCAGCCGCGGTTCACTGTCAGGGGGGTGTCCAACCACTCCTGCCAACGGGCAACAGCCAACCAACAGCCAACAATCAAGGGGGGGGTGTCGCCTGACTGGTCTCTTCTCGCGCCTTCCCTCCACTTCTCTGTCACTCCCAACTGCCAAGTGGCTCGTGCGTGGCCGTCCCTTTTGTGAGTGAAGTGAGTGACACACCACTCACACCGTGGCAGGCGTTGGAAACGGACCAGCCACTCACCTCCCCTTCACTCAGCCCCCCGCTTCCCTTCCCTTTCCAGGCAGTGGAAGCCTGGCCCCTCCAACTTGTTCGCCATCCTGATTCCTGCCACTTCCACCGCACCAGCACCTGGACCTACTTATTTAACCCTCCCGCCCATCTGCATCCGATTCCATTTCTTCCTTTTTCACCATCTCTCTCCATCGCCATCTTCGCAGGAGTCTTCATCCACACACATATCATCGCCGCCACGACTCTAGTCATTCCGCTTAATCCATCAACAGTCCATTCGTCTACTGCACAACCGCCATCATGCAGATTTTCGTCAAGACTTGTAAGTTGCCGCCCGCGCGCTCACCGCATCATCACCCTGATCATCGACAGACCGATGCTAACTACTTGCTTCCAGTGACTGGCAAGACCATCACCCTCGAGGTCGAGTCGTCGGACACCATCGACAATGTTAAGCAAAAGATTCAGGACAAGGAGGGCATTCCCCCCGACCAGCAGCGCTTGATTTTCGCCGGCAAGCAGTTGGAGGATGGTCGCACCCTTTCCGACTACAACATCCAGAAGGAGTCCACTCTCCACCTTGTCCTCCGCCTTCGCGGTGGTATGCAAATCTTCGTCAAGACTCTCACCGGCAAGACCATCACCCTTGAGGTGGAATCGTCCGACACCATCGACAATGTCAAGCAAAAGATCCAAGACAAGGAGGGTATTCCTCCCGATCAGCAGCGTCTCATTTTCGCCGGCAAGCAGCTTGAAGACGGCCGCACCCTGAGCGACTACAACATCCAGAAGGAGTCTACCCTCCATCTCGTTCTTCGTCTGCGTGGTGGTATGCAGATCTTCGTCAAGACTCTTACCGGCAAGACGATTACTCTCGAGGTTGAGTCTTCCGACACCATCGACAACGTGAAGCAAAAGATTCAGGACAAGGAGGGTATCCCACCTGATCAGCAGCGTCTCATCTTCGCTGGAAAGCAGCTCGAGGATGGTCGCACTCTTTCCGACTACAACATTCAGAAGGAAAGCACCCTGCACTTGGTCCTCCGTCTCCGTGGTGGTATGCAGATTTTCGTCAAGACCTTGACGGGCAAGACGATTACGCTGGAAGTCGAGTCCTCGGATACGATTGACAACGTGAAGCAAAAGATCCAGGATAAGGAGGGTATCCCGCCTGACCAGCAGCGCCTGATCTTTGCTGGTAAGCAGTTGGAGGATGGCCGCACGCTCTCGGATTACAACATCCAGAAGGAAAGCACTCTTCACTTGGTCCTGCGTCTCCGTGGCGGCCAGTAAGCGGATTGTGGTCTTTGTTTCTGTTTCTTGATGATGAGGAAGGGTTCACGTGGGCGTTTTAGCGTTTATTGGGTTACTACACTATGGGTTGGGAAATGATGATAACCATGGAACTGGGCATTATTTAGCCGACCTCTAATGGCATACGCTTCATATACAGCGATGTCATAATAAGACTACATTTACGGTCTCAAACTTGATATCTGTTCGTGATTTGCTTGAACTTGTGAACTTTATTACTCCGGTCGGCCGGTCAGTTGGTGATGGAGTCGAACGTGTAAGTCGAGATGGTGGGTTGTTACACCGTGCGAGGTGACCGCTGCGTGGCCGGAAGTGGCGCCCTTTTGGCGGACAAGATGCATCATACGTGAAAGGTACGTACCGACCGCCGAATTCGCGCTAGTCCGGCCGTGGATCCCCCTGTAAAGGACGATCCAACGTCCCACGTCCACTCTTTCAACAGCGGCTCTATCACAGTTTATGGAAGGGTGATTGTAAAGAGGGTATTCGGAAGGAACACATCTCTCATCCTCTAACCACCAGGCAAGAACTACATCATTGCATGGACTTTGGGCACATATGCACCTGCAAAGATAGGCATCGGCGACTTCATTTACGTAAGGCACATGTCCAGGTCTGGAGGGGCTTTCGAACCTTTATTTAATCGACTGTTCACCTTCTTGACCTTTCTCTCTCCTTCTCTTGTCTGTCACTTGACAACCACCCCGACACCCTTTCGATATTTACTTTCGACAACTTTCTCATTAAACGTTAAGGCTTTAGCTTATTGGTGTCATCGCTTAATCGCTCGTTGACTCTACTCCAACAATCATTGCTTTGCGACCATACTATGAATCGGTCCATCTTATGCCATGCCTGTCTACCGCTATCATTTGAAGTTTGAGCTCTACCCTTCGCCAAATCCGACGCATAGCACGCCCGCCGCAGCACCCAACCCCGATATCTGGATACCCACCAAGGAGTCGTCCATATTTGACCACCTCCCCGCCCATCCTCGCACCTGGCAGCTCAAGTCCCTGCCTTCAAGGCCATCGTCCAAGAGGAAACAGGATCGAGATTGTATCCAAGAAGGACGAATCGAAGAGGAAGAGGAAAAGCGTCATTTAGAGAAGATTCCTGGATCCTGGCCAAAACCAGAGTCGGGAGTACTCAACAACAGCTCAGACCCCGACGCGGAGGAAGGGACGGAAACCGGCGGAGTTATCGATTGCGGGGCATCCAGACCAAACCGCCAAAACCCTGAAGACAATAGGAACATCGTCAGGCTTCCAGACAAACAGTCACGCGCGAGTTCTCCCCCACCAAGGTTCACGTCTGGGATAGGGCCACGGACGGCAGCTAAGGACTGGCGCTTCGGAAGGATCAGCATCGAGAGCCTTGATCTGCCACGGGACGGACATCTGCAGGGACACGCACAAACCGCAGCGGAGGACAAGAAGCAGAAGAAGGGCAAAGGGAAGGACACACCCAACACCACTGCTGGAGCCAGAAAATCGGTAGCAGCAAAGAACAACCAGTCAGCAATGGCTGAATCACAGAAGAATCAAGGACAGCAATCTCAACAACAACAAAATGGCAACGAGGAACGTGCCTCCCACGGGACACCGGCGGCCTCTCTAGGCCCCAACCTCGGTGGCATGGGCCAGGCCACCAAGGGACGATACATCCCTCTGGAAACCAAGAACACGGAAGTCGGCTGGGGCATCGTCCATCTCTACCGCGAGGCCGATGAGAGCAGTGCTCTTCGCGCCGGGGTGAGTGCAGGCAGCGCCGCCAGTGGTAGCAGCGATGCCGGTAGCAACGGAACTGCTAACAGTGGTGACGACGGCACTATCCTCTGCATCACTGCCGTTCCGATGTACATGAGTCCGAGTGACTTCCTGGGCTTCATAGGAGAAAAGTGGCGCGATGACGTGAGCCATTACAGGATGATCATGACGAGCAAGTTGAATCGGTACATGGTTTTGATGAAGTTTCGGGATCCGCAGAGGGCGAAGGACTTTAGGATCCAGTTTGATGGGAGGCCGTTTGACAGTATCGAGGTGAGTTTCTCTTGATACCTTGCGGTTCTACAGCTAAGATGATAATGTGTAGTCTTTGTTGTTGCTAACCTTTCTTCGTTTCTCAGACCGAATTTTGCCATGTCGCCTACATCCAGTCCATCACCGTAGAATCAGCTGGCACCCAGAACGGTCACAGTACCACCACCAGCAACGCGGGCGGAAACGGCAACCAAGTCGATACTATTCCCTCGCCCAGCAACACCCTCAACCTGCGACCATTCCCTCCCCCGACCCCCAACCTGATCGAGTTGCCGACCTGCACCGTCTGCTTAGAGCGCATGGACGACACAGCCGGTCTCATGACCATCCTCTGCCAGCACGTCTTCCACTGTACCTGTCTCCAAACCTGGAAAGGCTTCGGCTGCCCCATCTGCCGCGCCACGAACCCCAAGCCGACCGCAGAAGAAACCGACCCGGAAAACCCGTACTCGCGACCCTTCGGCTCGGGACCTGTATCTAACCTCTGCAGCGTCTGCGACGAACCCTCCGATCTCTGGATCTGCCTAATCTGCGGCAACGTCGGGTGCGGTCGGTACAAGGGCGGACACGCCAAACAGCACTGGAAGGAAACCGCCCACAGCTTCAGCCTGGAGATGGAAACCCAGCACGTCTGGGATTACGCGGGCGACATGTGGGTGCACCGCATGATCCGCGAAAAGGGCCAAGGCAAGGTAGTCGAGTTCCCCAGTCATCACATCCACAACAGCAATACCTCTTCGGAGCGCAACAACACCACGCGTGCCCCGGCCCCGGCATGGAGCTCCCAGGAAGAGACCATGGCGGCGGTTGCCGGTGCCCCCTTGCCCCATGCTCCAGTCCCCGAAGACCAAGAAGTCGTCCCCCGCGCCAAGCTCGACAGCATCGGTCTCGAATACACCCACCTCCTCACCTCGCAGCTCGAGTCACAACGCATTTACTTTGAGGAAATGGTCGCCAAGGCAGCGGACAAAGCCTCCAAAGCATGTGCAGCCGCAGACGCCGCCTCCGCCGCCTCTACCCGTGCAATCAAAGAGCTGACAGATTTCAAAGAGGAGCATTTCCGCTTGAAAGAAGAAGTCGCCTCTCTAGAGCGAGACCTCACGCGCGAGCGCAAGCGAGCAGACAAGAGCACAGAGCTGGCGCGGAATTTGTCGAAACAACTCCAAGAGGAGAAGAGAGTAGGGGAGGGACTGATGAAGAGGATTAAGCATATGGAGAAAGAAGCGAATGCCACGCAGGAGGAACTAAAGATGTTGAGGCAGCAGAATGAGGAATTGAAGGAGACGAATCATGATCTGTCTATGTTTATTAGTGCACAGGATAAGTTGAAGAGTATGGAGGCTGAGGGACAGGTGACGGCGGAGGAGCTGGAGGAGGGGGGGATGGTGGTCATTCCTGTTGGGGAGGGGTCGTCTGCTAATGGAGGGCAGGGGGGACAGGGAGGGCAAGGAGGTGGGAAGAAGAAGGGGAAGGGGAAGGGGAAGAAGTAGGTACGTTTTTGAGAAGTGGTTTTGGTGATTGGTGCTTCAATATTGCTCCCAGTAGCTTGGAAGGGAGTGTTGGGAAGCACAGAATCAGTAAATGGACAAGGGGTGAAGGTTACTTGACCCCTAGCGAAGTAGTTTGCATCATGATGCATGTATTGATAGCGAAGGAATTAGGAAATGATGTGGGAAGAGTATGAAGACTACCCTTGCCTCTAGCGGCGTAGTTTGCAACACGATACGTGCGTTGGTAGCAGCACTTCTTCGACACTGGTATCTGAGTCTTCATCAGATAGAGTTGGTTGGGAGGCGCTGGTCCTCCTCCACGTTGTGTTTGATAGCAAATAGGAAAGAAAGTGTTGCTGCCGATTTCTATCGGTACTGACGATCTTTCTCAGTCGTTGGGCTTTTGTTCGCAAGATCGGAGACAATCAAAAAGATATTTACCAAGCAAACAAGTCGCAAAAAAAAAGCCTATTTGAACACTGGTCAACAGAAGCAACTCCAAGTGCACAAAAAAGATAAAAAAAAACGAAAAATACAAAAAGCTCAGCGACCTCGAGCAGGGTCGAACCCGTCCGCTCTAAACACGCCTACGAAAACTGTACCACCGTTACCACGCAACGAGCAATGTTTATCTGGCCCCGCCACATACCGCTAGACCACGAGGGAACCTTTACTGCGAGGGATCTTGGAGTTACTGACGGGCGCTGAAGCGGGACCTTATAAGGCCCAAGTGGAAGGTGCCTGGGCACTTGGGCAGGCTGCCGCCGTCCTTGAGGCTTCCCCAATCTACGCGTTGTTTCCGAAAGGTGGAAATGCTGTCTTGGAGGGATACTCGACAACTCATAAATGATCTCTGACTTGATCAATTTGTCGCTACGGGCGGGCTTCTTCAGCTTTTGAAGAGAGACTCGATCGAGCAAGGTGAATACCGTGTAGTTAGTTGGTTTACCTCGACAGAACTTACGTGTCACTTGTTGAAGCTTCCGTGCTTCGTGAATTCTAGGTAACACCTGCGTAGCGTAGTGTACTAGAACGGCTGGCTGTGCTCGAAAATACCCGAGCTATATATATGTATATTGTATGTATGTACCCGAGTAATGGAAATCATGCCATGCCTTTGGAATTTACAGACTGCCTGCCCCTGAATAAGGTAACTTCAAAGTGACATACACAGTACAGTATTCACCGACCAACCAACCATCCTCAAAGTTACTATCTTGTTCAGCTCTTCGGACACCTGAGTGAAGGCCATCTGGATGGAGCAAGGACGGGACAAGCAAGGTAGTCGACACACATTTGAAGATGATATTGTGTTTTCGTGGGGTGGCAAATAAACAACAAGTACTACCCTGAAATGGGGGTGAACGAACATGGTTAATTATGAGTAGTAACCATAAGGTAGGTTTAGTTATGTCGAAAATATTTTCTTCAAACGTGAATTGGCAATGTGCTGCGCATAGTCAGTCTCTTTACGATGCTACAAAGAGTGAGTACTCGAATTTGTCGACGTGTGGCACGTTGACAAGTGCGTCCAGTATCAATCACAGGCTGAATCCACTAATCACAGGACGGAAAGAAAAGAAAGACCTGGTAGGTTCAAACTGAATTGGTAACATAGAAAACGAAGCAAATCTATCGGTATATATATGCAGAAACTGAACAGTCCAAAAAAAAAAAAAAAGTAACAGATCTGGCCGGCCGCCTTGCTGATGACAACAGACAAGAACAAGTGGTGAAGAAACGAAGTCGTGGAAAAAGAAAGAAATGAAAGGACAACAACATCAACAACAACAACAACCCTAAGGGTATCAACGACATCTCTGCGCTTCATATGGCCCTCCTCCATGCTCCATCACATCGACTTCTTCGCAGCCCACTCATCGGCTTCTCCCACCCTCATGCCGATCCCATGTCCTCCTACCCATAGTCAATGTTGACTAAAAGCTCGTTCGTTACAGTCGTTAATAGAAAAGAAAACGTGAAAAGGAAAATAAAAGCCAAGAAGGTTCCTAGCCATCACATCATGACCACTCATGCACAACCACCACCAACTGATCAGATCAGCAGCCTCTTCGTCCGTGGAATTCCCGTCCACCGAGCGGACCCCTCCTTCGTGTCACCTTCATCTTCCGAGCGAGTGATGGGTTAGGCGAGGTTGGTGTTAGTAGTCGAGGATTCGTGTAACCACCCCTTCTTCCTTCTCCGAGTCCGTCTTAGCCGAGAGAGAGAGAGAAAGAGGGCTGTAAAGGAAGTGACGGGGCAAGGAAAGTTAACTGATGACTGATAAGTTGCGGACGGCGGCGGGCGGCGGGACGGTCAAGTTTCTGTTCTTTTTCTTGTTGCTGTTCTGCTGTTGTCCGTTGTCTTAGAGTGGTAGGTAGTAGTTGTGTTGTGTTGTATGCAAGACCCGCCCAGCGCCCACACCCACCCCATCCGCACCACTCAGCCTTAGCACGACATCGCACCCGTTTTGGAGAAATGCCATCGCGTGCTTTCGCACGCCATGGGGTTGCTTATTCCCGTGACACGCGCGCCTGCGTTTGGGGTTCAGCAACGCCTGCAAACTTGATGCATTTGGTGAGTGCATATCCGCGGCTTTTGGGGGGTCTAACAAAAGGTACATTGGCCCTGAAGAATGGGAATTTGAACCCAGTCCAGCCAAAATCGTCTTTCTGATCGGTTTGTTGATTTTGCACAAATCTCCCGGATTTACTTCGTTTGCAGTCGAATGCGAAACTGAAAATGGCTCGTTCCTTCGTTTGTCGTCAGAAAATCCTCCGATGTTGTACCCAATCTCCACCCTCTGCTAAACCACAACAGACACCTTCATGCTAGTCCACCACAACTCAGTCCGCCAGCCCAGCCATTCCCGCCGTCGCCGAAAAGTTCCCATAAACGCCCTCATCGCTGCTTTCGCTACCCATACTCCTCGGGCTCTGCACACCACTCGCATCGCCACTGGCCGGCTGCTGAAACCTCCTATCCGGTCCTCCTCGAACATAACTCTCGTTAAACCCACTCATACTGCTCACGCGCCCGAACCCAGAAGATCCGGGGCTACCGACACCATATCCGCCTCTCTGTACCGACCCAGTACCCGTCCCAAGAGCGAGCAAGCTCTGGCTTCTCATCACTTCGGCATTGACGCCCGCCCCCACGTTGACCGCACTTCCGCTCCTACTGAGCAGCGGCTTCTCTGGCAACTGCTTTAATAATCCGGTCGAAATATCCAACATGCCCATAGCAAACTCCGTCAGGCCCTTGTGGCCCTCACCGGGCTTTGAGCTGACACTGAGTGTCCAGCGATACTCGCCCAACCGACGCCTGTACCAGTCCGCCTCCTCTCTGCCTGGAGAGGTGGCCCACAGGAGCGATCCAAACGTGCCGATCAACGCAAAGTTGGTTTTGGAGGCAAAGTACCAGAAGGCGCGCAGGTGGGAAGGCGTCAGACGGTTCACGAAGTCCATGGCGGAGATGAGACGCGCTTTAGCAGCACTTCGGCAGATGTGCTGGATATAGGGGTCAATGTTACTGGCGGTTGAGCCAGGGGTACTGCTCGTTGTGCTGTTGACGCTGGCGCTGAGTGAGGCAATGGTGGAGCCGGAAGATGAAGAGGAGGAAGCGTCGATCGAACGGATGATGCGACGGTGGAGAGTGATCTCCATGGCGAAGTAGGCGAGGTGGAGATACCCGATGCTGGAGAGGCGGTTGTTGTTGTTCTGCAACATGGTGGCGCTTTGAAAGGTCGAATCCATGCGAACCGAGGCAGGCAGACCGCTATACCATTCCTTGAGCTTCAGTTGGATGGGTTTGGCTAGCGAGAGCACAAGTTGCGTGCCTTGAGCGCCGGCATGGGCAACGGCCTGCGTCGCTTGGAGGGTATAGAACGTCTCGAGGATTTCGGCGAGAATCTGTGAGAGCTGAACCATTTGGCAAAACAGGGTGCGCCCACGCTCCGTCTCAATCCGCTCCTCCGCATCGCTCTCTTCCCACTCAATGTCGGGGAAATCATGAGACGTTAAAACGGGCACCGCCCAGTTGGACGAAAAGATGTGGGAAGGACGCCCGTGGACTAGCGCGCCCCATTTATCTTGCATATACAGCGCCCAGGCGAGACGTTTTCTCAGTCCTCGCTCCCAGGGCGGGATCTTCCATGACGAGCAGTCAAGGTGCAAGCCAAGCTCTTGCCCGATAGCAACAAGCTGTGCCGTGGGCGCCCACTGATCACCCTCGGGACGCTGCGAAAGCAACAGACCGGCTTGAATAGTCGACAACTTGGGTCGATACATGGCATCCGCGAGAGTAACGCGTACCAGTCTCTCTAGTTCCCGAACATTGGGCCGCGGCAGTGACGCTAGTTCCTCCGAATGGTCCCACCAGTTGATGGCCAGGATGTATATGGCAGCAAGGAGTGGCGGCGAAAATTCTCGATGTGATCGGTCGTACTTTTCATAGAAGACCGATTTTTGGATGATGGGAAAGCCGGGGTGTACTATGCGGAAGTACAGGTCGATCAGTTTTCGGCCATGAGGGGCGACGATACTTTCGATTTCGTCGACATCTTCGGTAATGTGCGCGTGTCCAGGAGTGAGAGAATCCGGGAGCATGAGGAAGGTATCATCGTCGCTGACCTTCCTTAGAGTCCCTCGGGCGAGGAGACTCTCGTCATGTGGGTCAAAAGGGGAGAGGTTGATGAGTGAGGGCTCAAAGTCGGTCGTCGGCCCTATGTACTGACTATACCTGTCTGATTGAAGACCAAGGGTACGTTTTAGCAAGGTTGGACCGCCAAAGTTAGCCATCTCCTCGATTAGGGAACTGCCGGTAGCAACGGTGCTCGACAAGCTTGGTGGGTTCTGTCTTCGTTTCCGATAATCAGACCGTCCTGGGGAACTGCTAACAACCAATCAGATATCAGAACACGCACATGAACAATTGCATAAAGTTGAGATGGGGGTTTGAGAGATTGGCTGGGGAAACTCGAAGTGAGCGGAAGATGGTGGGAAGGAAGTAAGAAGATGAGACGAAGCAGATTCGTGGGGTTGGTTCCCGCCGTCCATGGATGCCATGTGTGATGAGGTAGGGTAGGTGTGCAGGTAGGTAATTATTCTCACCTTCTTTTACTACCACTTTCCTCCGCATCACCGTTCAACTTGCGTTTTCGTGGCGGAGGGCTCTCGCCCAACGAACATTCTGCACCATTCATCTGGCAAGCAACACAGCTCTCTTCGTCATCACTCATGACGCACTCAAGCCTACGGCGTAGACAAGCTTCACAGGGAGTTGTTGTTTGTCCGCTTAGAGAGTCTGTGTCCGGTGTGTTGATGCCGCTTCGGAAACCAGAGAAGGAGTCGCTGTAGTTGATGCTCCCTTGTCGACTGGGAGGAAAGCGTGGGGGAGGCTTGGGCGCAATGGCAATGGGAGCCGTCCTTGGGACGGCACTGGGGACGGACATGATGACGATTAAGGGGTTGGCAAGACGATCGATCGCGGCCGGATTTACCCTGGATGTTGTCCGAGATGAAGTCCTCTCCCGAGTATTGGACGAGAAAGAGGTATGGGGCCTGTAAGTTGGACAAAGCTACTTTCCTATCCAGAATCTGCTCTGCGACCAGGCTAGGAGCAGTGCCGCAGTTGACCGGGGGACTGATGCCGTGACCAAGTATGTCTGAGGTTGTATGCGGGTAACGCTGCCACCCCCAACCAAGAAGAGGCAAGAGGAGGATATGGACAAGTCCAAGTATTTGATACAGCTTACTGATCAGCCCCACGGGGAGGCGGGTGAGGTAGTGGCGTGCGCCCCCGTGTGGAACCAAAACAGATTGGTGTCTTGGATACTCTGGGGACGAGGAGGCGACAGGGTCCACGGTCAAGGACGTTAGCTTTCCCCGGATTGAGCCCTGACAGGAGGACCCGCGAGCAACGCTGCAGGTGGATGGGCTGGCCTGGATGGATCGAAAGAAGGGTTATGTTTGGGGGTCCTTCTCGCCTTGTCTCCGAGGGTTGATAAGCAAGAGCAAGCCGCAGATAAGGTTGACGCTCGTTGACGGTACAACTGCGGACAGATTTGAGGCTCGGGAGGTTGAATCCCTACCACAAGTTCCTAGGATATCCGATGGATTGAAGCCCACACCTGGTCGTCGACTGCCTGGACACTGTCCGTCTGTTTGTTCACCTGCCTATGCGGTAACACAACAGCGGCCCCGTGTGTTTTGCACGGCTGGCAGCAGCAGGAGAAAGGGGATCAGAGAGGAAGGAGAAGCAGCCTTAACGTTCTCTTGACACCGGCACGTATCTCCTTAGCAGATTGAGTGACTTTACGCGACAACGAAGGGTGAAAGGAAGCTGGTGTCGAGGAGAAAGCCAGAGATAAGGCAGGTAGAGAGGTAGTATGTAAGGTATCTTTGTGTGTATATGATGTGTATGTATTGAAGGTAAAAAGAGCACGATCTTGATCGGCCGAGGTGGCCTCCCTGCCACGGAAAGAGGAAGCGTGTAAGCGGTAGCGTATGCGGGTGATTTGATAGGTCGCGCTCCGGATTGGGTAGGAAGGCGTGTAAGGGTACCTAGCCACCGTAGGGTTGTAGGATAGCAATCTGGCTACCTATGATGGATGCGTATTGGTGAATGGACTTATAATGTCGGCCGGGGGGTTGTTTAACTCGGAATGTCCTATGTGATGATTGAGACCAGGATAAGATAAGCTAGGCTTATCTGCGTCATTTGTGAAGATGACAATGAAGGCACTGAACCGGGGTTTCGGCTCGAGCTTTCGAGGTGTGGGAGTGGTTAGTTTATCCTTCTTGTTTCTGTCTTTGTTCCGTGAAACATGGAGGTGGTGTCTGGGGGGAGGGACGATAAGGGAGACTAATAGATGTATAAGACAAGATGGTCGATAATCAGAACCAGCAGGATTCCGAACAGGACATCAACTGCACTCGGGACAGATTATAGACTGGCGCGTGCCTCCTTGTGAGAAAGAGCAATGCCGTGTCGAGCAGAAGATCTTGATGTGGGTGAAGAATTTGAGAAACACCAGCTGCGGCACTCATCAACCAACTTTGGTTACCTTGGCGCTAGATTGGCGTGTGTAAATGGCAGTTCCATGTTGTCCACCGCAACAGGACCCTCGAGACCGATAAGGAAGTACGTGGCTGCAGGGACGACAATTGCTTGCATTTGGTGACTGATTTCCCATGATATGCCGTTCCCACCTAACTTGGGAGGTCCAGTCCGGGACTAATATGGGGTTATCTCGGAGCGGACAACGATAATGACGGCGACAAAGTGCCCATCTGTCCTGCCTGAGAATAGTGCCGTCAGGAGCATGGCGCGGTTGAGTTGCAGCTAAACGGCCGAACACCTGCGTCTGATATCAGATTGTCTGGTCTTATCATCTTTACGATTGAAGAACAAAATTCCTAATGGGAAAAAGGCGATAACGCATTCATGATCGACTTAAAGTCCGGAGTCAGGGGTACCTGCTGAGATCGGTGTGGACACGGTGGTGGGGCAAATAGCAGTAACAGTCGAGCACTGGTTGCTATACGGGAATCTGTTTAGATGACCGGCAGCCAGAGGCCAGGAGGAAAGAGAGCCCGAGGTATCAGGTACACTTTGTTGGAGTCGCGTGCGGGCTCTGGAGACCTTGGGCTGCCGGGATCGCAAGTCATGGCACCGGTTGCCGTGGATGGAGCCCCATTACCAAATGAAAAAGGCGCGTTGCCGGAACCAGCCCTCTTTTGGGAATACATTTAACGTAATGGCCTGACGCCTGCCGAGACATGGCAGTCGAAGGCAGTCTTTCAGATGTCTGTTCGTGCCTGTTGTTTGACCTTGCCGTAGCAGCGGTGCGAGGCATAAGCTCTTTCATCGCGGAGTGTCGGTCAAGGCCATTTCGGTGTTTTCAGAAGACTTGTGAATGGTTCAACCTGGATGACTTTGCATCGTGTGTCGCTGCCAAGCGATCAGAGCGGAAAGCACGGCACCTATCACCGGACTGTGAAAGCGTCCACAAGCCGGCACATTCAGTGTCGCTGATTTGCTGTGCGGCCTCGGAACGATCTCCCACAAGAGGCAGCTTGGCATTGAGTCCACAAGCCGGGAATTTATCGTGGACGACGGTCCAAAGTCTAAACCGTCTCGAAGCTGAAATTTTGAATAGCAGGCGATGGAACGTCAAAGTCCGATAAAAGGAGGAAAAGGCCCCGTTGCGGTTCAATAGATGACATCAGGCTCCGCCGGACTGGTTTGCTCTGCTGGGAATGCACAAGCTGAGGTTCCATGCCGGCGTCAAGGCGTCAGGGCGCTGTCTCCCGTCGTCTCAAGCTCACGATAGCGGATAGGGACGACCCCACAGTGGAGTTCAGCTGAAAGCCTGGAGTTCCACGTTTCTCGTTTTCCATTTCAAGCTTCGATCCAGGCTCCCCAGCGGTTTCCAAGTCGGGGTTGCGATCATGTGAGATGTCGTGTGATTGCACTTTTCCGGGGAACGGCAGGGCACGAGACAAGCTGCTGGTGTTGTTTGAAGACGGCCAAAAAGTGTCAACCCAAACGGTCGGCATAATGGTTGATGTCCCCCACATTTGCTTGTGTACATTTGTCGAGAGGTTGGCGGTGCAGCATCTTGAGACAATCGCCAAGCTCGCGTGCCCAGAACCGGATCGGAGATAAACCCCCCCGTTTGGAGGGATCCATTGACATGCGCCGCTTGCATCGATGGACGCGGGGGTATTTTTAAGAAGGCGGGGGAACTGGCAAAGGGCGTGACGGAGTGCCTAAAGTGCCTAGAGCCCTAGACGGGGTTGGGTTAATATCATATCGCGACTATCGACGGCAACGGGTGACGGACGGGAGGAAGGCTTGCACGGTACCGTCGGGTTCGTTCGGTGTCTTGGAACTCTAATAGTTTCTTAGATTTGCTAGGCGAACGGCTAAATCTGGTGGGTAACATCTTGACGTCCAGGTCTTGAGCATTGAAGCATTGAAGGTATTGCGAAGAGTACAAGGAGCGGCATGTAAGATGATTGTATGGTTCGAGATGCAAGTTGTCGGGTGGTGTGTCTTGATTGGTGGTGACTTTGCGGGTAGCTTGCGAAGGAGGTTGTTAAGGGAATGAAAAAAATGGAATGTTGCGGTTGATGTTACACAAGCAGGAAGGCGGTGGAAGCGAGAAAACTCTGAACACTTGCAGCGCACATGACACTTCATGATGCTGTTTCCACTCGGCAGTCGCGACTGAGATTCTTGAGCCTCGCCGGTTGACTTTGGACCGCCCGCTCCTTCCGCCGTTGATGCACACTTGTCAATTCTAGATGGTGTGCGACCGTTGGATCTTTCCCATGTTGCTGGAAGACGCGGGGTAACGTCTCATGATGATGCGAGAAGCCAATCGCAGAACCGTTGGGACCGTGCTTATTGCCCAACATACGACTGGAGTTTTGCGACTCTTCACTCGTATGCTCTTTTTGGGAGTGGAGACGGTCAAATTATTCCGAGCTATCTCAGGTCTGGCATCTCGGGTCAGATACCATCCATCACTTAGCCCCCTTGGGATAGTAAACCATACAAACCTCTCTATACATCACTTTCTCCCCCGTGTCCTTACCAGTGTCCTCACCAGCACTCGTTCCTGGGGCAGGTATTTCCATGTCAAACCCATCCACAGCCTCAAACCCCAGCCTCTCATACATCGGAACCGCCTCCATCGTGCTCTCCAAATACACCGGCAGCTTTTCATCCTCCTCCTGCGCATCCTCCACCAACTCAAGCAACCGTCTCGTCAGCAGAGACCCGGCTCCACGGCCTTGGTACTTGGGGTCGATGCAGACGAATGTTAGATCTGGCATGTGATTAAAAGACGAAACGCGTCAGTACTGTATAGTATACGACGTCGGTGATGTATGTTTGGTGAGGTGAGCATAGGATAGGGTAAGGGCAGACTTACGCCAACATCTTTTCTTCATAAACCCACTCCTCTCTTTAGCCTCCGATGCCAACCGAGCGTACTCCTCTAGATACTCCCTCCTGCATCCTTCAAGCTCTTTAATCTCCCCTTCTTCCAACTTCTTCTTCTTCTTCTTCTTTTCCTCATCCCCTTCCGCGGCCTTCTGCACTTCACTGTCACCACCCTTCCCTTCCCCCCCTACCACATCATCTCCCAAAGCTTTACGAGACGTCTTAGGCAAAGGGGGATAATCCCACCTAATGAACCCGACCATCTCGCGCTCGCCTTCAAGCCTGGCCACCCATATGCCTTCATCGCGGTTTTGGGTCGATGTTTGGAGTGGACCCATCATCTTTTGCTGAGTGTCTCTGGCAAGAAAGCATTCGAGCGCGTATTGGCTTTTGCGTGTGGGGAATTGGGCGTGGAGGAGCGGGTTGGATTGCATGGCGAGGAGGTGGATTTGGGCTATGCGGGCTGCTTCGAAGGAGGCGGAGGCGGAGGAGGGTTGGGAGATGGTGAATTTGGGTCTGGTGGACATTGTGATGGTGGTGGTGGTCCTGGTAGACGAGCCAATGGTGGTTGGTGGGTTGGGTGGGAGTGTTGCGCTTGTGGTGATAGGTCGTGGTGCGGTGAGATGATGTTTGCTGAAAAAGTTGTTGATGAGAGAAAGGACAAAACAAAACAGAACTGAACACGAAGTAAGACGAGACACGAGATCATGTGACGCAGTTAGTATGCAAACCTCCATTCATCATAACTGCTGGTACTGCTGCCGTTGCTGTTCCTGACTGCCTATCCCAAACTCACCACTCCCCGCCCTCGCCTCCATTTCATCCGCCTCTCTCAACAGCCTACACGGCGTCTCTATCCACTCCTCCCACTCCGGCCCCAAATACGCCATATACCTCGCCAAACTCTCCAGCAGAAACCTCCCCGAGTCGCCCGATATCCACACCTTCCGACACAAGTGCAGACAAACAAAGTAATACGCCAAAACCGCCAATACCTCCGGCTTCCCTTCCTCCAACATGCCCATGACCGGCTTCGTCAACATGGTGCCCCACGCCAACAACATCTGTACCTGCCTAGCCGGACTGGGCATGGCATCAAAGATGACCTGCAAATGCTGCACCGCCTGTCTCAGCCCTTTCATCACCTCCCCCTCCTCCTCATCATCTATTCGGGAAAACCTCTCCCCCAGCCGGCGCAGGATATCATCGCACTCCGGCCCCGAGCCGCGCGTGTCGTACAGGCGGATGCCCATCTCGATAATCGGCTTCAGCTCGCTCTGCTTCATCTCCTCCATATGACCCTCCATGACCCCGTAGATACCGCGGTGCAGGTGCAGGTAACCGACAAAACGGGTCAGCGTAGCCGGGAACTCGGCGTCTCTGTAGGACAGCGTATCGCAGAGGGCGTGAAACCCCAGAACCGAAGAAAACAAGAAAAGAGGGACGCGGTTCTCGATGCACGCGTCAAAGTGCGCCATGTCGATGCTGTTGAACAGCGTCAGGGCGTGCGTCTGCAGCTGGATGGCGTGGTGGTGGTAAAAGGCCTCGCGGTGCGGGCGCAGGACCGAGAGGTGGCGGGCGGACAGGGCCAGGATCTGGTACATCAGGTAAGGCTCGCGGAGGGCGTGGTGCATGGTGAGCGAGCGGACGGTGTCGCCGACGGGAGGGAAGGTGAGGAAGATGTCGGTGGTGTAGTGGTACAGGAGCTCCATGTGCACCATGTTGACGTTGGGCGATTGTGGTTCCGAGTCTTGGTTGGGCGCTGGGAAGGGAGTGACGTCCGGCATGAACGGGCCGGGTTCGGGGCCGGGAACAGGGATGGGAGTGGTGGCGGTGGAACCACCGTAGCCGGAGAAAGAGGCTACGGAAGCAGAGGCGGAGGAGGGTGGAGTTGCGGCGACCGAGAGGGAATCGGCCGGGGACCTTGAAAGGTCATCGCTGCCGGTGCTGATGCCGGGTAGAATGGGGTAGGAACATTCTCTCTCAACGGTCTGGCAGTTGATGCATCGCGGTCGTGTTTCGTCGCACTGTCAAGAGTGTTAACCACTGTGTGATTGATCTTGAGTTTGTAAGCGGGGGCTACTTACCTTGATGTGCCGTCTCTTGCATTCGAGACATCCCTTTCGGGATTTTCGATGACTTCTCCGCATCATGGGTTGAGTGAGGGATGGGTAGTGTAAGTGAAGTTACTAAAATGGTAGGCTGCTGGGCGGAAAGGGGTTCCGCGTATAAGTCCCCTGTACAGAATATTGCCGAGACGTCAAGTTCCCTGTCAGTGAGATGGATGTCATGCAGCCTTGACAAGTCAGATCCGGGTGGCAAACCGCGAATGACATGCACAAAACCGTTGAACTTTATCGTTGTCTCAAGTCGGGAGGACTCCAATGCTCAATATCTGGCATTTGTTAGACGAGTTTCAGATCGTCTGGGGGACGCGTACTGATGATCACTTTGATTGCGCGTCAAGATGGGCGCAGCTGTTGGAGCGCCCTGGGACCGTGAGCAGCCACACCGTGACTTATTAACTGTAGGCTTAGTAGCGAAGTGAGCCTCCACCGCTGAAAATCCAAGGACATTGAATTTCTCCGCCAAGCCCTGCCCTCGGTGCCCGGAATGGTACCGAACCCGAGGCCGGCCCGTTCCGAGCCAAAAGCTCAGCCCCGATCCCGAGTAAGAATACGAGGCCTTCATCTCCGTGTTTCTATAAATTGTATGAAGCACCCACGCGTTCCTGGTGTGCTACTGAGTATCAGGGGGTGGCATATCCCACGGTCGAGCAGCTGAGGGTAAGGCATATTTGTTGTTCTTGCTCTTCCTAGGGCTTCTTCTCCTGGCGGACGCAGGAGCGGCGGCGGTGATAGGTCCAGGACCGACGAACCGTAGCACCCAATCCCACACTCTCCGCGTCTTGTCCAGCTGAGGATGCGTGGTTCTTGTCACGGTCAAGTCCGAAGGGGCATAATGACCGCCGACGTCTGTTGCGTCGAGCCTTGCTCGGAAAAGCAGGTGGACTTTGGTCAGACCCTTGCGCAAACTGGAGCCGTAGACCTTTTTGGTGAAGACGTTCAAAGCGACGTTTTGAACGAGGACCACATCCCTATGCCGCAGTCCTTCAAGCATGCTTCCCTGTACGGTCTCGCAGCCAGGGGGTAGCCAGAACGTAATGGCGAAGCCAGCTTTGGTCTCGTCACCCACCAACACCTCGACCAGAGCGCGGTCTGAACCCCAGCGAGTGCTAACCGATCGTGGCGGAGAGATGGAAATGATGCCGACGATCAGGTTGCAGGTGATGGTCTGGGGTTGTGCTTTGACGAGGTAAGCGGCCGATGGGATATCCTTGAGGTCAGTGAGGCGGTCACCACCACGGAATGTCAAGGGCTCTTTGACGTTTTCGTCTCCATGCATTGCATGAGTTGTGGTCTCCAAGAACGAAGCCGTATCCAGGTCCTCCTCGCTCATTACCGACGTGATGGAGTGTTGCGACTCTGATTCTCTAAGCAAGTTAGCGTCCAGGTATGAGGATCGGACATGTTGATGCAGTGCAAGGGAGTGCTCGTAGAACTCGGACTCCAAGTCGCCATGGACGACAGATGATTCGTCAAATGATGGCGATATGGATGCGATAGTGAGAAAGTCATCGGGCTGATGGATTGCTTCAGGGCCATGAGCTGGGTTGAAGCGGAAGCTGGAGTCATATTGTTGTGTGTAGCCGGTCGTGATACGTTCTCTTTCGAGGGTAAGGGATCTCCATGCGGCGGGGGTCGGAGCGGAGGCCGGGATGATGTTCTGTTCCGGGCCCGGGCGATGCACTGTTTGGATGCCTAGGAAGCTGGCAATGGGCTCATCAAATGCGACAAGTAGATCTGGGGTGTTCCAGTCAAGCGCCCGGCTCTCTGGCGCTCCGGTGAATATCAGCACTTTGGAAGCCATTCATGCTTGTGACGATTTGTGATAGTGACGGGAGTGCGGTTTGGGGTTTGGTTGTGAAGAAAAAGGAAATGCGGGGCCCGGGCTGGCCAAGTGAATTGAATTCAAGGGACCCAGTACTGCCGGCCGAACACCACCAAATCCCCGAACGGCACGGACTTGAACTCTCCAAAGCCCGGAAGTGGTGCCCCGACCCCGATCTCACGGTTGAAATCTTTCCCGCCAAAGACGATAACAACACCGAACAAACCCTCTTTGCCAATCGAGACAGTACCCACGATCCATTGGCCAGAAGATTCCCTTCTGCTGGAACACAGAAACAAATATACAATCACGTGTTAGAATGTCTGAAGTAGATGAAACAAACCAATCGGACAGGGGCCGGAAAGTCTCCACAGAAATGATCGCGTCGGACTCGGACGGGACCCCTTTCAGACCGACAGCGTGACGGCATCCCATCTCTCTGGCGCAACTCCTTTCCGTCCGCCATTGTAACCCGCACATCTGTCACGCGTAATTGACCTGTATCGCCTTACTCCAGTTACTTTCCGACAAAACATGGCCCCGGCACCATGGGATTCAGTCCCTCCTGAGGACACCCTCTTCGCTTTGGTTACTGGCGCCAACAGGCAAGTCTCAACATCTATCTATCCATGCCTGATGGAGGTAACATGCTAACATTCAGTGCGACTTCAGCGGAATCGGTTTCGCTATTTGCCAACGCCTGATCGACGAGTACCTCACGACGCGCTCCCTGACCTCCCACCTCGTCGTCATCCCCACCACCCGCAGCGTCAAGAAGTCGCAAGAAACCATCGATGCTCTCCGCCAACATGCCCGCGAATTCGCGACCACCTCAGACATCCTCCGCTCCCGCGCGGGTCCCAACTACGATCCCCGATCAGTCACGAAGCGCATCCACATCCTCAGCGTCCAACTGGACCTGTGCAACCTCGCCGACGTCCACCGCGCCGCCGAACAACTCGTCAACGGCACCGTGAGCAGCCCCGCCAACGATAACGATGCCTACTTCACCTCCCTCACCGACGTGAGGATACCCCGTCTCGACTCGGTCATCTTCAACGCCGGCATGGGCGGCTGGACCGGTCTCGACTGGCCCAAGGTCTTCCACAACATTTTCACAAAGGGTCTCGTCCAAGCCACCACCTGGCCGACCTTCAAGGCCGCCACGGCCGGGCACGTTGTCAACCCCTTGCCCGACGTCAAAGACGAGAAGGTTCCCGAAATGGGCCAAGTCTTTTGCGCCAACGTCTTCGGCCACTACCTCTTCGCGCACAAGCTCGTGCCCCTGCTCAGCCGCTCCGAGTCCGACTCTAGTATCCCTCCCGGCCGTATAATCTGGGAATCCTCCATCGAGCCCGGGTGGAAGAACCTCGAGCTCTCCGACTTCCAAGCCATCAAGACCAACGCCGCCTACGAGAGCACCAAGCGCCTGACGGACGTGCTTTCCCTAACGGCCACCTTACCCTCGGCCCGCCCGTTTGTCAACTCTTATCTTCAGCCGGCCACCAAGTCATCAAACTCACCAGCTACCCCACCCATACTCTACCTCGTCCACCCGGGCATCGTCCAAACGACCCTCTTCCCGCTCAACGCCTTCATGTTCTTCTGGTACCGCGTGGTGCTGTACATTGCGCGCTGGCTCGGCTCCCCCTGGCATCCGATAACGGGGTACAACGGCGCCGTGGCGCCCGTGTGGCTCGCGTTGCAGGAGCAGGAGGCCTTGGACGCGGTGAATGCCGAGCATGTGAAATGGGGGTCGAGCACGGATTGGTGGGGGGAATGCAGAGTGAAGAAGACGGAGGTGGAAGGGTGGGGGTGGGATGGCACGGTTGAGACGAGGAAGGAGCTGAAGAATGAGAAGGGGGAGAGAGGGATGGGGAGGAAGATTGTGGGGAGGAAGTCCGGGGCGACGGATTTGACGGAGGAGAAGAGGGTTGAGTTTGAGATGTTGGGGGTGGAGTGTTGGAGGGAGATGGAGAGGTTGAGGGGGGAGTGGGAGGGGAGGTTGGAAAGGGTTCTTGGGAGGAAGTGATGTGATGCATGATGGTAATGAGATGAGGTTGGTTAAAAAGTAAACATTACCCCTGTCCTGCTTTGAAGGGAGCAGAGGAGCGAGAGACCTAGATATACAAAATAATAATCCTAATTGATGTACCCAAAACCCGCCACAGGGGTATAAACGAGAATGTGCATCCTCATAACATATAAACAAACCATAACACATACACACCGTCATCCATCATAACGTCATTGCAGACCCCAACCCTCAGCAAGAACAGAGAGAACTCACGCCGTCCCCTCCGCCCCAAACCCATCCCCCCTCCCATCATCCGACCTCACCCTCCTCAAACTAACCCTATCCCCCCTCCCAAACAACCCAAGACAAAGCGGCACCGGCACCGCCACCATCGCCACCACAGCATGAAACACCAACGCCCAATACATATTCCCATCCGGCCTTCCCCCCCTTCCCTTCTCCTCCTTCAACGCCCCCGAAACAATAATGAACACCCCGCCAAGTACCTGTCCCCCGCTCCACGCCAACGTGCTCGTCACCTCCGGACTAATCGGGTGCGTCACCTCCACCAAGAACTCCACCACCACCGGCACCAAACTAAAGCTCGCAGCGCCCAGGATGGCTAAAATGACGTACGGCCCGGCCAGGCCGGCGGAGGCGCGGGTGGAGGGCATCCAGAGGAAGATGAGGTAGCAGATACCAATAAGCGGGACGGCGATGCGGATTGTGGTTAAAAACGCTTTAGTCCTGTCGATTATCGGGGACGTGATTGCTGACACCACTAAACCGACGACGATCAACACGGCCCCCGCGATGCCGGCTTCTTCGTCCGTGTAACCGTATGGTTCCATTACTTGATTAAGTAAAGAGGAGAGGGAGTTGAAGGTGCCTACGTAAACGGCGAAGGGGATGAAGAGGAGCCAAAATTCGGCGTGACCAAGTAAGATGGCGGCGGAGGTGCGGAGGGTGAGTTTGGGCGTGGTGGAGGAGGGTGCCGCGGGCGTTGGAGGCCGAGAGGGGATGAAGAAGGCGGGGACGGAGCAGATGGAGGAGATGATTGATACGTAAAGGACCATCTTGCTCACGTCTGATGGCTCGTTAACCCAAAACGGCACAATGAGCTGGCCCAGCGCAGCGCCAAAGGGGTTAGCGAGGGAAGTCAAGGCGGTGGCGGCGACGCGCCCCCGGTTGGTGAACCACAGGTCGGAGTAGCGGGCGGGAGCGGCGAGCACGAAGGGTTGGGCTAGGCCGACGAGGATCTGGCCGAACATGACAACGCCGAAGTGGCCACCCGTAGGCGAGGAAGAGTGGGAGCCGCTGTAGCGGACCCAGTTGCCGATGAGCAGGAGGGCGGCGGCAGTGGTGATGGATAACTTGGGGCCGAGGTGCAGGACGTAGATGACCAGGGGGGTGATGAAGGTGAAGGCGAAGAGGAAGGCGGTGCTGAGCCAGTTGATGGTCGTTTCGGTGGTGCGGAAGTAGGCGGCGGCGTGGGCGGCGACGGGGGAGAAGGTGAGCCACTGGGAGGGGGGGGGGGTTTGTTAGTTGGGGTTCGTGATGTCCTTGTTGGTGAGAGGGCTGGTTGAAGGGAGGAGTGAGGTATCATCTGTGAGTGGACTTCTCTGTTCTCTCTCAGGAGTATATGTTTTGTTGATGTGTAGAGTTATTCTGAAGGTAAACATCGACGTGACTCGATGACTGAACCAAGCTGATATAGAAACTGAGAAGTGACTGCCACAACACCATGACATCAAATCCAGTGCAAGGGGCATCCAAGAACAGAAGTCAGAAGTGAGAGTGCAAATAAACTTTCAACAGCCCAATAACAGTGTAAGACGGGAAGGAAGGAAAAAAAAGGCACTTACATCCCAACTAACAATGATATTCAACAACGTCAACTGCACCAACCCGAACCACCTCCTCTTATAGACCTTATACACGACCGGTCTTCCCTCACTGTCTCTTTCCACTCTTTGCTCATTTTCGTCATTGTCATCCGCTCCGTCAATTCCAAGTCCGACGCCGCCACCGCCACCGCCGGCCGTCTCCCCGGCACTCCTACTAACCGCTGTCCCCTCCGTGATGCATCTGATCCCCGTTCCGGTCCCGGCGCCGAGCGTGGTGGAGACCACCGATCCCGATCCGGAGTCGGTGGATGCTGACCTTGACCTTGATCCACTACTGCCGCTGCTGCCGATGCCGCTTTTTTTTTCGGAATCCGATACCCCACCCCGATTACCCACCCGCCTTTTCTCATCGCCAATCATCGTTGTCGTCCTTGTCGTCGTGGAATTGTTGTTGTTTTTACTCGGACTTTCCTTCATTTCGATGCCCACTATTTCGATATCGCTGCGCTTTTTCTTCATGTTGTTGCTGCTGCTGCTGCTGCCATTTCCACTGCTTGCCGTTCTACTACTACTGCCATTGCCATTAAGATTAAAATTGGTGGTACCAGGAAGTTTCGTATGCGGATATGATAGCCGAGCTTGAGGACAATCGTCGTGGCTGTCGCGGTGCGAGCAGGTAGTATGGTGAGAATGCCGGCTGCTGTGGATGGTAGCCTGGTCATGGTCATGGTCATGGTCGTGGTCGTGATCGACGTCCATTGTATCTCTTAATTCTTGCCAGCGTCCTTGTCCTTGGGCTTGGTGATGTCGTCCTTTGGCGCTACCTCCTCTGCTGGGGGATCGGAGGCTGCTGCTCATTGCGTTTTGCGCTTGTTGCGCCTTGCGAAGCGGCTCTGCTCTGTTCTTGTATTTTTTGTTAATCCCTTTTGTTTCTTTTTCGAGGGGGGGAGGCGGCTCTGTTGTTACTTTTGTTTGTGGCGCCCCCTGGATCAAGTTATCCCAAGGAGTTTGTTTGATTTAGCTTGTTCGCATTCGGATTCCAGTAACGCGCTTCGGTCACGGTGTGCAGGACATTATCTCTGTCTGAATGGCGCTTCGGTGCCAGTGTGCGAGTTTGTAAGTCCGAGCAGCAGAAAGGTTACCTGCCGTCCGTCTGGTGTAGATGCGAGCGAGCGCAAGAAGATGACAAGATGTAAAAGATGGAAGAGCGACGCGTGTTCACATATTTGAGATGATGAAAATGAATGAATGATACGGTCGCATACTACCGCACCGCACCTTCAGAACTTCTGCCTGCAAAGAAAGGAAAGACGGACGGGACTTCGGACTCGGATATTGATCGCTGCACATTGGATGTGGGACAGAATGGCACGCTACTTATCACGCTTTCAAAAAGTCTCGGCATCCAAGAAAAGAATAAGTTTCCCCCCCAAAACCGCTTTTCTAGCAACCTTTTCATTTCTTGGCTAGCGGCGCGGCAAGCGTGTGATATTCACTTTTGAAACCGAACCCGAACCCGTTTGTGTTCGTCTTCCCCAGATTTTCTGTTACTGTGTTCAATGTGTTATGTACATAAATTGGTGCTAGGTGTTCCATCAACCAGGAAGGCGGAAGCGAGAAACATTTCAACTCATATCTATCTCCCTTGTCTTACTTCGCGAATCTTTCTTTGTCCGAACGTGTGCCTGTTCCGCCTCACTTCGTTGCGAGTTTCTACATGTTAAGTATTCCCAATAACTCCCCATTATTTTCAGCCCGTTTGCTCGAGAAAAAAGAAAAGGTCGAGTCGTAACGGAATCAAGTCACAGTCTTAAATCCCCCCCGTCATGATATCTCCGACTCGTCTACCCACCATCTCAAAAGTCACCCATCCATCCAGTTTTAACCCCTCACTATACTGCCGTACTCACCCCCCCCCCCCCCCCCCCCCCCCCCCCTTGCTGCCACATGCCATCTTATCCCATGCGCAATGCACAAGGTCGCATTTATGTACGAACGCAAGCTAGAAAACAAGTCGAGTGCGTCGGTACTCTCGGTGTATGTACTCAACAATGAGGGGTTGGTTATCTCGGGTTTTATAAAAGACCCCCCATCAGATAGATCATCAACACCCATTTGGGACATTTGCACGAGAAGCGACAGTGTAGACTTACAGTATAGAAAGAGGCCGCGCCAATCATTTGTTATGGGATTAAAGACGCCTTAGAAGCTCACTCCTTCTCTCTTGCTTCGAAGTGTTCGTTGGCATAATATAATTTCCGACCGGATGGACGCACCGTGAAACATGTCTTTCCATGTGAGGCGAGCGCAACGTGCGAGAAACAACAACACCGACTGGGAAAAGGGCATGTAAGCAAAAAAAGGAGGTCTATTGAGAGGCTTCACCTGCGTCTGCTTTTGAGAGTTAGGTGACTTCGGAAGGATTATAATACAGAAGAGACACAACAAGGCTGGGGAAGGAAGAACCGAATCAGATGGGGACATGCCGAAACCATAGGAGAAAATGACTGCGCCATGTCGCCCCGCTTCCCCCAGCCCTATATATACGTTCGTTTGGAGAGGGAGGAAGGGTACTAAAGTGTAAACACATTCATCATACAGCATGCATGTGTAACCCTTGGAAGCCCCCTTTTCCTTTTCCTCCCCCTTTTTTTTTTCACCTGGCACTGTTTCGTTTTCCCGTTTCTGTTCGTATTCCAAGATGGCTGCTGATGATTTTGAACTTTGGCGATTGGATCCTCATTTGCTTTCTATTCCCGGTCGTCATCGTAACGATTGAACGTACGTTGGTTGTTTCCTTCGTGTATCTTTGTCTATCGTAAAACGCCCCATTGTCTCCATGTAAAAGAAATAGCTCCTCCGGACTATAACCTTGTTGTTGTTCGAGGGGTCGCTTTTTCGTCATCGGACTGCCGAGCGTTGGGGTCAAGAAAGTCGCAGGCGCATCAGGAGTGCGAAACGATCGTCAAGGGAGATCGATCGCTTATTTGAGGACGTTCCAGAGCTTGGGAGCGGCGCACTGGGTGGCGCAGTGGACGAGGTGGAAGACTGTTGTTGTCGCGCAAGGTTCCTAGTGAGTAAAGCCTGTCTTGTGTGCCTGTGGGCGAGGAAGGGGGACTCGATCAACGTACACTCCTCAACGCAGTCCTCCTTGGTGTCAGAACCAGCGCCGGTGACGCGGGCGGCGCACTCATCGTAGTGGTGCTTGGCGGGAGCGCACTCCTTGGAGTTGCGGCACTCTGTAAGCAATACCCCCGTCAGCACATCATGTTCCGTCTCGAGTTGGGCTCCGTAACGAGTAAGTGTCGGAGAACGTTGTGTGAAGATGCAAGGCTGGGCGAGATCGACGCAAGTTCGGCGGTCGCGTGTCATTGGCAGTTCTGTTTGTTGAGAAGCAGACCAGTGCCGGAGGCTCGGCGCGGGAACGCAGGGCTCCCATAGGTGCAAGGTGCGTCGAGGTGATGGCGGCGGAAGGCCGGATGGTTGTGGTCGTCGAGTGATGTTGTATATGTGTTGGTCCGGACATGGGGAGGGAAGGGAGGGAAAAGAGACAGGTTACCCACCCTCCTCGAAAGTCTCCTTGGGGTCTTTGATCTCATCCTCGTCCTCCTCCTCCTCTTCCTCCTCAGCCTCCTCCTCGGGCTCGTCGGCGGCGGCGGCGGGCTCCTCAGCCTCGGTCTCCTTGGTGGTCTCCTCAGTGCTCTCGGAAGCAGGGGCAGCCTATAACATGAATTGACCGTCAGCATGCTTGCTCTCCCACTTCCCCGTATGTCTCTCTTCTCCATGGCTTATGACGCAAACAAAGCCCTCAACCACGGTACATCCCCCACCATGCCCCTCTATTCCTACAGGAGGTAGGGCAGAGCTTCAACCATCGTGTTGACTAAGCCTCCTCTCCTCTCTCTCATCGTGGTGGAATGTATCTCTGTCCAGAATTCGGGGACCCGGGGCATATGAAAGGTTGGTGATGGTGGTGGTGGTGATGGCATACCTCAGCCGGGGTATCGGCAGGGGCCTCGGCCTCGACGGTGGCCCACGGAGTGGCCGCGTCGATGAGGTCGGTGACAGCGTCCCAGAAGCCCATTTTGAATTTCGCGGGGGTGGCGGCGAGAAGAAGGTTGCGGTGGTCTTGTCGGTAGGTTGTTGATATGGCGCGACGTTGAGCAAGCTTTCTCGATCAAAAATCGGGTAAACCGAGCTTCTTGCTTGGCTCCAGTGCTCCCGGGTGGCCCCAGCTCCTGGCCCGAGCGCTGCCTCTCGCCGTCCCTCTTGCAATTGGCAATTGCTGATTGGTCTGTGCCTATCGATAGGTACACGCTCAAGTGGAAGCTGCCCCCGGGTAATCCCGCAGTCATGGACGGCGTCACGTGCAAGCACTTTCACGCTCTCGAGGGGAAACTTAAACTTGGAAGCTCGTCTGGGTCAGTGCGAGCTCGAGACCGTCTCAACTGTGGTTTATGTCTGGACTCAGCTGTGAGAGAACTTCATGTCTTTATCAAAACCCCCACGCCGCCGCCATTGATTACTGTCTCGACTGACCGGCTTACTGAATAGGCAATCGCTGGCAAGAACTTGCTTGCTTTCTGACAGCTGAGCAACACAGTATCGCTGGCGTTGCTGTCGTTGCTAGCCCTGTCATCACTAATACGTGACAGGCAGCCGCTTTCTGTTTCTGTCCGATTATGCACACCACAGATACTTCCGAAGAGCGAGACATCGACAAGGGTTTTTCAAGGTTTAAGAGCCAATGGATATTTGACAAACTAAATATGGACTATACGCTACAACGAAAAAACGGTTTGCCTCCATTTGCTACTGACATCCATCCACTTAGGGACGGCGGCCAGTCCGACCAATCACATTGTGTTTCTGACGTTGTAATTCTTTTTGTTCAAGATCCTCTTTTGACTTCACATATATAATCCTAAAGACTGACGCTAGATTGACCGTACAGACTCCTGTCACCAACAGTCGTATAATGTGCATGTTTTTCTTGTTGATCGGCGGCATTGAAGGAGAAATGTCAACTCGGAGATATTCGAATGTTTGCCTATTTCGGGGCAGCGCTGGAGGCGGTTACTTTGTGTCCCCGGGCCAAACCACATCTTGAACGCAATCTTGACGAGAAAGTCGGGCATTTATGCCGTGTAGTCCGGAGGTGGCTCATCCGGGCCAGGCTGGGGCACTTGGTTCCGATCGCTTGTCACGTTCCCAGACGGTCCAGACGCAGGTGTGCTCGAGGAAGGCCCAGACGCTTGAGCATCATCGTACGGAGGTGGAGGCTCGAGGTTTTGCCCGGGGGTCAGTCCAAGGCTTTGGGCGTGGAGTAGTCGGTCCCTCAGCCACTCATACTTTGCTTGGAAGTCGCTGTGTCCGCCATCCTTGAATGTCAACTTGCACTCGATGCGGGGGATCTCCGGCGGTACGCCCCCGTTTGGAATAGGTCTGACTATAGATGTCCAGCTCCAAGGCCCGATCCAGGACGAGTTAATGCGGACATCGCTGAAGTTTAAGGGAGGCGCGAAGAAAGATCGAAAAGCCTCGGTCGACCTGGCTGGGAGGTAAATGATCTATACGCTAGTTAGACCGCAACATCAACATGTCGTTCAAGAAATCAGAGCCGAACTTACCCTCTCGTTGGTTATGTATACAATGCCATTGTCGCTCTTGACAGAGAAAGGCTCTGCTACCTGCAGCTCCTTCGGGACCGAGAGCTCAAGGCCAACTCGCGGCTTGGAGGTGAGGAGAATCTTCTCTCCAGGGAGTTTCTGGATCTGCCCATCACGGGTCAACATGACCCAACTTTCTTTCTCGTCAGTAATCGAATGCTGAGCAAGCGTCCATCTGTGCGCCTCGACCAAGAATTGGTCGGCCATGATGACTTGGATGGGACGGGGAGGTGGGGCCGGGTTAGGTGGTATCTGTGACAATATTGAAATATATTGACAGGAAGAAAAAGAGGAGACAACGGCACTCGGAACGGGAGCCCTGGGGAAGATGGTGTAGAGTTGCCTTGCCAAAGGGTCACGAGAGGATGAAGAACAGCAGATGTAGACTTACTTTATTGACATGATGAGAGACTGGGTGGTCAGCTGCAGAATGGCCCGCTAGGTACCGTCTTGTCCTGTCCCGCGCGCCCGGAACTTGGGGTGCTAGTATTAGCACGCAAGGGTGTAGTAGTGGGTAGTAGCCGTCCAGGGTCAAAGAGCGAAGCCAGGAAGTAACCTGTTCACCCACAGCGGCACGGCCTGCAGCAAGATGAGGTGGGAGATCTGGCAAGCCTCAGTCCAGGGGTCAAGGAAGCTGTTGTATCTAGAGTGGGCCGACTTTTGCTAATTTGGTCGTCGACGGAAACTGGCAGGCTGCGAGCCTGTACAGTGTCAGTCTGTTAGCCTCTATTCTATCACTTTCAGAATGTTTCAACTTGGACGGGCTGTCAGCCGAGGCAGGTGAGCGTCCCGGGTCTTGTTGGTTTGCCCTCCAGCTTGGATAGTCCAGCCCGGAGAACACCAAGAATGGGGATGGGAATGCGGTAGTGTAGACAGTAGTGGGTAACAGCCCTTGTAGACAGGCAGCCTCTAGGCCGGCCGAACGGCCAGGTCGAGGGACTAATTGGAGACGGGGGATGGGTTTTGGGCAAGGCGAGGCAGATGAGAAGAGGGCCTAACTGGGTGTTCTAGCCAGGATGCTGGGCGGCCAGAGCTCCAACCAGTGGGAATCCAGGACGCCTAGTTCCAGACTCAGGACGGGGAGGCTCTAACAAGTGGTCTCGGCAGGTAGAGGCAGGAACACTGAGACTGAGAAGGGTCACCCGTTTCCAGAAGCAGAGGCGGACACCGAGAGAGGCCCGGGGCCGTGGACGCTGGACGCTGGACACTTTGGCAATCGAGATGTGTTGCCTATTGAGCTGCAAGATGAAAAAGAGCGGGAGACACTGCAGGAGTTCGAGCGAATGAGGAGCTACACGGGTACGTGGAGAGTCGTGGTATGAGCTGGTGAGTTGGGTGGACGAAGTGTGGATTGGATGCCATAGGACGCCGTCCAGGTTCAAGGGTCGACCGACGATTGGGATAAATGATAAATGAGGTATGGTAGCATCCCTCTAGTACAGGGTATACCGGATGTAAACCGTCCAAGACTCTGATCTAGACGCACCCTTTTCGACTAGTGGCCCGGGTTGGCGAGAATTTGGGCAAGGTATCAAGGTGTTGTTGATGCCGGCTTGAACAGTTAACGGACACATACAAACTGACCTTTGACGTCAACAAGGTAAGCAGTTGTCGATGGTGGGAAAACACCCAGGGTCGTTGGTAGGGGTTGGATTTCTGACAGCAGATAGGTCAATCAAGCCAGAGATAGTCTGGATTGGATGATGTGGTTGTGGTTGAGATGGTGGTGGATGAGGTGTTGTTCTAGGAGAGGATTGAAGCAGAGGGGTACATTTGCACTGCAGTGGTTTGAATGTGGTCAGTGGACGCAACGCAACTCCAGATGGCAATTCATTGGCGTGGGATTAAACCGGGGTACGAATTGAATAAGACTACACTAACTAATATGGGAAGTGGAGCCAGCGGATTCAGCACTGCCCACCACAGAATAATGTTACCCTGACGATACTGCCAATCTCTTTAACCGGTTTTTGCGCCATTTTTTTCCCGGCCTACAAATACTTTTGTGGTACGCCAAGGCTACTCCATACAACCCCCCTACGCTAACATTATATACCCGGAAAAGGACAGATTTCACTGTATAAAATTAATTAAATCCCGAAAGTTCAATAGATCTTTATACATTCTATATTATTCCCGTATACGCTAGTATTCTTTACTATGGATAACCCTAATTTCTGACCAATTGAAGTAGAAGAGAGGAATAGGTTTATTAATTTTAGGGACGCTTAAAAGGAATATTAACGCTTTAATTATAGTACTACGCCTTCTTACCTCGGAGAAGTTCTATTCAATAGGTACACCCTTCAATTCCCTAGCCCTATAGACGAATTCGAATCTATACCTAATAGTAAGAATCCCCTCCTTCAAACGGTCGAAACTCCTTTAATTCCGTTTACTTTAATATATTAAATTAGAGAGATAATGTATTATATAAGCCTTTATATTTACGATAGTATGAATTTTATACGACGGGTAGCGATCCTTTACTAATATTCGAACCCCTTTAGGGAAATTATTTTACCTCCTACATTTATTACGATCCTTCTATAATATTTTAATTCTTTCTCTACTTCTTTTTACGTAATATTATTAAATAGTAGGCGATATATATTAATTAGAGAAGGATTATATTATGAAATGGCAATAAAGATCCTTATTCCCGCGATAAATATTGGGTCCTTTACTATACCGATAAACTATACGTATTAATAGTAATTATCCTTTATATTAGCCTCTACGTTAAACTGAATTTAATTTTCTATTAGAGGGATAAATTTAGTTATTCTGCGTATTCTATTACGAAGTGGATGCCCTATAATAAGTTCGAGATATTAATGCGCCGTTTTTGTTATTAGGATTTCAACGGTTACGGTAGCCCAACGACCCTTTAGGAAAGGACATATACTTTTAAGAAATATATTATAAGGCTTATTTATGAAATTTGTAAGCCCCTTTAAAATATCGTTATCGACGAGAAGGTTATATATTATATGGGTAGGAGTATTATTATAGTAACTATCCTTAGCAAACCTACCGATATAGGGATTAAAGTATAGGTTATAGCTTTAGGTAATTATTTCTATCGTTAATTATTTTATAATAATATAAAGGGAATTATCGATTTTAGTCGTTATATAAGTCCTATATTAGCCCTATATAAAATTATTAGTTAATAATATTTTCTAATATTTAATGAATTAAATTTAAACTTATATAAATTTTTATAGTTTATTTCGTTATTACGTTTATTCCTCCCTTTCTATTATTAATTTATTACGTTTTTTATAATAACTTCTTCGTTATTATTAAATTTATTTATTACTTTCGAATTTATAACGCCGCTATTATTAGTACGGTCCGTAAAAATTATATATTTAAGGAATTTCCTAGCTTTAAAGAAATAGATAATAAGAAAGAGAAGATTTTATGTAGACGTATCTATTAGAAAGTTAATAATAACGTAGTATTTTAATTGGTTAAAAACCGTTAAATTATTAATTTCTTATTTATTTAGTTTAATCCCTATAGCATTAGTATAGGAATTAAGGAAGTTAAACGATGGCGCCCGATTAAAAAGGGTATAATGAGGGATATTTTTGGCGATTTGAGCGTTATAATAATTAAGGTTCTTAAAGTTATTTAGGTATATAATACATATATAAATAGTGTTAATATTAGTAATTAATTATATACTAATAATACGTATAGGTATTATTATCGAAGGGGTTTGTAGATAGTATTGTTCTATAATTTCTATTTTGAGATTTTTATTACTAATATATTCTTAATCTAACAGATTAAGCATTATAGGGTTTCCTTTAAGATTATCCCTAATATTTAATATTAAAACTTCCGTACGTAGTTGATTAACGAATTCTAGTATACTTTTGGTACTAGGGCTATATTTTATCGTTAGCGTAAAATTAAAGAATAGAATGCTAAATATCCTATTCGAAGGGATGTTAATAAGTACTATTGGGTACGGGCGAGTAAATTAGTATAGTATAAAATATATACCTTTATTACTATTTAGAAGATAAGGAACTATTAGACGGGTAATAATACTATTCCTAAATTAAAAGAGTTACTTCGCGTATATATGATATTTAAATGTGGGAGGTATAAGATCCTTATTAATAAGAGAAATAAATAGTATTAGTAAGACCACTTCGATTAGGATATTTATTTTAAAGAGGATAGGAATAATAAGGAGAAAGATTTGTAAATAGCTTTAATTCTATACTATTTTCATAAGATTTGGCTTTATTCCTTTGAAAAAAACGACAATTTTAATCTGTTATTTCATTTTGGTAGTACTTGCTAAGTAACTGAATGTCACAAAATTGTGGATTTTTGTCTAGTAGAAGATCCAATTGGCTAAACTCCCCTGTCGGGAAAAAAATGGCACAAAAACCGGTTAAAGAGATGTACATGCCGTACCCTCTGTACACTTTCTAGCTTCCTGCCCCAACAATGGACCCCGCACGTGAGTTCGTCTACCGCATTTTCTCACTCGTAACGGAATTCCTCTTTTAAGGTTAGGGGGGAGCCTTCCCTAATCTAGGTATATAAGCGAATGCTAACTAATTAGTTTACCCCTACTACCCCTTTGCCAGCCCCACTAGCCGACTATAGGTAACCTATACTAGCCGTACTCCCCGTACTAATAATCTTTAAAAATTTCGCCTAGCCACCCCACTTCCTTCCTCTTTCTTCAAATAACTACTTTTTTCGATTCTAATTCGTACCCTAAAATCATCAGAATCATCAAAATCAATCAAACAATACTAGACTATCGTATCGCGATATAGTCTTTTATTAAAGAAGCAAGTATTAAAAATCTAGCGATTTGAACAACGTATTTAAATTTACAGCTATTAAAATTCCCGTCGCGGGGTTTATTATTATTAAAAACCCGACCGATCCTAAGGTGAGTTTTATTTCATATTATTACCAATTATCACATCTAACTATAATTTCTTATTATATAGCTCCCCTTTCCACCTTACTAAATACCTAAATACTATCCTCGTTATTAGAAATTCCTATTTTTAAATTTTATTTATATTAAAACCTATCGACCTCTTTTTTTTTTTCAATATATCCTTTTTATTATTAATAACCTTAATCGTACCCCGCTAATTTTATAATAGTATGATTAAATGCTAGAAATTAAATAAGAAGGTTCGACCCTTCTATAAATAATATAAGAACCGCTTATATTAACTGTGACGGCTGGCACCAGCTGGGCTGTCACATGTGCTGTCATGGGTCCCATTCACGGGTATGGTTCATGGTGCAGGTTCTGGGCTTGGCTCTGGCTGCCTCCCGCGGCCTGGGTATAAAACCTAGCTCTGGCATCGAGCCTTTCCTTTTGGGATTTCTTCCCCTCTTCAACTTCTTGTCTTCAGTCCAAGTTAGTCGAATAGTATCATCATCACTGTTTGGCTGCGCCGTGACATTAACCGCCCCGCTAAATTAAACCCCGCGGTCGTTATTACTAGAATATAAAAATTAGGGTATTAGAATATCTCTTTTATTATATTATTCCTATACTAATTAAGACATAGTAATATTTATTTACTAAATCCTACGGTCGTATTTATTATAATAATAAAGTTGATATCGTTATTAACGGCGAGGGGGGCGGGCCGCTATCTGGTTTCTATTGTCCTACTTACCTTATAACGGTTAAATCCTTTAAATTCCTACTGAGAATTATTTTTTAATGGTAGTTTAATAGATATTCTATTATATTCGGTACCGATTACCTATTTCGGCTAAGATTCCTAGATTTCGAAGGAAGGTTATTTGCCAATTTCCTTGAGAAATATAAACTGGGTGACTTTTTACGTATTGGTTAATTTAGACGTATATTAAGATATATCTTTTATAACCTTACCGGTCAACCTTATACGGAGTTTATCTTTTTGACCGATTAGTTTAAAGAGTTTATTAAGTAGTATAATATTATTATTCGATGAATAATATACTAATTTTCTAAATTATTAGAAGATTATTTTCGTTTAATAACTAATTTTTTTTTAAATTCGTACGTAGAAATACCCTTTTGCTTATAGAACTGTTAATTAATTATTTAATTTATAGCCTGCCTACCACTTATAAAGTAAGTATTTTATATTTAGTTTACCTTATTATTTAACTTTCCATTAATTAACTTCCCTTCCCCTTTTTTAATAAGTATTTAAATAATTTATTATTAATTTCAATAAGACTCCTATATTATACGAATTCTTCGATGGAATTATATACGACGTTAGAGGTAACGAAATTATTATAAGTAAGACCGACCGAAATAGATAGAATAAGTAGTAAACTACCCTTATTCTATATATTTTTATAGGTGGGGTATAGCGGTTGCTAACTAAGTTAATATTTAAGGGTATATTAGATATTAGTAAAATAAAAATAATAAAAAGTATAGATGTTTTACTATTTTTTATTATTTTTATTATCTTTTTAATTCTTTCTTTTTATATCTTCTTATTTATATCTACTTTCTTCTTCTACCCCCTAAGTTATACCTTTAAATTATAAATCGCATATAAAATTAAAACCGATAGAAGGTACTAACGCCGTATTAATTCTATTACCTATGGGCAAATAGGTAATAATCCGAATTAAAGCGGACAAATAAACGTAATACTATATACTACAAACCCAGGATTTCCCCTTCCTTTTATCTTTTTTCCTTTTTTTCTTTCTTTTCTCCTATAGCCAATACGGTTATTAGTCTAGAGTAAAACTTTAACCCAACGGAAGGGTAAATTAATACCGTATCTTTTACCTATTACCTATAGGTAAATAGGTTATAATATAGGTAGAGGCGGGTAAATAATACGTTCCTTACTTGGTTATGGGAAAAAAAGAAAGAAAAAAGGAAGGAAGTAGAAATTATACCGCTTATCCTGTTTCCCTATTACTCCCTCTTTTCTTTTTTCTTTTTTTCTTTTCCATTTCTAATACTTTTTTATATAGAGGAATATACGGTATACAATAAAGGGATAACGGTTGAATTCAACGAAACAGTATATAATAATAAAAAATTAATAATTAAATAGATTAACGAAGAATTGAATATAGTTATAGGTAATGATAATAAAGGACTTCTGGTTATAGATACAGCCGGCTTTTATAAAATAAAGGAGGTTTTCGATACCTTTGATAAATATAGTATTAACTGAGCTCTAATCACTAGCAACCTTACCCTATTATTGCAACCCTTCGATACTTATATTAATAAATCCATTAAGGCCTACTTTTTTAATGAATACGATAATTACGTCAAAGAATAATAAATTATTATTAAGGACTTTGAAAAATAGATTCCTACTAAAAAGAGGTTTATATTTACCTATATTATTATACGAGCAATTAATCGGTTTAAGCTAGAGAATCTAAATTTAGTAGCTAAACTTTTTATAGATTGTAGTCTTTCCATGCGCCTAAATGGCGAGGAAGATTATAAGATTAATATTAAAAGTATTAATTATAAGGATATTAATTTTATAGGGTTTAAAGAAGCTGATAATAACGAAGTTATTAATAATTATACTAAGCCTGGGTTGGAAAGGGAGGCGATTATTAACGAATTGGGTATAGTATATAATAATTATACCATTACTTAATTGAAGGGTTTTTATAAATAGTAACGAATATAGGTATTTAACAAATTTAAAAAGGCCGAACTTATCGCTAGACTTAGGGACTTCGATTATAATACCCTTATTATAACTAAAGTAAATAATAAGGTAATTAATATTAAAAAGGAGGAGGGAATTTCAATAGCGCTAATTCTAATCGATTAATATTATTACTAGTATTAATCATCGTCTTCATCTTTAATAACAACAAACTCTTCTACCTACACAAATGCTTTGCCTTCTTGCGACTTTCTCTTAATACCCTATATATTATATTTTCGCTATCGCCTCCCTCTCGATTTTATAAAGTATTTAACTAGGTAATTCTTATTTAAAATATATTATTTAATAATATCCTTCTACTACTCTCGAATCTAACTAAAATGATAGCCACCACTTTCAAAGGATAAATTAATAACGTGTGTGAACTTAGGGAAGGAATGTTGCCGGTAAATAATATTATATTTATCGTTAATAGTAAAGATTTTAATATCTTTAAAATCTTTTATTACATTTATAAAACGAAATTAGATTTAGTCAATAATGTAGATTGTATGGCTATTTACGTATAAACGATATTGATAATCCTAAGGTCAATACGAGGTATAGTTTTATAGGGAAGAATTGAAAATATCGTCGTTTTTATAACCAGTATTGTTGGTTGATGTGTAAAAAGGATAAAAACGATGAAATCAATAGGAATTAGAAGGTTAACGGTCTCCAAAACCCCCTCTTTTACCAAGGAGCTAGGTACCCCTGTGCACCCCTTATCTAGCCACGTTAACGTACCTACTTTGGCTTATAGGAGGCTTATAGAAGGGGGCCAGCTATACTGTAGAAGGCTAGCTTTAAAAGGGAGACCCACAAAGCAATTCCGTTACGAGTGAGAAAATGCGGTATCGTGACTGCCCTTATGAACCAGAACAGTCTTCCAGATGACTTGACAATTTTTATGAGGGCAGGAACCTGAAGGCAGCAGTGGGCAGAATTTTCTTCCACACACACACAACTTGGAACTGACTGGAAAACTCCAAACTCAAAGTTCTCTCGACTTGGTGATGGCTGTCCTCGTCCAACACAACTATCAATCCACTCGAGCGAACCCCACAACTCCAACCTACCCGCAACCCATCATGTCGAATCTCGACTGATCTCATTTCGGAGTCCATCCCATTCCTCACATCGTCTTCCTGTACCTGCAGATCGCTGTCAGTCCTAATCGCCAATAGTGCTGCCAATCACCACCTCTTCCCCGGGCTTGTTAACGAGCACACAAGCACTGCCATCGTCGCCAGTTCCGCACTCTACTCTACGCACCACATTATTCATCAACTCTCAACGGCTTCTTTCCCGGATGGGCATGGCTCAGGCAGCAAGCACCAAGGCCAGAACCGGTCTCGCTACCCGATGGATCCAGATATCATTGTCTGCCCCTACCCTGATTTCTGCTAGGGGGGCGAGGGCCCAACTGAGCTGGGCCCGGGGGGAGCCGCTGGGGGGAGCCGCTATCACACCTAGTGCACTGCTCCATACGCACTCCTCTTAGCGTCCAGAATCTAATCTACCATCTGCCCCCTTTGGTCACCTTGGTGTTCTTAAGAGCCAGTTGCTTACACAGCAGGGCGAGCAGAACAAGGATCCGGCTTGAATAAGTCCTCCATCATTAGCACCCACCGGATCGAATTGAGCTTCGAGTGCATACGCCATGTGAGAGCGGGAGAACGGAAAGCCATGCTCACCATGCATTGGTCCTGATCCTTGGGAGACACTACTCGGTTTTGACAACCCTTTCAGCCTCCTCGTAGCGCTTCTGGCAGCAAAGCGACTGGACATGCCCTCGCTGGCCCATGTCGGGTCGGGAAAGCGCACCGATACACATCCTCGCCATCACAGCAAGAAAGCCATCATGTCAATGCCCTCGCCCTATTGCCATACGTCTGGGCAGGGATCTATGCCTTGTCACTTTGTTGACGTCGTTGGTTGCTACACAAGATCTACATCCTTGTACAGGTACCTGAAGAGAACCTACCCAGTCACGACCTACACCCAATCCGGATCCCTTATTGGCTCTCTGTACTGGAGCAAGGGTGTACAAGTACCGCTACTTGTTCGCTGTTCACGTGTCGGCTCCTTTCGGCCCCTCCCAGAATACGTCTACCTCAACCACCCCGGGCCCTTCCCGAAGCCCCGAGCTTGTCCAGTATCTTCTGCCAGACAAGTGGTTCAATCATCACGACCCAGCTTCCTCACCGCCCCATGCACCCCATATGCTAGTACCTCTGCGGCACGGCGGCGAGGGGAATCAACCCGTAGCAGAAATCTCAGAAAAGCGAGCGAGAATTGTTATTGGCGAGGAATTCATTCCAAATCATGTCCAATACCGGGTACATCCGTCATGCCGCCTTGACGTGGGGCAGTCTGAACCACTCCGACTCTTGCTCTGGGAAAGCGATACACCTTGAGAAAAAGTCAACACTCTCAAGGTACCCAGAAAGTCTAGACTGGTTTGACCGGCAGTACGGGCTACAAAGGGGGTCAGTATACGGGCGCCGCCTTGAAACCGCTCAAACGCTCTCGCGTTACGGCTTCCGCCACTCGTGAGACCAAGTATTACCGGCCTTTCAGCGAGCTTTCCGCACATCGACATCATATGACGGTAGTGCTTGAGTACCAAACCAATCCAGACCAGCCTTTGCTGCTTCCTACAGATTTCCTCGCGGCAATGTCGACGGAGCTGTATCAACCTTTACATCGAGGAGTGCTAGAGGACGTTTTCAGTGCTGGTGTCCATGATACACTATCATTCTCTGATCTTGCCATCGCATGTCTCTTTCCCCCACGCAAAACCATCGTTGCTTCAGCTTTTCTACGCTCTGATCTTGGTATCTTCACTGATGGATTCTAGCCCAACCCAAGTGGCCAAGGCTTCCTGGCTCGCCGGCGTCGAGAAAGGCCGCAACCGGACCTCCTGGGTACATCGTGTGCCTCTGCAGTTTCTTCGCTAGCTGTCGACAAAAGTTTGAGATGTAGCAGGTTCATATCCACATCTCGGCTCTTGTAGCCCAATCAAGCTGCCTTCCTTCCGAAGGAGTGCGTCGAGGGTCCTGAGATCTGCAAACCCTGTAGCACCATGTTCTTCAGAGACTCCCAGTGATTTTTTTTGCTGTATACGGAACACTCAAGCTTCTGTTTCTGGTGTTCGGTTTCTTTTGTCATTCATGATGACCAGCCTCGAGTGAGTAGCTGGCCGGCTGAGCATGCTCACCTGGAACACTACGAAAGCCACCGTTCAAGCACGCACTACCGTCTCATGATCCGTTTGTGCAAGTGGACCTGATCCTTCAGCATGAGACGTGGGTGTTAAGTTCCATGCGAGGGAACTAGAAGAATGTGTCCAAGTCTACAAGCACACTCGGCTGGGAACTCATGTATTGATCTGATTCCCCCCCCCCTTCATACAATCCCCTGGTCATAACCTGTCAAAGTTCAAGCCACATTATGTTGCCTGTGCTCTTCTAATGTCCTGTTACACCTCTTGAGTCTCGACAATTTCTTTACGTGTAGCATGTGCGGTTTGTGCCGATCACGCACAACCACGTGCTGTAGGGCTAGAAATACGGATTTCACATCTTCCTTCGAGGCCAGTTTCTCATCAATTCCTGCGCCGGCAACTACACTAAACAGATGGGTGACGGAGCCGACGAGGTCTAGGTCCACGTGCAATTCCAGTCCTTCCCACGGAATCACGACGTGCCGAATCAACGGATCTTTACCCAGAGCCGAGGCCTTGAGCAAGGCCTGAGGTGTTTGAACTCACTTCACACCACGTTTTGGAACTATTGCCACACAACAGATTTCCCACGATTAAGTGAGTGTCCTCTACTGTGCTAGGAGCATCTCATCCAGCTGAGGGATGTATCTTTTCCCCGGAAAATCCGCTCCGAGATGAAGGATTCAAGGGACCAGTACCAAAACTTGGCAACCTCCACGACGAAATATCCACTGTTGCATTCTTATCCAGAGGCGAATCACCAACATGGCAACATAACCGCATTGGGGCAAAACCCCTATTTAAAGATAGGCCATCACTTTGAACCTGGAAGTCTCATCACGCTCGGAACCGCACTACTTACACCCAGACGATGAAGGAGTACCTATCAGTTTCATCACACCTGAAGGCCATTGCAATCCTGAGTTGAGACGTTCTTTCTGTCGCGGAAGTAACCTGGCCTAGATCTTTTCTTGTCGCCTCTTCCCACTCATTACCACCCCCTTCACCACGCAAAGCAATCAAAATTCATCACAATTCAGGGGGGTGCCTGAGTCTCGCCGAGGAAGAATGCAGTTCAAGTGACAGACTGTGAGTGATGCCCGTCTCTACTATTCAAGCCCGACACAGAGCAAGGGGATTTGGTTAAGGTTACAGCCAGGCATTAACTTGGCTTGCATGGGAAGAGATAGTACTGTGGTAACAGAATCAGAGCGTGATCAGACAGGAACGGCAGATCAGCACAGCCTTCTACTCCCATTTTTTCAGCCCGTCATCCGCTCTCCTCGGTGAAGCCGCCACACGTCACACATACATACTATGGTAAGTAGAACCCGTGGGTCAGGTCGCTGACGATCACTGACTACACTATACAGTGCACCATACAGAGCCATGAAGTTTTGCTTGTAGTGGTCCGTGCCAGATACATGACAAGGGGGTTTTACTTTTGCTCGCGAACACATAGACCCCTTCCAGAATGCTTCGTGGACGTTACAGGTACATTCTGGTACCAGGATCTCTTTCTCGACACAGACCCCATATTGTTCGCGTATCTAAACCTCAAAATCGTGCCACCAAAAACAATCTTGATCTTCGGCGAACGGCCCGTCTCCGAGCTGAAGGACATCGACCAATAGCTGCGGACTATGAGATGATTCTCTCGCACTCGCCTTTCTCAAAACAAGGTCATTGTTTTCAGCCCTGCTGCAACCAATCTACACAGGTAAGGGCCTCATTAATAGGACATTCTTTCCTCATAGAGATCAAGTCCGCAGAGACATGGGTTCAGTGGCCGACCTGGGATCACCACGGACATGGCTCGGGAAACTTCCCGTAAAGTTGTCCACGCCCATCAAACTACTAACGTGTATGAACAACAGGATCACAACAGGACCTTGCCTTCCCGTACATACGCGAAATTAGATGGACACAAAATCAAGAACCAACACTCGGCACAAGGTGGACAGCCTGCCAAACTCGCGGGTAGTGGACGGATGACAAATACCTCAGTGATGTAAGAGGACCTGCCCATTCATTTCCCATTATTTGCTTCTTTACTTCCGGTTCATCTTTCGCAGAGGGAACGAACAGTGGCCGCAGTCATTGTACAGAATTCTCACCGAGATTGCTATGGGTTCCGTTTCTTATAAGAAATTCACACCGCTCAAGCACCTGGCTGATGCTGCTAGTCCCCCCCCAGCTAGACCTACCGCTCCGTTTCCCTTTTCCTCCTTGTTCTAGCACGTTCTAGTGCGGAAGATCACAACTCCATAAGTCAGCTAGACACATGGGTCAAAAGAAGTCGTCGCTTTTGCTGGTATGTCCGATCTTTGTTCCGAGTGTCTTTTGCCCTCATCGCGAATGAGATTCAGCTTTTCTTGTGCTCCCTTTTCGGTTCACTGGCAACCAATTCTCACATCTCATTGGATAGTTCTGCGAATGATAGTTCATTCATATACCTTATTTTCCTGGCTCTCTGCTTTTAAAGCGACCCTTCTAACCACCACCACCACCACCACCACCACCACGGGCACCAGTCCACCCCCAAAGTCTCAAGATAATATGTTGATGCATTAAAAACTCTCCTATTTCTGTATTGTATGGTTGATGAATGGAAGACTCGCGAACGTGGAAAGAAAGAAGCATTCATTCAATTCATGATGACAGGACAGAGACAACCGCCTCATGGCCTACTCCTCACATCCCCTTCCGTCCTGCTCTCCTATTCCACATCTTCCCACCTGACATGCCATATTCAACTCTTTGCTATCCACAACCAATGGGAAAAGTCAGACCCAAGATGGGTAACCGACCAACCAACCAACCAGCTTCCAACAGAAAGCCAAGCTCGTTTCAGCCGTTCACTGGTCTCACGGCTTGCTTACACGCACAAGCGGGCGGTGTGTGTAGTACTACACATAAGCTTTCAAGCCTATCGAAGTGGAAAGAAAAATGCCATACCCAGAACGTCCTCCGGGGGAAGGGAAGCCAGGGGAGCGAGAGAAAAGAAAACATGCTTCAAAGCCAATGCCAAGATGGTACGCACAAAAAGAAGTTCCCATGCACCGTCAAATGCAACCAGCCAGAGAGGTATGAAAGGCTAAACCCAGAAATGAAAAAGTAAACAAACCCTTGCCGACAGTGGTAGAAGAAAACTCAAAATGAACAATGCCAGACGGAGAACATCATCAAAGGAAAAAAAAAAAAAATTGCCATTTTGTTCTCCCCTCTGATTCCCTCTCCTTTCTCCCCCCTCCTTTCAAGGCCCAAGAAGAACTAGGACTAAGAGACTAGGTAGTACTAGCTTTGTCCCCATCCTTCACCATTCCCCTCGCCATTGACACAGGCTAGCTTATACAAGCTAAATAATCCGTCAATATCGGTAAAAACTCAAGGCCAGTTGGGTGTCCATAACCCACCCCCCAGTCGACGACTACCGAAATGGCCATGCATCCCAAGCAAACAAGCAAGCAAGCACCCTGAAGGCTCGCCCGCCCTCGCCCGCCGGCCGTCGAAGGGAAAGCCAAATCCCATGGACCCAGCCAGGCCCGAGCAGGTACATCCAGGTGGCAGGGTGCGGTATCCGGTAACAAGAACTTTCCCATCTCCCAAAGACAGACAAAATACAGCGAGCAAGATAGCGAGCAAACCACAGAGAGTTCTAGAAAGCTGTCAATCCCGGAGTTAATGTGAACGAATGACACAGCCAATGGATGGATGGGTGACAGGTGGAAAAAGCTTGACCAGGAACCGCACTCTCCGTTACCCGAACCATGGAGAGAACAACACCTCTCAGGAACGACCGACCCAGCACCCTGTACCCGAACCATGCGAGAAAATATTGACAGACAGAAAAAGCCGAGAATGAAATATCGAGACCGTTACCCGACGCTCACCCTTCTAGAACGTCGGGATTTCATTAGGGACTAGTGTCCACTTGCGGGAGTAGGTAGGGAGTCGGTAGTAGTTGCTTTTCTCGCCAAGGCCAAGCCAATTCGATGTTTTTTCCTGCCCTTGCCCGTTGGGCACCAATGGGTGATATTAATGAAATAAGGGTATAAAACATGGATGGATGGATGGGAAAGGGGAGCCGGAGCCGAAGGAGCACAAAAAATGAGACACACCAAAAAGTTAGTGCTGGATGGATGGTCATGATTTCGGCAGAAAGAGAAGAAAGGAGACTTGGACCACTGACACCGGAAGGAAGAAGGGAAGGTTTTCACAACTCGGCGAACTAACAAAGGATTTTCGATAGTTGCCCAATGTTTCTCCTCCCTGGTCGAGCGAGACTGGGTTCTTCTGACTCTGGAATATTCGAAAAAGAGATGGTCTCCCTCTTCTTTTCCTTTCTTTCTTCTCCCTTCATTGCTCTCTCTCTCTCTCCATCTTCCCAATAGGTCATCCTGGCTGACACGAAAGACTAGGCCAATGAACAGATAGATACCAGGAGGCCATCAAGGCGGTGGATGGTGGACGCGCGAAGACACACACACACACACACACACACACACACACACACCAGAAGCCGAATGCCTGCCAAGCTGCCGAGAAAGTTTTGGATATCGACCGACCGACCGACTGACCGGCCGACTGGTCCATCAAGACCAATTAACCAGCTCAATCCATTGACCAACCACAAACAACCATGCGATAAAACGAGTGGGAAGAAACGAGAGAGCAGAGGCCAAAAACACCAAGTGGCAAAAGGCGAGGAAAACCTTTCACATGCCAGTGCCAATCAGTGTGGTGCCGCCAGTCCGGAATATCCATTTCGTCCCACATGTCCGCCGCCGTCTCTTTTTTGTCGAGTCTTCTTCATTACTCGAGATCCCTCCACCAGTTGGATTGAACCTAGGGTACCTGAGACTTGGCGAGAAAAGGTGAAAGGGTGCTTCTTCTCCTGATCTTACAACACTTTCTGCGTCTTCTCATGTCAACAAAACTCGAAAGAACAACAACTCAATGCTTTCCTTCCTTGGCGATTGATACAAAAACTGAATGGTGATCAGGATACCCACAAACAGCAATAACAAATAAATGATCAGCAAGATCGACTGCAAGAGTGGACCCCTTTTATCCACGTAACTATACAATAGTTTTTGTACAAGTGGCTATCATGTGTGGTGTGGCCGTTAAAGAAAATGGTGTGGGTATGGGGCTCTCGTTAGTTGTAGTCCGTTTTGGCTGGCACAGGCTGCACAGCTTCGTTGTGCATTGCATCATCGTGGTCGGGGTGTCGTCGCAGTCGCAGTCGCATTATCACCGAACGAATGAGCCTCCAAAGTGCCGCCGCTTTAGCCGTTTCGTTAGCTAGAGCCGTGCAGAGCCGTGCCGTTTCGTCGTTGTCCACGTCCGACCGACATCCGTTTGGGGTTTCTGCGGCCCGCAGTCCGTGTGAATGGACTTTGTCCCCGACTCCCCGATTTTCCCGATTCCGCGCTTGCTGCACGATCCCACGTCCCACGATCTGTTGCTGTAACAATATGCAAAGATTGTGGAGAGGGCTGGTGACCCGTCAACGTGAAACATAAAGGATCTCTTTGCTTTTGTGGGACATCTCAGACAACGCAACGGCCAACGCCAACACCACGCCACAAGAGCAGCCTCAATCACGACAGCCAATAATCCGGCGCCCGCACCGCAGGCGACACAGGCATCGGCGATCTCCCGCCGCCGCCGTTAATATTCGCGACTGCACCCGCGACCACGCCCGCGCCCAAACCGCCAATACCAGGAGAATTGGCACCCCCGATATGAAAATCCAATTTCGGGATCTCAATCTTGGGCGGCGCCTCCTCCCTCGGTTTCTTCCCGGGCGTCTTCTTCATCGGACTGACGCCCCTGCTCTCCGGCGGCGGGCCAAACCGCACATCACGCACGTCCCAGCCGTCTTCGGCCGCGGCCGCGACCCAGGTCCGCAGCCCGTCGTGAACGGACCCGTAGAACTTCTCCTTGCACATGCGCAGGCTACCGCCCAGACAGCGTTCCCAGCCCGAGATGCGCAGCTGAGCGCGCAAGGCGTTGCGCTCGGCGGCTGTGGGACCCGTGCATGCGATGATGGCGTTCATCAAGTCCAGGTGGCTGGCGATGTAATTGGTCGCGTCCCATTCGACGCCGCCGACGTAAGGGGCCGCGGGCACGGGCGGTCGTTCTTGCGGGAAGTGTCGGGACATGTAGGCTAGTTGGGCAGCGGTTGCGGTTTCTGAGTCTTCACCTCCTGACCCTGAATGGGGGTCTGTGTCACTTCGTGGTAAGGCTGAGGGATCGATGATGCCCGCTTGGTGTAGTTGTTGTTGTTGCTGAGTATCTTTTTGCTCGCCAATGATGATACCGCCTGACCCTCCGCCGGCGCCGGAAATGCCACTTAATGATGGATCCGCTGGTGGCAAGGAGACAATGTTCATGTTGTGCAAAAATATCCAGAAGACCTCCTTGGTCACGCTCACGGCTTCCTTGCACCATACGCGGTATGGCCGCTCGCGCCTCATCTCGAGGATGAATTCGACTGGCTTCTTTTCCTCTTCCGTCTCGGGGTCCCGCAGGAATTGCAAGATCGTCTGGGCTCGGGTTATGCGTTCCTGAGGCGTAGCGCACTCAATGTAGGTGAGGAGGATCGAGGTGATGATGTTGCGTGTTGTGAACTCGCTTGGCCCCTTCTTCTCGGGGTCGAAGATCAGATGCAACAAGGCTGGGAATAAGGTGGCGTGGATGGTGTGCAGGTACTGTAGTGCCAGGGCGGTGGTGCAGAGGGCTTTTAGGCAAAGAAGGTTTTCGTGCAGGAGGGCGTCTTCGTGTTCCTCTCTATTGCATGGTCAGTATCTCTCTCAAATCACAAAAGTGGAAGAATTTCAGACTCACCTCCACTCAACAGCCATAATCCGATGCAACAGATCCACGATCTCCTTCATCCCCCCTTGCTTTATAAACTCCTCCGTCCAAGCCACCGTCTCATTCCTTAGCAACAGACGAAGCTTATGAAGTTTACCGACCTCCACCAGCTCCGGCTTCCGCACCTTTTGCAGGTAAGCCACAAAGTCCGCCGGCACCTGCTGACTCTTGCCGCTCTTCATACCCAGGAACCCGCCCACGCCGTTTCCGGAAGAGTTACCGTTCAGATCGCCAAACGACGGTCGCTCGTTCATGCTGCTGTCGTTGGACTTGGACCTAAAGTGTCGACCGATACTCTTGCTGGGTGACGACTGGGCCTTGCTGGCGGCCCCCTTACCAAGCGACAGACCGAATCCTTTCCTCTTCGTCCTGCCTGTTCTCTCGTTATCCTTATCCTTGCTGTTACCATCCTCCCGTTTTGAACTAGAGGATGACTGCTGCTGTTGCTGCTGATCTTCCCGTTCTGATCCGGCACCACCATTGACACTGCCTGCGTTCCCTCCCTTCTCAAGAGACGTATTGCTCGCGTTCTGGCTCACCATCTTGGCCTGCATTTCTGCCCAGTCCTGCCGGATGAACTCCAACTTGATGGTGTCGTTGAGGTTGCGCATCTTGTACCGCTGGTTTTCAGGAATGTTGCGCCGGTCCAGCATAGCTTCGAGGTGCTTGTCGATGTCCTTGGGGTCAATGTGCTGTTGAAGCAGAGATTGGGCGCTTTGTTGCCGTTCCATACTTGCGGATTGTGCTGCTGCTGCTGCTGATTTGATTCGCTCTCCTCCTGCTGAGCTACTACTTCCTCCACCGTTACCAGAACTGGAAAACATGCTCTTAACGTTGTATCGTTGGTTTGACCTGTCTGATCCTTGACTTCCGCCTGCTGCCAAATCTGATCCCTTGGCGGTGGCCCACGTTTGCCTCTTCCAACTTCGTTCCTGTCTTTCCTGTGATGATGACTGGTTATTGTTGTTGTCAGATTGCGGTTGCCTGTACCGAGTGTCGGTGCTCGAGTCTGACGGTGTACGCTTCTCGTCCTGCTGATTGTTGCTCGCAAAGTACTGGTGAAACGACTTTGGCCGTGGTTTTGAGCGGCTGTTGTTTCGATCTCGATCGCGGTTTTCCGCTTCAGGCTTCAGATGTTGGTTCTCAGCTATGGACGACCGTCCTGTTCCAGGACGTTCTGGGTCAGCCGGCAATGGTTTGCTGCTGTCCCAGAAGGGATCTCTGTAGTCCAACGGCGAAGCCACTGGTGTCGTGGACGAGCTCAGTCCTGGAGGCGGCGCAAAGGGCGAGCCCCTGGCAAACTGGGCATAAATGGGTGGTGGTGGGCTGGTATCAATGGCACTTGGCGCGCGGTTCTCCTTGTCCTTGTTGCGACGGCGACTGTTCTCTTCTTCCTCTTGTTGCTGCTGCTTCAGATTCTTGGTAGACTTTGGCCTTAGAAGCTGGCCGATGTTGGCGGCTGATTTGACCTTCTTGGGCTTGGTGGGTGATTGGTCTCCTTTGTTCTTGGAGGCTTTGCTGGAATCTTTGGATCCGAAGGGATTAAGCGAGATGGTCGCAAAGGGGTTCGACTTCTTTTCGGGAGATCGTGGTGGCTGGTCGTCCAATTGGTTGGGCTGAAGCTCACCGAGGGCGTCGGCGAATTGACGTCTCTGGTATCCGGACAGGTTCATGTCGCAACTGTGTCGCTGGGCCACCAGGTCGGGGTTGATCTTGGAGGGAGGGCGCAGCAGTTCAGGAGGGTCGATGACGGAAGCAGCCGAGGACGAAATAACGGGATCGCGGTCGCGGTCGGAAGATTTCTGGAAATCGGTCGAGAAAACGGCAGGGGGCAATTGTACTAAACCGGCTCCGACGGTATTGCTTCTCTTATGGCCCATAAGCGACCGGAGGTAGGAGGATTTGGGGCGTTGTTGCGGCTGGACCTGGTTTTGGTTTTGGAGGGGGAAGAAGGGCGGCAGGTCGTTGTCGTTGTTGTTGTTGTTGTTATTGTTGTTGTTATTGTGGCTTCTATCGCGCATGCCGTCGCCTGAGCCTGTTCGGTAGGCAGGAACGCCGCCGTTGAGATCCGCCGCGGGAGGCATGGCGGCGGCAGGCTGTGAAGGGCGAGGCGGACTCAGCTGCTGGCTTTGAGACAGGAGTGGGTGGGAAAAGGGAATTGGAGGCGGTGGAAATGTCTCTGGTGGTCAAAACAAAGGCCCGGGTGATGGGCAGGGGGCCGTGCGAGCGTGCGGAGGATGTGCGGGCGTGATGGGCGTCGTACACGGACGTGTCTCGGGTTTGTTCACGGGGTAACGTCTGGAAGGTTGTTGTTGACAGTAGAAAGAAGTTGATGTTGTCACGATTTCGCGGTCGGTGTGTACACTACCCGTCGTGTAGGTGTGGTATGGCCGGCCCCTGGCGATCGATGAACGGGGGATGTGTAATGGGTTGGAAATAACCTTGATAGCCAATGCTGGGCGGATGCGGAGATTGATGGTGGAAGGATGCTGGACTAGTTCTAGCTTAGAACTGTAGTCGGTCTAGCAAGACCTGATAAGGAGGGAGGAGGCTCAGCTCAGCTCACTTCAGTTCAGGTACTGGAGTCTGGAGTCGGTGGACGGAGTGAAGGGTGGGAATTACTAACCAGAGAGTCGCTGACCAAGCAAACAGTCATTGAACAACAAAACAATTGAACAACAAAATACTAAGCCCGAATCAAAAAGTCGGGATGCGGAATAGCTTCAACAAGAAAACCTGCTGGAATCATGGAGGTCGGAGTCCCCAGGACCTTGCTTGGGACCACGGGGGACCAGTAAAAAGGGACGAAGCCTCCTTCCCAGTCTCCGTTCAGCACTCTGCTCCTCCCAGTCTCGAGCCAGTCCGAGTCCCGCATCCATGTCAGCGTGGTCTGGGCAGCCAATGGAAGCATTGTTTACCCAGGCCAGACGGCCCGTTCCCGTTGCCCAGGCAATCACAGTCCCTGGCAGCAGCCTCTCACCTTGGACCTTCCACTTCTCAGCTTCTCCAATCTTTTTCCTGGCATCTCATCGCTGCTGACAATGGAAGCAACCATCGTGATGAGTCCACGACAATATGCCCGGCTTTAGGCAGGTCCTGAGCGTGCCACGCAGCACCTGCGACTGTCCTGCCTGCCACCTACATACAGCCTGCTGGTGCCACAGCTGCTTAGGTGGTTGTTTATTAGCGAAGCGAGTGCTGGTGGACCTGGCAGTTAACGTGCGTGCATGCATGCATTGAGAATGGATGGCTGGATGCCGTACAATCCAGCCCTGGTAAGTTTGTTAGCTTGGTACGTGACAAGGATTTTGTACCTTTTCTTACAAGGGGGTTCAGCCAGTAAAACTCCCTCGATTTTGCATCGATTTTGAGGGTTGCACTCAAAACGACGATGGGGAAAGCCAGAAGGCCGGCCAAGCCCTCTGAACCGACCTTGAAATGTGGGTAAAAGTGGGTAAAAGGGGAGACGGTGGGCACCGGACCCGTTGGAATCCACTGGATTTGACCTCTTTGGCGATAGTTATGAAGGATTGAGGGTGGGGATGGCTCTGGAGTGGAGTAGAAATAAGGCCTTTGTGCGCGAGAGAGTCGCTGATTCTGCCCTCAGATCACTTTTACTCCACTTTCAGACCCTTTTGGCCAATCAAGGCCCCTGTACCCCCCTGGTTTAGAAAAGTGGGGGAAGAACCAAGCTAACAAACTTTCCAGCATTGTATTGTACAATGAAAAGCAGACTAAATAAAACCAAACCGAAACATCATCACCAACTCAACACCCCCCTCTGCCTATCAAACCCTCCTCTAAGCTGACTCTGCGGCTTAATAACCTTGCCCTGCAAAATCGTAAACTTGACGATACCCTCACAATCCTCCGGCTTGACCCTTGCCAACCAGATACATTGCGCGGCACCCACTTCCTCTTCCTCTCCCTCTCCCTCTTCTTTGACTTTCTTCTCCTCTTCCTTGCCTTCCTCGCTCTCGTTTCTTTTCCTCAACTCCTCAGGCTTCTTCGGCTTGAGTTCCCCGCCCCCTTCTTTGGCTCTCTCCACATGATCCAACCCAAACGCATCCGGCCGCCTATAAACCAACATATTCGCACTATACTTATGCCCGCCCACATGACTAATAAAATAAATCCCCACCCCGCCCGGCCGCTCATCATCCAAATCCCTATACAGTCCCAAAGGCTGCAAATGTCTCTGCAACTCCTTTCTCAACAGGGGCGCACTCTGTCCGCACCTCGCATCTCTTGTTTTCTGCGAGCATAGCAGGATCAAGGCTTGATGTGGGCTGGGGCGCGTGGTGAGTTCCTTGATGTAAGCGGGCGTGGCTTCGGGAAGGGGCGCTTCCAGAGCCCGGGGGATGCTGAAGGGGGTGAGGGGGGATGCGTTGGTGGGCGCGTGGGAGATGATTTTTTCCAAAAGGAAGGGGACGGTGGCCGGAGTGACGTTTTCGATTAAAATGAAGGCGGGCAGGAGGAGGAGGGTGGTGGGCTCGGAGTAGGAGGGGGGGTCGTGGGGGGTGGGCATGTTGGAGGCGGAGAGCATTAGTTTCTGGGGTTTGGGCTTTTGTTAGCATCTTATCCTCATGAGAAAGAAGGATGGAAGAGAAAGAAAAACCGTACCCCGTTAGCAGGCCCCTTAGCCCCCGCAATAGCCTGCATCACACTCCCCTTCTCATCCGCCACATCGCGCACCCAGTCCGTCTTGCCCGTGGCCACCAGCACATGGGTTGCCCATCCTTTGATCTGGCCAAACAGCTCGTCCTCCTCGTCGATCTTGAAGGTGCGCGGGTACGTGATGGTGCAGGTCGCGCACTCGTGGTCGCAGTCGTCGCCGTCAACCTCCTTCGAAACAACGGGGAACAGATCCTCGGGTTTTGTGGCTTTGTTGCCTGAGTCGCCGATGGCGAAGGATTTGGCGCTGTGGAGGAGGGATCTGAACATTTTGGATTTCCAACCCGGTTTTTTGTTGGTCTTGGGTCTGTTGTTTCTGGAGGAATTGGCGACGGCCGGGGAATGAGGATCTGATAAGGAAGAAGATGGCGGCGGCGGGCCCATGGCGTCGGGACCTTCGCTGCCGTGCTAGCTACCCGTCGGCCGTCAATCCGCTTACCTCCGGCGCTAACCTCCGGCGTCAAGGGTGATCCCCAGTTTCGTCGATGCTTGACTGGACCAATTGAGCAATTGAGGTGCTTGGCGTGCGTTGACAGCGGTTGACAGGAAACCAGTGGGGGCGGGGCGGTCTTAACAGATGAATTATCTTTTCCCCACTTAGTGGCGGGTGAAATACTTCGACGCGTATCTAATCGCAGCTCATTGCGTCATAGCAATTGAGATTTGGTCGTCTTCGTTTTGTGTTTTGTGATGTTTGTTTACTGACTTTGGCGATGAGAGTGAAGAAGTGGTCTTTTATATACAAATTATCAGATCCGAATACCCGAACAAACATTGATCTGATTAGCTTACTGTAGCACTTTGTACCACCAACAGCACCTACCAATGTTGTGATGGTGTAGGGGGCTCAGCTCAACACCGCAAAACCGAACATACCCTCCGAGGTCATCCATTTGCGCTAGCTGCCCGTGATCTCGATGATGGTGTGTTTCCGGTACCCTGCCACCTTGGGGTGAGATCATGAAATAGTTTTCCCGCGTCTTATCGCCGAGCCGCTCCCGACCGTTATGTGTAAGTGATAAGATCCGCCAACCGCTGATCATCGGGACCCCGGTATACGGGCGGGCGGATTTAGTTCCGGGGTCTGATATATATACTGTAGTCTATAGCCAAGGGCACCAGGAATGTGTTCAGTCTGTGACGGCACGAAGCGATCCATATCAGTGTTGTGTGGATGTTAGGAAGCACTTCTGTACACATTGGACTTCAAAGTAATCGCATCTACAAAGTACACTACACATTTATTTTCGCTACCGAAACAGTATACGTACTCTCAATCCAAGGACAGAGAGTCCCGCCCAGGATTACGATCAGCTTTGTTTGAGGACCGTCGTTTCAAACCCTCTCCCTCATGAAATCCCCTTGTTGATGGGGCACAACGATAAGATGACCTGCCAAACAGAAGAAGCAAATAAACAGTAACGATAACGATACTTGTGCATGTATAAAAGCTCCATTAGAGAACCACTTCAAGATATTCTCGTGCAATCCCAACCGATCCTTGAAAGGCTGACAAAGGGAAACAGCCGGCAACGTGTGTGTGTGTTTGCAGAACCCTCCCAATCTGTCTATATAACTTCTATCTCTGTGGTCCACCTCGCTATCTTTTTCGCTGTTCGCTCCCTCTCTTCTTCAATGCCCACACTTGCGGCATACTACATCCGCTGTTCCCCTATAAATTCTTTTCAATGAGAGAACCTACTCTCCATCACCAAAACAAAGAAAAGCCCAACCCATAAGTGGTATACAACCAAAAGGAAAGAAGCCAAAACTATAACAGGGGTGTCACATATAGTGGTAGCGATATCCGCAACGGTAATTTTTAGAAATGATCTGATCTCTTGCTCCGGTCCGAGCCCCTGCTTCTCACAGGTGCTTCTTTCCGTCCTCATCCACAGAACTTCCCGTCGACGCCTCGTCCTCCACCTCTTCATCTACCGACTGATCACTGAGGGTATACACCTTACCCTGGCTCTTCCTCCTCCTCATCTCGCCTCTTTCACGCATTGCCTCGCGAATCTTCTTGCTCGCCTCGTTGAAGCCCTCTTCCGTGTTGAGGTTCGGGAATTTGTCAAGTGGCCCGCCGAACTGAACGTTACCGCCACCGCCGCCTGCGCTGCTGCTGCGGCTGCGGCTTCGACTAGGTGGTCGGGTAGCGAACATGGGCACCTGTCCGATGTTGCTAAACGACTCGTTACGTGGAATGTTGCGACTGGACGACGTGGTACCGGTTCTTCTAAGACCGGGGGGGCTCTCGGTGCCGGGCGTGGAGATGCCGGGGGTGGACATGTTGGGCGAGGAGACGCCGCTGTCCCGTCTCTTAAACGGCTGGCTCGGCGAAACGGTGCCGTCGGCGCGAATGCGAGATGAGCCGTCGGCGGCAACGAGACGAGTGTGTTCAAAGTCTGGGAACATCTCGGGTCCGAGGGTGTTGATGAGGTGCGTAACCTGTGCACTGAGTTCTTCTCGCCTTTGCTTGAGACTCTGAAGACTGTAACTCGATGTCGGGTTGATGCACAGCGCAAGTGGGCGTAGGGATTTGAGAATGTCCATCCCGACCTCACCGAAACGCAGAGCAGCAAAAGTAATGGCAGGGAAGAAGACCCATCCGAAGAAGTAGACGAGCCAGATAGGAACCCAGTCGGGCGCATAGCCCCAGAGGCGGTGCTTGCCCACCATGTAGGCTAGCAAACATGTGTATAAATTATACAAGATGGGTGCAACAGCCATAGCGACAAGCATCTTCCAGGTTGCAATGACGTCCTTGCCTTGGATTTTGACCGTCGACCCGGCAAGCGCCTCCTTGGCCTTCTGGTGACTGATGCGCTTGGTAGCAATAAAGACAGGGGCAAAGAGGATCAAGCCTGGGAGCACACCCGCTGACAACACCAGGAGCTTGGCGACACGGTAAAAGAAAGTGACGACAACCTTGGGCCACGACAACTTTGCGTACTGTACCTGGTGGTCGCGGATATTCAGGTATCGAAGCTGTTTGTTGTACTCGGTGACTGATTCTTGCAGCTCAACGATGCGAGGATCATCTTTGTACTTGTCGTATCCCAGAGCGAGGCGACGGTTTAGCTCTACCACGATAGGCAGAGGCAACTTCTTGCCCGCGGGGTTGTACAGGCGTCTTGCCGCTTGAATGACCATCAGGGTGTCATAGTCCGGGGCCGAAACAGTGACAGCGCTCAGGCTTTGATGAACCATGTCGAGAACCTTGGAGATAGCAGCACGTCTCTTATCCTTAATGCCGTACATTTCGACCAGTTCCTTGGGGACCTCGAAAGGAGCGCCGAATTCGAGGACAGCCCTTGACCGGAACTTGTGAGGGTGGAAGTAGTTCATGCCAACCGGCACGATTTTGAGGCCGCAGTCAGGGGCTTCTGCCAGCGTTCCCAGGGCCATGATGGCGACACCTGCCTTCAGGGGCAGCAGCTCGCTGCGGTCGTGGCTGCCTCCTTCTGGGAAGATACCGACGCAGCCACCATTCTTGAGCCGATCAAACACGGCTTGATAAACCTTGGTTTGATCAATATGCGGTGCGATCTTGAACTTTGTACCCTGGTAGCCGTCCTTGATTCCCTTCACCTCCTTGTTCTGGAACTCGCCGTTTTCATCGATATCGTCGCGTCCGGTGAGTTGGAACAAGGGGAGTTTGGAGCCGAGGGGGCGCTTAATGCGAATTTCTTCGGGTCCATGGATTTCGACAATCTCGACGTTGGAGCCGCTCTGACCCTTGATGGAGGGGAGGAAGATTATGCCGCCCACTTCAGCTTGTTTCTCGAAGTTTGTGCCGACGCCGCGGATGAGGGTCGGGTCGTCGATGGGGTCGGGAAGATAGATGGTACCCTCAGCAGGCTTGGCCGAATCTTGGGGTCTGCCGACAGGGACGGAACCGACCTGGCGAGAGGCCCAGCCGATGAAGCCCTTGACGGACTTTTGTGCGATGAGGAGGGAGACGCGGCGTTTAGCCTCATTTCGCAGGGTGCGTTGTAGTACAAGGGCGTCTACGAACTACAGATCAGACGGCAGAGTCAGCCAATGGGTCCCGGTATGCTTGACGTCACGGATTAGGAAGCACGAACCTGGTTTGCGTGTGGTGCGGCGACGAAGAGGACAGGGCCGCTGCGGGGCACCTTCCAAGAACCGCGGGGATGAACTTCACGGAAGAAGGTATCGACCAAGAAGGACATGGTCCACAGGAAGGTGTCGTACTTCCAATTGCTCATGGGATAGAGCTCCTTGGACGCCGAGGGCGACTTTGCGCTCTGCGGAGGAGCGGAGGCATCTTTGTCAGTCGTGATGAGGGGAGTGGTCTCGGTGTTGCCATTCTGGTGGTGATGGGACTCTGGCACATTGCCATTCAGTTGTTGCTGTTGTTCGGCCATGTCTGCAGAGAGAGTGTTTCGATAGTGTTTGGCGAGATGGAAGTCCGGACAACAGTCACCCGAGTCTCTCTCTGTGATCTTCTTCCCTCGGGAACCGCAAGCGGCGCAAAGGAGGAATGGCTTTGCAAAGCCTCTCTCAGTTCGAGATGGACGTCCAGACGACTTGAAGCAGAGATGCGCTCTTTATCGACCGACGGGAGCAGAGAGAGAACCTAGAGAGGAACGAGCGTCGGGTGGTTGCAGTCTTGTTGAGATGGAAACTGGTAAAGGTAAAGAGTTGCACGGGTAGCGGGTAGATCAAGGACTATATTGATAAACTGATAGGGCTGCCCATCGGCCGTCGTGGGGTTTCGATGGGTGGGCAGTCGGGCTCCCCGGCTAACCTAACCTTTTTTTCTGCCAACGTCCGGGAAAGTCTGCGAATTGTCTGGGCTTTGAGGGGGAAGTGGGTCCACTTTGGATGTTGCTCGTTCTGGGAAGGAAGTCCGGCCAAGGACATCGAATGGTAGGTATCGCCAAGTAGACCTAAATGTCTGGAATGTGTTGTAGAAGAAGAATGCCAATGCCTCGGCGCGAACTGCAGTGGGTGAGTGTTATAAGAGTTTTAATATGAGGCTCGCACTTTAGGGCTTGGGCGGTTCGCAGTCCGGTCGCAAACTCGAGGCACGACCTCGGGCCAAATGCGCTCCCGCTTGGATGCGATGGCGAACAGACAGGTCTCCAGTCTGAGATTGCGCGCCGAATTGTATGCAAGGTCACAGCCGGAGCGGATCGTCCCATTCACAATCTTGTCCTTGTCCTTAATTCCGTTCAGAGGAGTGTTTGGTTGCAAGAATAGGTACACGAACAAGGTGTATTTATATTACACAGTCATTGATGATATTTATCATTCGAGGTCGAGTTGAGATAGAGAGTGACAATGGAACGTCAATGCGGGAAACGAACAAGACAAGAGTTCGTTATCTGTTGTGTCCCTCTGACCGATAACGGTTTTCTGCGGGCGGCTGCAGCACTGCCCGTGTTTGTACACCACTGTCCTGGTATCGAACGTTATCAAGAACGAATGGAAAACCTTCGAAAACTCTCGAAAGGGAAAGCCAATCGCATCAACTCCCGATTCGACTCTCTTTTCAGTTCTCAATCCAGGAATTCACAGCGCTCTCTTCCATACCATGTCTGCCCATTTCCGAAGCCACGCGAAAACACATGCTTTTCTCCGTCGCTCTGCTCGGCCAAAACGACTCGGACCGAGAAAGCGCAAGGACCTTTCCGCATTCAGCAAAACTCAACGCCTGCAAGCGTGACGGCCTTTACGGCCTACAACTGTAGCTGCCATCCCGCCACCATCCCTGGAACCGCTTGGCTGCAACGCTTGCATTTCTGACATGTGAAGAATCCGTTGTCCTTCCTTCCAAATCATCACCAAAGCTCACGAGAATGAGAATGCGAAGGAAGGAATGATTCAGAGCATGAGGACTGGCAGGAAAGAGCAGAACCGCCTGGCCGTCAAGGTTCCTGATAGGGATCGAGTTGTGATCTCGACCAATCAGACTTTTCGGAAAGTAACAATTACACCACAACAATGTCGCAACTTCCCTCTTTGCTGACGAGCTTGGCGGAGGGGTCATTGACATCTATCTGCCTGGTGGTGATGTCCTGGAGCTGTTCTTGAAAAAGTGCTATCCCAATTCAGGGTTGATTGCATACACTTACATTTGCTGCAGGTACGGCAAAACTACATGTTTGAAGAGACCATGTTACTTACCTAACAGATCTGTATAGGATATTCAAGCAGATCAGTTAGTCAATGAGCGCTTCCAGAAAGCTAGGTACCGCTACCATCAATCTGCCTGCCAACCTTGCTTCTTGCATCATCGAATGCACAATGGCGGCACATACAGGAATTCTTCTAGGATTCAGCCACTCCATTGGGCACACCCTCTTGAGGCTGAATGTCAAAGAATTCTGATGATGGAAAAAAATAAAAAATCCTGTTGTCTCAGGGACAAATGCAACCCACCATTACGATCACCACCACCCTGAAAGACATCATCTCTACGTCGAGGCCTCGGTGAAGGGTGTCTGGTAATTGCCACAGACTGCAGGTTCAAACATATCTGGACAAGAACCGACGGCAACTGACTCTTCATACCATCATGATACTGAGGAAACCGAGGCTTCTCAAACAGGAGATTCGGTCATATTGAACACCAAGGTAAGTTCGGTTAGACCCGAGATGAATGATACGGAAAGCAGATATTAAAGCTGACTGTTTCCGAATACTGTTGAACAACTCTGGGTAGGTACGAGGTAACAACACGGGAAGAACAAGTGAACTTATAAATGGAACAACATGAGAAGACTCCGAAAGGCATCTAAACTGCTGTATGTCCGTAAGACTCTTCACCTCCTCGGTTCTCTTATACGACCACTCAAACACGTTTAATTTACCCTTCGTCAGGATTTCAGCCCTCATTCACTGTTAAAGACGAAGAAACCAAAACCAACAATTTGTATGAAAGTCCAAATGATTTTCAAACTATTTCCCGGTGTCTTGATGCCAAACAAACCAAGTCATTCGGTCCAATACCGAGCGTTGCTCTTGAGTTTTCAATGAATGGCCTTGGCCAGCTCGGGAGGCATTACTGACCGGGCCATGTGCAAGAGGGAAACAGTATGATACACGAGGGGTTCCGAATGAAGCCTATATGATGGTCCTCCGCAGGTCGTCCTTTTCAGTGTCCTGTATTATATCGTGGTGGAAATTCCTTGTGTTGCTTCGAGAACTTTAAGAATCTCTATCTTGCCTGGCATCAGTGACTTGAGACAGCTCCCTCGTTTCTGCCTCTTCTTGGGCTAGGGGATTTTGTAAGCATGTTCTTCAAACCCGCACCTTCCCGTCCATTTGCTACCTTCATCCCGCCAGAGGCACCTTCCTTGCCAGCCCTCAAGTACCTACCGTACCTCCTAAAGCAAAAGATGCCGGTCAAAGGGGCTGAAGGTGTCAGACGGCGTCCAAAGTATTGGCATTGCTGCAGCGCCTCGCTCGCGTCAACCACATAATTGCTGCAGGTGAGCACAGTCCCACTTCGTTCCAACTTGGCACCCGGTCTATAAGGACATATCGTCGCTCCTCCGTTTCTTCTCCTTTCTTTCCTTTTCCCCCAAGTTTGCCAGCTGATGCGCTTCGGCGTGTCAGATTGACATTCATTATCATTTTCCCCGTTGATATGGATGCAAGCTCTGGCATAGATTGATACCTATTCTTTTTGACCCATTGCTGGGCACCCACGTTGAGTGATCGTTCCGATCTCAAAGATAGGTGGGAATCAGTGGAGGTTACATTTCTCTTTAGCAATGCCGCTTTTGACCGCAAGTTTCACGGCCGAAAAAGTCCTGTCCTCGCCAGGAGACTCAAGAACTAAATCATGTAGAAATTTAACCAGGAAACTATTCAGAGAGATCAACTGTTCCTCTTCCATCCTGCTTCTTGATCCAATCCAGCACAATCATGTACACCGTATCCTTCACAAACCTCCCCTCCTGTGTGTGCCTCAACCTTTCCTCCACAACCAAACACTCATATTCCCCCGTCTTCAGCGTATATGGATGAGGGAAATTAGTCCTCTCCGGTACAATCCCAAAAGGTTCTTCCTCCTCGCCTTCCGGTTTCTTTACTAGGAACGCCTCGCTAAATCCTTCCTTCCTCAACGGCAACCCATACACAGTCCCACATATCACCTAGACAGCAAACAACACCCGCTTTACCTGTCTGCCCTTTGTCGCCCCTTCCCTAGACGGTCTTCTCTTGCCCTTTATAACAGTGTCCCTCTGAGACCCAATCAACAACCAAACCAAAAGAGAAAAAAAAAAGCGCGGTTAGTATAGCGGTTTAGTACTCTCGTTTCCCAACGGGTGTGGTGGGCAAAGAATAACGAGTGACCCGGGTTCGACTCCCGGACTGCGCAGTGACTTCTTTTTTCAGTCTTTTTTTTTTTTTTTTTTTTTTTTTTTTTTTTTTTTTTTTTTTTTGGATTCCACTTCATGCTGAGACATTCCCTCCCTAACCGTTCCTCAAAGGCAAGTCCGGATGAACGGAGACGAATGCTGCAGAGAGCAGCCACCGACCGTGACCAAAGCCGAATGTTTCCGAATATTGACAAAGAACGGGATCAGTTTGAGGTAACTAACAACACAGAAAGAATAAGTGAGCCCGTTAAAGTAACAAACAGCCAAAATATGTCCCAATATGATCTGAACTGTTGCATGTATGTATGTATGTAAGACTCTTCATTCTCTGTTGTTCTCCGAACATCCTGTCATTCTTTTTCATCTACATAGCTGGACAAACTCTCTATTGCCAATAATCCTTCTTCTAGAAGCGACACTTCATCATCAAAGTAAGGAAGACCCACCCATAAGCTGAGACGGAAAAAAGGACTTCCATGACTCCGGATAGGTAGTGCCGCTGCAGGGCTTTATAGCGGAAGCTTTTTTTTCTTGCTTGAAGGAGTCCAATCTCAAGGTTGCTTGAAGGTCGAGCCAATAGGACCGAGCTTGATGTTGGCTACAATAGATAAAAAGTCCAAATGTCAGTTCAGTCGTCGGCCCCAGGGGAAAAAAAAAAAGTGTAAAAAGATCCGCGGAGGGGGAAGAAGATCAACGGAAAGGAGGGGAGGGAGTAAGTAAAACTCACAATAAACAACCTGATTACTCCCCTGACTACTCTCCACCTCCGCCGGCACGCCCGAACTCGTCTCACACGTGCCCCTCCCCTTGCCCGGCGCCTCCGGGTCCGCCGCATCCACGGGAAACGTCGAATCCAACCACAACATATTCGAATGGTGATCGTCCCACAGACTCATGACCAGCACCATCGGCCTGGCAATCGCCGCACTAAACTGCGCAAACCCGCCCTTGTTCGCAGAAATATCCGCGTCGCCGAACGCCACCTTTTGGGCCTTGCAGAATTCGGGAGTAAGAGAATTACCCGGGTTGCCGGAAATGGCCGATTCCGAGTTGGCGATCGTCTTGCCGTTTTGCACGTAGAAGCGCTTGATTTCGGAGAGTTGACCGTTGGAGGAGCCTTTGGTGAGGAATTGCGTGACGACGGTGAATTTTTGGTTGGTGTCGACGGTAAACATGCCCGGACCCGGACCGTAGAAATCGCGGACGCCCTGCCGGTACGAGTTGAAGTCGCAGCCGTCCGGGTCGCAGGTGCCCGAGTAGCGGTTGTTGGCCGAGTAAGTGCCGCCGCACAAGTCGCCTTCGCACCGGTGTTGGCCGATGGTGGTGCAAGGGTGCGGGGTGAAGGCAACGAACTCGATCATCCCAATGATTACTACGACAAGCTACCCCCTCGTGAGCCAGAAGAGGAATTCGAACCCCCTGAATAGGATGAGGATGTAGATGATATCGATGAACAGGGCCGGGGATTGCTGCATAATGAGCTCCCTGGGGAACTCCATGGCGGTGATCCCCTTGACCACGATGACCTTGAGTTATTGGGTCACAGGGACATTGATTTTCACGATTGGTCTGACAAAATCAACTACCAGGAATTGGTTGACCAAGCCGCTGATTACCGGAAGAACAGAAGGAGTAACCACAACCTTCCTAATCCTGATCCCATTACACAAGCCGCCTTTGACAGTCTCAACCCTGAACAACGGCTAGTGTTCGACGAGTTTGTCAATCATTATCAAGACTGGCTCAACGGCAATACATCCCCCCAACTGCTTCTTCAAGTTGACGGCAGAGATGGCACTGGCAAGTCGCATTTAATACGACTGCTGTCCCATCGCATGGATGAAATGGCTGCAATGCATGGCCGGCCTTCCTGTTTAATCCGGGCAGCTCCTACTGGTGTAGCCGCTAACAACATCAACGGCCATACTTTGTATTCATTGCTTCGACTTATATCGTCTTTCTAAAGCCACGACATCGAGATTGATGAACAACGTCTTATGCCAAAAGACGGCGATATATCGCCAGGATGTGGTCAAGCCTTCGGCCACTCACACCGCGGCATGATGATGTCGCACGATAGCCAGAGGTGCTCCTTCCCTCTGACGCTCCTTCCGCCTCTAGTCATTAGGGCATGATCAAAATTGACCACCAGCAGCCCATGGCCAGACTAAGCAGGTACGATTGCTCCTTCCGTCTTTATAGAGTTACCCTAGATTGTGGTAAATCAAGATGCCCGCCCACAAATCCAAATCCTCGTTTTGCGTTTCTCTCTTCATCGTGGGAGTGTTGTATCTTGTGGTGCCATCGCCTCTCCGAAGACCGTATCTTTTTCTACCTCGAGAACACCGTTTTCTCCCTTGAGAATACCGTTACGACACGAGGGCTCCTGTTGTTATGCTGGCACTTGTTCTGGAGTGTGGTTCCAAGAGGTCGTCGGTATATTCAGAGCCACGTTACTCTCCGACTCCGGTTGGGGAGTATTCAATTGCTTCGGCGAGCGAGGCTCTGAGTCCCCGGCTGCATTGAGGGCTCACTCCGGATCGTCATCCTAGAACCAGTTACGATGGAAGAGTTACAAGCTACTACGACCCGTTACGGTGCTCAACGTACGTCCAAGCTGGCAGCTAGCACCAACAAGCCAGATTCTACTACCAAAAGATCCACACGGCGCTCACCAAAGACCCCCTCCTGTTAGTGAAACGCCCTCTTATACTACCGGGCCGGGAGACTGACTGCTCATAGCATCCGAACCAGCCGCTCTCTCTCAAAATACCACGGCAGAAGGCAAGAAGAGTCCGGCCCTGCGCAGAAGTGCCAGAAACAAGAGTAAGGGGCGCCCCGACTACTCCTATATACCCGACATTGGCGACGGGACATCAGTCATACGACAGGCCCCCGAGACTCCTGTCACCTCTTTTACCCTTTCCACCCTCTCCTCTACTACACGCACCAGCACTTCAACGACCCTGAGCAGCCCACCACAACTCTACTCAACCCCTCCGCACAGTCCTACCAAAGGATAGCTCTCGGGACCTTCAGAGACAATCGCCAAGTTTCTCGATAGCTTCCCTGAAGGCTACGAACGCGAAGATGTCTCTAGCGAAGGCCTATTGTGCGGCCTACGGGCTCTTAGCCGCAGCGTGGAACTGCAGTTCGGCGGCATAACAGCTCCTACTGTCAAGGAACTCCATACTATCGCCCAGAGTGACGAGATGGTTGATAGGGAGAAGCATATAACTATGGGTAATGGCGTTAGGCCATTGGACAAAGATTACAGCGTCGACCAGCTGGCGAGCATACTACAACTATGGTGCGGCGTCCATGAGCAAGACCTAGTGTTTGGTTGCCTGATGAGGAGCGGAACAATCAACCTCTACGACAACGACAATACTACGGCCGCTACGGGTATTGTGTGGATCTATAGTTCGAATGATGGGCAGGCAACGGCGGACGACTACACCGACCACTACGAAGCTCTCCGCAGACCGACCGTCTCAGGCTCGCAAGATAGCAAAACGTCTTCGTCCTCATCAAAGAAGAGATGTGAGTTCATGATATGCGTCTCCGCGGGCAAACAAATTGCTAACATGCTCGCCAATAGCCGCAGACTTCTCCCTATCCGCCTCCGTTGCCGAGAGCTCCGCTAAGAAGCAGCGCATTGAAGATGATCCAGGCTACGATTCCAGCAGTAGCGGCAGCAGCGATGAGGGCGTCGGCTTCGATGACGAATACTTTGATTTGATCGATCCGGGGCTCCTTGACGACGACGACGAGTGGCTGTCTGAGGACGATGAGGATGGTGGCGAGTCGCCGGTGGCAGTGGCACCACCAACAATATCGCCGGACGCAGAAGGCCTCTTCCGCGTCGGGAAGCAACCCCCAAAATCACACGCTCATTTGGTCTGGAGCATTCCACAACGCATAGCGTCTATGCAAATAAAGAGCATCATTTTCAGCAGATTACGTTATACGGACAAGTCCTTTCCGGGCGCCACAGAAGAAAGTCTTTCCAAACTTGGGGAAGACCTCCTTTCACACTTAACCTCCACTATGACAAAAGCAGAGGGCAACGCCGACTACGAAAAGCGGTATTGTGACTATACCGGTCAAGTGATGTTCTGGAGCTCAGGTCCACGCCACTGGTCGATTGAAGCTGCATACCCAGTCACCATGTCAGGCGGAGGCCTTGCGTACCACGCAAACCCGAATGTTGTCATGGTTATGGTATTTCTCAACATCCTCAAGAAAAGGCATCCAATACTAGTCCTACCCACAATTTCATCATTCTTAAATGCCGCAGATAAATCGCAGAAGGATTGGGCTTTTAACGCGGCGGACAATCTTTGTTCTATTTACCGCCCCTTCCATCTCGGACATTACCATCAGAGACAGCTGGCTGAATGGTCGGGTTGGGACAATACCAGGCTTAAGGAGATGGTAGATACCGTGCGAACCGGGATCTTAACTCCTAAGCAACAAGAACAACTAGATCAGTATGAGGTAAAGGAGCTTTTCAATGTTTTAGACAGGAAGGCGGGAATTTATACAACGGATATAACCAAGGTTTATAACAACATGAAGAAGATCGCAGCGAAGTACACAATAAGCCCCGACGAGTTCGACGAGTTATGCTTCATCGACTCCCCATCTGGTTCTCGGCCTCGAGTTTTCTATCCATTTTGGCATCGTTCAAGGGATTTAGCAAAAGAGGTCAGCTGGGACTGGTCTTCTTTATTCGACTTTGCGAATTGGAGGCTAAGCCGGCTAAGACGTTATTGCAACCGCTATGGGGAGAAGGCTAAACTCAGCGAGACGGATATGGATAGGTACTGCGTCGTTTACTGGATGACACACTGGATATGTGACAAGATCAGAGCGATTAAAGACTCCAACGAGGTTCAAACGGTGGAAGACATTGCTTGGCGTTTGGTAGACCGGTGGGGGGTTACCCATTGTGCCATGGCAGCGCCATATTTTTGGGGCGTCGTTGTGCAAAAAGAACGACGTAAGTACTGAACTATATTGATACCGATGTCAAAGAACCAGGCTAACTTTCTAACAGCACGGTATTGCGATGCTTTTCGGCCTCGTTTCTCCCCCGAGCGGTGTAGCCTTCGACCCTGTCAACCATTTCGACCTTAGGGAGTGCACTATCGAGATAGACAGTTACGCTACCAACTTCGCAATGGGCTTCTCTAGTACCGACTATTGGCCCAAGCTTCTTGCACTCCTACGTACAGTACCAGTGCAGACTCCCCTCTGGCGGATGGAGGATTCCTTGGGGATGCGTAGATGGGTAAGCAGAAGCAAAAGTACGACTACCAGCACTGGACCCCGACCCCCAGTAGTAAGATTCACTATGCCTCTACTGGACTCAAGCTTATGGATGTCGGACTATGGGGAAGAGATATCGGCGCACTTCAAGTGCGAGATATGCGACATTCATTTTGACAGCATCGGGGAATGGATCAACCATTGTCGTCAACAACATAGCGACCCCCCTCCTACCACGGATCAACCAGGCACAGACAAGCCATATCCGGACCAACCAGCTAAAGACAAAGAGTATTGGGATACTCGTTTCAAGTGCAAACAATGCGGCAATGATTGTATGAGCGCGTGGAAGTTGACCCAACATCTGATAAGCCACAGTTCGGAAAGGCCTTTCCAATGTTCGGAGCCCGGCTGCATCAAAGCCTTCAAAGAAAAGGGGCACTTAAGACGTCATATTGCTACAGTACACAGTACCGAAAAGCCCAGTACCGAAAAGCCTTTCCTTCAAAACAAAGGGGCACCTAACCGTTCATTTGGAGAGCCACAGTACCGAAAAGCCTTTCACATGTTCAGAGCCCGGCTGCATCATGGCCTTCAAAAGAAAGGGGCACTTAAGACGTCATATTACTGCAGCACACAGTACCGAAAAGCCTTTCCAATGTTCAGAGCCCGGCTGCATTAAGGCCTTCAAAAGAAAGGAATGCTTAAAACGTCATATTACTGCAGCACACAGTACCGAAAAGCCTTTCCAATGTTCGGAGCCCGGTTGCATCAAGGGCTATAAGTACAAGAACAAGCTCACCCTCCATATAGCGAAGGAACACTCAAAGGGTGGATAGGACGTATATGGGCGAGGAAGTAGAACATAAGGTGTTGGGTGTCACGGGTCTACTAGGTGTGCACGATAGTAGGGGTAGAATAGAGCTTGAGATTGTTAATAAGGAGGAAAAGGTCTGCAAGCCTGAACAAGTCTATAGAAATATAGCTATATACTATAATGAACAAGTGGCCTGAATGAGCCCATGTATGACCCCAATAATGGCACCCTCCGAACTCCAATTCTCCTAGGCATTCCCTATGCGGCGGATGGGAACAAAAAGTAGAGAAGTGCGTCCAGTGATGCTGGCAAAAGTCGTGATGTGTTTCGTAACCCCGTGTCCAACCCTAATATTACAATTCCGAAACTCCCAATTCCTATCCTGTTAGGCTGTGTTTGTTCTCGGACTGTCAGCAGGAAAAAGGATTGATACTATTATTTTTATACTGCTGATAGTATAAAATGGCTTGCTCGGAGTATGCTTGTTAGGAAGTGGGGAGTCCATCGAAAGGCTCCTGAATATCCGATGGAGACCTATGCTCAAATTATTATCTGCACTATCGCCTTGCACAACTTCCTGTTGCAGTATGGTGATATCGAAATGGAGATCGATGCCCGGGTGGGCAGGGCTCTGGATCGAGAAGGGAATCAGCCACGTATACTCGACCCAAATCGCTTCCATGACGATGAACTGGTCTCTGGGGATAATAACCGAATGGTGCAGATGAGGGAGGAGATGGCAGACGAGATGTGGGCAAATTGGAATCGGGATAGGGTATACTTCTGCTTCCTTCCTTTCTTCTTTTTTCTCCCCATGGTCAAGTAGGGAATGCACTATTTGCTTCCCTTGCAAGGGTGGGTGGGTGGGTGTTAGTTACCTCTACCTGTGTGTGATGCTGATGGTGGGAGAGAGGGAGAGGGATGGGGATGGGGAACGGGGTGGGTAAGGTAGGTAGGTAACACGAACCAGATATCCATCTCGGTGCAGCAAGAGCCGTACTTGCCCACGCCGGCGTTGGGGTCGTTGGTGGACTCCTTCCAGTCGCCTACGTTGGCCTCGCCGTTGATGAACTTCAAGTCACGCGGGCATTGGGCGTCGCAGTAGCCGGTGCCGTATTTGGCGCCGGCTTTGTTGCCGGAGTACTTGGATAAACCGCCGTCTTCGTCCATGGCGACGAAGTACAGGGCACCGTTGAGACCGCAGCTGTCATGGTGGTCAGTCAGCATCTGATCTCTGCTCTTTGTTGTTGTTGTTGTTGTTGTTGTTGTTGTTGTTGTTGTTGTTGTTGTTGACGATGGCCTTGTCGATACTAAGGAGATCTGGGTGAGCTTACCCAAGCTTTGAGACGTCCACGTCAAAGGTGAACTCGTTACCAAGCAGAGTGTACATCTGATACTTGGCGGCGCTGGCCATCATGTACAGACGAGAACCAATGTTGGTGGCTGGTATTCACATGGTACATACATCGTCAGTAACATATCTTCGTTGGCAGGATTGCGATAGAAGGCAACTACTCACAGTAATCCCCCTTCTGCACAAACTTCAACGTCAAAGCATTCCCGCTAGTCGAAGCATCATACGTCGACGCGTAAGAAGCGCCATCGACAGCACAGTTGGACGCACACGACTTGCCGTCCTTGCAAATCGTCGTGTTCCAGGTATTGCCGGTGTAGCAGTTGGTGTAGCCGTTCTTGTCGTGCACCCAGCGCCAGTTGGCGTCGATGGTGACCTCGCCGTTCACGTTGCTGCACGAGCCGCTGGCGGTGCACTTTTGCCATGTCATCTTGGGATGCGTCTCGGTCGTCTCTTTGCCGACTTGTTGGGCGGCAATGGAGCCGGCGAAGGCCGCGAGGGCGGCGAGCTGGGAAAACATGGTGATGAACGGTACGAACTCCCGAATGGGAGAGAGATTGGCGATGGGCGAGAGAGAAGGATGATCCCACAAGTTATTTTCCAAATGGAGGTGGGTGGATTTTATATGGATGGTCTCATGGCTTTTTGGATTCTTGTATCACTCGTATCTTGATGTGCTGTTGACCCGTGGCGGAGAGTCTGTTTCTCAGCGTTCCGTAAATGCTCCGGTCCTGGCAACTTCAAGGAACTTGTTCCATGGACATTTCCTCGCTCCCACATGCGCTATTTCGGGACTCTGGGCCTGAATGCCGAGAGCATGTCCACGAGAATCTGTCATGTAGGAGAAAGAGGTCCTGGCAGCAGATCAGAGGTGGCATTGAAAGGGGCAGAGAAATTTCAGGAGTTTCGGGTGTTGCTTCCGCGCAGCCTGGTCGATCATGAGCGTGTATTGTGTTGCTGTCTGCCGCGGTATCTTCCTGGATGGTCATAGGATGCGGATACATCTGAAGGAAGTTTGAACTGAGCTGTTGACAGCGAAGGGCCTCTACCTGGTAGATTGTTTTGGGATCGTGGTAGTAACTGTAAGTGGTTCCGCAGATCCAAAGTCAGCGCGACCTCTAGCTTGCCCTCTGGAACATATGGGAGGCTCTGCATGAACCGTCCAGTTCGAGCCATCATAAAGCAACGGAGATGTAAGCTCCGATCAGCTGTGCTTCTTCCCCGAGACATAGTCTTATAGTCGTCAGCATACGTTATGATCTGGGGCTCTCCGGCGGAACCGCTAGCGAACATCCATACACCATGCGTAGGCGAAACGGGCTGTCATTGAAGATCGCTTCATGTCGCCTTCAGATGCTTCCCCAGACTTTCGCTTAAACGCTCGCGAAGAATGCCCATGGGGACCCCATACTCTCACGGCAGTGAAGGGCCGAATGTCGGCAGGTAGGGACGGCTCGTAGGGACGCAGCGGCATGAAGAAGATAAGCCGACAGCTAGGGCAACAGAATCGACGGCGAGTATCAACTTTGCCGCCTCAACTCGGACAAGGCTTGGGATGGACGTTCAAGCCCTGTCCAGTCACAGAACGAACAGGGACCGCAGAGAAGAGGAGATAGCTTGCATGAGGCGACAGGGCCTAGATATCGACCCGTACATTGGCCGTGTTCGGGAACAGTGACCCCCAAACACCATGATACTTATGTAGCTTACATGGTACAGCTCCCACTGGTCAACCCGGAAAGCTATCCCGTGAAGCGAACAGCCTGAACCGCATGTTTGCCTTCTTCAGGTAAAACTACAACGAGCAGGACATTTCATCCCTACGCAGGTAAGATTGGGATACACAAAAAGAGAATAACCTATGACAGGCAGAAAAGAAACACGGAAAGAAAGCTAGAAGAACCATGCCAAAGGCCACAGAGCACCATCAGATGGTAGCTCAAGGGAGGTAAAGTTAGAAAGGTGTGGGTCGTCATAATAGAGATCTTGAGGCTATCGCAAGCCAAGATCGTGTTGACCGGGAAAGATGAATCTTCTCTTCTTGACCAGGCGCAAACCACACGCCCAGTTCTATTGATGTTGCAAGAGACCGGCGACGCCACCAGAGCTATGACAGCTAAGCGCGGCAATGTGCCCATGATGCTGTTTCTTCTTCCGACTATGGATAAATGACATAGCCTAGATGCCCGGGTGGGAATGGAAGGCAGCTCGGAAGATTTGCAACTGCCACCACGGGCTGCCGCTGCATTGGAATTGCCGGGCGAATCAGCTCCAGGATGGGGGGCAATCATCTGTCTGAGATGTATTAGCCAGACCACCCACGTCTTTAGCCAGTCTCGAGGACAGGGGTCTAGAGAATTCAGCTATCCCCATGTTGGGAGTTCAGAATCTGATTCCAAGATAAGTGAGAAACTTGAGAGAAGCAGAACAGCGTATGAAGGTCAAGCTGCTTTACTTTGCAACCTGCCCGAGCGTCTTCTTCCCGAGGTGTCAGCCTTGGCCTCCTCTGTTGCCTCTGCGCCCCCTTTCGGATTTTTGGGATCTTCAAAGTACCGTGAGCGCGTAGACTTCTTTGAGGGATGCGGCTGTGCCTTGTTTGGCGTACATGTCACCTCTTCGTCTTCTTCTGTTTTGATCTTCCTCTTCCTTGGCGCGGCCTTTTCTGTCTTCACCTTTGACCCGTTGGCTTCTAGCTCCTCGCTTTTGTCTTTTGATTTGGCCACCTTCGTTCTCGACGCCTTCTTCGGGGAGTCCTTCTCTTCAGCCGACTCAAGGGGTTCTTCCTTCACGCCCGACACAATTTGGCCAGTTTTCTTCTGCCTTGCGGGTGCATAGCAACTTGTACGCCCGCCGACAGTAAGAAAGGCCAGCTTGTCACCGTTGGGAGTGTGACTGTGCGCATTCTTGGAACCTTTACCCCAGCGATAGTTGAAGAGCCAGTCGTCTGGAAACTGATCCGAATCCCCAAGCTTATCGACAGCCGTCTGACACACATATCTGATGGACTCGTAAAGCTGCTTGATCTCAGCATCGCTAAAGTCGTTACAGTACTGTTCCGGGTGAAGCTTTGCGTGATACAAGACTTCATCAGCAACCCAATTTCCAATGCCACTAATAACAGCCTGATCAAGCAGAAGAGCCTTGATGGGCACACGGCGTGACTTCATCTTCTCCCGCAAGTAATCCTCGGTAAAAACATCGAGGTCAACCACCGGATCTGGGCCGTTCTCCACAAGCGGTGAGTGTTTCCTGATGTCCTTTCCGGGGCAGTCGACTGTACGGACACGACCAAAGCGTCGTGGATCTGTGAAGGCCATCTCATCACCATCTTCTGTCTCGATCTTGAACTTCCAATACTTGGGCGGCCATTTGTCGAGTTCATCCGGTTTCATCTTCTTGTAGTAGTTGGTGTATGCAGACCTCTCGCCCTTTATATGGATCCAACCGGTCATTCCAAAGTGCATTACAAGATGGGGAGGCTTGCTCATTTCCATCCTGGACATCGGTCAGTTGGAACTGGAAGGCAAACAACGCGTCTCTACGGCAACTGACCAGAAATATTTGCCTTGGGTTCCTGCTGATATGATCTTTTTGCCAATCAAGCCGGCCGCCATCTCGGGCCCATCTGTCCCGACCTTGCCAAATACATTGGCGTCATCGATGGCTTCTGCATCCTTGATGACCTTGCCTACAAAATGCAGGCGCAGAAAGTGGACAGCGCGCGCAACTATCTAACAGTCAGTTTCACAGCATGTCAGACGCCAAAGACTCATAAACGTACTCTCCGCAATTTCAGGCATCTCTTGTGTTTTGTTTAGTTTGACTTTGGTGATTGTTGTTCTTTGAAGTTGATGATGACCTCATTGGAGGAGACGCGGTAGACGAGAAGCAAACGTGGAGCAGCTGGAACTTGCCCCACGCGAATAAGCAACGGTACCACGTGACGGCACAGAGTGCATTCACTTCATTATCGTTATCGAGCCCTTGCTTGTCAGCCTGCCGCCAATTGGACTACCCCACCCAAACTTGCAGCCGAAATTTTTCCCAGCGGCCCCACAACGGTTGCAGCTTCAAAACCTCGCGCGCCTCAACTTTTTCTGCCGCTTCCCACTTTCAACTTCCATCATCACCGAGCATCGCCCAATCCAATTTTGGTAAGTTCCAGGTTTCTTCCAAGCGCAAGCACACTGCACAATCACATCCCCCCCCTTTGTCCTGATGACACAACCATAAACCGCAAACTAGAGTCTTTGATCCTACGGGAAATGCAACTAGATATGTACGTCAGTCTGAATGACAACGTATTTGCCTACTCGCGTCGCACATCATTCAATCTATCTTGGACTGTCTGGCTAACCATCGCGAAGTGTTTCTAGTGATTCTTGAACATCACGCTCATCATGGGCTTTAGAGCATAGGATTGGGGGAAGGGGAGGGGAGAGAGAGACATGATCTTGCGGTCGACCGCGTTAGTACTGGTCCTTGGAGTTACCCATTGATCGTGTCTTTCTCTCCCTCCCGGTCATGACATCAAAAGGTTGGTTCTCACACTATTTTCCCGCTCGCTTTCCTGATGATCAACTTTGCTTTTGCAAGTTGGAATTACCGATTGATACCCAATGAAAACATAAAATGGCTGTTTCTGATTGAAAGCACTTCATCCCTCTTGATGTGATCACAAACTTTGGTTGTCGACCATGTGCTGACTTCCTGGTTCAGATGTCTAGACTTCCTTCCGCCATACTCAGTAGTGGTGCCGCAACCAATTGTGAGTTGGTTCATTTGCTGTCCTCTCCGACACGCTTCTATGATGAAACGGCACTGGGCTCCGATTTTTTCACATGAGCACGATATGCCATTTTTGCGACAGGCCTAGAAAACCTAGTCCACTGATCAGCATCCAATATCAACGCTTTTTGAAGCACATCAGCAAACCATGAGCGTTGACTAATGCGATTCATCAGAGTACAGTTGGGCTGGGTACCAGTACTTGCTCTTGTTCCGTAACAGTTTTGGTAAGCTACTTTCCTCTCACATCACAGCACACCATTCCATGATGATCCCTTTAGATGACGAGTCTTATCGGGGATTCCCCATGCAGACAACCTTTTTTTTTTATACCATTCATGCAACTCTGAAAACTCTCTTCATGATCAAGTCTTTTGCAGTTTTTCAGTTGAACATTGACTAACGATCACCCAGACCATAGTTCGCAGCACATTTTTTCCCGATGCATGGGCTTATTGGTATGTGCCTATGTCTCTTTGCTTCGGCACTGAGCTTTCCTGCCCATATCCTTCCATGATGATCCGACAACACAAAGACAAGCATATGTCAGAGCTTTTGCGACGATGACACCTGTCATGTCTGATCTTTGCACCATTGCATCCTGTTACTTGGCCACTCTGCCTTGCAGCATGCTAACGGTCACAAAGTCAGTCTGCCTTGGTTCAATACTGGGAACGCATCGTCAGCTTTGTCTCGCTGCTCATAATGGTAAGCCAGCATTTTCTCTTCTTTTCTTGTTCAAGATGGCTACAATGATGAATAAAATTTATCACGACGGTCTACATAGGATATTGCTTCGGCTTTATCCCTTTGATGAAAAACGCCGATGACACGGCACCCGAACTGAGTCGCCTCTTGAACAAGTCATTGTTTTTGAGTTCACGTCAATGATCCCAAGCTAACATGCTGGACATAGGAACCTTTGCGTGGTACTATCACCATGATATCCCATCGAGCAGCGTCAGGTAAGTCATTGCCAAGCTGTAGTTCTCGACATCGTAGGCCATTGAACCAACTTGGTTCTCTGGAATCGTGACTCTGGTCACATCGTAGACAGCCATGGTGCCAATTGCGACCTGGCGAGTTGGATACCGCTTGAAGATAGTCAAAATTGAAAGGATATTGCATTTGCGTACTTTTGTGTTCTCCAACTGACGTACTTGTGAATGCTGTGCCCATTGTGTCTGAAATTTTCGAACATGACAGGAGTGTTCTGTTGCCATTCGTGGTATGATTGCGTCATTGACGTTGTCCGGGCCCATCGCTCTCGTTTTTCCGTTCCCGAGGTCTTGGACTTGGTTTCCCATGCTCCCGGTTGCGAGTCATGACTTCTCAATAAGTGAATAAGGGCACTACCGCCGACGGGAGACGCAGATGGAGACATGCTCTGCGGGTTCACTGCTCGAGCAACTGTCTTGTCAAGCGCCGTTCTCTCATCTCTTTCAAAAGACCACACGACTCATGGAAATTCGGCCCGTCACCAACACGATGAACTCGATATGACCATCACACAAGCCGAAATATCCGTTGTCCCGACTCTATATGCGTAGTACAGCCCGAGATCTTGCAAAACATAGCCAGCAAACAAGAACAATGAGAGGAGGTATGCTGTATTTACAACGTGACATGAACGTGGCGAATGTACCGTAATGTGCCGTGTGAACCAAATGTAGCTCTATGTAAACCGTTTCCCGCCTGTAAACACGACCCTCAACTCGGGGTAAAATTCCCATCTTTTTGATCCTTATTCAGTATAACCAAATCCCTTTTATGGTAGTCTGTCCAACCCATCCGATCAACCGTGTAACAACCAACCGCTTCCCCATCACTCACGACGAGCCATTAACCTCCCCCAACTTCCCCTCCTTCTCCTCCAGATACTTGACCATATCCTCAATCGTGCAAACCTTCAACCCCCACTTCCTCGCAAACGCCACGCACTGCTCCCCCCTCATCATGCCCGGCTCCTCCCTGACCGCCTGGCCCTCCACCTCCCGTCCATCATCCACCAACTCACTGATCACCGCCGCCGGCTTCTTGCCCGCCAGTCTACACAAATCGATCGCCGCCTCCGTATGACCCCGTCTCTGCCTCACGCCACCGGGTCTGGCCCTCAAGGGAAAGACATGTCCCGGTCTCCGCAAATCTTCGGGTCTAGTCTTCTCGTCCGCCAGCACGCGGCAGACAAGCGCGCGGTCGTGCGCGCTGATGCCCGTCGTGACGGACGGGTCGGCGGCGTCGACGCTGATGGTGTAGGCGGTCCCCCGCGCGTCCTCGTTTGCAGAAACCATTTGCGGGAGGTCGAGGTCGAGCGTGCGCTGGGGCAGGATGGGCGCGCAGATCAAGCCCGACGAGTAGCGCACCATGAAGGCCATTTGTTGCGCGGTGACGGATTCGGCGGCGATGATGAGGTCGGCTTCGTTTTCGCGGCCGGGGTCGTCGAGGACTACGACGAATTCGCCGTTGCCTGGGACACATGAGGTGTTAGAGAAGAGTAAAGTGGGAGGGAGGGTTGGAGAGACACAAAACGTACGGAATGCCTCGACGGTGTCGGGGATGCTGTCAAATGCTGACGAGTCCATTCGGGATTCTTGTTGGGAAGCCATTGTGTTTTGTGTGTGGTGGTGTATGAGTAACCGGTCGAGGTGACTTGGTGATAATGCGCCCTGGTGTTGTTATGTATCCAGAAGGGTGTCGGTGGCTGCTGCAATGCGGTTTCTTTCGGCGGATGGGGAGGGGGGCAACTTGGATGGCAATTGGGCAATTGGCTTGGACGGGACCTCAACAAGTCATTCAGCTGAGTGAGGGGCAATTGGCGATTGCGACTTATTTAGGGCGGTCGCTGCGGTCGGGCGGGTTGTCAATGTGGATTTGGCTCGGTACGGGGCCCCAAATGTTGGTAAGCGGAGCAGTCGCCGGGAAGAGCACGGCTTTGGGGTTGACTTCGACGGTTTACCAGAATTGGGTTGAAGAGACATTCAAAGATCAAGCAGATGCTACTTCATTAAATAAACCGGATCACTCGGATTCATAAGGCTTAGAAAAGCTGACCGGCGGCTTACAAACCTCCTTGTCAACTCTCGAAACTGTCCGGTCGAGACTTGGAAAGGACGCCATATGGGCTGATACAGGCTGAAACTCAGATACTCAGAGTTGTGACGAGAACCTCAACGGACCTGCGGACCAAGGGCAACGGCAGTCCCTGCAGCGGCAAAGACAAAGTCAACAAGGAAGTTCGCTGAATCACATGGCGAATTTATGAACCGGGGAAATATTCTTATCAGCTTATCGATAATGCTTGCCTTATCGCCCAATGCGGTCGGGTGCTCTGATCCCTGCTGACGATCGGCCATCCAAGGTGCCGACTTGCGACCAATTGCGGGAGCTTGTCCTACCCAAAACATTTACGCAGTACATCACCGGCTTTCCAACAAACCCATATAGAAGCTTGAACAAGCTTACGAACAGCTTCAAAGCACATCAATATGCTGCCATCATCACCACTCCGCCAATTGGCGCTAACAATCGCCCGGCGCGCCCGGAAAGCCCAGTCAATTGCGCGCCTAGCATCAACACCACAGTGCTCTGCGCCCACTACAGCATCACCATCAGCAACAACACAACGATGGCACTCCAACCATAATAGCTCCAGCCCCTCCTCCTCCTCCTCCGTCAACCCCGATGAAATCTCCCACTTCAACGCCCTCGCCGCCACCTGGTGGGACCCCCACGGTTCCTCGCGCGCCCTCCACCTCATGAACCCTCTGCGACACGACTTCATCCAGACCTGCCGCTCCTCCTCGCCCACCTCCTCCTTCACCGTCCTAACCGAGGACTCCGACCTCCCTCCCTCACCCGATGCCGCCAACACATCCAACACCGAGAACGTCCAAGAACTGCGCTACCTCGACATCGGCTGCGGCGGCGGCATCTTCGCCGAGTCGGCCGCCCGCCTGCCCACCACCTCCTCCGTGCTCGCCATTGACCCGTCCCCGGGCGTGCTGGCCATCGCCCGCTCCCACGCCAAGAAAGACCCCAGTCTGTCGCCCAAGTTGACGTACCTCTCCTCGACGATCGAGTCGCTCCCTACACTCAAGCCCGAAGCCGTGGAAAAGAAATTCGACGTGGTCTCTTGCTTCGAAGTAATCGAGCACGTCGACCACCCTGCTCTGTTCCTCGACCACGTCGCCCAGTTCGTGAAGCCGGGCGGGTGGTTGGTCATGAGCACGATTGCGCGGACTTGGACGAGTTGGTTTACGACGAATTTCATGGCTGAGGATGTGCTGGGGATCGTGCCCAAGGGGACGCATGATTGGAACAAGTACATTAATGAGTATGAGCTGAGGGGATACTTTGAGGAGACGGAGGAGAAGAGGAGGTTTTGGGGCAGGCCGAGGGCGATGGGCGTTGTGTATGTGCCCGGGCTTGGGTGGAAGGAGGTTCCCGGGAGCGAGAAGGTTGGGAATTACTTTTTGGGGGTGCAGAGGTTGGCTAGTGAGGATGCGTAAGCATTGTAATAAGACGTTGTTGTACGTTTATGTGTATAGGTCCTGTAGTATATGAAGCTGATTATGTGAAGGGGGGAGCAGGTACATGATGTGGCGTGGATATCAAGGGGTAAGATGGTCTCGAAGGTTGTCCTCCCCTCAACCCAACCGCACAACCCTCCTCAACCCAACCGCACAACCCTCCACAACCTAACACTCCTGCAAATCCATCGAAAGCGTCCCCTCAAGCACATCCAGTCAGTCCAGTCAGTCGGCTGTACCGCAGCATGCGCTTGATCTTGGATCGAGCAGCGAGAGTGACAGCCGTGTTGTACAAGATCGGCAAGACACCCAGTACCGCAAGGGGCACGCCGATGTACGTGATCACATCAGTTGTCACTCACTTGAGCAATCAGAAAGAGACAGATACATATCGTGAGAAAGCTGCTCGTATGTTTGAGGTTCAGTTGTTGCGCTTCGCCAGTCGCCTTTTCTCAGCCGCACTGCACGCATGGCTTGGAACTAAACACTTTCCAGGGGGCCCTGTTCCTTGCAGATGGTGGCGTTCTTGCCGATACCACAGTCTTGGGAGTTCTTGCGAGACATCATATCGTGCACCTCGCGGTCAGAATTAGCCGCTTGAGAGACGCATATCGATCGATAGCTTCAGGAAATATTGACGAGAGGAGTCTGCCGAGAAGACAATTAAGGTGGTTGGTGGCCAGTTTTTGTGTGTAGTGACCCCCCCTCCTTTGCGGTCAATCCTCGCCCGCACACACGTCGGCATCGCGGCACCGTACGTCAGAGCTGGGACGCAACAATTGCCATTGTTAACTCTGGAAATCTTTGGGTCCGTCCCGTGTCGATGTGGTAGTGTTCAGGTACCCGGACCAGAAAACAAATGCCGATGCCGCAGATATTCTCTGTATCCGACATCTCAACCCATGCTGTGAAATGGTCAAAGCGGGAGCAATTTCCACCGGGCCTCATCGTATCAGATGGATCACGTTGACCACAAAGGCCACCACTTCTAGAAACGCGGAATCAGAAGGCAAGAAAGATGTTACGAGGAAGTGGCTGATGTGTTGTTGTTGACAGGAAGAAAACACAAGCGAGAGAAAGAGGAAGGTGGGGACACAACTAACACAAGAGAGAGAACCAACTTGGCTGGTGCACGGGCCATATCAGGCTAAATTATGCGGTTTGTCTCATCCAGTCCCAAGTCGTCGAAGTCCCAACGGTCAGGGTTATTCATGCACCTTATTCAGACCCAGATCCAGTAACGTTCGTGCAGTAGCGTCCTCTACGGCCCTGTGTAAGTGGCCGTTTGCGGCCCCCTATTCGCTGCTAACTAAACCTCCAAGCTTTGGTATTTGTAGGCGGTGTTCACTGGCCGCGATAGTTACAGTGCACCGCACTAAAAGCCCTCTTTCCATCTGACTTTACTTCACTTCATTCAGCTCACTCGAGGTCTGGGCCATCTGAAGTCTCGAACAGCGCAACTGCCTCGTGAACTAGTGATGAGATCGGACGGTTTCTTATTCAGGTTCGCCTATTCATATCCCCTAATGTTTACTTTTATATAAGGTGCAACCAAGCCGCCCTCTAATCCATAATCTTCCCTTCTCATTACCCGCCTTCATCGCATCTGTTCTCCCGTCCTCTTTTCCAGATTCTCGATCTTTCTTGGAAAGAAGGTTGGAAAACTCACCATCTCTATCCCAATACCTGCTTCAGTCTATCGTGCACTCAAGGCATGCAACAGTTGTCGCATTAATCCTAACACACCCTTCGACTCCGGTACATCCAGTACCGTCGACAACATGTGGTCGCCATTCAGTACGAAGAATGGCAACGGAGCCTCGCCATCACTGTCACATCTGCTCACTCTCTCAACACTTGCCGCTCTTGCCCCCCTAAGTGAGGCACAATTCCCACCATATCAGGCTGTCGGCCTGAAAACGGTCACCTCACCCTCCAATACGAACATCAAGATCTCGTATAAAGAACCTAAGGATGTCTGTACGACTGCTTTCAAACGCCAGAAGCAGTACACCGGCTGGGTCACCGTCCCCGGCGAGCATCCAACACACCTCTTCTTTTGGTTTGTCGGTGCCCGCGAGCCAACCTCTGCGCTGACAATGATGCTCAACGGCGGCCCCGGTGCGAGCTCCATGTTTGGCCTCTTCGCTGAGAACGGCCCTTGCCAGGTCGTCGAGAAGGGCGCCAACCGCTTGGAGACGGCCGCCAGAGAATGGGGCTGGGACAGAGCCTCCAACATGCTCTTTGTTGACCAGCCCAACCAAGTCGGTTTCTCATACGATACTCCCACCAATGGCTCTCTGGACTTGACGACGGGCATGTCGTCGCCCGACATGCACTTGCCTGACGGCCTGCCTCCTAGTCTCTTCCTCAACGGCACCTTTTCCTCAAGCAACATCCAAAACACCGCCAACACGACTCAGAATGCCGCCATGGCTGTCTATCACCTGCTCCAGGGGTTCCTGAGCACCTTCCCCGAGTACGTCCCCGACAAGAACAGCCCGTTGGGCGTCAACCTCTTTACGGAAAGCTATGGCGGACACTACGGGCCTGTCTTTGCGGACACCTGGCAGAAGGAGAACGACAAGCTCCAAAAGCGCGCGATGCCTCTTTCCAGACGACAGGATGACGCCAACACCAGCATCCAGTCCCGTCCCTCCAAGGGCGGTGGCGGTGGTAACCGCGAAATCAAGCTCTCCTCACTCGGCATCATGAACGGCTGCATCGACGATCTCGTCCAAGGCTCGCGCTACGTCGAGATGGCCATCAACAACACGTACGGCATCAAGCTGATCGACCAAGCCACGGCCGACGCCATCACCTCGGGCTTCAACGCGCCCGAAACAGGCTGCAAAGACCTGCTCCTCGCCTGCCGCCAAGCCCAAGCCGCTCTCGACCCCTTAGACCAAGGCGCCGACGAAACCGTCAACCAAGTCTGCGCCTACGCTTCCTTAACCTGCCAGCAGCTCCTCGGCTCCGTGCTCGCTGCCACCGGCGCCAACGCCTACGACATTGCGCACACCGGTCCCGACGCGTTTCCCGATTACCACTACCTCGAGTACCTCAACTCGCGGCGCGTGCAGGAACAGATCGGGTCCGTGGTCAACTACACGGACGTCTCTCCCGTCGTCTACCAGGCGTTTTTCCAAACCGGGGATAGAGCCCGCGGCGGGTTGATCGGCAAGCTGGCTTCGCTTTTGCAGAGGGGCGTGCGCATCGGTCTGGTGTATGGCGACCGCGATTACATCTGCAACTGGATGGGCGGCGAAGCAGCGTCTCTGGCGATTGCCGACGCCATGAAAGATCTGGATCCCAAGAGCCCTTACCCTACCAAGTTCCCGCAGGCTGGGTATGCGAATATTCAGACTAACGGCAGGGGGGAAGTCGTCGGCGGCGTGGTGAGACAGTTCGGCAACCTCAGCTTCAGCAGGATTTATCAGGCGGGGCATTACGTGCCTGCTTACCAGCCTGAGACGGCGTTCCGGGTGTTTGAGCGTATTATCGGCGGTAACCGCGCGGTCAGCAACGGTGCTAGGGTGAACCTGAGGGACGACTTTGCGACTCAGGGACCGAAGAAGGCTGATAAGATGCTTAAGCCGCCTAAGGAGGTGACGGCCAAGTGCTTTCTAAGGAATCTTGGAGCGACTTGTACCCAGGAACAGGTCATGGCGATTTTGAAGGGCGAGGGGGTGGTGATTAATGGGGTGTGGTATAAGGAGCGGAAGGATTGGAGTCCGGTGACGGCTAGGAGTCAGACGGTCGCGGAGGAGTCTAAGACTAAGAGGAGTCTTTTGGGTAGAGCGGCTGCGATGTGGTTTGAGTAGGGTGCTGTACTGCTGTTGTTCGTCTGGAGGTAGTCGGTCTCCTAATCTCCTAATGAACGTGCTCTTTAGAGAGTGTTTAATGGTACTGGATGTTAGTATGGTTAATGAGTATCAGTAATGATAACGAGTATATGTTATGCGAATCCTGAGTTCTTGATACTTATGGTGTGTTTGGCGAGTTGGTGCAACTGGTCTAAAGGTTGAAAACATCGAATGGGCGGGATGGGCGGTGATAGTCTTGGTAGACAGCTCCGGCTCGTGATTTTTTATTCGCTTGTTAAGCATCGATGGGTTCTGACAAGAAGAGTTCGCGTGTAGATGGTGGACGACTTCCTAGGTGTCTTTGTTTACATTCTCCTTTTTCTGTTTGGTGATGGTGGAAGTGGGTTGATAACGGGCTGGATATGCACCTTGACACGGAGCTATCGCCATAGTAACATTACGTAACAATTTCAAGCCTGCCGTGGAATTTGTGCCGCTGCTCCCCGCTTTCCGCATTGGCGGAACCCAAGCACTGAAGCACACTGAACGAGCAGGGTTCTTGGTTCACGATTCACAGCCATTCGCATTCCACTTCCCGGCCATTCTTCGACTTGTGTCCTCTCCTCCAGACCTCGACAACCACCACGGCCACAGTCTCCGATTTGATCGCGGATGATCTGGGCAAGTAATACTCGATAATATTCACCAGCTCCCAAAGATCAAGCTACTACCAGCACCCCCGCTCTACAGGGCTATTTCTCTGCTCTTCCACAATACCGTCGCACTCTGTTCCCGGTCGATCGCGCAACGCTGCGCCCGCCGCCGCACACCATGTCGACGCAACAGCAAGCCATGATCATGGACACCATTGTGTCCATAAGGAAGACCCTCAAAAGGAAAGCTTATGGTAAGCTCAATTCGCTCTGTCCTTACACCGTGGTATTCCCAAGTTCGCGCTCCGTGACTAACCGTGTCCACCATCCACCCTCAACAGAATCCGACTCCGACTCGTCAATCGACCACAACACGAACCGAGGCTACAAGCTTAAGAAACGCGCACGATTTGTCAAACAGGGCCGTCTTGCAAACTCGAATGGACCGGCCGCCTACAAGGAGGTGTGTGAAACCCTACGCGCATGTACAAGGTGTCAGGCTACGTTGGGGAACCAGCAAGAACAAATGAAGGGGACGCACCAAGACTGATTCTTCTGTGAGTGCTACCAGGTCGCCGAACATGCGGGCTATCAGCGCGCCATCATCAACCAGAACCCGCCTCTCATCGACGAGGACGGCTACGATATCGATAGTGACGATAACGAAGAGCGCGTCCAGGAAGCAATCAGCGCTACCATGGAGGAGAACCCATACGCTTCGATCCTGTTAGAACGTGAGTGGACACAATATGTGCTGTGCTCGTCGATGTGAGTCGACGTGCTAACATCAATCTCGACAGAACTTCTCGCGCCCCTTACATCCGTCACCGACCTACCGAATCACCCGACACTATCGCGACCATTCAAATCGAAAGCCTTGACCGAACTAGTAAACCAGGCCGCCGCCCTCAGCCGAAGAGAGAATGTTGCCTTGTGGAAGGTCAAACCGCTGCTCACCAAATTCGTCGGCGACAACTCGTGGGCGCCGTGCGGCATGATGATTGAATCGAACGACCACGATCTCTTTGAGGATACCTCGAGCTTCATCAAATGGGTCAGCAATTGGATCCCGAATGCTGCTGACGCCGTGTCAGCTGGCAACAATACCAAGGCGATCGAGAATGGGCCTGTCGATGGCAACGAAAATGAGGCATCCGCCTCGGAACCGAAGGAGTCTGGTCAGACAAATGGTGACAAGGGGGAAAAGGCGCTTCCGGATTCAGTCCCTGACGACGAACACCTTCCTGATGCCGACGCAAACCCAGACGAGAAAGAGGGAGCCGAGGAGGACAGCGCGCCAAAGGTCAACGGAGAGAAGGCAACAGATGAAGATGTTGAGATGACCGAGCCCACACAACCAGTCGAGTCAGCATCCACTGATTCCAAGGCGGAGGGTCCGCAACCCAACGGCGAGACAAGCAAGGATCCCGAGCAAGCGCAGCCGGAGGCCGTGACCACGGAGACGACCATACAAAGCGTAGACGAAAGTACGACCGCAGATCAACCGGCACAGACACCGGTGGATGGGCAGACAGAACCAGCAACGACGGTATCCGAAGACGTGGAAATGGCAAATGCGCCCAACGGTGAAACTGCCAAGGAGGCGGCGGAACATCAACCAGCGGTCTCAGGTGCCGAGCCAGAGACGAACCCAGTTCAATCGGGGCACGAGCTCGAGCAACAACAACCAGACCAAGAACCTCAAGAGGAGCAGCTCGTCCATGGTGCAGAGGATTTGCGAGCCAAGCCTAATGCTCAACGTAATGCTGCGCTCAGCAGCGTGGCATCAGTAGCGGCACTACAGGAATTCCTCGACGAACCTTACATCCATCCCATCTTCCTGGCCCCACGAACTTCCCATCCAGACCGCGACTTCGGTCTCCCCGAGCAAGAAGCCGAAGACGTCCGCCGCCTGCTCCAGCTGTACGTTCAGAAGCAGGAAGAAGTCTGCCGCGGCACCCGCAAGCTATACGAGGGTCTGCGCAAGGCGGACCGGTACCGACAAACGGTGCTCTCGTGGGCCAGGGCCGAGGCGCACAGCGGGCCCAACCGCGACATGTCGGACGGCGAGGACTGGTACGACAAAGAAGAGTGGGGTTTGACAGAAGACCTGAAGAAGGGAGAGGATGAGGTGGAGGAGGAGACGGCTGTGACGCAGAAGAAGACGAGGAACCGGAAGTAAGCAAAAACCAACTGCAAACCTCCCTCGTTAGCTTTTCTAGCTTTTGTGTCCCTTTCGTCTTATTTCCCTGCGTATAATTCTTGTTTCTATGACTTGTTGACTGTATATACGGCAGGCGGTCCTGAATGGACTTTTTCATGATGATGTATGTCTGGTGTAACATGGCTGGATGGGTGGATTGGCTTAAGAAGAAATAAACGGAGTCATGGTGATGCTGGGTCGGGTCTGGGAGTTTGGCGCAACTGGCGAAGAGGAAGGGGGCATCAATGGGATGGATGTCTACCTAAGGATGCGCTCCTTGGAGAGCTGGTATAGCAGCAATTCAGCGTGTCTGTCCTCCTTATCATAACGGGACGACGCTTTATAATTGTTAGCATAGTAGGTTTTTGCTCATAGTCAGATAGCATCAATCAATAGTGTACATTGGTGATGATCCCTAGAGGCATTCGGGATTCACGAATCGCACCTGTGGTGACGTCAGCTTTAACATCGGATGGCACTTGACAGATTGATAGATCGCTCGCGTTGCGTGGCGTGGCATGGACATTTGTTTTAAGCTCAACGAGACGGAGACGGACCGAACAAGGTCCAGATGATCAGATTGTCATTGAAATAAACTTACAACTGCTCATCAACCGGAACCCTGTGGGCATTATGAATCAATAACACCCTCAACCCACCATGTTCTACATGTCCGGAAAATGCAACGGTAGCAGATGTATGGTTGGCGATTGCGATGTGTAAGCGGAAGTCGGAAGCTCGAGGCGTGGTTGTGTTGATGGAACGAGCGAAAGAATACCCTTCGTCAGAGAGTCATCAAATGGTTCCTAATGTCCAATATCCATCTTGAGTGATCACCTCCCGTCGCCATCGGTATGTTTGCCCAAGAGCCAGTCAGTCAGTCAGTCGCACAGGCAAAATGCTACTACCTTCATCATGCGCAACAACTATCAAAAAGGGCATATATTCTTTTATGGAAGGTTCAAAAAGCATTTGTTCTCTTTTTTTTTTCTTAAAAAAATGGTCAAGGGTACCAAAGAAAAAAAGGAAGCCAACTGCGCAGTCCGGGAGTCGAACCCGGGTCACTCGTTCATTCTTTGCCCGCCACCTGTATCCTGTTTGGGAAACGAGAGTACTGAACCGCTATACTAACCGCGCTTTTTCTTGTGCTTTTCTTGTTAAAGATCTTTTTCAAACGGATCTTATTATAAAGGGCAAGAGAAGGTGGTTCAGGGAAGGTGCGGCAAGGTGCGGTAAAGCAGGCGGCTGTTTGCTGTGTGATGCGTGGGTTGCCGTTGAGGAACTGAAGGATCCATGGCACGGCAAGTACTCGAGGGTTGACAGGGAAGGTACGAGCTTTTGTGTGAGGAGTATGACGGGTGTTAGGTATGATGAACCTTTATGACCGAGAAGAGGCAGAAAGAAAGGAAATGAAGGAGCAAGTTCAAGTTAATGATAATCGGACAAGAGATTCCTCCTACCCACCGCCACGCAAACATTTCTCGTGAGAGGGATCCAATGATCCATGACGACAGAAAGCATCGATGACCTGCTGTCAGAAATTCTGTTGCGGGAATTGTTGATGGACAACGACAGGCGTGGTGAGTGGTAACTTCTGAGCTAGCTGCCCGGCAAAGGACAGTCAGTCCAGTTAGTGATGAATCACTTGAGAACAGGATCTCGCTGTCGGGCCCAATGTCTTCAGTTTGGGTTTTTGAACACATGGGAAGACAGATTTAAGAGAACCAATTCGTTCGTTCGGCCTTGGACAAATTTGTTCGTCCAGGGTTATTCTGACTAATAAGGCTTAAAGAAAATGAAATAAATCTACGAAGGATAGGCAGGTAGTAAGGAGAAGTAGAGGTGGCTTTCAGCCGTACATTGATTGGGTTGCCAAACTCACTGACTGCCCCGGAGATACCGACATCAGGAAATGTCAACTCCGGAGTTTCATGGCATGGAAGTGGATCAGCAGTCATCTACTGAACTCGTCATAGACTATCAGATAGCGCGTTATACGTACTTCTTCCTGATCATTGTTGCTCTTCGTATGCATAGGGGTTATGCAAACCCGCGGATTATTTGGTTGGAAGGCATGGTACCAAGCCTGTCGCAACGTTTGGATTGAGTGGGGAGGCCTCGTGGATGGATTCAAGAGGATTGCACAAGAAAGCCTACAATCAAACATAATTGTTATCTGTCCATATGTCCTTACCAGTGAGCACTACCTCTCTACCTTTACAGGCTTCCTGTGCTTCCAAGCTATGATGACTCTTGGCCATATTCGTAAGGTAATAGGTACTCATCCAGCTACATATATCTCTCTATACGGCACCTCTCATGATACCTCCCTTCTCTTCTAGGAAGACCTCGCTTAAGCGAGCCAGCCCAAAGCGAGTAAGCCGGTGTAGAAGACGAGCATTCAGTCCCCAAGTGAGTAAGCCAAGACATTAATGTAGCTGCATCTCAATTTTGGGATTTGGACTTTATGATGGATGCTGGGTCACTGATTCTATCTTTTTCTTCCATCTTGGCCGGCTGGCTGTGTGGCTGGGCCAGGCCCGACGGTGGCAGCTGAAGAAATTCGTTGTTGAATAGCACAGTCCATGGACTTACTTGATGTTATCTGTGATCTTAACCAAACCAACTGCCGTCAACATTTCGTTTTCTGGCGTTCTACGTTGGCGAAGACAATGGAGTGGAGGTCTAGGGCAACTTCGTTCATTATGACCTTTATTCCACTCGGACGAAAAGATGTCTAAGTCGTTAATAGGATGGTGAATTATCGAGTTCTTGGTCTCTTCCAACACGCTGCTGAATGAAAGTGTAATTGGACGAAAAGGTGAGGTCGCATTGCTTACCTAGGTAGTCAACTGGACTGTATCTGGTATCATGGAAGATAACCAGGCAGGATCATTGATCACGATGTCACATGATATTCGATGGCGGTACCGGAAAAAGCAAAACCAAGGACCTGTGAGTTCCTCATCGGTGGTCAGTCCCAATGATGTGAAGGAGGCCGCCGATCATACGACAAGAAAGATCGTGCGTGTGTGTGTGTGGTGAAGTCACTTTTCGAATTCGTAGTCGTCGTCGAGAAGGTTTGTACCTGCGGGGGTCAGTGGAAGTTGGGGGTCTCTATGTCCGTAATAGGCAATGGGGGCCGATGGGAAGAGTGGGGGTACGATTCACGTAACCGTTGTGGCGATCATTTCCCCCCAATCATTGTCGTCTCCGTGGGGCATCTTTACCTCGGTCGTATATTCCTGAACAATCCCGAGACGGGTGTAGCCAAGACATCCCTCATCACGAAGCTTTGAAGGTGTGTTTACCCCAGGCATAATATGTCATGTGCAAACGCAACGCTGCGGCAGTTCGAAGTTCGAGAGAAAGGCAGGGAACAAGGAGGGGAATGGGGGAAAAGGACCCCATGAACCGACGTGAATCATGGGGAAAATGGAGTCTGTTGCTGTGAGGAGAAACAGAATTGGTGGATAAAGGTTGCAGTAGAGACGTATGTAAAGAATAGACTAGTCAGGGGTTTATGCGCTGGGAGTCCACGAGGTGTGCACGTCAGGTACCTAGACTACATGAAATCCGAAAAGTGAGGGGATACATATCCATTATCCAAGGCACAGCCCCCCCTCGAAACTCCAAGTTGGACTGTGGTCAGAGAACGACACTCGTCAGATTCGGCATCGAAAACCCGAAGTATAGGGCAAACGATCCCTACCCGCGGAAATGCCCCAATGGGCTGTCCAAAAGCAAGGCGAGCGGGATCGTGAGAAGTTACCATATTTGTCAATGATGGTGAGGAAGCTGTAGAAGGGTAACACAACCGACGCTGGACTGATGGAACTTCAGCCCCTCGAGCCCCTCTCCGCGTCTCACACACTCACCTCAACTTCCCGCCTTTTTTCTGCCCAGCTTTCAGTTACATACCTCTCTTTACCCCTCAACGTGCCTATCATCCCTGCCGAGGCCGCCTCGTGGTGCACGATGTGCACGATGACAGAAGATTGTCCAAATCCTCGTTAGCTTCCGCCGGATGGTCTCAAGGGCGGTACGTCTCCGGGTACTGTCTCTATACTGTACGGTGTAAGTCGTTAGGGCTGTTGGACGTATCCGGACTACAGATCAATTCCCGACTCTCGTAGGCTTCAGAGTGGGTCGTTTGTTGGCCAATTTTGCGCGCCTCGTGATGTCTTTGTGCATACATTGGCCTTGAGTATGCAAGGAACCTTTTGGCCGTCTATTCTTGTTGCTGTTGAGCGTGGTCCTGCGTTGCATATCAAGGGTCGAATGTCTGTAGCACACCGTGTCAGAAGGAAAGGGGAAGGACAGAGTGTACTGTATCCCGGAAACATATCTTGTTCCAAACAACATGATCTCACCCCCACGAAGCGGTTGACCGTAGCGGTTAGAGCTACGAACAGCAAGCGACGAGTATATTTGATCGCGGAGAGAATTACCACAGTAGCCGCTCCGCCCGGCCAAGGCCTTTATCGACGTGCACACTATTCAATCACTCCCAGGTGCGGCGAGTCTGACGTGCAGCAACAACCGAGTTCTTGGCTCAGACTCGATCGAATTGACCAACATGGAGAGATGCACGAATGTAGGGCCTCCTTTGTGAACTCGATTGGTCGACTTTTCCCGTCAGATGACCGAAATATGCAAGTCGCTGTAAGGATGGGACGTCGTGGGGGTCGGTATCGTTGCCCGTGCCGCTCCGGCACCGAAGTCGTTGATGCAGCGTGCCATACTTTTAGGTGGTGAGGTATTGTTTGAATGCTAACCTTCTGCATGCTTTCCGTCTTGCTGACTACTGCCATATTTATGGTGTCATGGTGGCATAGCATATGTCTGATTGAGTGATGCTTTTGGCTGAGCAAAACTCGGCTTGATATGAAGTGTATGCTGCTCAGCAGTCTGGACCATGCCATCAACAGTTCAGACCACCGTATTGGAGGCCTCAATTAGTAGGTAGCCGCGCCTACATCCAAAATATTCTTCATGGGACAAGCTGATGGTGGCGCCAAACCAGAGGATTGCATAATACATGGCAATCCAGCAAGTCAAACAACGGCGGCTGTTGCCGACGCTAGGGGAAGTGTGGTAGACTGCTGCCCAGCGAATGTCGGACCCGTTGGTACGGATGCAAATATGGTTGGTGTAACAGTTTGAGCCTCCTACATGGGGCCCGGTCGATACCACTTGATTGGATTATGGATGACCCGTGGGTTTGTGCCTTGGCCGCTGGGGGCTTTCGCGGGGAGCATGCCCGCCACGTGGAGGACTTTTGGCTGCTCGCTTCTTTGACGATGTCGAGAGGCGGAACGGCTCCTGCGATGGTCCCGGACCCGATCGCCTTGCTCTGGTCCTTTAGAAATTATCGGTGAGAGGATCAACTGCAGTTATCCGAGAGTGGGCATTCTACAGGTTGAGCCCTCGCAATGGGCCCCGATGGGATTTTAAGGTCGAGTACACTCAGGCATCTCTACTCTTGGCCCTGTCGGTATGCGCAACGTTCGATATCGAGGGCCAGGGGCAATGACGGATTCAGGCTTCAAGCCGTGGCTGTTTTCTAGGTGGTGGCTAGTTGTTAGGGAGTGCTACACAAGACTTGGGAGAACTGACCGTGACTAATATCTAGCAGCGGCCTAACACGCTATTGGTTGAGCCAAGAGCATCAGTTAGCAGCTCGACAGATCTCGGCAGTTCTCCGGTTGCCAGTGGCAGCTTTCGGGGTTTGTTCATAGGGTGGCGAGTTGTGTGACATAACATCTTGACCGAGTGAAGTGCCTGACGGAATATAAGGTGGACAGTCGGAAAACGGCAAAGGGAAATTGCGGGGAAGTTGAATTGATAGGTGACGGTTGGGTAGTAGATGGCAAATTCCATATCTTGTCGGCGTCTAGGGGTGGGTGGACTTGAAGTTCCAGAACTCGACCTCCTAGAGCGCAGTTGGTGAAAGGAATGTCGTCGCCGTCAAAGTAGGTGTCATGATACAAGAGACGATCATAAGGTGACAAGGCGCCGATCAATTGCGTGGCAGAACGAAACGAAACCCACTGGGAGATGTCGGGAGCTTGAAAAAGATGTCAAGTTGAATTGCCGTTATTGAATTGTCCGTTGAATTGGCACAAGGGAAAGAACGACTGAAGTTGAAGTGACGTTGGAAGTTGGGAGATCTGCCTGGCCGGTGCGCAAGCTCCATATCCTATCAGCTGGGATCCACTAACATAAGGGATTCAGCAAGCGCTAATAGTAGTACCGCTAATTCAAGCCGAAAGTTGTTAAATGTGGTTAGCATCATAGCAGATCTTGCTAAGGAGATCTTGGTCTGATGTTTCCGAGACAGATCCATCCCATTCCCCAATACAAGCGGGAGCACAGACCCCTTTGCCCGCATTTTGACTTGACATCAACCTCAACTTGTCCCTCGGCCATCCAGCTCGGATCCAAGATCCCGTTTGGAGGACGTGATTTCCATTCAGCACCTCACCGACAGCCGGAGCCAGATCCCAAGGTGCTTTTTCGGTCCCAAAACCAAGGCTCTCACCAAAAGACGTGCAGTACATCTAGCCTTGTTAGGTCTGGCCGCGCCGGTGGCTTGCATACGCCGATGTGTCCGGTAAGCTCGTTGCATTTGGTTGTATACCGTATACAGCTGAGTAAAGACGTACGGCCTCAAGCTTGTCGGTGATTGGAAGATGACTTGTAGCAGATTGCCTGGTTGCCTTGGGCCGGAACCGACTCGGCAGATTGCCTGTCCCACGACGTTATCGTCCATAGATGGATGACATGATATCGCAGTCCATCTCCTTGGCCCAAAACCCATCACGATTATCCAAGCGTGCCCAAGACAATGCAAAGGACAAAGACAGGGTTGACGAGCTGGTACAGCAGTGGGCGGTTCCGGGCACTGCATATCACAAACGATTGGGACAACGTGGGGGTCTCGTCAAGCCCGGCTGCAGCTGAAATTGTCCACGGCAGTCATCAAAGAATGACTGGACTGAGGCCCAAAGAGACGCCCCTGGCAGGATGAAAAGATGTTTCATCTTCATCACGCCTGAGGTCGGTGATGCTGTGTTACCAATGGAGGCCATGCCATGTCCTGCCATGCCATGCCATTGATGCATCGCATGTGCTGCAAAGGCAGCAGCAATACTTAGCAAACAGTATTGCAGGAAGCTCAACAACACACTTGCCCCTCCAGTCAGGCTTCACAGATCCTACAACTGAATGGTTTCGAATCAATTAAACCCAGGCCATAATTTTGCCGTCACGCGACCTGCTACCAGGTGAATGGTGGCCGAATGATAATTACACCAAGCAATGCGTGGCTTGCTAGCTGTAACGACGGCGCACTGGATACGTACAAGTGTTCGGTGTGGATATGGTATCGTTGACGACCTTGGCACAGTGCTCACCGTCCGTTGTTTACGCCAGAGGTACATCGCCAACGACGCCAAGTTCGCTGTCCTTTCTCCGCACTTTTCCGTTTAACTTTTTGGTGGTTTCTGCACTCCGCAATCCGCTTGTCCGGGGGCCGCCCCAGAGGAGGTACCGTAGTGGGGTACGTATCCCGCTCAGGTACCCCTGTCAGCAGCCTGTTAGTGCACCCAAGCTGGATTTGGATTGCTCATTCACGACGTGACACGATACAGAGAATTCGACACTTTTGCCTCCAAGCACATCAACGTGTCACGGTCAACTGGCCGACTCGTGACTTGAAGAATGAAGATAATCTCATTCCCACCGTGCTGGACGCAGTCACATTTCCGCCCACGCCGCCGTGCTACGACTCGGTAATCATCAGCCGGAGTGTGTTAGCGTTCGCTACACAAGACCTGAACTATCAGCGCACTAACCCCCACTGCAGGTGCCTCGCCAGGGAGTCGCCAGGGAGTCGCCGCGGCGGCACCCCCGCCGTCCACTCCCCAATCCCCATACCGGGCACCTACCAAAAATAGGACTGGTAGATCCAAGCGTGCCAAGCTGCTGGAACCTCGGGAGTTTCAGGGCCAGGGACAGCGTCCATGGTCCAGTCGTGGGAGGAAGGAAGGAGCGAGGGCAGTTATCGACACCACTCGCTCGCTCAACACCCGGGCGGCTCTTTCCCTTGGTGTGAAGAAGGAGAAACCAAGCAGAGAGGCACCTGCCACATGCGGTCCTCCAATTCACAATCGGGAAAAAAAAATTGCTGTCAGGCAGAACAACTCACTTTGGAACGCGGCGAGACAATTCGAATCTGTAACTGGACTCTGTCCGGCCGGTCTTGTCTTGTCCGTCCACACTCGACACAGTACTCTTTCTCCAAGACATGATGGTGACCATTCTCCATTCGACATGTTTTTCGCACCAATCACGACCAATACTGCAATTGTCCTCAACACTTCCAATTCTGCCCTAGGAGCGTCAAGCTTGATCCAGTCCAGTAGAGGCATGGATGTCTGTCCGTCATGACAACATGAACATGACAACAGGGTCCAACATCAGCTCCGAGTAAGCAATCTCCAGGTATTCAACCCCCAGCGCGGGAATAGCAGCTTGCCAAGGTAAGCCGGGCCCCTCAACCGGACCTCGTTCGAGGGCCAGTTTTCCACTTTGCACATTGCTGATATCATACAACTTCCATAGCAATCAATCTCTCGATCCAGTCTCTGTGGGTGAGCCCTTGTGCGGCGCAGGAAAGCAGACAAAGCAGCGGCAAGCCAACTCTTCAAGGTCACTCGCGAATGCTGCCGTCCTCTCCCCTGTTGGCCTGTTCAACGCAGGCCGCAAAGCACGCATTCTGAATGGCCAGAAAAAGATATGCCAAAAGTGTCACCTGCCCCTCCAGTGCCCTCCACGCCAACCATTGACAACGCAAGCACACCCACCAAGACGCCCTTGACCATCCCGAACCGGACTCTCGCTGCCCCTCCACGGAGATGTTCGGTCGATATTGCCAGTCGAGGCCATCATTCAAGATACCGCTTTATCTCACTCAACTGGGTTTTATCCTTCCCTCTTATAGTCTAGTACAGCCAGGTGGGCGCCTGCAACCAGGGTAATCAACGTGGCCGTGCAAGGAGGCTCGATTGGCTCACAAGGGTAAGAAAAGTGGCCTCCTCTGCTAGCGTGGCTGCTTGGTAAAAGATGTAGGTGGCTAGCAGGGTTGAACGGGCCGGATAAATCGACTATGTTCGATTCTTGATCGATTGTATGGGACCTATATAAATTGATAGCCAAGACCCCAAAGCTTGGTATCGCTTGGCATTACTCTCGCGCGGCCGCAACTATCACCAAATCATTACTAAAGATATTATTTTGAACTACAATAATGAAAGTTCAAAACCACCTTTTTCAGAACGTTGAACTCTCATTCACACGCGGGGGCCTCTCACCGGCCCCCTGCACCCCCGGAACTAACCCTAACACCTAACCCTAACCGCTAACCCTAACACTAACCTTGGGGGCAGCCCGCGAAAAAGCTACAGTCGATTTATCATGGCACACAGTCGATTTATCCGGTCCTCGGTTGAAAAGCGGGTTTAAGTGGGACCGGCGGCCCGGCTATACTATGGTGGATTTAGCGGGGCAGGGGGGGATAAAACCCAGTTGAGTGAGATAAAGCGGTAGGAACAGGTTAAGCCTCACGGCGTCTGGCTTGCCAGCGTGGATGTAACCTTCCTAGCGTGCGCTCATTGGCCAGGCCAAGAAACATGCACACCTCCTCCGATATCGAAGCCTTATGGAAGCCCTCGGGAGCACTCCCACGCAGTAAACGGAAGGCTGGCAATGACGTGACCACCATCGCAAAACCTTTCGGACACCAGGTCTAGGGAGAAGGGAGACACGATACAAGACGTCAGACAGCCCGCCAAATGGGTGAAACCGTCAAACCGACCATATAGACTAGACCTTCAGGACATCACCTGATACCTGTACGGTTCGTCCCTCTTCTTGTCCCATTGATGCCACGCAAACACCCTGCCATTCGACACCTTGTGGCGCTAGCCCGTCCTAATGACCGTCATGTTCGACTTTTGACAAACCGCATCCTGATGAAGCAGGCCGTTGTTGGTAGGCCGTGGTTTGTGTCGCCAAACACTTCTCTATACCCGATCAAGCCTTCCGGCCCGGATCACTGACCGCCAGTTGCGGAACGGGGCATGAGAAAAGAAGGACGGCATGGCCCGTTGAGCGATGATGACAAGGATACCTTGGGCATTGCCGTGAAGGTATCGCAAAGAAGAGCCTCGATTGACCCTCGATTGACCCTCTCATGGCCCAGTCTTCACCTTTTACCTACCTTGGCCCATTGCCTTGGAGCCAGAGCCCTGGCTGAACAGAAGCTGTCGCCTTGTCATTGTCGAGTCCTCTGTTGCCTATGCAGAGGTGGTAGTTGTGCTGTATCTGCATGCTCACCCAAGGGCGGACACTTGCCCCAGATTCGGCCAAAGATGCATCTACCGTATGGTTTATGGCCCAAGCAAGCTGCTTATAAGGCCATAAAAAAGGCTGAGTGCCGCTCTTTGCGCGCACACGCAGATAGTAGGTACCCGTATGCACGGCAACAAACGTCCTCTCACAACAACCCCTGCCATGATCCCATATCTTTCCAAGATCAAGCAGCCTTCCTGACCTCACTGAACAACACCATGTTCAAGTGGACAAAAAGCAATGTGAAACTGGCGGTCGAGGTGTGCTCGTTGTGACGTGCACCTGCTTGAAATCGGGCTAACACCTATAGCCTCATGATTACTAGGCGTGTAGCAGCCGAGGGCATTGGCTCGAACAAAAAGACCATCCACAAACTGGATTTACCAGGCACAAGGCTGAATCCATTTGGCCGTGAATCCATATTGGATTCTTCAGCCCTCGACTGTTCATTGCCTGTGCTATTCAGAAAAAGGTCGACCACCATATTGTCTTCAGCCTAGGCACCGACTCAGGCCGGCTGGGATGTCTACCGGGCTTGAATGATGGCATAAGCAAAAGCATAAAAAAAGTATATCTGCCCTGCCCGAGCCTGACCTCTGTACACAAGACGTCACCAGCATCTCTCGACTCGTCTGGAGGTCTGACGAAGCTACTGTCCAAGAATATCACGCCGATCCACGACATCGACGGGTAAGCAGAGATACACTACAACTACCCCTCCTGGTCTAGCGTGAGATTTCTTGGCTACGACTAGCCGCCTTACCCATCATGGGGCAACAATGGGGTAACTCGGGGTAACAACAGCGGCCCTCGTCGACGGAGCCGGCCTGTCAGGCTAACCCCCACACTATTACCGTCCACCACAGACGGGATCCTGGAAATAGCCCCCTGTCGTGTATGGGTCGTGCCCCTTCTCAAAAGTTTGGACATCAAAGAAAGAACAAAAGGGGCCGCACTGTATACTTTGGCCTTTCTTCTTCCCTTTTGCATGAATCAGAAGGCTTCGTTCCTCACCACTCCACGACCTCTGGCCCTCAGCTTGCCATGTCTCCATGTCCGTCGTTCGGCCTGGGTGGCGATGGGTCTTGGCTCCAGTCTTGAGCAGGCGTCCACTTGACTGCGTAAATCCCAAGCGGACAAGATCAAGAACTAAAACGACAATGGCACAATGGGTACTTTTTTTTTTCCATCACCGCCTCGGGTACTGACCCACGGCTATCACTAACCGTCACCACCCCCCCGCTTCGTTCCTCGTAGACGGTAGTCAGCCGATGCACTTTTCTTCTCCCTTGCTTGGAACTTTTCTCTCCCAGTCCCTGTTCCTTTCTCCCATTTCTCTTTGTACAAATATCAACCACTTCCCTCCCACAATCCCGAACGAGCTGACCGTCATTGCCCTCCACCTTCCTGTCTTTGTCCACCTTCCGCTACTTCTTACATCATAGAAAGCCACCGGTATTTTCATTATCCTCATATTCCAAGTCTTACCCTCAGTCAACATGTCTCCTCACAACGACTCATCACCGGCCGGAAGCTTCACCAACGGCTTCAACAGAATGGCCTTCCCACCCTCGGGGTCATCCACTCTCACAGTAGAGGATTTGACAGCCGAGCTGGGCAGCTCATACGACAGCAGCTCCCTGGACGCGCCCATCTCCCACGTCAAGCGACCCCTCGTCCCCGGCGTCTATGTCCCGACCATGTGCTTCTTTGAGAAGGAAACAGAAGATGTTGATACCGTCACCATTGCTCGCCATGCTGTTCGTCTAGCCCGTGCCGGCGTTACAGGCTTGGCTACTCAGGGTTCCAACGGAGAAGCCGTTCACCTAACCCACTCCGAACGACAAGTCGTCACCGCAACCACCAGAAAAGCGCTCAACGACGCCGGATTTTCCCGTATGCCTATTATTGTTGGCTGTGGCGCTCAAAGCACCAGAGAGACAATCCTACTGTGCCGTCAAGCATGGCAAGCTGGAGGAGATTACGCACTGGTTCTTCCACCATCCTACTACGCGCCTCTGTTCGCTCCCTCATCCCAGACCATCCTCGAGTTCTTTAACGCAGTTGCCGATGCCTCGCCCATCCCAATCATCATCTACAACTACCCAGGTGCCGTCAATGGCATGGACATGTCATCAGATATCATTGTGCAGCTTGCCCAGCACCCGAATATCGTTGGTGTGAAGCTCACCTGCGGCAACACCGGCAAGCTGAACCGTGTGGCAGCGGCTACTCGCAAGCTCTCAAAGAGACACGATGCCAAGAATCCCGATTTCTTGGTTCTAGCGGGGTCTGCCGACTTTTCTATCCAGGCCTTGGCAGCAGGTGGACACGGAATTCTTGCTGGCCTCGCCAACATTGCCCCCAAAGCATGCATCAAGACCATCGAGCTCTGGAACCAGGGAAAGCACACCGAGGCTCAGGAGATGCAGGAGATTGTTTCGCAAGGCGATTGGACTGCTATCCAAGGCGGCGTTGTCGGAGTTAAAGCTGGATTGGAAGAGTGGGCAGGTTACGGTGGCTACTGCAGAAGCCCTCTCCCGAGGCCGACTCCAGAGCAGTCCAAGAACTGGAAAGATGGGTTCAAAGACTTGATCATGCTTGAGAAGTCTCTCTAAGCTTTTCCAGCTCACATGATCGAACATTCTCGGTCATCAACGAGCATGGGCGGTGACAATATGGCTGAAACAATCAGGAATTCTTTCATTTCCCCTTTTCGGCAAGCAAGCGAGACTGGTTAGCCAGTACCAAGCTCGTCTCCATTTCTTCATGATTTTCATTGTCTAGGCGTTTTTGAGGGGGTATACAGGTCACTGCGGGTAGCAGAAAGATGGGAAACCTCAAAATAGAGAATTCCTCGGCGTTGGGATAGGGGCACACACAGCATGGGTTAATCGGGTTAACGGAAACTTTGCGGAACGGTTGTTGGAAACCGCACTGCTACATGAGGACTACCTCTTTTCAGTCACTCTTCCCTTTCACTCCTACAAACATGTGTTACGGTGACACTTCACATGCTCGTGGATATCCCGAGGTTTCAATTTTCTATATTCTCTCCATCGTTATGTTTTAGTCAAAAACACTGCTTTGTTATCAATACGATGTTGCATAAGAGTCCCTGATTGTTCACACCAATAAGCCCATGTCCACTGATGCGATGTCTGAGCAAACAAAACTTCGTTCACTGCACCAAAAAAAAAAAAAACGCCATGAACCTAAAAACAGATAACGTCATGAATCTTCGATCACACAAACTGGGATTTCCCCTTCTTTTCTTCCGGATACGAATGTCTTGTGGCCATGGCGATTTATCTAGCCGAGGCGGGTCCAGGCTGTGGCTTGGCCTCCTTTGTGCTACGAGGGACAAGAAGCTGCAATGCCAAGTGGGCAAAGGCTACATAGCTTGTGGTTCAACAAGGAAGCAAACATGAGCTCACTTTGCAAGCCCAAATTCACTGCCACGTGAATAGCACAGAGACATGGACACTCAACTGGGTCATGGTACCAATCTGGCCCTTGTCGCACTGGCATAACCCACATGGCCATCCCAAGTCTTTGATTTCGCTGAGCGTAAGTGAAAATGAACTACGAACTGGAACATGTTGCAAATGGAAGATGAAAGATCGCTAACAACATACAATCTAAATGGTGGTATCTGTACGGGGTGTATTGACCATCAAACAGACTCCTGTTCACGCCTAGCACGACGAATCACCAAGACTTCATCACCACTTGAACACAACCTCGGCAAGCGCTTCCACTTTACCTAGCACGCTTTTGCATCAAGCTGCCGAACACTTGTGGCCCAATTCTGTTTTGTGCATGAGCAGGACTCAGAGTCATATGAATCAGTAGCCGTAAGTTGACCACGGGAATAAGCCATGATGAGTATGATATAAATATCGGTATTGAGGGCAGCCACCTATCCGTACCGTCATAACCGATGGCTAACCTACGACATAAGGCGCTCGATTATGCGAATCGCCTTGGTACCACAACGGGGGCAAATTATTCCTCCGAGCAAGCCACGGGTAGGACATCTCAAGAGAGCCCGAACAACGGCGTTCTGCGATATCGGCTCCGCACGCAGACTTTCATCGGGTACAGTCCTTCCCGATTTTCTTACCTTGTGTGATGTGGACTTAGGGGTGAGAGAACTGGAGGGGGAGGGGCATAAGGTATGTGAAAGGTCAAAAACCAAGTAAACAATCCACACATCTGTTGTTACACCACCTCTAAACAACATTGAAACAACTCCTTTGCTGTAAGTCTTTGTACAACCAATCAGGGGCTTGTCGCTCCATCAGCCAAGTAGAAGACTCCAAATATTCACACCTACATAAACTAGTGTCTCACGGGCATGCCGGTATCATCCGACGGCCGGGAAGTGCGGTATTCTTTCTGGCGTCGGGCGGGAAAGAGAAAAAAACGTGAAGAGAGCATGACAAGAGAAGCTAAGCTAGCACAAGGCAACAAGAACGAGGGTAGGTGAGGTCCGTTGAAGATATGTGAATGTCTCCTCAAGAGCCTCATTGGGCCTCAACGCCTTATGTTCATTACCCTCCCCCAACTTTTGCCCCCATTCTCTTTGCTTAGTCTTGCCTGCTTACGGGCGGGACCTTGCACAAAGGAAAGCTGGGAAAGACGTGGGCAAGGCCATCACGGGATGATGCCCCCCACGCCCAGGTATGCAGGAACCACACCAAAAAACCATAGGGGGGACGGGAAAGCAAGCAAGGTGTTTGCGAGGTGGTGGGTATGGAGGAGAAGGGTGGGTAAGAAAAGGGTTAAGCTTGAACCCGTCGCTATGGGCATCACCACCACAAACACACATCACCCGCCAGTACAACCAGAGCGGGAGCCGCACGGTGAATGTACCAGACTATAAGGATGCTGGATTCCTACCCTCCTTTACAGGCAAAGGGCGGAGAAGCACGACGCAAGATGGAACGAGGCAGATATTCCCCTTGCAGCCCGAGCCTTGTTACCCAACGGCTAGCTGCTGTCAGTAGCATGATGACGAAGGGTTTGTCTACCAATCATCCTTCCGTCTATCCGTCCACCCGCAATCCCATTTCAGAGGTTGGTACATGCACTTGCACAAACACCGATTCATCATGTTTCCATCTGGAAGTTCTTAGAAGAAGAACCCCTCACCACCATCAGCAGACCACTGGCGGCACTCTGGCTTTGGATTCATGCTAACGTGTGGCCCCAGAGCTGTATGAATGAGACACACATACGGGAAGGAGCATAACACTCTTTACCTCCTTGTCGCCCGCCGGTCGGTGTGGAATCCTCGTGGTGGTAGCCGTCGAATGCGCTGTTCACACAACATCGCCCACACAACCGAGACCACAGATCATGTTTCTTCACCCATCACCTTCTATCCTCTCGTCTTGTTGTCGACTGCAAGCGCCCGATGAGACATTTTCTAGCCGAGTCTGCCGAGTTGTCCATTTCTGCGCAACACAACATACGAAGAGTAACTGACCATACCGCTTATTCTCGTCTCCTTCCCCTTCTCGACAGCCCATGGTCTCCAATCTGGCCGCTTCATCTCTTCCCTCCCTTTTCTGTCTCTACACATAAAGAGGACTTATACGAGTTGCGGCTGCGGAGTTACAGAATATGTGTGCTCCTGTAAGCCTCTTCACCGCTAACCATGCGTCAGAGCTGGGTGCGGTTGTGTGTTTATGTCGGACATTTTCCTCTCATCTCATTGGCGCGTGGCCTCTCTGTGTTCATGCTCCCATTTTCGTCTTTTGGCTGTCCTTATTCTAGAAGGATGAGATCACAAAAAGTTTTGGTCATATCGTTACAGCGCTTGCACGCGCGCGCCCGGAAAAGAGGCTGGGCTGGGCTGGGTTTGGTTCCAGTCGTTCCTTTTTTCTTTTTTTTTTCGTCGTCATCAGTTCAATGGGGAACGAAGTACCTGAGCAAGCAATCGTCCTATTCACCGGTACCTAAGGAGCTACTGCGCTTCTGGAACCCTCGTTTATCTTTCCGTGCTTCTTCAGTTCTTCCATCTCTTCTGTTTGTACCTGCTGGACTTGCTGCGGTGGCTATTATTATCACACCCATGACTCTTCAAAGGGCCATGGGAAGCCAATTCGTCATCCATTAAATATGCAGAAGGATCCCCGTTGATGCTCTTTTAAAACTAGCTGCACTGTCCTACTTAATCCTTTTGCAAATCCGTTTCCTTCGAGTGAGTACCCGAGGAGCAAAAAGAAAGAACTTCTAGGTTTTTCCGGCGGCAGACGTGAACTACAAACAATTCCAAGAGCCAAGCAATAATACCCTTCGGCCGATACCAGACACACCTGTCTGTCACTTTTCAACTGATACCAACAAGCAAGCAATTAGAACACATTGCCCAACCATCCCTCTCCACACATCCCGGTATCACGCCGGGATCCCTTTCCCAATGGAGGCTGTCGCAACAACGAGAACAAGGAGGGTGGTGGGGGGGAAGAGGAGCCGCCTCGACCTCACACCATCGACATCAGGACTCATACCCATGGTCACATTCACTCTTCTCTCGCTCCTCCTATTAATCAACAGCTTTGCCTCGCTAGCCGCGGCTCAGACAACCCCGATTCCGGTCGTCGGCGTCAAGACGGGTGTCGATTCCAACACGGGACAGAGGCCAATTAGGAGGAACATCAATGATCTTTACGCCAGGGGAGGACCACAATGGTAAGGAAGAAGTGACTTTCTCGTGGGGGTCATGCATTCTTCTTTGACTCATCCCCCAATATGGCTGAATGGTTGGCTGACTGACCATGTTTGCTTTAGGGACCTCTACATCTTGGCCTTGTCGGAAATGCAAGCGATGGACGAGTCAGAGGAGCTATCGTATTTCAGTCTAGCAGGTAAGCGAGGATACGTACCCTGGAGCAGACAGCTCTTTGGTGATGGTCTGGGAGTTGCCATGAAGCTGACTCTGTGTTGAAAGGTATTCATGGATTACCGCACAGGGTGTGGAATGGAGTTGAGCAAGTTGAGGGTGCGCCTGAAATTGGGTACTGTCCTCATGGTGTAAGTGTTGTCTCATATAAGATTACTTCTTCCCACCATGATGGATATCACAGATACTGACTGACTGGTCACAAAACGCGCAGGAAACCATCTTTGTTCCATGGCATCGACCATATGTTGCTCTCTTCGAGGTACGCCCATCCCCAACCACAGTCTACACTAGCCCCTTGTCTCTTCTGATCACCCCATCCCCATACCATACCTCACTTTTCAACCCATCACCTGGTTACATCCCCTACACCCATGAGATCGCACCACCACTTATCCACCTCATCCCTCACTACCCTCCTCATTTCAGTTTCAACACCCAACTAACACCCTCCCCCTCCCAAAAAGCAAACCCTAGTCTCCCACGCCCTCTCCATCGCCTCCCGCTACCCCCCCCTCCCTCCAACCCGCCTACACGGACGCCGCCCGCACGCTCCGCCTGCCCTTCTGGGACTGGGCCTCGGACCCATCCCTCCCCTACGCCGTGATGAACGACACCATCAAAGTCAGCAACACGCCCAACTCCTCTTTAGCTTCCTTATCCCCACCCAACAGCAACGGTACCGGCGGCGGCAGCGGCGCCCCCTCGGGTGCGGCGGGGGTGAAGGTTAGGAATCCGCTTTATAGTTATCGGTTTCAGGAGGGGAGTGTGATGTATGGATTTTCGCCGGACAATATGAGGTTAAATCCGCAGACGGAGAGGTGTGTTTTTGATGAGAAGGGGCCGGATAATAAGACGGAGATTAGGAGGTGGAGTGAGCCGTGGGTGGCGGAGGAGGGGATGAAGGAGTTGGGGAGCCAACTGAGGGATGGTGTGGTGAGTTTCCTTTTTCTCTGTTCTTTGTTTTGTGTGAAGGTTGGTTTGGTTGAGCCGGGGGCGGCGGTTAGCCGAAGGGTTGGATTCAACTGCTTGGAGTGGTCCTCGGTTTTCATGGAACTGTCAGGGCGGAAACTGGCAGTTTCGTTAAGGAGTGGCTCGGGAACCGCGACTTTTGGGGAGGACAGCGCATGATATGGGCCCCTACTGTTGCGGACGAAAATCCAACCGACGGCCCCAAAGTTAAAGGAACATTCTGCTAACTCATTACTCACCCCTAGTACGATATCTTCGTCAGACCTGACGCCGGAGGATGGGGAGCTATGTGGTTCGAAGGTCCTCACAATACAGTACACAACAACGCCGGATGTAACAGCGGCACCTTGGCTAACATCGATTGGTCCGCTTTCGACCCTCTCTTGTAAGTACCTCCCACAACAACCGACTGACAATCCCTTTGCTAACGAATCCATTACCTCCCAGTATGCTTCACCACGCAAACACCGACCGCCTTGTCGCCCTCTGGCAAGCAATCTACTACCACGACACAACCTTCAACTACTCCTTCCCCTCTGGCGGCCAACTCGGCACCAAAAAGGGGACCATCCTCACGGCCGACTCCCCGCTAAAGCCCTTCCACGCCGAGTTCCCCGCCAACAGCAGCGGCAGCGGCAACACCGCCCCACCACCTTCGGACGCGGGAGGTTTCTTCCACACTAGTAACTCGGTGGCGGACCTCCGGACGTTCGGGTATACTTACCCTGAGCTGAACACGGATTGGCAGACGCCCGATAAGGAGAAACTGGCGGCGCAGGTGAGGAAGGCGGTTAATAAGTTGTATGGGTCTAAGGACGATGGCAGTGCGGATGAGCAAGGGCAGGCAGGCGGCGTTTCTGGACGGGATGTTGACGAGGATCATCTGGAGGAAGAGCTAGATGAGGAGGAGGAAGATGACATCGAAACTGATGGCGGAAAGGGGGTTGAAGAGAACAACAAGATTACCTTCCGCCGTTCTCGGTCGCGGTCTCTCTCTCCCTCCACCTCCAAGGAAGACAATCACGACAAAACCACAAGCAACGACGCCGAACAAACAGAAGAAAACAACAAAATAACCTTCCGCCATTCCCGCCCCCTCACCAAGTCCCTCTCCTCCGCCAGATCCAATCCCAGCTCCAAATCCCAGAATCAAAAACGACAATCCTACGGCCAACCCCCTACCAAAAACTACTACTACACCGCCGAGCTCTCAGTCAACCGTTCCGAAGTGCCTCTCCCTTGCACCATCTCCTTGATCGTCAACGGGGTAGTCATGGGCCGCATGTCCCTTTTGGGTATGCCAATGGAGGGGATCGCGAAGGCTAGTATGCCGCTGGGAAGACCGCTTGATGATGTTGTCAAGAAGAATGGGGTACAACAACAGCAGGGGTCTCAAAATCAGAGGAGGGAATTGGATACGGGAGGAGGAAACCAGATAGTTGGTCCTGAGAGAAAGGGGAGGTGGCCTGCTCGCTCTTCTGGGCTGGCGAACGGTGGTGGTGGTGGTGGTGGTGGAGGTCAGAAGCAGAGGAGGGAGATGATGGCTGCTGCGAAAAAGACAAAGAGGGGGTTGGGACACGTGGATATGACTCCTAAGAAGATCATTCCGTTTTTGAGGGGGAATATGACTGTTGAGATTCGATCGGTGAGTTTTTTCTCTCTTTTTTTCCCTTGGTTACTTTCTATCTTCCCTATTCCCCGCCCGGCCCGATGTTCTTTCAAATTATTCTCTTCCCATCCCGCCTCCCCCTTCCCCTCCCCATCACCACCCTTCCCCCTTTTCCCACCTTTTTATCGACCCTCCCCCCCTCTCCCCAAGTCACCAATTTTCAAACTCCTACCACCCACCTCCCACCTCCCCCCTCCACCACCACCCACCTCCAAACCATCCTCACGCCACGAAACTAACACCCCCCACCCCCCAAAAACAGAACGACCAAACCCTAACCGACCCATCCACCGTCCCCTCTCTGCACCTCGACATCCAAGACTGGGAATACACCCCCCGCAAGAACGCCAGCGAGTTCCCCATCTTCCAGAATCCTCGGAAATGGCCAATGGGGATTCGTGGACCGGGAGGAGGGCATGGAGGGTACGGCGGCGGCGGAGGTGGACACTGAGTAAAATCGCTCGAGAGTTCCAAGTTTGGTGTCTGTCTTTGTGAAAATGGCTCTAGGAACAAAAAGGGAATGCAAAGAAGGGATAGGAAGGAAAGGAGGGAAAGGAAGGAAAGGAAGGGAAGGAAGGGCGGAGGAAGGGGCAGAAGGCAGAAAGGCAGAAAGCAGGCGTATGGGCAAGGAGTATAGTGTAGGGTATATCACACTATCCTGCTCACTCAGGCATCACCGGTTCCAAAGACAGTTTTCAAACAAGAACTCGCTTCAATCAACAGGGGCACGTACGTATGCTTTGCTTCTATGCCTGTTCATGATTACACTTTTCAGAGTCCTTCTTGTCAGTGTCCTTCTTCATTCCAAATACACCGAACCGCCCTTCTACAGATGACAAAGTATGTAATCTGTGTATATTCGGCCATAGCACGGGTAACGGAAGCAGAAGAAGACACAGCCGTATCTCCGTCTCGGTCTCAAACCAATCTACTTACCAACACAGTCAGGCACTCAGCAAAGCCATACAGTGAGTGATAACAGTAATAACATTATGGAACCTAGCGGAAACGTTACAATGGAGCCACATGTTGGTGGACAGGTAGGTGGTGTGAAAATCTCTAGATCACTTCATTTCTTCCAAGGCACATTCATTTCTTTGGCACTGGAATATGTCAATGAAGGAGAACGAATATTTCTCTTCGCTATTTCAATACCAGTTCCATCACTAGTTCCTATAAGCTAGATAAAACACGCTCCAGAGTCAAGCAGTGATCGCAGTTGTTTTTTCCTGGAGATTATTCCTTCCACTATTTCCTCGGAAATGGAAAGCTCACTATGGGAAAAAAGAAGAAAAAAAAGTTCCCTCGTGTATCCCATCTTCCTCCTCCTCCTCCTCTCGTGTTCGTCGTCGTATTTTCCTTCACGCCCCTCCACCGGTTCTTTTCGTGTTCTTCTGTTGCTGTTTCTGAAAACAGGTAGAGTATTATCATCTCTCTTCAGGTCGATGAGGATTGGGTCAAGCTCGTGGAGAATCTTTCGATATTCGCACAGAACCTCTGTTGCCTCAAAATTGCAGAATGTAGGGTCCCATGTCGTTGATGCCGTGGTTGCGGTGGTTGGTTCTTGTGGGGAACTCGAGGAAGCTGAGGAAGTGTTGGAGGAGGTGTTGGAGGTAGTGTCGGACCAGTTGAAGAACGACATCTTGATGATAGTTGACGGTTGGGAATTGTCAAGATTGGCCGATGGGACGTATCATAGACGTGGGAACGGATCCTCTGAGAAGGCAACGGATCAATGTATGTGGACAGTGGCCGTAGGTATGTAGACGGTGTGGGTGTATAAACCGTCCGAGTATAACCCGTGGTCTTGTAGACCGTGTGTGTGTATACTGTGGGTGTAGAGACTCTGCCAACAGGGTGCGCAAGCTCGTTACGTTGCGCAGTCCATAGGAAGGCCTGTACGAAACACTTGAGGGTTATCTCTTTGTCTGATTCTTGCAAACAGAAGTATAGACGGTCAAGGACCGGAGTTGGGGGTTTTTTGTCATCACCGTCCTTCCACTGCTTGAGGCTCTTCAACTCCCGCTCGATGAAGGGTAGTTGATGTTCGGTATCCCCCAGGTGTAAGAACAACCAATCTGTATCCTCTTTGGCCTTCTCTTCGGCTTCCGTGTCGTCTATCCCAGCTTGTTGGTGCGCCTTTGGGGAGTATTCCCCGTCTCTCTCATTTTCTTTTGACCCTTAAAAGTGCCAATGGTGTGGGGTGGATCTCGGCCAATGAATCTCGTAATGGTCCATGTCTGCTCCGGGACAGCCTTTGCGTCACCATCTTTCTGAACCTCACGATCTGCTCGTCAATACTCTTCGACATCGCCGCCATGTCCCTGACACGTTCCAATATGCGCCTTGTCCTGAAGCAGCCCAGCGTGGTATCGCGACTCCAGATTTGCCTGAAGCCTTGCCCTTCTCTCCTTTCCGGTGTCCTTAGCCCGTTCTTCCGCCAGACGCTTCATCTCGGCGAGACGGGCGAGACCCCTTTCTCGCTGCTCCCTAGCACGATACGTGCGTCGAAGTCAACCCACTGCCTTTTCTTCGCAGCAATTGACCGACTGTTGAACTCTTCGTCTCCGAGATGTTCGCGAAGAAGGTCAAAGCGAGCAACCCAAAGGGAAGCTTCCCTTTGGCCGGCACGGGCCAGCTCGAGGTAACCCATTGTGATTGTGGAATATGGATGATTGAAATGGGATTGGTGAGAATTGGTACTCTCGGCGACCCAAGCCAACCTGTTTTCCCGCAGGTTTCTTGGTGGCCTCCTCTTGCCACATGCGTGTGGCTTCCTGCCACATTTTCTCCTCGGGGGAAGCATAAAAGGGCAGGTAGTTGAAACGGTTTTGGCGAGGAATCCAGTGGTAGTCTTCAACATGTTGCTGGGAATCTTGGACCATTTGTCGCGGGAGTAACGAGTGGTGTAGACGTCGCTGTCGACATAACAGCCACCCGGTGCGACGGGTTGGGTGGTCTCTGTAAGCATAGGGAAAAGAAACTGCCAAGCATTCTGGGGCGGTTCGGCTACGGCCTCCGGTCTTGGTATGAGGAGGCCCATAAAAATCTATGCCTCGTGATGTCCATGAGGCACTTGGGGCTGCGGCTGAGGCTCCAGCGCAAGTGGAGGTACAGGTTCCAAATCACCGCTATCTAGAGGCGGCTCGGCCACGGCCGGTTGCTGCTGTGCGGGAGGGGCAGGAGGGAATAGAGCATCGTCTGGCTCTGCGGGAGGGGACGGAAGGAAAATAGCAAGCGCAGGCGGAGGCAATTCAAAACCACCGCCATCTTGAGGCGCCTCGGCCTCAACGTGTTGCTGCTGGGCGAGAGGAGGAGGGGGAGGGAAGACGAAAGGACCCGTGTTGGGAAGTCCAAGCCTGAAGGTTGGAATGGTTCGAAGCGAGCTTCTGGCTGTTGCTGTTGTTGTGCCTGTTGCTGTGGTATTTGCGGTAGCTCTTTTTGCGTCTGGGAAAGGCTCGGGAGATGCCCAAGGGAAGGGAGGAGAAACAGCACCCTCGAAAGGAAGGCCAGGAGAAGAGGCGTGTCCGTCACCTTGATAGACCCCTCACGGTATTGTTCATGGCCTTTATAAAACTTTCGGACTCCCCAATAGTACACATGTGCCATGATGTGGCAGATGTTCAAGGTGTTGTGCCCTATGCACTGGAATTTCATACTAGGACACGTTACATAAGTTTGGGGAAACCCGCGGGAGTTACCAACCTTTGCGAGTTCGCCAACATACTCAACCGACCAATGAACCTTACCAAGACAAGCCGTTCAGGATCCATGGAGGGAAATATAACAAATTCAGTCAGTTTGACCAAGTGCATTAGCAACCGGATCGCCGTCAAGCAATCCAGCGTACCTCGCACGGTCGACGAGAGACGGTATCTCAAGCTCAGATGCGTATGCAGCTTCTAACTTCCTCTTCGTGTCTTGAAGATTTTTCGCTTCGCTAACAGCTCCTTTAACAGCCTGGGGATTCGACTTTTCCATGAGGACGCGGAACTTATCGACGTCGGTACGATCCAAGTCGTGTGCGGCTTGCGAAATTTTGTTGCCCGCTAGGTCTCGATCGAGGATTGCCATTCTGGCCTGGCATGCCTCTTCGATTCGCTGAGGGTCGAATTAGCCTTGCTCAACGCCATTGAAAAGTTGGTAGCGGTCAATAAAACATACTCGTTGAGGACAGTGGGTTTGACCCAACCGCCATGTCCACCATAGGCTCCATAGCCACGAAGCACGACGTTTGCGCCGGTGCATCCCGATTACCCCTATTCTTCGGATCTTTTCGTGGGTCTTGATGAATCATCTCGTTGACCGCATTCTTGGCGTCTCTTGAAGGCCTACATGCTGTTTTAGCCAGCTTGCACGCGTGACAGGCCGGAGGAGGACGATGACAAGGGCCGCTGGAGCTGTTGTATTGTCGACATTTTGTCGGATATTAATTGGGCTGACGCCTTGTTCTTGATGAGATGGCGGTTTGGTTGAAGTTTGTGACTCCTGCTCCCATTGCTCGCGCATCTTCGGCATGGGATTCCCCTACCCTTCCCTCGGTCTCCATATCCTCCATATTTAGGTGAGAGGAAAAGAGAGAGAGAGTTCGTCTCAGGGAATCGAAGGACCGAAGACCAGCGTAAGTGGTGGTTTCTCGCACTTTGCCCGAGGAGGATGAGGTCGGGTGAAGTGGAAACTGTTCTGGTTGCTTCCGAGAGTCTCGGAGGGAGGGAGAGAGGACAGAGACCCTAGGGGAGATTTGTTGCACGAGCAGCCTGGTTTGAAATAGGGTTGTGGTCTCAAAAGGAGAACAGAGGTCTAGGACAGTGAAGAGTTGAAACTTGGGCAAGAGTAACCTGCAGCTGGGGCCGGAGCGGGAACCGGAGCTGGAACTGGATCTGGATCTGGAGCTGGTGCTGGTCGGCATCGGGGCGGAAGTCCACCTGATATTGCCCTTCTGGAGGGCCGGCCGGCACACCCTCATCTTGGTTGCCCTCACCACCGCGTCTGTTACAGTGGTGAAGGCTGCCCTTCTTGAGACAACGCTCACACATTCCCCCTCCGCCCACTGCTGGTCGGCACGCGGTCTTTGCCAGCCTGCATGCGTAGCAGGCCGTTGGCCGGCGATCCTGCCGACGGCACCCGCATCTATCTCCGATACAAATCTTATGCTGCTCGCAGTTATCGGAGCAAACGTGGTGGCCCCCCATTTTGATGTCGCCGAGTAGTACGGTCGACAAGATGACAAGTTCTGATGGCGATGGCAATAGCCATCGAGGACAATATGACTCCGAGCAAGAATGCTCCGAGCAGTTCTCGGAGTGACACCCGGTCTCACCAGTTGCCCGATGAAATCTTCGGGGCAGGCCTGGCGCCCGTTCTGGCCGTTGTTGTTGATATGGGGAGCGGTTGGTGATTTGATCGAAAAGAGTTCCACTCCTCAGGCGGCGGAGACAACGCAGCGTTCCTGTCGAAGTTCCTCGCGTCCAGCCAGCTGTTCCGGTTTGGCAAGGCGAGATTTTGTTGCCCTCTAGGTCGGAGAGGTCGGAGAGGTCGCTCCAGAGACCCGCATCGAACTCCAAGATCTCGTCAACGACCTTTTTTGTTGCCTCTGCATGCTTTTCCTCCGCATCTTTGCCCTCAAGACGGTCAAGGATTGGAGTTGGGGGTGCTAGGGTTTCACCCATCATCTGGAACCTAAGTCCAGCTCGGCCTCGGGTGCTGGTGTGAGTAGACCCATAACGATCTGTGCCCCGTCCGATGAGATCTGGCAACAAGAAAAATGATCAGACAAGTGGTGGGCGGAAGGATGGTCGATGACAACCTGGAGCTGATGGGTGGTGGCTTACCTAGGTTGATGCCTCTTGCAGCTGCGGATGCGGGGAATGGGGATAGCGAGCCAAGATCAGGCCAAATTGAGCGTTGCCAGAACCATCGTACAGGGTGACGCGATAGTATTCCCCGGTGTTCGCCATGTTTGTTCTCAAAGTAGTGGGACTGATAATAGACCAGAGTGTCAGCGAATGCTCACGCCTTGGGGAGGTCCTGACGCTGCCCGGTGAAGTCGTTGTGGGCCGAGGGGGGATTTGTGATTGTCGACACCAGAGCGGCAGGGTGTGAGGCAAAGTATGACTTACGAGAACCGATGACAGTGGTCCGTCATCCTCCAACATTTGCCTGACCCTTGAAATTTTCTCTGAATGCCAGTTGTTCAACCAGAAGATGGGCTCGGTCGAATTCGACTTGTCGAAGCGCCGGTGCACCAAGAAGTGAGCTGGCTCGTGCATGTTGGTATCAGGGATGATTTCTGAGAAGAGAAAAACGTCAGTTTGGTTTGGGGAAGACAGATTATTGATAGGGTAGCATAGTATTTACCTCGAGTGGGACGAGATGTCGTTGGTCATTTTTCGACCATGGGTGAGTTCGAGATGGGCGTCATCTCGTCGAAAGAGTCTCGTTGTCGAGAAGATGCTGAAACCAGTTGATTTCGGGGATGTATCGGTGAGGCAGAAGTTGACTCTGCCGTTATTTTGCTTCGAAGAGCAAAAATGATGTCGTGCCATACATAGCACAGGGATGATCCAAGGCAGAAGTTGACTGCCGCTGTTTTGAAAACAGCAAAGACGGCACAAGCCATCAAGCAAGAAGAAAAAGGAAAAGAAGGAAAGACATTAGGTATGTAGCAAAAAGATGTTGACAATGAGTTGATGAGATATGCAGTGATGATGGCAGAAGTAAATAAAAGGTTGTTGATGGGAGAGAGAGAAAAAAGCGAAATCTGCTTGGGGGATGGGGGAGTTTAAGTATGCATCTTGACGAGGGCTGATCAGCGCGCAATCAGACGTCAACCAGTGCGTACCTGCATCAGATGTGGAAGTAGAAGGTTGACAACTTGATCGAATTGGACTCGTGCTGAGAACGGTGGAAGGGTTGAATGATATTGTGGTGATCACGACCTGATGGCAGCGGTTGAGCGCTACCCTGCGGTTCCGTGATACAGGAAGTTGGTGACGGTGAGCCCTCGAGTTTGCCTACGGTGACACAGGCGAAGAAGAGGGAGAAGTGGACAGAGCTCGGGACGGAAGTGCAAGCACGTCGGTCACAAGATGGGGAGATTGCCGTGGACCACTTCCATCTGAACTTGCGCGGCTGGTTCACCACAGCAAGGAGAAGGCGTGCGTGGCCGGACTCCTCAACGATGAGATGTAGTATCAAAGGGAAGTGGAAGTCAGTCCATAGCAACTACCTGGCATCGACCCGCACGCTCTTCTGAAGATGGGAAAGCCCAGTTGTTTGTCGTTGACGCCTTCACGGTCTTGTACCCATGAGTCTTCCTCCAAAACCGCGGGCTCTTTGTGGATCAAACTTTGTCGTCACTGATGCCATGGCAAGTCCAGAATAACTGCACAGGTTGAGGCGGGCCCCGGAGTGAGACGACCGAGGCAAGACCTCATGGTGAGTGATGACCATTTCCAGTTGCGGTCAGCACGGTGAGTACGCGGAAAGTGCAACTTCCTTCCAAGCAGCCACTGCCCATGTTCTCAAATCCGAGTGATAAACCAAACGAAAAGCCACTCGGCAGCCGTCCCTCGCTGGACTGAGATACTGCAGTGACCTCCGAGCTCTGGGGCCATTTCTCGGTGAAGTGAGCGAATCACAGACATGGCAGTTCACCGTTTGGGCAAGTGCCAAGACCAGGTCGTCGGAGGGTCCCGGGATCCACATCGGGATCGCCGGGTCCACCGGGTCCGTTGAGGTCAGGGTTATCGGGGTTAGTGCCGGCCCTGCGTCAACGTCGCCAAGATGGACGAGGAAGTTGCTGTCGCCGGATCTATGCTCGCACCGGCTGTCGCTGTCGATACGGCAAGAGTTGGGTGATGTTGTGAGAATAATAGCACTTGCTATTGTCGCAGATCACCTCCGACTCGGAAGGATGACGGCGGCAATGGCGAGAGAACTCTATATACGAAGAAAGAAACATGTCCATTGCATCACTCTTGAAAGCCAACGGCAAGAAAAAGCCGTGATCGTAATCGCAATGGCAAAAATTTTTTTTGCTGGTCCGCCTGGAAAGCGCGCATTTAGATTCTCATGGACGGTGTGGCTGTGCCTGCCCAGAACGCCATTTTTCGCAAGGTGACTCCATCGCCAAGTGCCGTGATTCCGTCCGTATCGCGAGACCCAAAAGAGCCACGCGGCCCGTCAACGTCGGCTAACACGATCTCTTATCAATCGCATCTTGACCGCTGTCGCCGTCTCGCCGAGAGGAAGAAGAGTCAAATGTCCGGGCCGTCTGGTGGTTACTTAATGCCGTTGTTGCTGACTGCGTGAGGTTAACGATGCAGAGGGCTTAAAATAGCATGTCAGGCAGTTATCAATTAGGTGTTGGATATGTAGCTCGCGAAAGGTGGCAGAACGGGCAGCGCCATGTCCGAGCGCCATGAGGTGTTGTCGCAAACGGAGGGAACTGGAGTGATATTCTGCAAGTCGTGGAAACAAAACGGAAGATCAAATGCGAAAAGACGTCAAGATAAGGTGTTGGGTTTGCATGATGTTATCGCCAGGGAAGATCTGGAGGATGGACGACTGCCAAATCCTGGAAAAAACTCCATGATGATGTCGGAGATGATCATTGTCGGAAATGGTTGGCTAACAGCTTATCACTCAAGATAGGTGGAAAAAGGTTAGTGTGTAAACGGCAGAGACCAAAAGACCCTGAGCGAGATAAGTAGTGGGTCCCATTCATTGTCCACGTCTGGCGTGATGTTCACAAAGCATGCATCCTGATCTTCTGAACGACACCATCGTGGAATGGAATCCACCGCCCGCCCCGCGATTTACGACCCCGACGTTATACGATGGATACTATCTTTCGATGAAGTGGATTGCTCGTAGCCAATATTGACGCATTCGCTTTCCACAGAACGTCCACCCCAACCCCGACATTTTCATGTCATGATTAAGGGAGGAGCTTATTCACTGCCTCCAGCTTTGAAGCTCTCCCAAGACGGAACGCGCTCGTCCCTTCTTGCTTGGTGTTTCAGGCGCAACAACGAACCCATGAATAATCCAGTGGTTTCGCATGAAGTGACAACAGTGCTTCATCTTCCATTCCTTTTCATGAACCGGTTCCATTCCTTTTATTCGCTGGATTCGAACTCATTCGAACTCTTCCAAACCGCCGATTGGTTGGCGGCCGAGTTGTTCTCTTGGATTTGACGAGGCCAACCACCACGCCTCATTGGGCCATTCTCGGTTTCGGCTTGAGAATGCGATCGGCGCCCAGGGCGTCTGGGCCTCTCTTTCGAGATTTCCAGGGCAACCGCGGCTCTCGCCCTCGCACTCGTGACTGGACCGAACTGGACCCCCAAAAGACCCCTAGACATCCATTCACAGGTACCAAGCAGCGTGGTGGTTGCATGCACAGCGCATATGTGCATGATCTCACTCAGCCTGAGCGCAAAGAGAGCGAGAAGCATTCGCTGACGCCTCACGTGCACATGTTGACTACCATCACCAAGTTCAGTTGCTGACTGCTCCCTACACCGTAACGGTCCTTGTTGGTAGGCGTGGTAGACACACCCGAGACAAGGGCAACGGGACTGCCGTATGGTGCAAATGATGGTATCCGTTTCCTCTTGAACAATTTGCCAGTACACGTGTACACCACCTCTACAGTAGTGTACGTGGAGATCTGTTTAGCTCCCGTTTCACCGTTTCCAACAGATGGCCTATGATGCGGTAAGTCAAAGTCGATCTTGTACGCAGTACACTATATCCTACGATGCCTTCATCTAGGTACACTACCTCGGCCTGTGAAACCAGCATCGACAGCTGGGCGTTTCGAGGCTTCTGCTGTGTTCATCCAGATCTCCCTAAAAGCATTTCATAGGACAATGGCCGACGCCCACCGCGCCAACTCGGCAACCGCATCGCTGCCACCGCTGCCACCGCTGCTACGGAGAAAGCTGGTCGGTAGCGCCAAGCGTTACTCAACACGACGCCGTGTTGCCGTTGCCCGCCCCTCCCTTTCGAGACTTTGAGAAGCCAAGATGGCAATTCGAGATTTCCTTGTCGTTGTTGCCTGCTTGAGAGTCTTGGGACCTCATGATATGGATGGATCCGAGATTCCGGGAATGGATGGCGCCGTCGGTGTCCAAATATCCACTGCCGACGCTAGAAGCACTAGTAGTTTAGTGCAGTCGTGTCCAGAGCACGAGAATCTCGTGTTGTGTTGCCTTTTGACCGTTTTTGGGGTCACCAGGGGAACAGAGTTCTTGGTGTTGACGGTGTTGGATGCTTCCGTACAAAATATTAGTGGTGCCCCTGAATGTGAGAACAACGACCAGGGGGGGTGACTTTGACATGGGTTCATAGCGCCACAAATCTGGAGCGTTCCCTAAGACCCTAACAGGCCCCAGCAAGGGTCTCTCGGCTGCGATGGCCTCTGATTGGTGGTGCTGTCTCTCAAAGGGCTCCTCCTGAACGCGGCGCTGCTGGCTTGGGAACGCTTGGGAAAGGCTTGGGACGTTGGCTTGGCTGCTTCGGGAGGGTGACATTGGCTTCAGGACAGGAAATTGTCACGACGGGAACGACAAACGGCGACACCAGAAGCAAGGGTCGCTCATTTTATTTCTTGTCCAAAAAAGGAGATGCGAGCAAGGGGCCGCAAGGCAGGCGCTACCCATGCTCACTTGTCTCCATCACGTTAACGGATTAAGCGAGAGGAGCACCCAGGATCCATGGAGGTGACTGGGAACATCTCCACCCCATCCCGACCTAAACTCCCTCTTCTTCCTTCGTTTCCCCTGTTTCCCAAAATCTTCAAAAACACTCCTTCGCACATCACCTTTTCGACCCTTCTACCTCGGCGTCAGCTAGAAGTATCTACAGTCCTTCGTTTGGAACTAACAACGTTCTCACCACACTCGCTATCTTGCTTGTCTTGCCTTCAGCTACCGTCCTTTGATCCCACTAACAACCGACCTTTTCAACTCGCCTTTATACCTCCAAATCAGTAATCATGCATATCAAGACTCTTACCGCGTTGGCTCTTGCCTCGCTCGTCTCCGCTCAGACCTACACTGACTGTGATCCCACCAAGAAGAGTATGTTTCACCAGATTAAAAGACAAAAAAAACAGTGGCTAACTTGACTGCTTCCAGCCTGCCCCAATGACAAGGCCGTCGGCAAGGAAATCATCAACATCGACTTCACCAAGGGCGAGAACAGCTTTTTCAAGAACATGGTCGGCACCACTCTCCAGTACGACAACAAGCTCGGCGCCATCTACACCATCAAGAAGGAGACCGATGCTCCTACCGTTGCCAGCTCCCGCTACATCTTCTTCGGCCAGATCGACGTTACCGTGAGGGCCGCCTTCGGCAAGGGTGTCGTCACCAGCTTCGTTCTTCAGTCCGACGACCTCGATGAGATCGATTGGGAGTGGATCGGCAGCGACTCAGCCCAGGTTCAGACCAACTACTTCAGCAAGGGTTGCACCGAGGTCTACAACCGCGGTGGTTTCTCTGCCGTCGCCAACCCCCAGAATGAGTTCCACACCTACACCATCAAGTGGACCCCTACCCAGCTCGACTGGATCATCGACGGCACCGTCGTCCGCACTCTCTTGGCCTCCGAGGCCTCGGGCTGCAGCGGCTTCCCCCAGACTCCCATGCAGATCAAGCTCGGCACCTGGGTTGCCGGTCGCAAGGACGCCGCCCAGGGCACCATCGAGTGGGCCGGCGGTCTCACCGACTTCAGCCAGGGTCCCTTCACCGGCTACTACCAGAGCATCAAGATCCAGGACTTCATGGGTGGTGACGGTACCACCGGCCCCACGGACGCCACCGAGTACCAGTACGGCGACAAGAGCGGCACCTGGCAGAGCATCAAGGTCCTCCAAGGTACCTCTACCGATAACGTCGACACCACCACGAATGCTCCTTCCAAGACCGGCACTGCCGCTTCCACTGCCACCACTCTGAGCACCGTCCCTGCCTCTTCCGCCTCCTCCGCCGCCGACTCTTCCGTCAGCTCGCTCCCCATCGACAGCACCCTCAACAACAACAACGGCACCAGCTCCACCGGTGGCAACGTCGTTACCGGCGGTGCTGGCAAGCTCGCCATGAGCATTGCCTCTCTCGGCGCTGCCCTCTTCGCCGGCGCCATGCTTCTTTAAACTGCTTGTTTGAGGAAATGACGAAAGAAAAACAATGATGTACAAAAGGATATTTGGTCACTTACATGTCCATCCTCGCTTCCAACCGAGCTGTCTATATATCTTCTCTTTTACACCACGATCCTTTGAACGGGGCACATCTCTTGCGCGCCTGTGGCGGCAGTTGAGAGACTGGTCCAGAGAGCGCTTTGAAATGTTACAATCAAGTTTAATTTATCGGTTGGTTGTTTTGGCACATTTATCCACAACAGCAGGAAGAAGATGGGAGAGAAAGAAGAGGACCTCGGTTCGGCCCGGCCTGGCCCAGCTACAACATGTTTTGTCATGATGCATCAATTACGTTGGCGATTTTGGCTTTGGCTTTTTTTATATACCACCACACCTCGAAGCGACGCACTTTTTGTTTTGCGAGGAGTTCATGGATATGGTAGCGGCCGACATCGTGGTTCGGTTCGCGCTTCGCGGAAGAGGAGGGAAGAACAAATGAAGAGCTGGGATGAACATATGTTTATAGATTCGGACATAAAGAATTATGTATATTGATGGAGGGAGTTGGTAACTTTTTGGTTGAATACCATACACTTTTTGAACACATCTTACTCTCCTGGCTGTGATTGTGCTTGCTGACTTTGCTTTTACTTTGCTCTTTTATGCTGGCCATTGCGATGGGGCTTTTTATCAAGTATCAACATGACGGCTTAACGCTCGATTCCCCTTTACCACCTCGATCACAAAACCACCAAAAAGCACAAAACCCTGCCGACATCCGGCGACTCCATTCCTGCCTGCTTGGCTACCCTTCCTCGTTCCCTTTGCGACCTTGGCCCAGTCCACTTTGTAATTCGCTTGTGCTTTCCGTTTTGAGTTCACCGAGAAACCGCTCAGAAACGAAAGCTGTCTTGGTGCCGTCCATTCCGTTCCAAACATCTCTTAACAATCCGTTTTTTCAATTTCCGTGACGGACCCTCCCTCACCCCGGGCTGCAATCCCCATAGGGCGATATTTTGACAGGCCTCGTCAGGCCTCGTCAGGCACCGGAAACCAAGATGGACTCTCGATCCGGAAATGAAAATGCAGGTCCATCACAAGAAATTCATGTCGCCCTGCCAAGCAAACTGAATGAATCCCACACTGCACGGAACGCTGCAAGGAACACTTCTCCGGGCGACTCCCAAGAAATGCAGGAAGTCCGGCACTAGCGCCGAGATGGTGCGAGCTTTGCAGGGACTTTGCAGGGACTTTGCAGGGGCTTGGCAGGGGCACCTACTGTGTACATCGCACCACAGAACCCTAACAGCGTTCATAGTGATCCCACCTGCATCGTCAAATGATTATTTTGTAGGGGCTCAAAGTCGATTGTTTGGCACTGCTGGGACTGCTGGACGGCCTCCGGCAGCAACTAGGTATACAAGGAATGGATTGGTGGAATAGGGCCCCGGGGAAGCAACCTGACTGCCTGGGAGCTAGCAAACTCGGGGGATAAGGAGGGATACCTACTTGGGAGAGGTACAAGGAACAGAAAAGGATGCAAGGAACAGGAACGTGGAATAAATTACGCCGTTGGTTACACGGCAGCGAGGTGATAGTCGTCATTTGGGACTCGGAGACTGGGCACTTCATTGTTTGCTTGCTTCTGGCTTGGAATTGTATTGATTGCTGTGGGGGTGAAGGGGGGAGCTGAAGCTATTTGGTAGAGGTACTCGTCAGGGATTCAAAATCTCCCGTGACTAGTGGTGAATCCCTGACGAGTATGTGAATATCTGAAGATTGATTGATTGATTGATTGAGACTGAGATCTGAATCGGGATTGAGACTGATCGAGGTTGAGATTGAAAGTTGTTATTCCCGCTGGGTTTTGGTGATGTGATCGGATGTGTTTTATGTTCCGACGCTAGAGGGACGGAGCATCATGAATTGCTTATCATCCGAGCCTCCTCCGTCTCTTCTCACCCTGCTTAACGGATCATCTACCGGCCGGTGATACGGTATGGTAAACGACGGACGGATAGGGCTGGCCACACGACGGGACTATTAACCTGCTCGTTCGGGCTTTTAGGATGGAAATACCAGGTCACTCACTCCTCGCGACGTTCTGCTCCAAGTTAAGCACCCTCTCTCTACTTCAGTTTCCCTCTAGCATACCTATGTCGGAGTTAAACATCACTGAACACGGATCCTGCCGTTTTGCCGATGATTTTCTTTTTTCTGAACGGAGTCCAAAGCACCGAAGCAAGTTGTACCCGGAGACGGGGCAGACCGCGACCCATGTTCTCTTATACCGGTATTAGAGTTCGAAGCTGAGGCGTCGCCGAGACATTGTTGATGTTGTGCTACCGATGGGGAGCGTAGATCGCGGTGTTTGTGTGACGGCTGGTAACAAGGTTTTGTTCCCCATTAAATTGATAGGGTTTGATAACGGGAGGACAATGAAGAGACAGAATAGATGACGTATTTCAGCTTGGAATGACACGGTTCGATAGGGAAAGGAAGAGAAGTGCTTTCGCGAATGCCCTTGGTAGGGAACTTTGTGCAAGTTATGCACTACCGTGTGATTATCGGACGACATGCACAAATACCGGGCCGAGCCCGTCTTCCACGCGGTTAAAGATCCCAGGGGTCACCTAAAACTCACATTCTCTTCAGTCCTCACTGGGGCCTTCTCTTCACCACTCTCTTCACCACTCTCTTCACCACTCTCTTCACCACTCTCTTCACCACTCTCTTCACCCTCTTTTCACCCTCTCTCTCCCTCCCCCTCTCCCCTTCACCCCCTCTTCACTCACCCCCCTTTATTTACCCCCCTCAACCCCCTTCCCCTTCCCCTCCCTATCCCCTTCCCCTTCCCCCTCAACCCCCCCAATCACCGGCTCCAACATCCGTCCCAACCACTCCTCCGCCCCTCCCTGAAACGCCAAATCCTCCCCCTTCCTCCACATCACCTTCTCAACCTCCTTATTAACCGTCACCACGCTCGTGTGTCCCTTCGTCCTCGCCCTCTCTGCATACCCCGCCGCCGGGTAGACCACCGAACTAGTCCCAACGACTAGGATCAAATCAATGGGGCCTTGATCGATCCAGGCGTCTATTTCCGAGAGCATAGAGGGGTCTAAGGATTCGCCGAACCAGACTACTCCCGGGCGAAGGAGGGAGGAGGTGCCGGAGGAGGCGCAGCGAGGGCATTGAGGTAGGCTGGAGGGCTGGATAGTCGGTAAAGGGTGGGAAGGGTCCAAGAGGGGGATTTTCCCCGGTTGGGAAGGGTCTGGCGGGTCAACCGAGGCGGGAGCGAGAGAAGGACATAAGGGATCTGAAGTGTTGGAGGGTTCGACGTAGCTGCAACTGGGGGAAGAACATTTGAGCGTAAAGAGGGATCCGTGGAGGGTACGCAATTGGGAAGCAGGGTGGCCAGCACGCGGGGAGAGGTCTGGATAATGGTGTTAGTGGTGGCTGGGTCAGGGAGATCCAATGGGAAGAGGGGGGAAGGGCCTTACTGTCTACGTTTTGAGTCAGACAAAGGAAGTTAGGACGCTTCTTTGCAAGGGCAGCCAAGGCGTGGTGGCCTGCGCTGGGTTTGGTTTGGAGGGCCATGTGTCGTCGCTGACAGACGGAAGGGTTCATTCATCAGTTAATGACATGGCATATTCGGCAGCGGAACCAAGTACCCGTATATCTTCCATCTTTTCCGTTTGAGAGCTAGCTGGTGAAGGGGCAGAAACTCAGAGTCTCAGAGAGGATCGATGCTGGGATCAGACAGACATACATATGCATAAAACAACCACACCAACCCCGGATCCTCAGCAAACGCTTCCGGAGTCGCTAGATCCGTAGCCTCGTAGTTCCTCCATAGTCCGCCGGCGCCGCGGAAGGTGGGGAGTCCCGATGCGGCGGAGAGTCCGGCGCCGCAGATGGCGAGGATGCGATCGGCTTTGGCGAGCTTTTGGTGGAAGGCCGCGAGGTTGTTCAGTCGCGATGCCATTATTTGGGTGCGAATCAGCAGGTGGAAGACCGGTTTGTCTCAAGGTTTAGGAGGGAAGTGTGAAAAGAATAATGGGTTCCTGGATAAAGCTGGCTGAAAGAGGTGGAGGATCTGGTTGGTCCTCAATGACGTTATGCTTCTGAAAGACGCCGACGGGCTGGCAACGGTATCTATTGTCACGATTTAATAAGTTTATAATGTAAGGCCGGGAAAAGGGAATGAGGCATTGACAGCTTTCCGATATGAACTCGGTGTTCTGTTAAACGCCAATAATGTGGTGTTTCTGCATCTTTCCCCGCACTACTCGTTATGTGCCCGCTCCCGTCCTCGCCGACCGACCCCGCGCTGCCTTTCTCTGCGTTGACTCAGACGGCAAGGTACATGCCCCCGAAATGCTTCACATATCGGGTCCGATCACGTTTTCACTAATCGGTATGATTCCCGATTTCGGACGGCATCGGACGTCGTTCCGTGAAGTTCGCCAACCCTCGGTGAAGCGGGGAAGACGGGGATTGGGTGTGACCGGATTAGTGGGGCCGAGGCCCGTCCCGGACTTCCGGTGGGGGGTGGGGTGCCGGGCCGGGCCGGGCCCGATATGATCGGCGGACGGGACGGGAGCGGAATGCCTTGATGATCGTCTCATGCAATGCATGCGTGCTCACTTGAACAGAATGTAAAGGCTTGTTGAAGAGACTTTAACCCTTGTACTGACAAAGACACACGGCACCGTCATAACTTGATAAACTCTTCACTACCAATAAGCATATGATACATCTATACACATACATAAAGTGTAACATATAGTATCTTATTTGAACGCGCTACGGTCATGCTATTGCATGCCATCACAAGCTGTCCACCTCTTCCTATTCATGAGTTGACCGTAAACCGCCTAGCCAGGAACCATGACATCAACAGAGACCATGACCCAACCAGAAGATATCGGCTTCCATACCATAACCGGGTATCCCCTTTGCCGTTCCCTCGACATAATGAGAATATGCATACCGGATTGTTGTTCCACATAATGCTCGCTTGCTTGTTGTTTGGTAAACAAGTACCATAAAAAGACAAAGCGATGATACCACCAGCGCTTTACATGGTCCTCAAGTGACTAATGTGTCACTTTAGCCGTTCGTCAACACCCCACGCACGACCACAAAGCCAACCAACCCTAGTAATCCCGTCTCCGCCTTCATCCCGCTTGAGCACTTGTCCTCCGTGCTAAGCTTCGTTCAGTAAAGAAACAAAAAGGGGTTAGTATAAACAGAGAAACGGAATAACGCCCCGTCAAAGACAAGCCACCGGAACTCCCGCGCCCAAATATGCTGGTAATGAACTTTGTGTTGTTGGAATCCTCGTAAAAAAGAAAACCTCTCCAACAATGGATGACACATGATACCGCCACATGACTCCTGACTGACTGAAGAGAAGCATAGGTTGAAAGGGGGGAGATGAAGGGCAAATAAGAAGGGAAAGCAAGTACAAGTAGTCGTCAGGAGACATGGGAAATATCATGTGCGGCAACAGAGCAGAAGCTTACTGCCACCTTTCATCATCCACGGACCGGTAACGCGGCTCACGAGGAGCACGCGAGAGCTTGCCAAGGAGAGCGTCGAGCTGAGCCCAGTTGTCGTCATTCTCTGCGAAACGGCGATGCTTGCGGGAAACGATGTGCTATCACCATGTTAGTAAAACGTCGTACCAAGACCCATTCGAGAAAACTTACCGCATCAAAGTCCTCGAACTTATCCTGACAATTTTCGCAGTAACCCGGCTTGGGATCGCGCGGCTTCGGCTTTGTCTGGGGAGCGGGAGTGCTCGCGGTCCTGCGCAATTTTCTCTCCTTCTTGGCCTGCTCCTGCTTCCGAGCTTCATCATCCTCCCAGATCTCAGGCATCGGAGGATTGGCTGGGTTACCCAAGCTAGCGGCGCGCGTGCATGATGGGTTTCCGTCTACACCAATCTCGGCCAAGCGACGAGCGCCCGAGTCTTGCGAAAGGGAAGGAACACTAGCCTTCTGAAGAACCTTGCGCTGAAGTCCCAAAACTTCCTTGCTGATACCGGCCTTGGCGCCAAGGACACCGGTGGTGGACGACACCATCTGAGAGCGGATCGCGGATGTAAGCTTGTTGGCCTGAATACCGGAAGCGACGGGCTCTCCGGCGACCAAACGGCCAACCTTGGTGGTATAGCTCATGAAGGCATTCTGGGAACGGAAATCAACCGAAGGGGTGGACTCCTTAGTCGACTCGACGGTCTCGGGGGCATCATCAACAACTTCAGCGGCACGATCGTTGGGTGCTTCCATCTCATTAAGAGTACGCTTTCCCGTAACCGGCTTGGGTGATGGCACCTCGGGAGGCTGGAGGGTCTTGGTAGCAGCGGCCTTCTCGGTGGCAGCAGCCGTATCCGCAGCCTTGGTAACCTTCTCCTTGGCCTGGGCCCTTTCCCGCCTCGTCCTTTCAGGGGGATCATAATCCTCAACAAATGGGCAACGGCCTTGAGATGCCACACGGAACTGGGGCCACTCGCCGTCCTTCTTGTCGGCAACTCTGTGGTACTCCCTCACCATGACCGGCCTCGTCTTCTCCTCGATGTCGTATACATAAATGTAGGGTCCCTTGAAGTAGTGGATGTCCTTGGTAACGACAGTGGGATCACGGTCGGAGGGGCCGTGCACACGCTCATTCTGAAGCATCTGGAGTACATTAGCAGTCTGATGGCGAGCCTTGGCCCTGTCGGCGGCCTGAGGTGTATGCCCTCGGCCCAGCAATGCAGCCTTGACCAGGTCCGTCTCAAGGACCATGCCGAGAATCCTCTGCAGTTTGTCCAGCGACCAGATCTTCTTGCCCATGTCCCGTGCACGGTGCAGGATATCGGTGCTGCGTGCTTTCGGCTTGGGCATCGTCTCTTCCTGGGGCTGTACTGAGGATTTCCGGATTGATGGCTTGTCGAAAATGAGTTTCCGTCGGACCGAGTCGCCATTGCGGTTCAGGAGAGAGGGATCGATCGTCTTTGGTTGTTCACTTGTCGACTGGGTGCTGGTGCCGGGCTGGTTCTCGTCCTGGACTGGCCTTACGGGGGGAATGGGGCGAGTGGTGACGACATGGGTGATTTCGATGGAAAAGAACTTTTCCTCACGCTGTGACAGATGTGTAAGTATATGCCGGGTTGTTGGGCCTGCATTGGGCAAGGGGTTGACTTACAGCGCCCAATTGAGCGACTTGTTTGGCAAGCTTGTGACGCTGCTCGTCGGGAATACTCTCAAAGTAGAAAACCATCTTGTGAAAGCGCGATCTCATAGAGGTTTGCCATATACTGAGGTCTTCGAGTTCCTTTGCGGTGATGCGGTCGGTAGTGGTGGTGGTGGAGGCATGCGACCTCTCGGCACGGGTGCTGGTAGCCGTGGTGCTTGTTCTAGAGGAAGCCCTTTCCGCCCGTTCCCGTTCAGCGGTCCGGGACATCGTCGAGGTCTTGCGCGTGACATTGGACACATTGGACCGGGAGCTCGTCGGCGAGGCGGCGGCGCGTTGACCGCCATGTTCAATCATCTGTCTCTTGGCCGGCGGCGGTTGACCGTATGGCTCCTCTCTGAGCTGATCGGCATGGGAGCGGACGGCCTTTTTAGAGCCCTGTAGTGCCAAGGCGGTAGCCGAGGACCCACGCAGCGGCGAGTTGGCGGCATTGGGGTTGTCGGAGAGAGGAGCCCTCTTAGTGCCCGAGGCAGCGGTGGTGGTGGTCGACATTGCTGTGGTTGTCGATCTAGAGATACTGTCGTCTTATAAATATCCAGTCAACATGCTATGGATGTAGTGTTGTTTTGTTTTTGTTTGTTTCGAAACGATCGGTTCGGGGGTAGCAAGGACGATGCTCGACAAGGGAGGGAGACAGTTGCCGGTTTGTCTGTCTGGTCGCGTGCTGATGCTAGCTTGGACTTTGGGTAGGGGGGCCCGGATACCCAAGAATCGACTCGTGTTGTGGGTGGGAGTGCTGCTGTTGATAGTCGGCGACTCGACAGACAAGAAGAACAAAACAAGTGGTTAGGCTCGGTGATCAATGGCCGATGGTCGACAATGACCAATTCGTCGTCGACGGTTGTCGTTGGCTGGGGAAGGAGCAAGGAAGCAATCGACCCTGGCCTGGCGCAAAAGGCGTCGGTCGGTCGCGGAGCTAGAGGTTGGTGCACTGTTCTCTGTTCTGCGCTGCCAAAAACGCGTCTCTCGGATTTTCGTCGCTGGAGGTTTTGGGCCGTCGCAATGGCACGCGCTGTGTCCGATGACAGGAAGGAAGGGACCGCTGTTGAACAAAATAAAACGGCCGAGGTCAATGGTTTGCGCAGAGAACCTCAAATGTCGAGTCGCGCCGGAAGCCAGTCGACGGTCCGAACAGGCCAGAAGTTCTGATGTCGGGTGGTCAAAAACCTTCCTGCAGTCCAAGTGTTTGGTTTTGATATTGACAGTCGCGAGCGGCAGATCCCAGCAGGCAATGGGCAATGTGGGGAGTGCAGGCGCCGGGGTTGCACTGAAAAGCGCTGACAATAAAGTCCACCGCGCCTGCCAGCTGTGGTCTGTTGTTGCTGAAGGTGAATGCTCCGCGACGCCAACAGCGGCTCCACATCCGCGGCTTGCAGCTGGCAGGCAGCATTAATGCCCAGCAAAACCTGAACTCTCGGCAGTCCAGTGAAGCGCCTGGCAACTGTCAGCCATTCATTTCAACACCAAAGTGAGAGCGACAAAATGCAGTGACGACATCCAATGTCTTTGCCTTTACAAAACATTTGAACAAACATTTTCTCCGCCGCGAAGCAATTCAACTTCATTTCTCGCGGTGCATGTTGCTTGGGAATTTTGAGGTTGGTAAAGGTTGAGATTCCAACAACTCCGTGCCAAGTTTGTAACTATAGTTTAGGTACTAGTCCTAATATCAAACCTGTCTTTTTCACCTACACCACCGAGGTGAACTCACACCACGTTCTCACCTAACCACCACATTCCTCACCCACCACCCTTTGACATGAAGCTCCCCAGAGCCGCTCTGCGGCAATGTTCCCGACACTTGCGCCCTCAAAATAACAGGCCTCTCCAACCACGTCTCCAATCCGCCAAGTCCATCATCCCCGCATCATCCTCACTCTCAACACCATGGCATCCATCCCGGACCTACGCAACGACGACAACGACCGTCTCAGCCGCCGACCTCGAATTCGGCCAACCCGTCTACGAAACGCACCCCCACATGCTGCAACCGGGTGAACTAACCCCCGGCATCACGGCGCAAGAGTACCACGAACGTCGCTCCAAGCTGGCCTTCGCCTTGCCCGAAAACGGCATCGCCATCCTCGCCTCTTCGGAGCTCAAATACCGCTCCGGCGCCGTCTTCTTCCCCTTCCGACAAGACTCCAATTTCCTGTATCTCACCGGCTTCTCCGAGCCCGACTCGCTGGCCATCATCCAAAAGACGGGTCCCAAACCAGGCGACTACGTCTTCCACCTCTTCTGCCGGCCCAAGGACCCTCGCGCCGAGCAATGGTCCGGCCCTTGGTCCGGTCTGCAAGCAGCGGAGGATGTCTTCAACGCCGATTTCACGGGGGACATCGCCAAGGTTGAGACTTTGTTGCCCCCCATCCTGCGCGGCGCGAGCAAAGTTTACAGCGACATCACGCCCTCCACTCCCGTCACGGGCTCCCTCATCACCACCCTCCTCTCGCATTTACACCTGCCCCCTGCTCCCCTAGCCGGCCTCGTCCACTCCCTTCGAGCCATCAAATCCCCCGCCGAAATCTCCAACATGCGACACGCCGGCCGCGTCTCCGGGCGAGCCATCACATCCGCCATGCGCCGCTCCTGGTCTTCAGAAAAAGACCTGGAATCCTACCTCAACTACGCCTTCACCTCGCACGGGCTTTCGGGACCCGCATACGTCCCCGTCGTCGCGGGCGGCGCAAGAGGCAACATGATCCATTACGTGCACAACACCCGCTTGCTTAAACAAGACGAGATGGTCCTGGTCGACGCAGGCGGCGAGTACGGGACTTATATCACGGACATCACGCGCACGTGGCCCGTCAACGGCAAGTTCAGTCCCGCGCAGCGGGACCTTTACGAAGCCGTTTTGACGGTGCAGCGATCCATGGTCTCCCTCTGTCGCGAAAACGTTTCCCTCTCACTGGACCAGATCCACCGCGCCACCGAAGCCGGGCTGCGCGAACAGTTGACACTCCTCGGGTTCGACCTCTCAGGAGGAGGCAAGATGGATGTGTTATTCCCCCACCACGTCGGCCATTACGTCGGGCTGGATGTGCATGACACGCCCGGTTACTCGCGGGGTTTGACGCTGAGGCAAGGGCACGTGGTGACGATTGAGCCGGGGGTGTATGTACCCGTGGACGATGAGCGGTTTCCGGAGCATTTCAGGGGACTGGCGGTGCGGATTGAGGATAGTGTGGTGGTGGATGTGGAGAGCCCGTTGATTTTGACGACGGAGGCGGTTAAGGAGGTGGTGGATATTGAGGCTTTGAGGGAGTGAGTTGAGTTCAGTTTACGAACGGTTATTGATAAGGGGGGGGGGTGGTTATATGTGTTGTATATTGTGTATATCGCGTACTTATTGTATTGTATGTGAATACCCACCCACCCACTCTGGAAGAAACTATGGCCGAATTGAACGGTGATTGTCCGTCCGTCCAGACGTTATTCTGTTGTCTACTTCGGTCATACTCGGTCGGGGGCTTTGGTGTGTGTGGTGTTTATAAATGCCCATAATAACTTTCTCGTCCATTGCAACTAAGAGGCGTTCACTTCAGTTCCACTCACTCTACAGTTCCAGTTCTTCTAGAAAAAAAGTTACTTTCTTCCATCCATCGGTTAGCCTAACCTAACCAAACATCGGAAACGAAAGTCTGAAGAAGCGTACCCCCTCATTACGTCACTCGGTCAAATCGGTAAGGTCGGGGAAGATCCCCATCACGACGACAACTTCACTCTTCACCTACACTAACTTAACATATTCTATAACAACGGCAAAGCAATAATATCAAAATATCTCATCAAAAATTCACCAATATTATCATCAAGCATCAAGCAGTCCTTTCAGAAGCACACTTTTTGCAATGAAGCCTCCTATTCTCTCTCAACCTTTCAACACCAGTGATATCATATTCCGCGCACAACGCCCCTAAATTAAACGCATCGCAACCGCCTTTCGAAATCTTTTATAATGGCCAACGGTGAACGATCCGCAAATCACTTTTAAGCTCATCCATAACCTCATATCATCGAAAATCCTTCCCTCTCATTCCACTCATGCTTTCCTTTCAACATATTCCCCCCTTTTCTCTCACCTTCAGAAACTCCCTATCAAGCTCCGAGACGACAACTAACAAAGGTTTAAAAAAAGTTGGGATTGATACCGAAATCAAAGAACCCTTCTTCGCGAAGCATAAATATTTACACACTTATATAAAAGAAGCCAGATGCCAATATGCTCAGACGCCAAACAAACAAAAGATACAAAGGCGCATAAATCGCTCAACTTTTTTGACGCTGACGTTCTAGCAGAATCCTCTAGGATCGAACAAAGTCCTGCTATACGCCGGCATCTGGTACGCCGTCGCGGCCGTGTGGTTGAGCAGCTGCTCGAAGGCTTGCAGTTTTCGTGAGAGCTCGCGGTGCTCCATGGTGATTTGCTTGTTCCTCCGCTCGAGCTGGTGTATGTATTCGGTGGCTTTGGTGAGGATTGTTCCCTGTGATTGGGGTCAGTCTTGCCCTCCTCAATTCTTACCCGTGTGTTTAGGGATTAAACTCACCTTGCTAACTTTGGGCGCTCTCGAATTATGCGACCCGTCGTCTTCCTCTCCTCCAGCCTCCGATATTGTGTGAAGCGCAGGGACCGCCTCCCGCAGCTCGGCAATTTTATCCTTGAGGTTTGTCCGATATTTCCTTTCGATATCGTTATGCGCTGTCCGATCCCCAACCTTGTGCTTTTCCTCTGCCTTTCTGTTCTTGTCGCCACCACCCATACCCATCTTTTCGCTCGACTTTTCGCTTATGCTGCCCTGCTTCTGAGGGTGTCTCGGTGGTGCTGGCCGGGACTGGGATAATGTGCTCGCCCGCGGTGGTGATACAGGCTTCGGCATCTGACCACCGCCCATCGATGAACTTCCATAACCCGAGCCAAATCCCGAGTTGAACCCGGTTGCCATGCCCCCGAAGTTGAGGTTGATGTTGGAGCCGAGTCCTCCCATGCTGGGTCCGGGGTTCATGGCAATCACAATCAGTCGTCGTTGTTCGGCCTCGTTCAGGGCTTGTTGGTTGAGTCCTATTAGGGAGTCCATTCTGAGACCGGGTTGTGGACGCTCCCAGCTAAGGGGTGTCGAGTAGAGGCCTTCACGCGGGGGTACTTCTTGCGGTGGAGCTGTATCTATTTTGGAAAGCTGCTCAGCCAGGTTGATGGACATCGCCCGCTCATCCTCCGATAGAGCATTATCCAAGGCGCTGTCATCCATGTATTCCTCGGATTTTAGCGTACCAGCAGTTCTCCGGTGAGTGGTGGCCGTTGTTGCTATTGAGTGTGCCGTGCTCTGACGTCTTGAAAAGGCAACGAAAACGATTAGGAACTAAACTTTCTTGGTCCAGAGGTTTATGGGTTTAAACCTACCGTTGTTGTTGTGACTGTTGTTGCTGTTGTTGCTGGTGCTGTTGTTGTTGGGACAGCTGCGGGGCTCTTCCTTTCCCTCTGTGGTCCTGCTGCTGAGGGGGTTCGGTAACCTCTGAGAGCTCATCAAAGTTGTCCTCATTGTCGAACTGCAGCCAGTAGTCCGGCTCGTCGAATGGTGATAGCTCCGAGTTCAGCCTTGTTCGTTTCCTTTCATGGCCTTCCCGGGTTCTAGACGCTCTCGAGGACGACATTCCAGATTGACTGCTATACATGGACGGCTGTCGGGTCATGGAAGGATGAGCGGACATGCCAGTGAAAGCGGTTGCTGGAGAAGGTTGTGGGAGGGAGTCAAGGGACATGGTCGTCGGTGCCGTCGATGATGGCGCGGTGCCCCATGGTGTCGCTGGCTGCGAAGAGGAAGACCCTGGCAAGGTGTAAGATTGGTCAACGGGGTTGACCGTCTGGGCAGCGTCAGCAGCGAGACAAGACAGACAGCGAGGGCACAGTAGAAAGCGCTACCTGATGATTGGGTACCGAGAAGTACTCGAGATGTCTGAGCGTGTTGGGATCCATCTTGTTACCTGGGCATACCGTGAGGCTATCAAGACTAACACGGAGGACGAGGCGACGATGAAGATCGCGGAGGTCAAGCTGAAACCGTCGACGGGATAACCGGAAGCCTCGTGGCCGAGAAGAGTAAGGACGTGTGAGAAGGTGAGGGGTTGATGTTGGGTTCCAGCTTTGTGTTGTAGATCATCTGCAGATGTCTACCACAAGCTCAAAAGGGGTTTCTCGGTCAAAGCCCAGACTTGCGGGGGGGGGCTAGTCGTCGATTGGTGGAGGGAGAGAAACACAATGGCACCAGAGACAGTGGGTAGCTGAACGATGGAGACTCGAGCTTGTATCTCCTATTTTTTTCTGCTTTTCTTTTTAATCGTCTTGTTTCCAGCCCACACACACACACAGTGAGTATCGTCTTTTTGTCGACTAATATTTTTCTCAGTTGAAAATGGGGGGGTCGAGAGACACTGAAGGCGGATGGCGCGACAATCAGGAGTTTGGCGTAGCGAGCTGGCGCAAAGCTCTGTGACTGTTGGATGGCAGAAGAATGCGTAATTGGGTGAGACCAAAGGCCGCGGGCGGTGGTGTAAATCACCAGACTTGAAGGCAAGAAGGCGGGAGAAGACGGCCGGGGATTGGCAAAGCCGAAGAAGCCAGAGGTTTCGCAAACTATGAACACGGCGTACAAAGTTGCGTGGATCTGTTGGCCAGCCTAGAGAGATAAGGGTTCACCAACAGCAGCAAGTCGCCAAGCAGAGACAGGCAGGCGGCGGGCAGCTAGTACTAAGGACCTAAGTCTGGGATATGAAGACGGAGTGAGTGCCGCGCGAGATATTATCGTGGGACAACGGAGCGGGTAAGCACTGCGGTGCCGGCGCGGAACAGGGCCTTGTGAGCGCTTGAGGTTCCAAGACGGGTGGCGGTTGCGTTGCGATGGCGCGGTTCGAGCGTTGGAAAATTGGAGAGTTTGTAAGTGGTGGCCGGGATATGTGGTGATATTTTCCAGATGTTCTCTCAGGAAAAAAAAAAAAAGAGGAAAATGTAAAAAGACAGCAATGCCCTGTTGAAGATTTGGAGAATGTCAAACAGAGATCCAGCCAGATAGCCCAGATAGTAACCGCGACCCGGAAAGGAGGGACCGACGATGGATGTGAGATGTGGACGCAAAGATGGGGCGGAAATCCCGTCGTGGGATGACTCCAGGGGGCCCTTGAAGATGTCGGTTAACGTCAGGTACCTCTTTATTATTACGACCAGGTACGTATGTCAGTTATGTCGGCCATGTCAGGTATGTCATGTATGTTAGGTACGGTAACGTAGAGGTAAGGTAGTGCTCGAGATTTGTCGGATGCAATGCAAGAATGGAGCGTCACGGTTGTATGTCGCCAACGGCGCGAAAGTCTGGACTCCACGAGAACCTTGCCGGTTATCCACTAGCCGCTGAGGACAGTGCAACTGGATGCGCCCAGCAAATCGCCTTCTCTGCCGTGGGTAGTGTAAGGTAGCTGGCCGCAAGGTACCGCGCACTTCGACGACGAGACAAGAGAGAAAAAAGGAGTCAAAAGTCAAAACGAAAAAGACTCTGCAATTGGAATGAATTGGGTTTCGTGTTTATTTCAGACCCGGATGGTCCCAGTTTGAAACTTCTCCAGAACAAAACAATACCGGTCCCGTTTGTTGCCTGGATGTTCGCTAGAGGAAGGTATACTTTTGCCCGGTGAGGTAGACAGAAGGTACCGGCCGGGGGTGCAGTCCTTCCTCGTGCCACTAATTGCTAGCTGGAGACCATGTACACCGTGCCTCCATGTAAGTGGGAGGTACTCCACATGTACAAGGCGACATGACCGAATGTTTGCTCTTTCACTTCTTCACTTTTTTCCTGACATGCAGTCGCAGTCACTGGTGCACATCGACGTCGGTAGGAACGGCAAGAGGTCATAAATACGGGCGTCTAGCAGCTAGTAGCACTGCAAGAGATTGCAGAGTGCAGACCGTTCCTTCCCTTTGCAGGACAATACAAGCGATAAATACAAGCGATGGAAGGATTCATTTCTTCGATTCCGATTCTTCCTTCTTCCTTCCTCTCTCGCACTCGCTCATCGTCGCTGAAAGGGAGAAAGGCCGAGGAAGCATCCCCCATCGGCCGCCGTCTCGCATCGAGGAAGAAAAAAAAAGGGACCATCGGGATCGGTCGCAGGTTGGAACGCAGGCCAGGCAAGCCGATTGGCCTGATTAGGTTGTCGATTATCGACATGGCCTGACTTTTTTCACTCAAGCGCACGCCGGGCCCTCGAGGGTATGGATCGCTGGGGATCAGAGAGTCGCTGAGAGTCGCAGGCTGTCGATTCGCTAAAGAGCGCCCAAGAGGGGGAAGATCAGTGAATGAGGCCAATCGGGGACCCTGTGATTTTGCTGCCACTCTGCTGGGGTTCTGACGCAGCTTCAACGACTTTGAGCCCATTTGCCCTGAGAATCATGCCACTTTTCGATTTGCACAAGTGACGGACCCACCGCCAAGCCGGCAGTGGCTGTGGCAACTCGCATCCTGACTGGTTATGAGGTACCAATGGCTATCAGCCTTGCGCTGGAAGGCTTGCCCACTTGTTCTCACTGTGTTCTAGACCTCCGACCATCAGCCATTTGCACCAGATCGCCATCCATCAAAGTCCACCGCAAGTACTCAATGCCCCTCCAATGAAACGACTGCTCCATACCTCTACCAAACATTATTTTCCGCGTGCCGTTCCTTCCTCGGTCTTTATACCTTGTGCTACAACAACGGCGGAACAGGGAAGTTTGAACGGCGACCTTGAGAGCTTGCCGACCGACTCGACGGGAACGACGGCGTGCCGACACAAACACGCTGGGATTGATCCTTTCCACGTAAAGAAAACCAAAACAAGCACACGACCGCCGACCGAACCGGGAAAGCGCGCGATATTGATGTCTTTTGAGCACGGCGCGCAACGGAACGGGAACGAACGCTCCGGGGATGATCGTGCGGGGGGGTACGGCTTCCGTCACAAGCCATATCATATCTCTGTACTGCCCCGCAAAAGGGGATCGCCATTTCTATGATGCCTCCATTCCACACCCGTGTACGACCAACAAACCGGTGAGAGGTAGGAGTATATCTACACTACAACCCAATTGATGGCAATATTATCCGTTCCGCTGTCCGCTGTCGCTCATCGAGATTGACTCGTATCTTTCACGTGCCGATCATAACCACATCCCATCTCTAAGTAGCCATCACACGATGAAAGAATGCCATAGTACCTTCTGTTCAGCGGCGGTATGAGTGACCGGACATGGAAGTTTGACATTTTTCTATTTCGGTGGAGTTCTCCATATGCAAGTCATCGAGGATTGGTCACGATCCAAGAGATGAAGGAGATAAACCACTTGTGCAGGCTCGCCAACAACCCTTGCATGTTACACAAGTTGTCTCTCACCACTTTTGTTGACCTACATACAGATCTCTGGCTAGCCGATGATGCCCGGAGATGCTTCCGTCGCAGTCGCCTACGCTCTTGTTTACTGCTTCGAGAGATGGTCACAAACGATATCGTCAACTCTTTTCAGGTCCAATCGAGATCTCTGGTTCCTTTTGAGTTTTGATATACAAATTCCCGGTCATCGGGACGAATATCCGGTCCAGAACACAACAACCCTAACCCTCAAGCAATTACGCCCGTACTTTTGGAAGCTTGATGCAACCATGTCTCCACTTTCTCCTTCCGCTCCAACGCTCCGGTCAATCACCAATCTACTGTCATCTCGTTGCCCAGCTGATCCTTGACATCCATCAACATCATCGTCAACATCATCAATCTCACTCGATAGACCGGCGCGCCTTGCAATTGAAGTTACCTGAAAACAGTCACTGAATCTCAGGGTGTTGCTCAAAGTTGCAAAAGGACGCCAAGAGTTACTCATCCGAACAACTAACTGGTCCAAGCGCTCAATCATCACCGGGAAAGCAAACACGAACAGGACGAAACCGTGTTACGGCTCATCACTTCACCTTCACATCAACCTCTATCCATCAATCATCTCAAATCCAGACTCCCAAAATGGCATCCCCACAACAACCCCCATTCGGATCCAACACCGCCTCCCCCTCAAACAACTCACCAACAGCCTCCCCCCTCCTCGAAGGCCGCGACTCGCCCAACCTGCCGCTAACCATGACCGCCTCCACGGTGCTGATGACCCTCCCGCGGGACGCGACCGCCGCCCTCGCCGAAGCGGGCACCTTTGACCAAGAGAAGGTGGTGATACGGTTCAAACCGGTCGGGTCGGCCCCCGCCCTCCGGAGGGAGCAGGTCAAAGTGGTCAGCACGCACAAGTTCGAGACAGTGGTGGCGTACCTGCGGAAGACGCTGAAGGTGCAGGAGACGGATAGCGTGTTTTTGTATGTGAATAGCGTGTTTGCGCCGGCGTTGGATGAGGTGGTGGGGAATCTGTGGAGGGTGAGTTACCTTGGTTCTTGGTGGTGATTCCTGGTGATGATGGTGTGGAGGAGGTGTCAAGTAGGAGTAAGTGTGAAATGTGTGCTAACGATGTGTGTTGCAGTGCTTTAAGGATTCTACGAACCAGTTGAATGTTTCGTATTCGATGACGCCGTCTTTTGGATAATCACCTCAGGTCCGAAAGGGGAGTCGATACCAGGAAACTTACAGAGTCGGATCATATCACTTATGGACAGCGCGCAGGCCATGTCGGGATCATGGCCAGCCGTCTCGAAGAGCCACCCAATAATGCCGAGACTACTTCAGCATCTTACTAGATCATGACACCAGGAATCGCCACATCATCAAGGTCACCAATGTCAGCAGCACCTCACACGAGGTTGAGGAGATCACGAGAAGCTCCAGCAGAAAAGATATCTATCAATTACTACATTACCAACACGAGGCAACGCTCTTACAGCAAACGACAAGACAGTTTTTATCCCAAAAATTCACAGCAAGGGGTATTATCCTCCTCTTTCCACGCCACCACAAACAGCCCCAGACTCACGCCTCCTTCTCACCCTCCCCTTCAGCCTCAGAAGCAGACGCATTCGCACCCATCAACCTCCTCACATCCCCCACAAACGCCTCCACCTCCTCCCTGGCCATCGGGTACGTATGCTCCTCGGCCGGATAACTTTTCCCCTTCACCTCATCCCGATAACTTTCAATAGCCCTCAACGCCTCCCCCCACACATCCCCATACTTCTTCACAAACTTGGGCAAAAACCTTCCCGGCGGGAAATTCCCCGTCATATCCGCCTGCACCAGCACCTGTCCACTGGTCCCGCTCCCGGCCCCAATTCCAATGGTCGGAACTTTCAGGAGGCCAGTGATGAAACTCGCCACCTCCTGCGGCACGGCCTCGACAACCATGGCGAAAGCACCGGCCTCCTGGACGGCGAGCGCATCCCTTAGTAACCGCTTGGCGGATTCTTTGGATTTCCCCTGGACGCGGAACCCGCCGAGGGCATTTTGGCGCTGCGGAGTGAGGCCGATGTGGGCGAGGACCGGGATGCCGGCGGTGGTGATGGCGCGGATGGTGGGCGCCATTTCGGCGCCGCCTTCGAGTTTGACGGCGGACATGCGGCCTTCTTTGATGAAGCGGATGGCGGTGGAGAGGGCTTGTTGGGGGGAGATTTCGTAGGAGCCCATGGGCATGTCGCCGACCTTTTTTTTTTTTAAGGGGGGATGTTAGTGTTTGTCTACTCTCATGTGGTGACTGGATGGGGGATGAGAGAGATGGGGGTAAGGATAGGGAAGGGGGTTGATCGGGAAAACAGAAAAGGGGTAATAAGTAGGGTAAGGTAGGGTAAACAGAAAAAGGGGTCACAAGTGTAAATAACCGGTCTTGAATGTTGAGTTGAGACCTCATATGAGACCATGAATGAGACCATGAGATCAGCACAGGAGGAATAGGATAAAACAAAAAACTCACAGTAAACGCCCTCGAACTAGCCCTCGCCACACTCCGACAATGCAGCAACATCTCCTCCACCAGCACCTCGCTCGTGTCCTCCATCCCCAGCGCCACCATGGCCAGGCTGTCGCCCACCAGGATCATGTCCATGCCCGCGTGCTCGGCCACGTGTGCCGAGGGGAAATCGTGCGCCGTGATCATGGTGATTTTCTCTCCGCGCTTGTACATGGACTGGAGCGTGTTGAGCGTGACCTTTTTGCGAGGGTTGGTGGGCGGGAGGCCCATGGGGGAGTGGGAGGATTGGCGGGTTTGGACATGTTGGTGTTGGTATACCCGTTGGGGTTGGAGTTGGAGTTGGGGTTGGTGAAGCTGTTGCAGTGGCGTGGTTTTGAGGAGGAGGGCTGCATTGCTATTGCTACTAATCCTGCTACTCCTGGATAAAAGGGACCACCGGGAGGAGGAGGAGGAGGAGGAGGAGGAGGTACTATAAGACCTCCGGAGTAGTGAAGTAGTTACTTGCTTGTGCATTGTGGTGGTAGTGGTGGTCTATAAGTGGTTGGTGGTGTATATAAAGTACCGGTCTAGAATATACGCAATCAAATGAAGAAAGGTATGAATGAAGAACTTTTCGATGTTGAAACGGTGCAACTTTTCCTGCCCCTTTTTTTTGGTTGAGGCAATGCAAAGAGTTGTTGAATGAGAAAGATGAGAGGATTAAAACTACATTCGTTGCGCCATTTTTTTCCTGCGCGCCGGCTCGCCCTTTTTATTTCTACTCCAGAGGCCATGATGGTTTTTGCTGCGTATAATTGAGTATATCACAAATTTCTTGGTGTTCGTTTCTGCTTTGGGTCAAGGGACTGGACCCGCCGGCTTGTTCGGGCGTTCGGAGAAAGCTCCACAATTACCCACTTTACCGGTGGTTTGGGGAGGGTTGATTGGGCGCATGCGGTCGTGTGCCTGAAGCCGAGGCATCGGCGACTGTCGACTGACACTGGCACTGCACTAACAATTTTAGGTTAGGGGAGTGACAATCGTAAGAACCTTGATGATTGATGCCCCTTGTTGAGGATTGAAAGCGGTTCGTCCGACGGACACCGAGAAACTGAACATTCTTTGAGCTGGCTGCGTTAACATTGACATTTGAGGCTCTATGTATAGCCTATACCTAGTTATCCTTGCGCCGTGCCAAGTGATGGGAGTGCTGTACATATGCAACCACTTTAAACCCGCCGACTTTGGCTTCAGATGACATGGTGGACTGCGGGGGAACTGTCAGCCGTCAGCCCTAGCACATGGCATTCCGGTACCGTGGTCCGAAGCCGTAAAGTTGGTTCCTGAATGACGATGGGGCTCGCTCGAGATTGATGTAGACTTGCATCTTGAAAATTCCAGGAGAATGTCCGACCCGTGTACCTGGTCGCCGGTTAATCGCCATCACCAAAAGCACACCAACCAAACTACCCGTTGGGGATTGGAGAGTAGAGTTGGGGAAACAGACAGGAACTGACCTCCATCCCTAACGGGTAACTTCCTTCTGTTAGTGCTTCCTTTTCCCCAGACTTCCCCACCATTCACGTTGGACTTTGACGCCGGATCGCCGGTCACCCTCATGGCCGCGAGGCCGATGGTGGGTGACGGTATCCGATCAGTTACCGAGTTGATCGACATGTCCCTTCATTAGCACCCACACACACTACTATGTATCGATAAGATCAGGGGAATCTCCGGATGTCACCTCGATGGCCCAATATGTCTTTATTCGTTATATGCTGTTGGCTATTTTGTTGGTCGTTGGTGGCCGGATTTGGGCTGGAGACAAAGCAGACAAAGTTGTACGGTTGGTGTGCTGGTCTGCCTTTTCCTTCAGCCTCTGCGGTTCCAAAATGCCCAGTCACTGCCTATTTGAGCTGTAAATGAGGTCCCCGGAACAAACACCGAAAGTGTGTCATTGACAGATCGCTCCACAACGACGAGGTTAACAGTGTTGATGATCGTAGTAAGGCGAGTTAGAAGTGTCTGGAGTTGAGACAGATCTGAGCAAGATAACCCAACCCAACTGTCCGACTGAACCTCATTTCATATTTGTGCAAATTACTATATCACCTCCGGAATACTCCCGTTACGCATAGGAGACAACATGCTGTTGGTCGGTTCGAGTTGCCTGGATGAGGTTGACTGGAGTTGACTCCTCATTCCTCAACTTCTGAAGCACAGGGACAGAGTGACCGCCAATGAATCCTTATCGCTCCCTTCAGCGCATGACTTTCCCCACTCCCAGCCGCTTATCATTCGCTCGCGGCCGGCAAATGCACCCCTGGTTGCTACCACCTGAGGAGATCAGCGGTATGGTAAGCCTGACGTCGTGGACGATCGTCGCTACTGCGGGCGGGAACGTGAGTGTGACTAGGTAGTCTAAACTGGCAGCTTCCACCGATTCATCCCACTTGCAACTTTCCTTCTGAATCCAATCCATCTCAAAAGAATTACCAGCTTCAGTTCCCATTCGAGTTCATATCATCCTCCGTTGAGATTATCAGCACTGTTATCAGCACCGCCCAAGCAGCATCCAGCCCACATCGGCCGCACCAGACCAGACGAGCCAGACTTGCATCTCGCCACCGCCCGACGACATCGCATCCAACTGCCTGCTTCTGCAGTGTTGACAGTTGTCATCAGCTTATACCATCGGATCATACAGAGCGCCGCAAACAGATTACCTGCGACAATTCGAGTCTAAATACCCTTCGTTCTTACAAGAAAGATAGAACAGAGCACGAGCTCTAGATAGACAACATGAGTTCCCCACGCCGCCGTATCGAGACAGATGTGAGTTATTAGGGAAATGCGGATTAGGGAAATGAATGCTAACATATACATGTATAACAGGTCATGAAGATGTACGATTTCTTGCAAGAACCCTTTCCCACGAGCGCACCGTTAACTCGATCGATATGACAGGCTCATGAGCGACTACGAGGTCACTTTGGTGAACGATAATAGTATGGACATACCCCTCCCCTAAGATCCTGCAGGATCTATGGTACACCCGCTTTCGGAGCACTAACATTTTGTTCACAGTGTAAGAGGCGATGTAAGAAGCGAACCGAAGAGTACACCTAACATTGTAATAGGCAGGAGTTCTATGTCAGGTTCAAAGGGCCTGCCGAAAGTTCGTCTTCCCAATCTCTTACTGTGCTCAAGTCGCAGATGCGGCTCGAGGTTCTTGCCGTCACTAACACCAAGCTCTCCCTACAGCACCCTTCGAAGGCGGCGTTTGGAAAGTCCGCGTCGAGCTACCCGATCAGTATCCGTACAAGTCCCCCAGCATTGGCTTCGTGAACCGAATCTTCCATCCCAACATTGATGAGCTGTAAGTGGGGACATCACACCATCCGAGGAAATAATCACGACAATTCGCTGGCCGGCTCTGGTTCGCGGGAACGGACAAGCAATGGCGTGAGAGGAGCTCATCGCCATAGAGAAAATGGGGCTAACCAATACACCGCATACCAGATCCGGATCGGTTTGCCTAGACGTCATCAACCAAACATGGTCGCCAATGTTCGACATGATCAACATTTTCGAAGTCTTCCTGCCTCAGCTTCTACGTTACCCCAACCCTACCGATCCTCTCAACGGAGAGGCTGCTGCGCTGTTGCTCAGAGAGCCTAAGAGCTACGAGAACAAGGTGAAGGGTATGTTCACACATGGGGAAATGCTTCGGACTCCAGAAAGGATGGAAATTGACATGTTTCTCCCAGAATACGTCCAGAAGTACGCGAGTAAAGACGCAGCAGACGAAGCGGATGCAGAAAGTGAAGACGACGGTGAACTATCATCCGTGGCGAGTTTCGACGAGGAAGACGACGAGGAGGCCGCCGGTAAGATGGACGACGTCTAGGATGGTAGTCCTCCAACGAATCCTGAAGGCTCTTCGAATCCTGAAGGCTCTTCGAATCCTGAAGGCTCTTCGAATCCTGAAGGCTCTTCAAATACCGAAGGCTCTGAGGCCGTCATTTCGTCACTTGGCATTTATCAGCGGCAGGAGTTGTTTTCATTCTACGAGGTATTCCAAGGGCCTCTGTTTTGAACCGGCGTTGAATACAGTATCTATGGGTTGGGTCGTTTTTGGTTTGCTTAGGTCACTCACTTTGTTTTAATGCCCTCTCCTTTTAGGACAGTTCATACACATCATTCCAGCGCAGTTCTCTATACCACTTCGTCGGAGTGCTCTGGCTTTTAGTGCATGACTTTCATCTGAAGAGGAATGAAAATGTTACTTCAGGCTAGTGATTCTTCCCTGCTTTTCCTGCTTACAGAGGCCCAGTGCGAACCAAGTTCCGAACCACCAATATAGGTGTCGGATTGAAAGGCACAGTTGAGTCACAACGGAGTTCTAGAAGCAAGTCGCAAGCGAGCTGTGGATGGCAGACAAGAAGTTGTCACAACAAGATCCATCGCAAGGTGATCCGGGGTTTACGCTCACTCTTCTGACAGTCCTTTGGATCTCCCTGTGGGAGTAAGTACACCATTTATTTGTTCACGTATTCACACTACTTCTCCGTAACATTATCGTCTCTGGTTTGATATTGTCAGTCCAATTTCACATCCTCTCATCAACCATCTCCCACTCACTCACTTCCTTCCTCCCCTTCCCTATCCCTCTCCTTCCCCACACCCATCAAGATTCCCCTCCGCTCACATATAGCTAGAATCATAATACCCCTGACTCGCGTAACCACTCCCCAGCACTGTCTCAATCTTGACCGCGGCACCCAACTTCTTACCAAACCACGCCCTGTTCCCGCTCGCTCCCGCACCGGTATTAGCATACTCCCCATACGAAACGTGGCTGGTCTTCTCGTCGCCCGTGTTCCAGATACTCCAGCCCGCAGGGTTGATCACGTTCGTCATGCTGGTCTTTTGGAACGTCACGCGGGCGTATTCGCGCCAGGGACGACCGAGGTAGTAGGCTCCCGAGGGCACAGAGTTGCCGGCGGCGGCGGCGATGGTGCAGCTGTTGAAGACGTAGTTGTTTGGATTACTCGATGAATCGCGGCCCGATGCTGAATTTGAATGAATGAAGAAGAACTGTCAGTTACTTACTTGACTGTACAAACCAAGCCCGTGTCGTGCGTGGGGTGGGGTGGAGGGACAGTGACAATGAATGACAGACGGAGACGGGGACGGGGACGGGGACCGGGGGGCGGGGGGAGAATGAATGAAAGGGGACATAGACATACCGGTTATGTACCCAACACTAGCAGCAACAACCCTAATATCACACTTCTCAAACCACGCCGGTGCTCGCTGCCCAAAGATGAAATCCGTTGCACCCTGGATCAGCGTCCGCGCATAGAGTTGCGCCCCCTCCTGCGCCAACAGCGTGTCCTGAAACCCCTTGAGCGAACACCCGTACACGCCCACGCCGTCTCCGGGGGACATCACACTCAGCGCCACGGCTTGGCTGCCCTTGCCGTGCGCATTTTCTATGTTCAGATTGTACAAGCGCGCATTCTTGCTCTTGACGCGGACCGTCGCCGTCTCGTCGTTGGATAACCCGTCCGCTTGCGATTTGCTGGCAATAATAGTGACGGTGTTGGAGGTATACGATAAAGTGGAGGTGGTGGAGCCGTAGATGGATAGCTGAGCGGTTCGCGCAGGGATGAGGACTTGTTCGTGGTAGGTGCCTGGGTAGATGAAGATGCATTGGGACCCGGGAGAGGTGGTGGAGAGGGCGTTGACGGCGGATTGGATGGTTGAGTATTGTCGGCCGGAGGGGCCGACGGTGAGGCAGGAGGGGGATGGGGGGGAGGTGCGGGAGGCGGCGAGGGCGGAGGAGGAAAATAGGGAGAGGAGGGGGAGGAGGAGTTTCATGGTTGGCGATGTGGGTGATGATGAGGGCACCTCTGTTGGGTGGTGAGAGGTGTCGAGGGTAAGGTAGTGGAGGAGGAAGAGAGGGTGGTTGGAATAAAGGGAGAGTTGGTTGGGTGAGGAAGGTGTTATACCTCGGAGCTTAGGTCTGTTCAGATGTTCGGCCTCGAAGCTGAAGAGGGCATCTTCGTCCTTCTCCGGTGGGTGGATCATTAACCTTTCTTCATCATACGGCCCGTTTTGGTACGACCGCTTCTCGATCCGGTCCGAAAAGGGCAACTTCAAGCCTTCATTCACCCCTTACCAGCATACGTACCTACCCTACACAGTTCCGGATTGGTGGAGCTGTAGAATACACCTCTCAACAACTCCGAAGTCCAATGCATTCAAGCCATAGCTGAAATCATATAGCTCGGAAAATGAGTAATATCGTTCGCTCCAAGACTTCAGAAACCCGGGGTGCATGTTCTCTGCCGAACGATCGATTTAGCTTTCCATCAAATACCATGAACCAGGAATTCATCTGCCTCTGCCCCTTTTTCGCTCGTTTCGTTTCGCGGAAGATGGTGACTACTCGAAGGAGATGCCAAAAAAAAAACCGAGTCTCCTACCCGATGTTGTCTTGGAAGCGGGGGATGAAGGTACGAATCCCATTTGCGGATAAATATCAATGCTTTGGGACGGGACGGGACTGGATGTAACTGCGGGGGGAGCCGCAACGGAAGAATAACTGAATATGGAAAGAAGCTCGTCGTGATGTTTTGAAACTGGCTTGGCGTTTATGGTACTGTAATTTCCAATTTTCCATTGACTTGACCCCTTTTCAATATCTGAGTGTTTCGTGTTTCAAGGCCCTGCTGGTTCGGTTGTTCGGTTGGTATACAAAAAGATCAATGCTGGTTTGTTTGTTAGCTCGATCGAGAAGGAGGACAAGGACAAGGGAAAAAAAGACAAGGGATTCCGGAACTCCCCCCATTGGTCCAAACCACCCCAAAAAGGCGGGTCATAAACAAACAACAATCCGTTACGACCAAAACTTGACTCCATTCACCGACAGCGGGCAATAGCCAACCTACTGGATGGATGCTATTCACGCCATAACAGCAATTCCGCCTAGCCTAGCCATCCTGAAACGTGGTAAAAGAGCCAGCCCTCTGCAAGTACCACCCACGCGAACAACAAACCGGGGCAGGGGTGAACTGTACTACAAATGTACGTTGGGATCATGTTGAAGATGATCAAGCGTGATGTCAATGCCATGCGATCGATGATCGTCAGATAATCGCAAGATGAACGAACGCAAGGAGTGGAATGAATGGATGAATAGATAATAAAACCGATGGGAGGATAGTATAGTTACTTACCTATGGTTCCCGGCGAAGTTAACAGACTATCCCAAGCTTTTGTATGCTTGAATTCTAAACGTTCTAGCACCAAGCCATGGTCAGCCACAAGATCTTTTCCGGATCCAAAAAAAAAAAAAAGGGACAAAAAGTTTGTCGAAGGTGGCCCGGAGCCAGGTTCGAACGAACCGCTTCTACTAAGGAGATAGCTAGCCAAACGCGCCACATGTGACGACTACGCTACCAACCCCACGGTGGTCTGGTGACAGTACTCACAAAGAAATATCCTCAAGTACCTACCTAACCAGGTAGAGATGTGGTAGATTCTACAGGTAGACAGGGACTGTTTGGAATGCTCACGACAACCAGGCGTCAAAGAACTTTTCGATTTCAATGCCTGGTATTGGACCAGGGGCGGCACTCCAAGAATCGAGAAGCGCCAGTGAGCGAGAATTTGCAGGGAAGAAACTAATGCTGTCTGGGTCGTACCTGCTGAATAGAAATCTGTTGGTTCTACGTAGTGTAATTTCAGTCAGTCAGTCAGGTGCGCTTTCCATGTTAGTTGTTCTTCCCATACATTGCAACTTTTGTTTTCCGAATTCCGGACAGTAGTAGCGGAAGAACACAATGAGTCAAAAGTATCAACATCATCACTCTCACAAACAAACAGCACCAAACTTGGCTTCAACAGAGCAATCAATTTTTCTTTCCTCCACCAAGCGGCAGATGAGGTATAAGTTAAATCTAACAAACAATACAGTAGAATCGAAAACATTTCTAAAAGTCTCTCTTCCTCTCGTACACATCGCCGGAGCTTAACAGCAGCTTCAATCCTCATAGCTTTCTTCCATCCAAACATCTTTCCATCTTTCCATCTTTCCATCTTTTACACTACATCCCAGCATCCACCGCTTAGTCGAGGAAAGCGACGTCGCGAGCATGACGGCGGGCGAGGGCAGCAGCACGACGAGCAGCACGACGCTTCTGGCAGCTGCCCTTAGCAGGCTTGGTAGCCTGGGGAGCAGCAGTGGTGACAGCCTTGGTGGCGGAGGGGACGAGAGTGGTGGTAGGGACCGCAGCGGCCTTGGTAGTAGTAACAGCAGGAGCAGCGGCCGCAGAGGTGGTAGCAGGAGCGCCAGTGGCAGCGGGAGCAGCAGCAAGACCGGTAAGGGCGGTAGCGGTAGCGGTGACAGCGGAGTGGGCCTGAGCGACGCTGACGGCGTCCTTGATGAGGGCGGGGCCGGGGATGGGGTAGCTGGTCATGGGCTGGTAGATGTTGAAGGAGATGCCCTTGTCGTTGGGGGTGTAGAGGGCGGTACCCTTGACACCCGCGGGCTTCTCGGTGCCGGAGCCAGTGACCTGGAGGTTGAAGCACTGGGGGTAGTTCTGGGCGCCGTTGGGCTGGCCGGCGGAGTGGAGGGCGATGATCTCGTGGCGGAGGACGTAGAAGCCGGGGGCGATGTTGGCCGGGATCTCGACGAGCCAGCTGTTGTTGTTCGCGATGAGCTGGTCGGAACCCCACTTGCCGGGGGCGGCGGAGCCGTCGATGAGGCCGACCTCGTCGATCTTGAAGAACTCGAGAGCGGTCTTGTCGACGGTCTCGCAGCCGGCGGTGCCGCAGTTGGCGAGGTAGTCGATCACGGGACCGTGGTGAGACTCGGGCCAGGTCTCCCACTGGATGGAGATCTTGTCACCGGCCTTGACGACGGCATGGCCCTTGGCGTTGGTAGCGTCTTTGTGGCAGATGATATCGGGCGAGGAGAAAGCATCAGGGGCAACGAAGCCGTTGTCCTGGTTGTTGGCCTTCCAGGCAGCGACAACAGGGGGGTTGGCCATGTAATTGAAGCTGGAGTCATAGCCCTGGTAAAGGTCGCCGTTGATGACAATGTTGCTAACGTGACCGTGGGCCGCAACGGAGGCCGCACCGGCGAGGACGGTAAGAAGAGACTTGGAAGTGAAGGTAGGCATCTTGGTTGATATGGTAGTAAGTTATTGGTGTTGACCGACTAGCGGGTTGAATGAGTGATGTGATGTCAAGGATTGTGATGTAAAGAATGATAGGCTTCACTGAAGCTGTTGTAAAGAAGGTAGAAGTTGGAAAAGAAGGTGAGTAGATGCCGAATGCTCAAGTTGAAGCTGATGATTTTCCAAAACTCTGCAACATGGCGACGACCATATCCTTATATATCTTTACTTGTTCGTAGTCTTCCAGAATGTTCATGGATGCATGCCCATGTTGGCTGTCAAAGCATCGGTCAACGAACACGACGTTTCAGCGAAATGAGCGGAGTCTGATAACGGACCATATTCCCAAAGTTGATTCCAAGGTGACGATGTAAGCGGGTAGGTACCCCCGCGGGTAGACTGGCCATGGATAGGGAAACAAAACAGATGGACGGCGGTGGAAGGTAATGTGGTATGCTGGCGGATCTCCAACCTCGGATACAACTCAAGGAGCATCAACTGCGTAGCAGTGGAGGGATCATTGCGGCTCCTCAAACCAAATGAGCGATACGAGCGCCATGATGGGACACCACAAACACACAGCGTCAAGCCCGAAGACACCGAGAGAAAGTGGTTCGTCCCAAGTGAAGATGGAACTTGCCGTGGCGCCGCAATGCCCGAGAACTGGCCGTGGGGTCAAGCTTCGATCCAAGTTTCGGCATCGCAAGCTATCCAAGCTAACCCACAAAGCCAAGCGCTGTGTTCTTGAAGAACTCCTCACCATCACAGGCATGAAACACATTTGGGCTGAGCAGCAGTGAGGTCTGTGTGGAGACTCAGGGGCAGAGCAGGGGGTGATTTGGGGGTAAACAAGGGTAGGCGAAGGGGTTCGCGTGGAGTCCTGCAGGGGCATCTTGAGCCTCCAACGTTCGAGAATCGAGCCAACGCTTGCTACCCTAGCGCCCGCCAGCGGCCATGTTACCGAGCCCATCTCGTCTCCAGCTGAGCCAGTCAAGAGGCTTCGATATCCCAGGTTTGTCGGAGTCGCGGGAGGTTGAACCGAAGTGTGGCGCCATTCAAAGATGGTTGTTTTTTCACGTGCGAAGAAGAGAAACGCCAAGAAGTCCAAAGGTGGTGAAATGGGTCAGGCCAGGATATGCCCCTGGCGTCAAGAGTCGAGAATCTTCGGAGCTGCTTATTCCGCTTACAACTCTGGGCAAAGCGGTCCGTACCGAATATTCGACAGATGGGCCATGGTAGCGCCGGGCCCCTCTTGATAGAATTTTTGCATGAATGTCATTTTCACTTGAATGACACCCTCGGCATGGGCGCTTGTAAAGGGGTAGATAGCCTGCTCTGGATTAGAGACTGACTGACGGGAACATGATGATGGGGTGTTGGACATGCGCGCGCTTGCGATAGCCTGAGTTGCATAATGTTTTTCTCTGTGTGTGTGTGGTCGAGACAAGTGTTGCCGTTGGAGACAGAGAGCCTCGGATGCTCGCTACCAGACTTGCAAACTGCGCATTGTCATCAATGCCATGGCGGACCACAAAGCAACGGCGGGAAGAGGGTTGGGTTGGGAGATCATAATGCCAACAGTTATGTGCATCACGGCTGGTTGGTGACCACAGGTACCGAGTGCTTGAGGTGTGATGGTTCATCATGTCCATCCCAGAAGTATAAAAATGATTTCATCCCAGAAGTATAATTCCTGGGAATTTCGGGATGGGACACGTCCAACGACTTCAAGAGTCAGCTGGTTAGTCAATATGTTGGAAGCATCCGTCTTCTGCGGTGACTTTTTACATTGAAGGCTGGATAGGGTGAAAGTTGGAAACTTCCATGGCTCATGGAAAACGAGCGAGTTGAAAGCTATTGGAAAAGCGAAGGCGACAACCGAGTTGGGGAATATCAATGGAGAAAAAAAGGTCAGTAGAAAAATGGCATGCGTTTGAAGGTTGAGGCAAATGATGGGCTGAGGCGGAATAGTCTGGCCATCAGCAAGACGGGATGGAATTGTGAGATGTTGACGAGGACGGGAAGTCAAAGTTGGGAGTTTGTGGTTGTTGGTCATTGCAGTGATGACAGCTGAAAGAGGAACGGGGACAGCTAGCGCCTAGCACAGCGCTGTCCGATAAGGAGCGATAAGGACTCGAGCGACCTGGACAGGCACAAATAGCGGGGGTGGGGCGCACCCCGCCTAAACGGTGCGGCCCCACTGTTAGTGTATTGCTCCACTCCAAACATCAAAAGTTCAACTTTCAAGTCGAACATTTTCACAACAGTTTCACAATCGGGAAGGTCCAGTCGAATCGACGGTGTTTGGCTCCTTCCGTTATTGCTCCCAGCACATCAAACAACACTTGCCGGGCCAGACTCGCGTCATACTTTAGCGTCGACCCTGAGAGCTAGCACATTATTCTGCTCGTCCTCTGGCGTTGATGAGTGTTTCGTGACCTGGTCACTGAGAGAAAGAAACAACAACGACCGAATACGGTTCTCAGGCACAATATCGACGTCACGGTTTCCTTGTCGCGCCTTCCGAGCTTGCCAGCTTGGCCGCCCTTTAAAGACACAAAAGCGTCCCTTGGAAGTCACGCTCCGTCGAACCAAACAAAAACAATTACGGACATCAACCGGTTGACCCGGGCCGTCAACAAAAGCCCGCATTCATACCCAAAAATCGCTTGCTTTCTCACCTTGCCTAAATAAAAGCAACAAGACAGCAAGACAGCAAGACATCAATATCAATCAACAAATAGCCGGCATTCCTACCTTGAGGAATTACTAACGCGTCGCCAGTACTACTGGCCCATCACTCTGACGTCACCATGTCAAGTCCCGTTCTACCAAACATGAACAAGCTGGCCCTCGACGCTAAAACACGCGAGCTTAAGCAGCGACTCCAATCTATGCAAAAGGACCGCTCTGCTCGCCCTGCGACCGCCACCAGCGAGAATCTTACGGCTGCCAGCAGACCCCTAACCCCCATGGTCGCGTCAACACCAAAGCCCCAGCAAGTTGAGATCCCGAAACCTCAGTTTGTTCCTCATACTGTTCCTGAGGTTCCTACCGAGACGTCCATCTCGGCCGATGAGAGTGATATTGCCGCTCTGATCCGCTCTTTTTCTGATCACGTCGATCCCATGCCAGGGATTGTTCCTACACCGGCTTCCTCTACCAAACCGCAGAATCAAAGCTCTGTCGCGAATCAGGCCACTCCTGCACCGGCGTCGAATCATTCCTCTATGCCTCCTCCTGGACTCGCAAAGGCCGTAATCACAGCGCCCTCTACTCCGGTCGAGGAGGGTGAGATTCCGAGCGACACTGAAGAGCCAGTTAAAGCAAAGGTCTACGAACGATTTCAAGAGCGGTCGAAGCACCAAGTCTCTCAGGGAACTGACAAGACCCCGCGATCCGGACCTAATACTACCTCTAACAAGAAACAGTTCCCTCAAAAAGGCCCCGGTAAGCCTCAAACAGGCACCGACAAGGCCCTACGTACAAATAACAGGCCTGAATCCCAAAATGCTCAGGCCAGGAATGGGCCTACCGCTACCTCATTGACTCCCGAAAAGGCCCTCGAGCGAGCCCTGGAGCTCAACCCGGACCTACGGGAATGGCTGGTGCTAACTGATTACCATAACGTTGAAATACGTACCAAAAAGATCGAACGATATCGTAAGCTGAAAGCTCTGGCCGCAGAGAAGGAAAGAATAGAAGCTGAGCATGCTGCTCAAAGGGCCAGGCTAGAGGCCGAGCACCGCAAGTTGCTGGAGGAAGAGGGATTGGACTTTGGCCTCGTCGCCACGCCGGTAGTCGACACTGCCCCGGCAACCACTAACAAACCAACTGAAGCTCCTAAGGCTGTAGTGCCCAAAAGGGAACGCGAGAGGTCCGTGGACATGGCCGATTATCCTCCGGAGAAGAAGCATCGGCCCGAAGAAAATGGACCCCGGCCGATGGACATCGACAACGAGTATGACGACCGTTACCGTGAACGTGGTCGGCCCGAGTATCCTACCAAGCGTGCCCCATCATGGTCTCCGCGTCGTTATCGCGCACCGTCACCTCGTCGCGACCACCGTCTAAGCCGTCCCGCCTCTCGAGACCGCGAATATCAACCCTCTCGGTTTTCTCCTCGGCCTCGGTCCCGCGATCGTTCCGATTTCAACAAGTACGACGGACGCCTTCTCCATAAATATGACAACCGGAGTTATCGTGGTGACGATAAAGGCTTCTTTGACGATCACCGTGGAGACAAAGCTCCTCGAGCCCAGTCACCCCGGCGACCTAGGGATTTGGAGCATGTTGAGCACTTCAATACGGGCGAAAAGGGCGGTCAGTTTTCCTTGCGGTCGTCCTTTCACCATTTCATGCACAGAGTTCAAACACCCCCGCTAAGGGACCCAGCCCCGTTGATCAATGGCGATACCCTCTTTCCTTATGTTATCACAATCCCGGTGGAAAATCCGTGCATATGCCTTGGATGACCACTATATTAATGTTCCGTGATGCAGATACCCGCTTTTTTGTTCTCAAGTCGTTTAACAACGAGAACTTGGACAAGGCCATGGAAGACGTAAGTTTTGCACCCCCTCTGCCCTGGATCTCGCATTAGTGTTTCCGTGGTTTACGCATTATTCACAGGGAATCTGGGTCACCCAAACGTCCAACGAAGAAAAGTTCACCAAGGCCTACGAGACGTGCAGAAACGTCATCTTTTTTTTCTCCGTAAACAAGAGCAAGGCTTTCCAGGGTTATGTAAGTTACGTGCCGCCTATAATGATCTCAAAGCTTTGCCTAACACGTCGGTACCTCTCAGGCATTGATGACCAGTCTACCTTCGGCCGACATCACCAAAGCATCCTGGATGAAGAACATTCACTGGCAGACCTCCCCTCCCTTCCGTCTCAAATGGCTCAGCAAAGTTGCCGTCCCCTTTTCCCGCATCGGATACCTCAAGAACCCGCTCAACGAGAACCTCTCTGTCCTAATCGCCAAGGACGGTCAGGAAGTCGAGGAGGATTGTGGCCGCGCCTTGCTGAGAGAGATGGAATCGTATGCCGAGTGGGAATCGAACAAAACAACATTACCCTCCGGAAGTCGTCACCACAATCAACAACAGCAACAACACGCACGCCGGGAAAGCGATTCAGCGTCGGGCCTTAATACCGCCTCGTGGTGGAACAACAAGAAGAAGCCGCACCATAACAACAACAATCACTGGAACCACCACCACCACAACAAGCGCGTGGAGGATTACCACGATAGGTCGTCTGCGCGTTAGATTGGCCAGACCCTTCCTGATCATCTTGAGTCCGAGCCTTCTCCAGTGTCAACGGGCCCTCCAGCTCCAAGCTCTCCGGTCGTCTCTAGACAGAATCAGGTTGACTTACAAAGCCAGACAATAAACATCATCAGAAACCATACCAAAAAGGGGGAACGAAAGAAGGAAGACGGAGAAGGGAAAAAGAGAAAAAGAAGAAAGGAAAAAGAAGAAGGGAAGGAAAAAGAAGAAGGGAAGGAAAGGGGGAAGAATGGAGGAAGAAAAAAAAGCAAAATCAAATACTCGACTGGAGGAACAAGAACAAGGCAGATTAACAAGAGTCTGATGGGTGCTAAGGGCGTGCTCGTGTATCATTCTGGAGATGGGTTCGGGAATAGAAGGCTGCATGGTGGTGTCACGAGGACGTACGGGCTCCCTGAAATCTTGGGCCAGGTGGGGGGATTGACACCCTGAGCAAGTAGTACTGTTTGGTTGGCGAATGGGGCAGTACCCCAGTAGGTCGGTCCCTTGTCACTGGCTACCAGTCCTCGGGCCATTGGGTTTCGTGAGCATGATGGGTGTGGAATGTTTGTACGTTTAGTTAGATTATAAATGGAGGAAAGCATGCAAGTCGAAGATAGATAGGATGAGAGAACAGCGCAGCACAGCACAGTAGAATATAGCACGTTACAGCACAGCACAGCACAGAACAAAAAAAAAGCGAAAGAGAAGAGGAGAATTCAGAAGAGAAGAGAAAAGAAGGAAAAGAAGAGAAGAGAAAAGAAGGAAAAGAAGGAAAAGGAGTGAGCAATACCACAAAAAGACCGGATTCTGAGCGACTAGGTAACAGGAGAGAAGAAAAATGACAAGGCGGTTGAATGGATGGATGCAGTGATATCCGGAAGTGTGTTTGTCCTCTTCAAGGTCTCCTCAGCGTCTTCTCAGCGTCTTTTCAGGGCGTACGGTGGTGGGCAAGAGGGAAATACATTCAAGTTCCTCGCTTGTTATTAGTGAGATGGCCCGGATGTTTCCTTGTCCACACTCCACGGCACCAACGGGATCATGATGCGATGCCATGCGATGCCATGCCATGCCATCGAGACAACCAACGTCCACGTCAAATGTCAAATGTCAATATATCCTCATCGCGGCTTGCAGTCTATATAATAGTTAATTACAAACCTTAACATATATAGGTTTGCTGGAGTGCACCTACATGCATGATCGATGCCTGCCTGCCTCGACAAGCTAGGTCTTTCTTTCCACGGCGTCCCTGCTGATGGATGTATGGCCTGGTTGCGGTTGGTGCCTGAGGATGGGACGGAATCTCGCGCGGTCTCTCAAGTTGGCAAATAATGGCTGGCCAAATAATGGCAGGAAATGGATAGACAGGGCAGCATGAAAAGGCCAACGAAGTGGTGATCATGGACATTATGCGTGTTTTTTTTTTTTGTCGTGTATACTGAATTGAATGTCTATACGCAATACGGTGTCACTTTATGTCCCTTCGTGTCACTTCATGTCCCTTCGTGTCACTTCATGTCCCTTCATGTCCCTTCATGTCCCTTCATATCGCCCGAGATCCAAATATCCAAGTATCCAAGAGAGAACCAACAATCAGACATCCAAAAAAAAAAAAAAACAGAGTAAGACTTTTACATCAATCAAAACGGCAGGACCATCACATCAATCCTTCCTCCGCCGCCGCCTAACCTCAATCTTGACGTCCAGCGCCGGGATGATGGTATGCGCCACCCACGTCGGCGGCGGCCTGTTGGCGATGGGCTTGATGTCGTAGTTTTGGAGGATGTGGGCTAGCATCATTTTGACTTCGTGGGCTACGAAGAAACGGCCGGGGCTGTAACACAACTTCAGTTAGCGACGCACTTGCACATACACACAAAACACAAAGAAGAGAGAAGGGGGGTAGGGCAGATAAAGGTTGAAGTGGAAGGTGATAAAAGGTGTAAAAAAAAAAAAAAAAGGAGGAAAATACTAACCACGCACGCCTCCCATGACTAAAAGGCAAATGCTCACTACTAGTAGCCACCAACCCCAACCTCTTGATCCTCAACGCCTCCTCTGTATCCCCCTTCTCTTCCTCCGAGCGAGCCTCATACTCCTCCCTCACCCTCGAGAACCTCAACGCGTCGTACGTCTGCGGATTCTCGTAAATCTCCGGGTCATGCTGCACGCTCATGTTCGCCATCAGGATCGCTCCATAGGGGGCGTGCCACCCCTCAAACGGGTTGGTGATCCCTTCCTTTGCTACCACCTTGCGGTGAGTCAAGCCCGTGCTGAAGGTCGACAGACGCATGCTTTCGCGGATGGCCGAGTCGGTGCGGTATAACCGGGCAAGGCCGTTTTTGGTCCAGATGCCATTGGGTTCAGACTGCAAAACGGTGCTGGTTTCCTCGCGCAAGACGGACAGGTAGTTCTTGGCTGGATCGGAGGCGAGCAAGTCGAGAAATAAAGCGTGCAGGGTGATGACGGTGGTGTGGATGGCGGCGAACTCGATGGGCAGGAGACGCATGGCAATCATGTAGGGCGTCTGTTCGTGCGGGAGGTTGTCGGCTTTGGCTTGGCGGATGAGCCAGGTGATGAGGGATTCTTCTGGTGGTGTTTGCGATTCGCCGGATTCGAAGCGCTCAAAGTCCCGGAGGCGCTGCTCGATGACGGGCTTGAGGAGGCGGTAGCCTTGGTGGAAGTGGTACCAGTTGGGCAGGGTGACGAGACGGCCGACGAGCGGGTGCAGGACCGTCGGGAAGAGCGTCAGGATGAGACAGTTGCGGAAGACGTCGTCGGCGAATCCGACTTGGCTCGAGAGGAAGGCTTGGTTGTGACAGAGAGGCAGGCCGACGGCTAGGCGGTTCATGATACGGGGGACGATGGCCAGAAGAGCTTCCCAGAGGTTGAGGGTGTTCCAGTTCTCGGTGTCGGTGCCAAAGGCAATGTCGATGGAGTCGGCTACTTCTTGTTGGATGTCGGGGAGGAGACCGACGAGGTTGCGGGCCAGGTGCTTGTGCATCACCTTGGTAGGGAAGTGGTCGTCGACATTGAAGAAGTTGTAGGCGCCGAAGAGGACATCTTTGTGGGCTTCTTGGGTGTTAAGGACCGTCTCGGGCTGTTCGAGCATCCAGGCTATCTGTTCTCGAGGAACGATGATCTCGTCGGGCTGGCTGGGCGAAGCGGGAGTGACGAAGGAGCGGCCGTGTTTGCCATACTTGTTGTAGCCTTCTTGGACCCAGTTGTGGTAGTTGGAGAGGTTCATCCAGTTGCGGATGGTGGCGCGAATTCCTCCACTGTAGCCAACTCGAGGTAGCGATTTGGGATACGTTGGCTTCTTGGTCGAATCGATGGCAAAACTTGCGATGGTGAAGAGGATGACAAGCGCCGTGATGCGACCCGGAGTCAAGCTGGCCAGCAGCGACTCGAGGAGGTGCGAGCTCAGACTGGTGGTCGCCATTGTGTCTATCGTGCTTGGATTGTCATTTGGAAGAAGATGTTTTGGTCGTGCCCAAGAGGTTCGGTTGTCGTTGGCGCCATGTTTGCTTATTCTTGGTTCGCGATGAAACAGGGACAAGAAGTTGACGAGGATCGAGGTCGACGCGGATTGGTGTTTCTTGTCAAAGCGTACAAGGCACGTCACTTCAGGGGCTTGGTCCACTATAAACACTTACCCCAGCCCGGCCCGTAGTGGGGGTTGGCTTTTAGACAGCCGAACCGGTGGGGTTCCCGTCAGTTCCACTTTCTTTGTTTTCTTCAGCCCTATGACGAGCCTCGCGCCTCATCCCTTCTTCAACTTCTTTCGGCCTCGTGGAAAGGTAGCCTTGCTGATGTGGAAGGCGCCTTCCGTCTGATCGCCATGCATCACCATTCCAATATCGCGACAGGGCCAAATGTCTCGATGTGACACCACCAGCACGTCAACAAGAAAGACAATGCGAGTAGTTCGACATGTCGACCTTTAACGGCTTGTTGGCCGAGTTCCCCGACATTAGAGGTTAGCATATCACCCCCAGTTCCTCCGTGGTTAACTCGATGGCTGACCATGGTATAGTCGACTTCTTCCGAAACCACCCAAACCGCAGGCCTCCCCTGGCTTGTTTCTTGAGCCATGTCCATACTGATCACCTCGCTGGTCTCGACACTTTGCGCTCACCATTGTTAGTTGGAAACCCTGCCCTCTTAACGGCTATTTCTAACTGTACCTAGCGTATATTGCTCTGCCGCCACCAGGGAGATACTGCTCCGCCTAGAGACCGTCTCTCGCCGTATCAACTATGCCCAAGGCATCCTGGAAGCTCGACAGCTGTCCTACAAGCACCTCAAGAACTTGTTGAAACCACTCCCACTTGACACCCCAGTCGAACTCGAACTCGAACCAGGGAATCACATCCAAGCCACCCTGCTAGATGCCAACCATTGTCCTGGCGCTGTCATGTTCTTGTTCGAGGGTCAAGGAAAAGCAGCCCTTTACACTGGGGATATCCGGAGCGAACCATGGCATGTCAACGCTATTGCAAGATCACCGTCTATGGTTCAGTATGCATACGGGTTGAAGACCCTCGATACCATATACCTGGATACATCCTTCATCGAAGACATTGACTTTCCCACAAAGGCTCAGGGCATCAGCGAGTTGCTGGACAAGGTCTCCAAGTATCCTCCCAATACCATCTTCCACTTTCAGGCCTGGACATATGGGTACGAAGATGTGTGGGTTGCCCTGTCCAAAGCACTGGGGTCAAGTGTAAGAACCACCCTTGTACTATACATCGGTTGTCAGCTAACATTGATAGGTCCACGTTGACGAATACAAGATGGGCATTTATCAGTCCCTCCTCGCCAAGGATCCAGCCAACAAGCGTGACTTTGGTGTTCTGCATCACGTGTCTCCTGAGGCTCCGGCACTTGTGGGATTTATGCGCGGTAATTCGTACCACCCGGGCTGCCTGACATTGGATGAAAACGTCCGCCTCCATAGCTGTGAGAAGGGCAACTATTGCAAAACAGTTCGGGAAAACCCGGTAGTCCAGATACATCCCGTCCTTACCCACCTCAATAACGGTGAAGACCTTCCGGAACTTGGCATTGGCGGAGGCGGTGACGATCTTGAGCACGACGAGGAGCAAGACCACTTGTCTCAGGTACAGATACAAATGGCCACCAAGTTGTAAGACTTCCCGCAAGTATCCGTCGGTTATTTCTTTACTAACTCAGACAGCATCCGATGGCTTGAAAAGTCAGCTGAAAAAGTCGAACTTCTACCTCTCGAATCTTTCGCCAGCGGCTCCAAGATTGAAATAGGCATGGAACTGCTCACATCCGGCGCAGATAACAAGACTGCACTGCTGAATTTCCTGCAAGATCTGATTAACAAGTCGAAATCTCAGATAGCTCTGGACAGGTCCCTTCTGGCCGCGAACAGCAGAGCCGAAGGAACACTGCCTAGCATCATCACCTTTCCTTATTCGCGCCACTCGTCGTATGCCGAACTTTGTCATTTGGTTGATGCTTTCAAACCAAAAGACGTATGGCCCAACACTGTTAATCCGCGCGAGTGGCTTGAACAAGGTATGGCAATCCCTATCCCCAATGGTCATCACCAGTTACTGATGCTCGGATTTTGTCAGGTATTACCATTGAACACTTGTTTGGAAAGCATTGTTCTGGCATTTCATTTCGACACGATCAGTTGATGGAAGAGATATTTGGAACGAGAGAACAACCTATCCAAATCAGTGACGACAGCCAATCCACAGCTAGCCATCGTGCAAGCTCGTTCCATGAATCTTCATCGCCGGCCCCACAGATCGTCGACAACTGGGATGGCACAACCATTGCCCCCAATCTGAACTTGGAGAGCAGCTTCTCTCAGATTTCGGTTCAGTCTGAGGCTTCCTTTGACATGCGCACTCATGCCTTCCACCTGATGCTTGACAACGCCATGAACAACGCCGGCCACGAACTCGGTCTTATATCCACAAGGGACCACCACACCAACATGGAAGTTGAACTAGGCGAAACATGATTGGAGCGCATATTCTCAAACCTTCAACGGCACTCTCTTTTGGATGTCTCGGCTCCGGGACCCCCTTTTCTAGCGTTGTAGTGTAGCCACGAACACCGGTACTTGGCCGCGCCCAGCATGGAGAATCTTGTTTCCAGCAATCGAATTCGAATGATTTACCCCAGAAAATCTGGAGATCGACCTTGGACTGCAACACTCTCCGATCAATCTGTGGCATGACGGGCATGATTTAGCCATTTACAACCTGTTTCGGCCCTTCCCTCCTTTGCCAAAATGTCACCTTACTACCCCCGTTACCCCAACTTTTGATGTTTCAGGGCCATGTGGAGTTCGTGGAGACACACTCTACGTCAATATCGGGAGGTGGCTTTCACATGGGGACGGTGTAGCGTATAGATGGCTCCAAAGGGAAGGTAGATGAGCTTCTCGGGATATAAAGATCGGAGTCCCAGATCTTCAACGTGCCTGCAGTCACATCTTGTTCCCCGGGTACCTGGACCCACTGAGCCGCTTCAACACCCCTTCTTCCCGACAATATCCTAGGGTACATCTTGCAGGGCAAAGATGAGGCTCCTTAGTCTCATTCTCCTCGTCTCTACCTGGGCCTGGGCCTGCAGCGCCCTCGTCATCGATACCGTATCTCTAGGCCTTGCCGAAAACCAGCTAGCACAGCGCACCGACCCATCGCTTGCCGGATACCTGGGGGTCTTCTTCCTTGGCGCCGATCCCTACGTCTACTTCTACCTCAGCAACGGCAACAACCCCATCTCATTCAAGGCTCTGAACAAGGGGTCACCCATCTTTAAGCCGACCAAGGGGACAAGAGGCGTGCGGGACCCGACTATCGTTCCGGGTGGAGGTAATGAGGCTGAGAAGAAGAAGTGGTATATCATCGGGACGGATTTGAATATTGGGAAGGTGCGTTCTAGACGGGCTAAAGACAGGGGCTGGAAGAGGTTATTGACGGTACTACAACGGCACAGACAACATGGGACGCAGCACAACGAAAGGGCTCCAAGGGGATCTTTGTCTGGGAAAGCACCGATCTGGTCAACTGGGTCAACGAGAGACTGGTGGTGGTGGAAGACAACACAGCCGGTATGGTGTGGGCACCTGAAGCGATTTGGGATCCGGCGAAGGGTCAATATCTCGTTCATTGGGCTTCCAAATTCGTACGTCCCCCGCTCATATTCCCTTCCCACCCCCATCCCCCCGTCCTAACCTAATGGCATGATAGTATTCCACCTCCGACCCAAACCACACCGGCACCCCCTCTTCCATCAAAATCCGCTACGCCTACACCTCGGACTTCAAGACCTTCTCTACTCCCCAGACTTACATCGACCGTTCCCCAACCAACATCATCGACCTTACCATCCTCCCCCTCAACCCCCTCAACTCTTCCTCGCAATCCTACCTTCGCTTCATGAAAGACGAATCCCTCAAAACCGTCTTCGTCGAAACATCCACCACCGGCCTCTTCGGTACCTGGACGCGGGCCGGCGGGTCATCAGCCATCATCCAATCGGGTGTAGAAGGACCGGCGGCGTATTGGGATAATACGGTGCCGGGGAAGTGTCATTTGTTGTTGGACTTTTATGGGAGTGATGGGTATAGACCGTATGAGAGTAGTAACCCGGGGAATAATGGGGGGTGGACGGCGAGTGGGAGGGGGGCGTGGCCTAGTGGGTTGAGGCATGGGAGTGTTTTGGCTGTGGATCAGAGTCTTTATCAGAGGCTTAATTCGAAGTGGGGGTGAGTGATTGGAAGTCTGGAAGTACGGAAGGACTGTCGGGGAGCTGGCGTGGCTGGATGTTGAACGTGAACAAAGGGGGGAGGAATGAAGAAAAAAACGAAGAGCGCAGGGGAGGGGAGGGTATTAATGATCTATATATGGCTGGGTTGGGCACACAATCCACGAATGACAAAATGGTCAAGAATCTTCGGAGATCGATATATTTCCACCCCAGTGTCCCCAGATGAGGCAACGCCAGGAAATGATTGATGAGCAGAATCATCCTCTTTCGTCCCAGCCTCACGCAAAAACTTCCGACACGACCTGGGAAAATCTCGGCTTGAGACTGAATGAATGAACCTTCTCTGTTTTTGGTCTCGGATTAGGGAACTTGAAATGTTAGGTTATTAACCTAGCTAGAGGTGCACAAAAGGTGCAAGAGAAGATAGGCAGGTAGGTAGGTAGAAGACGCTCACGTTATTTCACGGTCATCATTATTAAGATTGTCATACCATGAAAGCCTGCGCTGACGTACAGCAGAAGTACAGCAGATAGGCAATGCTGAACTCAACATCACAGACCCAGACTCCCTGACCTGAACCAGCTCTCATATTGAGCAGAAGGAAACACGCCGCGGAGGTGCAAAGACATGGAAGGCCAGGCTGTTAACACTTCTCTTCCCCGACTGGACCCTACTTAGGTTAGAGTAAGCTTCACCGATAGGTGACCTGGAGCCGCAGCACACGCTAGTAGGTAAGTATACTCAACTTTAGGTAGTTATTCATTTGCTCTTTTTCACCGAAAGATAGGTATGCAGAAGATGGACAAGTGGATGGAATAAGCGGTAAAAAATTTAGAAGCGGAATCGAACCGTAGACTATGTCCTCTCGAGACAACCGTGAGTCTCGACGGTGACTCCAATGTAATTAATTAACCATGCTTTCTACCTACCTACCTGACTGGAATAAAACTCAGGAGCGTATCATACAACCATGCAAAGCGAAACTTTTATCTTCAACTGTGCCTGTTCTAGCTTTTTTGCACTCTCTTGGTTGTGTTCACTCTCAGTCTCAGTCTCACTCTCACCGATATTCTGCCTCTGCCTCTGCCTCTGCCTCTGCCTCTGCCTCTGCCTCTGCCTCTGCCTCTGCCTGTGACGGGACTACATGGAGGTAGACCTCTGTATTGATACTGGGTGGGGGCTTTACTCTTGCCTTCTCAGGAGGCTGCAACGACAGGGGGCAGGTTTGGAAGTTCGAACACTCGCTTCCTTCGGGCGTTTTTTTTTTTTTTTTTGTTGTCTTCTCTTTTTGCCTTCTTACTCCCATTCATTTTCTTTGCTTCTCTTTGGTTCTTTCTCCTTTCTGTCCAGTAAGGTATTTTTTTGCCTTTTTACTCCAATATTGTTATCGTCGACTCTTGCATGTCTAACTTAAACTCAAGAGTTCAAGGTAGGTACCATGAATTTTTTCTGCAGGAAAGCTGGGTGGGCTACTACTTTCACTACCTAGATATCTAGGTACCGTCTGACTAACTAGAGCCTGGAGGTTTCTACTCTACCAACGTTGATATAACGACTGGAGCTTGGGTTTACCCATATCTATCTCCCTGCCTGTGAAGCTTCTTTATAGTTTTTCGCATGTTGCCTTTCTATATTGTGTATACCCTACATACCTATAATCTACATCTTGTTCCATGCTACAAGACGTGTTTTTAACCCACGAACGAACCTTAAACTTCGCCAATTTGTTCATTATCTCACCACCGCGGGAAACGCAATGCTTGTTTTGCACTCCTAGGTACGTTGGTCCCATAGCACTCTTCATTTCTGTAGGGACTATCTAGGTATCCATTCCCTTCTTCACACTCCTTTCTGTAAATATGTATGAACCTTCCTACACTTGCAAACCTTACGCATGTGAACCCCGAATCATTTGCAAACCTTACGCATGTAAACCCCGAGTCATCTAAACATGTGCGCATTCCAGGGCCCTCCAGTCTACGCCATGCGTTCACACACTTCAGTTTTCACCTGAATGCTTTCCTGTAATGTGATTGGAAAACTTTGTTCCCATATTACATTATTACCTACCTTTCATCTCAGTCAGATTCTCAGGCCACCACCGACCCAATCTGCCATCTGACATATGACATATGACATACGGTAGTACGGGATGAAGCGAACGGTGAGTGATATGGAGCAAGTGGAAGCGGCGATAGAACGTCCACAGGAACGTGTGGGAAATTACCCACGCGGATGGATACGGACTACGGTACAGAGAAGTTCGATGGGGTCTCCGAAACCTGGGATTGTATAGGTAGATTACCTCCACTTACAACAGCTGGCGGGGAAGGGATGATGGGTGGGTGTCCCCCATATTCATCGAGGAGAGAGAGAGAGAGCATGGGTTCAGCACGAGTGACATTTAACATCTTGATATGAGGACATTGTACGTATCTTGAAGGATGAGAGTGTAAGCTGAGCGGCCCCGGAAACGTGAGTTAGCAACCCTTATATGCAGGAGGAGGCATGACTGGCATAACTGCTGCCGCCGCGGACCTTGGACTCTTTGCATGTTATGCAGATATCGAGTGATTCGTGTATCATAGGAGTAAGTTCCTAATTGTACTCCATTGAACTCCGCTGGGGAAGGAACACTTCTGGCTCTGAGTCCACCAAAGAGCACGCAGAAAACAAGGCTCGTTGGTCGGATCTCCGACCCATCAGTTGCATGTAATGCCCTTTACTGTTGTACGTTGGCCACTTTGTTTGTTCTCGCATTGACGAGAACGGTCGAGATGACTAGTGATCCAGGTCAAAGGACAAGGGGCAATGGCCAGTCCCGGTAGGTACTCTCCGGAGACAGGGGGAGACAGGTAAGCCTCCCCCCTCCAACGGGCTGGGCTGGCAGTTGCTTTGCCCCTTCAATCTTTTGATTGGTCCCTGGCCCAGTTTCAACACGATGTAACGACGGCTCGCGGATGTTGATAATGCCTGGCGGCGGGCTTCGGAAGGCTGGACCCCTGGTCTCGCATGGAATGGTAAGATCACGCCGGCTTCGAGCGGGTTGTTGATTGAGTTTTTTTTTTCACTTTTTCTCCCTCCCGACCCTGCCGTCTCGTCGTCTCCAGCCGTCGATATTTTTTTTGGTTCTCCGCAATTTCTCTCCCCGCAATCCCAGAGAGCGAGTGACCAAGGTAGAGAGTCATTGCGATTTGCTGCTATTCTTGGAGAGCTACTCAGCTACCTCTCTGTCGGTAAAGACAATCAATATGGGATCGCCTTGTGGGTATGAAAATCTGTATGAAGTATATAATAGTGGAAGCGACTGATAATCTGTCAGCTGGCTTGAAAATCAAGGACGAGCATGGGAAAGACCCCCCACCCGCCACCAAGCTCGCGAGGGGCACGGATTCCTCCGCGGGATAAAAGCACACACACCAGATATATGTGAGTATTTTTGTCATGAGGTGCGGAGGAGGCGTGCGTACGTACGTACCTGTTGGGGCTCTGGAAAAGAAGGCTGCAAAGGACAGTCCCGGTCGTTTGTGATATCACGGTGGTAGACGTGTGTAAGACAGGTTGGAGGGTCGGGGATCTGTCGAGACCATGCCGGCATGGCTATTAGACAGCCAACAGCATTAGGAATCCGCACCACCACCTTTCCGTCCCGTATGTATCCGACAATGTCACTTCACGGACATAGGACAAGTCACGTAAGAACTGACTTCACGAGCTGACCCCCGATAAAAACCGACGAAAGGACCCAACCTCCGTTCCGAAGCGGTCTCGACGTCCGGCACCGCGCGATGTCTGGTCAGTGTCAAGACAGAAACGGTGCGGCCTTGTCCGTAGTGTAGTCTAGGGTCGTCGGCAATGAAAGGACCAGGGGGGTGGCCGCATGACAGGACGGCCGCCGAACGTACGCGTGCCGTTGTGACATGGCGGGTAACTGCACACTGCACACTGCACAGAAAGGCAGGTTTGCCACTGGCATGTGATGTTGTGCAGCTTCAAGCAGTTGGAACAGTTACTTTGGGAGTCCCATTTCGGACATATCATGATTGCGGGTAGTCCAGAAAGGGTCATGATGGCTGGGTCTCCTTGGGAATCTGCTGTAAGCTCGGACGTTTCCCAGGGTGATAGGGTTGCCTTGTAGACGGTCTCGGCTATGCAAGATTGTGCTTTTCGATCAACGGTAGGGCATGGTGGAATCGCCAACCTTGCCAGCGTGCCATCTCTTCCAATCCTGTCACCTCCTGCGAAGTCTGTGTTAGTTACTGTGCAGTCACGCTGGGGATACCTTCCCTTCCTCTGTAGATACTAAAAAGCCAACAGTTAGCGCTCGCTCTTGTCCGAGCATTTTATCCGATTCGATAAACGGTCAAGGACGTTGCACACCGGTACTCGTTTGTTTAAAGTGCCTGCAGCCATAGCCCCCCTTGCCTCCATGGTGGCATTGGAATGGCACCTGGTCGGAATGGACAGGTTCCTTTCTTGGTGCTTCTCGTCACGCATGGCTTTTCTGCAGTCTTTGATAGTCTTCGTCACGGTTGACGAGGTGGTAGGTTGATGTACGAGTTGATAAATGATGACACCCATTGGGATCGAGCTTGACAACGCCATCAGAAACCTTCATGAAAGAAGAGGTAGAACGTGTGAAACGATTTTGCCATGACACAGACGGACGGGCACCCAGTGTCACAAAATGACTGTGCAGACTTCCGGCCGGCAACTATCCAGACTCAGACTCCCCATGTCTAGACAGCCTTTGGGGGTTTTCAGAGACTCCTTTACAAGGTTAGCTGACTGTTGGAAGGGCATCATCGGTGCAGATAACTTCAGATTAAAACAGACTCTGACGAACCAATCAAGTGTCTCAAGGAAACACGGGCCGGCCACAACTGACAACTGGCACAGCACGGCCATATCAGCTTCACTTATATACCACTTGCAGCATACGCTGTGTCTTGGAGGTCGCGGTATACATCTAATCCGACATAAGAGGCCGAAAGGTCCAACCCACTGACCCTTTGTGGCACGATGAGTCAATTTAAAGTCCCTGTGTCAGTATGTGTTAGTATAATGTGTGGCGTCGCCTAGTGTAGGCTTGGAATCCCTTCCCCTGGACCGACACGTTTCTTGAGTCCCGTCTGTTCGTTACCTGAGTGAGTTGTGCCACCACACCTTGAAGCTGATTGTGGCTTCGGTCTATGTTTACTCGGGTGTCCATGATGCAAATACTTCACAATCATGATATCCTCAAGATGCCAAGATGGACTATGACTGCGCCGTAATGTGCGACGCATATCTCATCACCTTGACTCTGGGCTTCTTTCCACGTAGACGAGGGCTTGATAAGACCAATTCCGGCCTCATGCTTAGCTCTGGACCCGACGACGTGATCCTAATCTCCGGTCCGGACCTGCTGGACGGGATAGCTAGATGTCCACAAGAGGAAGGTCAGAACATATGGGTGTCAATAAATTTATGACCTCGATATCGTGACTGATGAGGCTTAGAGCGCTATACCTTCAGGCGGCCACCTGTTATCCCAGACTTCCAGGATAGTTACTGGTAATGTCTGTAGTGCTGAGTATAAGAGAATGCACTGGCGGTCCTGATCAATGTTAGCTTCTCCAATGCACCACGCAGAGCCGGAATTTGGTTCGGGTCTGAGAGACGTGCGTTAAACACAAGTGACCATACTAAACGTCAACTCGTGTCTGCCATTGTCACATCCGTCCCGGGACTTGGCTGTCGACCAGATCGGGCGGGGTTTACTCCGTGGAGAACCCTCGACAATTGGGGCAAGAACCGGACGTTCAACATCTCTGGATGACATGTAGGGCATGGTGTACGATCGTGGAGTTTAGGCAGGAGGGTAAAGCTCGCTCTCCCTCCTCCTAGTGGTCCAGCTCGGTCATCGCACCTGGTTAAAAGTCATCCCCATGCTCTTAGTAGATTCAGATAAGGATCATACTCACGTTCAGTATTCAACCCGCCTGAAAAACCTTTCTTGGTAATGTGAGTGTCAATATTGGTCTGGCTAATCCCAAAAGAAGCGTCGGAGCTGCGGTAGACGCAGCAGGAGAACAAATCCAGGTGTAGATACGAAGTATTTCTGGAAGTTATTGCCGACCTTTCATTTCTCTTTGTTCCTCTCTCGTAAGGCTGGACCTCTTGATGAGACAATATGGATGCTAAAAGCTACCGCTACCGGCAGCCAAGACAGAACTCTGGTAGTGATAGTTCGTTGCTCGATTGGTACCGACTTCGCTTCATTGTGTGTTTGGTAACCCCATGACCACTGAGACATGACAAGCGAAGTCAAACAAGATGGGCCTAGACCTAGCGAATCCCCATTCCAGAAGAATTTGGGGGTTTGGGACTTGAAGGAGGGCTTGTTGCTGGGAAGTCAGGAAGGAAAGGGCCCCAAATTCGCGAGTATGCTGTGGACTTCTCACCATCGAACGTCTCCGTGTCATAGCTGGCCACGACGTCCTTCCTCACCAACGGAACAAGGGAACAGCAACAAACACGATGGGAGGGAAACGGACGGTGTCCTCATCTCCAGCATAAGAGCCTCAAAAACATGACATTGATTGTATGCAGGACCCGAACACGTACTCGACTGGTGTTGATATTAATTCCAGGTATTTCAAGAAGCGGGAACTGATTTATTGCCGGCTGGGAAGAACGGGACACAAATTGGCGACCCTTTCAGCGACGGCCCGTTTGGTATCCGAGCTGGTTTCGCTCAACTCTCGTTCCGTGTTTTTGGTTTCAGAAGAACCAGGTAAACGGAAGACTGCCCCTTGGGATGGCAAGGAACAGCAAACATTGCGCCATCTCTTGGCCAATTTGTTGTTTTCACTGCCCCTCTCTCGCATGGGAGGTCCTAGGAGGAGGAGCCGTGACGGAGCGAGGGGAAGCGGGTTGTGATGAGACCTGTCATCGGTCGGATGCATCTCCTCGTCATCTACACAGTCTGTGAATCGAACTGGGGAGGGACAGAATCCACCAGTGTCTAGATCCTGTAGGGATCAAGACATGGGTCTCCAAACCCCACAAAATGCACCGTTGAGAACCAAGGTTCTGATCCCGACGTGGGCCTGTTCTCCCGTTGTATCGTTGTACATGACTCGAATGAGGCTTTCCTGATGTGGAGAGGTCTGGACAACGCTCATATGAGATAGAAGTGGAGAGGACTCCCGTCATCTTCTTGTCAGACTGTCAGAGAAGAGGGATGATGATAGGGATCCATGTCTTTTTCTGCAGATCGAGTCTCTTAGTAGTGCCTTTTTGTCACTCAACAGACACACTAATCGAGCTCATCGGAGTTAAACAACTCAGAAGAGAAGTGATAGCAAGCAAGCGGATAGGGGGAAGTGAGGGGGACCGATGTGAAGGTGGTGGGGATGGTGATGGAGAGATACATGGGGCAAACAGCAAATGAAAGGCTGGAAGGGGAAGCGATACATGTTCAGATGGTCTTAATAGGCTCAAATATAGGGCTGAGGTTCAAGGAACCCATGTGTGATTGGCTCCCTGCAGTCCTCAAGGTAACTGGATTGGGCAAAAGGGCAAACCTGGTTCTGCCTGCATTCAGAACTTTTCATGCGGCCCACTGGCCGTAGAGCTTCAGACGATAACACCGTTGGCATTAGTGATGCTGGTTGCCGTGCGGACCAGTGCAAGAAACACGGTAAAAACCGTGTCGAATGAGCACGATGGAGAAGACATGGCGTTCATGCCGCGGCCGCTAGCCGGTTTCAGATGACCAGCGAATCAGTTTGCCCACGCTCTCGACACAGTGAATATAGGGATAGGGCATCGATGGGGCATTAGGCCCACGAGAGTGCCATGTTGACCGGTGGAAGCGTGGCGACAGGGAAGAGAAGCATCACCATCTGCTGATTCAAGCATGCAATGTGCAGCCGTGGGGTTGGTCACCTGAAGGCCAATACAATTGAGTTTGCGTGGTGTTGACACTTGTCCTGACTCTTGACTGGCAAGGTGGGAGAGTGAGTGGTCTAAGTGGGTGTCCTGGGTGCTTTGGCCCCCCTTTCCCCGGGACTTGTCTGGACTGAAGGGCGGGAGGGGACTGTCTCGACCGGTACAAGCTCAACCTGAGGAGCACCATTTCCGGTACCGCGCGGGAAGAGGCGACGGAAGGGTAGCTCGGGGGGTGCTAGGTCCAATGTCAGTGGTCCAGCCCATCATGAGTGAGGTCAGGAGCGTATGTACTATGTAGTGTAGTTCACTCTGTTGGTACCTGTTCATCCGCTCCTTGGTGTTGGTGCAGTGACTACCTGATATCAGACTCAGACTTGGAATCAGTGATTCGTCGGGAACTGAAGCGACTGGCCTGAGGATAACCCTCCGAATCTCCACCAAGATGCAGCTGCTCATCACTCATCACCTAATTCTCAGGAGGGAGGGTGAGGGTTCGACCGGCAGATAGGTGATGGCCGAAACACTTCGGATCAATGGCGACAGCGTATTTTCGTTTCTTTTTTCCTTGGGTCGTCCGGAATTCGGAAAGGGTGAGGACTGAGGACAAGGTCAAGAGTTGGGTTGGGGACTTGGAGAAGAGAGAGATGGCTGCCCGCCTGGGAGGCTGCCGATTGGAAGTCCTGCAATGTTCGGACCGGCAACTGTGTGCCTGCTGCCGATAAAAGCTTCCTTCCCTTCGTTGGAGGTCACGGTACGTAACTCTGCCGCGCGCCTTCCTCCAGATCATCACTCTGCCTCCAATTGATTCCATCAAGTGGCAGGAATGCCTTGCTCTTGCCGTCTGAGTGCAGTTGGACCTTCCTTATTCAGAGATGCATTGTCAGCATCGGCTCATGAGTGCTTTGCTCCAAGTCAAAGGCTCACCGCCTCAAAGCCCGGTTGCATTAAAAAGGTTATGCTTCAATCGGGTACACGGTATCATTCAATCGGACAAGCCCCACATGACCGTTTGACGTTCGCAGTGGATCCCTCCAGAGTCTCCACACTAACCCGACCTCCAACTTCCACTTTGACTTTCACCTCTTTTCCTTCTCCAACCACTGAACCACTTGACCGCATTGCATCCATTTCTGCAACTTTGCGAGTCTGCGAACGACGTCCAGTTTGCAGACCGCAAGGAGGATTCTCACAGAAGGCTGACTGCGCCAACGAACCGTTCGCAAGAGAACACGATATCCATACCGTAACTCCGTCTTCGGACTCGTCAACCAGCTCGAGCTGTGCTTCAGTCAGACGATGGAGGGCGCGGGATGCCGGACATCCAAGACACATCTCGGCAGCTCAGCTTACACAGTATCGAGCCGGTAGATGTACTAGCGAAGATGCATATCTGCCATCCTGGCCGATACAACAATTTCGTTGCCCGAGAAAGGGCCTATTTTCTCTTCTTGCCCGACATGTCTCCAGCGTCGCTCTCGCTTGTACTTTTGGGACGAACTGATGGGGCCTCTGTGTCATTTATCAAACACCCACAGGACGAAACAAGAAGATCACTGGTGAATGTCCACCTCGTCACCACATATCTCGAATATTTCCGCGTATCCAGCTAGAACCGCCAAGGAGGCTCGATCCCCCAGTGGCCCCCCAACGGGCAAGGCGCCTGTCTCACCGGCCCTGTCACTCAACCCCGGTCACCGACCGTCCTACGGCTAGCAGCCGACATGCGTAACCAAGATTTGCACTCTGAGGTTGAGGTGACAGCTCGACTTGGACCGTCTCTTCTTGAACGAGTACTTTGGGCCCAGACCGAGACTGGGGCCTGAATCTGGACTGGATCAGCCCTCAACTTGCCCTTCTGCCCAAAAACAGAACCGTTGAACCAAACTCGGCTATCCTAGTGTTTTGTTAGTTTCAACGGTTGACACTAGGGGAACGAGCACAGACGAGATGATCCCTCCGTCACCTAACCCATGAGGACGACAGACCAAGACATGGTCGAGCTGAGTCTACTACTAACTGCCGCTCTCTACTTCTCAGACCGGCCAAACGCCATGTCTCGGAATCCGTGACGATATCGAAATGCGAGCGGGCGAAATGCACGACCGTAATCCGAACCGGTTCGACAGCTTAGACCATTGGCAGTTTGTAGGCTTGCATACCGGTGTTGAAGAAAAGGCTTGGCAACGAACAGGCGCAGAGCTGAAACAAGACTCTGCCTACCGAATCACGATTGACCTTTTTAACCGGCCAACTCGTGATATGATTTGACCTCTTGAAGATTCTTCAAACCTTCGAAAACGCCACTCATTCTGCCAGCCTCGCACTTTTCACGCGCCAACACGGAACTTGGACCGGAGCCACCGAGAGCTTCTCGAAACTGCGTGTTTTGGTGATGCATTAACGACAACTCACGCCAGTTCCTATGAAGAGAGCCGTGAGAACGGATGTCGAAACTATTGACTGGCAATTAGACTGCAGCAATACACGCGCAAACCGTGGTAGATGTGAGGTCCTACCTACCCTTACCTGGCATTTCTCAGTGCCGCTCCTGCATTACCTTTGGTGGTAACCTGCCATCTTGGTCGGCGCCACCATGTGCGTGTTCCTGAATATCGCCTGTCGGGTGCGCCACTACCCACTGATGAACTTGCTCAGATACAAAGGATCTGGTCGTTTGTGCGGCGGAAGTCGGGACTCGGGACTCCGGGAGCGGTGCGGAAACAACCAAGCTTCATCACGGACATGTCAAACGCCCCGGGCGTCATTTCCGTCAAGGCAAAGATGGTTTCCGAGCAAATCTTCACTTCATGTTGGGCCATGATGGAAGCCTTGGAAACATGTCCTTTAATGCTGGCATGGCGATGGTACCGCACGGACGCTAACAAGGTCCAAAATAGGTCAGGGCAGCAATGTTTTGTATCATGTACACTGACAGATATCCATTTACGTACAAATTCCTTAGGTGAACTTGTCAAGGTGGGCGACCAACCGCTTCTGGTACGGCACTGATAGTTACATTTACATTTACTATCCAGAATTACCTGGCCTTGGCAGTGATACAAGTACCGTGTACACGCCTCGCACCCTTTTCGCAACTGAACCACCTCACTTGCTACGAATCGGGAATGAGCACGGCACATGCGAAACAAGAAAGACAGAGCATCGTTGAGCATCGTTCCTGAGAGGTGTTGCTCCTCAGGCATACCGTTCCCTTCAAAGTGGGGAGCTTTTCCCATCCATCCCATCACTGACCCATGCCATGCATGTCTTCCTACCACCCACCAGACCTCGTAGGTAGCCTCTGAAGCCTTGGAAAGACGCAAACTGGAATCAGGTCCTTCTCCATGGTTCCCTCTGTGGGCTTGTCTACTAGTCAGCACCACATGCCTATCACGACTCCTCACTTTAAACGGGTAAGCCAAAGCAGAGCAGATGCTGCTTACGGGTTAGAAGTGGGTTTAAGCAATCTCTCTTGTTCCCCAAGGAAAGGAAGGAAGGGGACGGAGATTCAAAAAGGCAGATACAAACGGGGCTAACCAGTTGCACTACCACGCAGCTATTATTATACGAGGCCACTACATATACAGTATCAGGATTTTATATTGAGGATTGACGAAACAGAGGGGAGAGAGAAACGTTGACTGACCCCGGTCCATAATATCCCGGCCGACCCCGGCCTGCCTTGCGCTTGGCACGTCCTCCCCGTCATGTCTGTAGGGATGCGTGACGCGGATGTGGTCTATGGCCACCTGGACTGGACTGGAGAAAGAGTCCTCTACTGTACACCCTCCTTGCCCTCCTCCCCGTTTAAGGACCAGACCGATGCAAGGCACTGACACTGGCAGGCTTGGAAACACCCCGGTACCTAGTCACCTAGTATCCAGACGACATCCTCGTTGTCAATCATATATCACTCATCTTGCTACCCTGCCTACATAATAGATGACCACACGGACTCATCTTAGCTGAAGGATCCTTCTGTTTATCACTCTTACTATCACATAAACTTATTGCTTCTCTTACTTCATATTCAACCCGTATCCGCTGGGACTGGGGAAACAGATAAACTTCAGTTCCTTCTCACCAACATCGCCACTCAGTTGAAAAGGTCTTGGAATACGGCAGCTTCGACTCGCTTCTCTCGGTAACGACAGGACAGCTCAACCCCAGCCAAGTTCAGTCGTGGCTTCCGTGACCCGACGTTGTCTTTGTCAGATCAGAATATTGTTGGGAAGGCGCGACCTGTTAACAGGAGGTGGATTCTTCGACCAAGTTTTCTCCTCACCCCACCATCATCTCCGACAACTACATCCAGGCACGACCCAGGGATGGCAACATCATCGCCGCCGTCCATGGACGGCATGTCACCCGTTTATGAACTCAAGATCCGTCAACAGCCCAAGAATGCGCGCGTAGCCATCGGGAAAGAAAAAGGTGAGACCAGAGCAGCACCTCTCTGCCAACACTGGAGAGATCAAGAGGCACCATGGCAAAACAATACTAACAAGACACAAAAAAATCAAAGCAGACAGAAAGCCCATCGATCCCCCTCCCATCATCCAGCTCGATATCCACCCTATGCGCCATCAAATACACAACCCTTATCTGATTCTCGTTTGCAGGCTTGTCGCTCCAGGTAGTACTGAGAACGACGAGGCCAACCACCAGCAACCCGAGCCCAAGGACAACGACCTAACGGGCTCCCTTTGCTCGTCTCCCTACGTTCTCAAGGACACCAACAATGCCCAAGGCCTCTTCTTCATCTTCCAGGATGTCTCCGTGCGCCGAGAAGGCACCTATCGCCTCGAATTCAACCTCTTTGAGCTCAAGCCTCTAACCAGGGAGTGCATCGCCTTAGCCAGGACCACCTCCGACAAGTTCGTCGTGTTCCCACATCGGTATTTCCCCGGAATGGCCGAGAGCACCTTCTTGACAAGGTCGTTCAGCGATCAGGGCGTGCGCATCCGACTACGCAAGGACAGCCGAAGCGTCAGCACGCGCAAGAGGGGTGTCAGCGCATTAGGAGTCGGAGCAGGCAGCGGTGGTGTCGTAGGACGTCTGCGGACTGGCTCAACGATAGGTCTAGGCGGACAACAATACTCGCCCATCACCATCTCCCACCACTCCCAGTCCCACGGTAGCGGCGGTAGCCACGATGAGCTCTCCCCAACGAGCACCAGCCCGATCCACCGCATCAACACCACCCTAGCCGGCCATCACCACCACGACCTCATCCCTGGCATCGGCCACTTGGATCGCGGCCAACACCACCGCGGCTCACTAGCCTCCCAGGCTTCCTCAAGCCTCCTCGACTCTCCCTCAAACACAATGCTCACCTCCCCCACCGTCACGGGCGTAGGCGGCTTCGGCGCCTCCACAGCCACAACAATGGGTGGTAGCGGTAACTACTCCTTCACCGGCGTCGCCGCCGCGCAGCAGTACTCCTACCCCGGCACAGCCCTCGGTCTGACCACCGGCATCACCGCCGATGATCGGTACTACGATTACAACAGGGCTGGCAAGCGGCCTAGACTGTTGCATGGCACCGGGGTGGATGATCCGCTTGATCATTCCTATGGGAGAGACCCTTATGGTCGGGATCCCTACGATCATCATCACCGCGGCGTGGTCGGCAGCGTTACGCTACCGCCCCATACTCAAGGGTATGCGACGATGGATGCTGCGCATGGGTATGGCCATGGACGGCATCATGATTATTATGGGGCTACGGCTACGGGGGCTTACTTTGGGTCGGGGATGTGAACTACTCATCGATCCTGCTAGTGAGCGTTGAAGGTTGCTCTGGTTGGTGAAAGTGGCTTGTTGGTAAGTGGTGCGCTCGTAGCCTTGGACTCTGGCGAAGTTGAAACTAACTAGATGGTAAAGCAGGTGCTCTTCGCTTCTTGACCTACGAAATCTTTCTCAACCCCTTTTCTCATTTTCTTCCTTTCCCGAACACGAATAAGAACACGATACCGCTCGCGCACAGGATGTTGCAGATACGAAGCTTTGTAATTGCTGCCTTTGCTCTTCCGCTTTGCCTTCTCTTCTGCTTCTTCACCTTGCCTTTCTTTGCTCTTTGCCCCTTCTTGCTTTATTTTCCTTCGTTCTCCATCTTGCTACTACGTCTCATGCTTCACTTGCTTGTTGGTTCTGGAAAAACGGCGTCGACGGTGGTTGTTACGCTATGGCGGCGGCGGCGGCGGCGGCGGCGGCGGCTGGCAACGGTGCCCTCTGTTGTTTTCTCCTGGAACGGTCTGGATGGTTTATGGTGATCACTGGTAACTGGTGGTGGGAACGATACCCCTTTTCCTTGAACTCACTCTCTCTACTCTTATTGTCCTGTCTGGTTATTAGGTTGAACTTGTCTGAAAAGCAAAAGAATGAGGATGTGCAAACAAACTGAATTCAAAAGGGCTTATTTGGACTTGGTGGGTGGATATCTGATTTTTGTTTGGAAAGTTGTATGGACATAAGGGGGACATAGCACAGATAGGAACCGGAACAGAATGGAAATTCACATCTAGGAGGCAGTGGAAAACATGTTTGGTGACAGTGAAGTGATGTCAATAATATCCCTCACTACTACCGTACTAGGAATATGCGCCCTGTGACATTGGATATTTAATCCAGGAATAAATATAAACAAAACATTGGATCAGACTAAAACCTCCAATATTAATTTGACATCCAATATTACATATACTAAAGGACAGCGACCCAACCCACTAGGCTGGGCAGAATAGCGCGTAGTTCAAGTAGGTCTAGCGGGTACGTACAGTAGGTAGCGGACAGGGGCCGCGCGGCCTATATACGCGATTTATTTCCTATAGTATATAATACGTAAATTTAATTCTTATAGCTTACTAAATTAATTTCCTATACAGCGCGCACGTACAACCGAACTACCACTTGCCAAATTAATTTCCTATATAACGCGTATACGCTAAATCGCTAGCCGACTATGTAGTACTACCAATCTAACAACCGATATAATTTTTATCTAACCCCAATACTGCGACCCTAATACTATAATACTAATACTACGCCCCCAATATATAACCCCCATTCAATTTAAACTTTAGACCTACCCCCGTTCCATCTATATACAGCTACTTTTGTCCCGTTTCGTACCCTACCCAACGTCGTAGAACGGCCAAATCCTATAAATATATACTATACTATTAAATCTGCTAATTATTAATCCGTCCGTTAATTACTATATAATATAGCACAATAATATCGCGCAATCCAAATCTCGAAATCAATAACGTACTAAGTCCCGGCGTATACTATTATACGCTATAGCATTCGGTATATAAATCTATATTAATTTTACTATTTATGAAAATTAAGAACCCCAACTTTTCTAATACTTATAAACCGTAATTATTAACGCAAATCTATTGTATCTACTTACTAGCGGCGCCCCAGTAACGTATAAATATATATAACGCCCAGCAACTAAATCGCCGCTCCAATAAATATATTTATTAATTTAATGCCCGATTCCAACTCTATATATAAACGCCCTTTCGCCGCCCCGATAAATACCGTATTTATACCCCGTAATTGTTAATATAAGTCCGTTATATTAATTATAATATACTTTATTAATTCGCTGCTCCGATTCCGTACATAGGCTTATGCCTATTCCGCGCTACGGCCGCCCGCCTTTATTATTGACGGATTCGGCTATATTTCCGTACTAGAATATATAAATATCTAACTATTAAATACCGGACCTATACTCAAATTAATTATTATAAATCCTAATGTATCTTATTAATTGTTTTTATATTTAATTTAGTAATTATAATACCCGTATTATCGTATTGCGTATATATTGCGCGTCGATATTACATTTTATAAACGTATTTTATATATTTAATACTCTACGTAAAGTATTCTTAAATAAATTATTAATTATTAATATTGAATTTTATTTTAATACGTATATTTAATTAGTTTTATTTAAACTTTTATTTCTTCTATTATAATACTAGTAATATTAATAAGTATATTCCAATCCTATTCCGTATCCGCCCTATTACGTAGCATCTCCGCCGATCCGGTATCCGGGCTACTAATTTTATCTTATTTTTAGCGTACGCGAAACGTATATATAACGTATATACGCGGTATTGCACTCCCTAGGCCAGTGGTCGTTATTATATATATTTTAAACAACTTTCGTATATTCTTTAATATAGAAATTCAATATAAATATATCCTTATTATAGGGATTCAACGCATTAATCGTAATAATTACGTTATATTACCGTATTATATCGAATATTGGGAAAATAATCTAATTTTACGAAAATGGTGTATTATTATATAATTAAATTAATTATCCCGATTTCAATTAATAATAAATATAATTCTAAGTAACGTCTTCTAAATCCCCTACTTTTATATCCTTTATTCGTATTTACCTCCCTATTATTTATTACTTTTATATATATAATTTCGGATTAGATCTCCGACTATAACGCATTATTTATGCAATATACTAATATATAGTATACTATCCTATTAATTATTATTCTTACAATTTATTTATTAGCTTATAATTAATAAAGTGGCGTTATATAGACTTTTTTTAGGTAGTTTTATTTATAGTAATTCTAGAATTACTATAGCGTCTTCTAAAGTACTAGGGCTTACAAGCCTTCGTTACGTTGCCCTCGGCGGGGTTATATTAGGTAGGGTAATTAAGCTTAACAATATATTATACGCTAATAATAAACGTACTTGCAGTAGCGATAGTATAATTAAATACGTTAAAGAATAATATTCGTACTAATATTATCGTAATAAAAGTTAGCTCTAAAGAAGGGTTATTTGCATTAAATTTTAGTAAACTTCGAAGGTATTTTTCGTAGCTCCTCCCGCTATTATTATTATATTAGAATAAGCGGGAGGAGCCGTAAACTATAAAACTTTTAGCTTTTTACCTCTTTCTATTCTCGTTTATATTTTATAATCTATTAAGCCTTCTATTAGTTTCGAAAATAGTGAGACAAGAATTCAATTAATTCTAATCGGTAAAACGGCTTATAAACTATTCTAAGCGTTTGGTAAATTTCATTTATTAATTGAATTCCGGTTTCCCGTATCTTCTTGGCCTCTTCCTTAAACCTTTATTATTCGAATAGGAAAGGGCACACTTAATATTTAAAAGCGGTATTCGTACTAATATTATTGTAATAGAGGTTAGTTCTAAAGAAGGGCTACTTGCGTCAAGTTTTAGCGAACTTCGAAAAATATTCTTAATTTTCGCTTATAATGTTAAAATAATATATCTCTTAAAATTATTTATTATTCGGTAGATTTTAGCTTTACAATATCTATATCAATACTTAAGGCCCGTATTTTCTATCGCGGTAAATTCCTCTTCCTCGTCGTCAAAATTGGGATTACGCTTATATAGAAATTAGTAAGCAAATTCTAATTTTCTAATATATAAAGTAATATCCGGTCTTTTAATAAATTAGAATAATTAGTATAATAGGTAAGTGAATTAAGTTCTAAATAATAAATAAGAATATATTAAATTTTTAATTAGGAATTTAGTAAAGCAATCTTCAAACTATTCTAAGGTCGCCTAGTATTATATAAATTAGGGTAGGTATTTTATTTAATAAATATTAGATCGAAGTGCGTTATATCGAACATATATTATATTTAATTAAAACCTTATATATTAAATGATAATACGGATTTTATCTACAATAAAAAATATAATTTTTTATCCGATATTACCGCTTAAAGAATTCTAATCTAATTTGCTTCCTTTAGAAAGGAGTAGCCTTATTCGATTTAGTTTTGAAGGCCGATAGATAGAATTGTTAGCATTTTCTCTTCGTTAGAATTTAAGTAATTATTGCTATCCTAGTTAATAAAGACGACGGTACGTTAGTTTTGAATTAATAACGATTATTTTCTTAGAGGTTTAAGTAACAATAATATTAATTTCGCCTTACTTAATTATATAGCGCGAACCGAAGTAAAGATATATTAGGTTCTAAATTGGGAATAGTACTACTAAACCTTCTTTAAATTAATTTAACTTCTAAGGAAATTATTATAATATAACCGGAGCTATATAGTAGGGAATAGTAGAAGTAGTAATACGTAAGGATTCAGAGCCTAAAATTTAGATGAGAGCGGAAATTATCGTAATATAGCCGGAGCCGTAAAATAAACCGTATAATAAGCTAATATTCGGCAACGTACAAATAATGGATAAATTCGCTAGTATTATAGCAATTTAATTATATAATATAATCATTAGTAATTGGATATATTATAAGCTAGATTATAAGAACCGAAATTTAATTACCGTTTAATAAAAAGGCTTGACGGATTTAACTTTAATAATAGAGGTTACAATTAGCGCTGACGACAGTAGAGGTGTATCTATTACTTTATCGATATATTAGGGTAATTACCGAAATATTTATAATTGAAGTATTTACTATAGTTATATTATAATTATCGGCGAAGGGGTCAGTTTTGTTAACTGTAACACCCGGAGCGGCGAAAAGCCTAACTGAAGCTATATAGTAAATTAATATTATTAAATTGCGAAAATATTAAAAATTATAATCCTTATAGTTCGGGAACTATTATTGTAATAGAAACTAATTCTAAAGGACTATTTGTACTAAATTTTAACGAACGTCGAAGAATATTTCTTATAGCTCCTTCCGCCATTTAATTATTACGTTGTAAAAATAAGCGGGAAGAATTATAAATACCGATAGATATATACGTATATTCGAACTTAATTCGGTTTTAGTCGATATAATAATATTTATCGGCGAATTACCAATTACTGCAATAGAATCAATTAATACGTATACATTATTCGAACGATAGTAAAAAGGTAAATGTACGCTATAATAATTCATTAAAAGTTTATAATAAAAGTATCTTATAAGCGTCCGTAAAATATTTAACCGAAGCTTAGCGCCGGAAGAAAATAATAAATTTATAGAAGGCATTCTTAAATTAGAATTTATAGAATTTGTATACTAATAACTCTATTTTAGATAATATAGCCCCCGGTATTATTAGTTCGCTTCGGGTAGCGTATTATTATAAAATATACAAGTTTCGATAGAATGAACTAATAGTTAGTACTATAATAGATAGATAAGATCGATTGGCTAGTTATTAGTATATAGTAAATCGGACGTATAAGGAATCTTAATTTATTAATAAAAGTACTTATTAAAATAACGACTAGAATTATAATACCTATTTTCAATCTATACAATATAAATCATTACGCATTGCTTAAAAAAGTATATATAGGATAGTATATCGAATTATATAGCAAATAGCTAAATCTTAAATACAATATATATAGTATATATTAAAAGGAAAAA